AAGAAAAAAAAAAGTGATGTACCTTAATGACCTGGCCGGAGTATCAGTCACTCTCACCTTCGCACAGGGCTTGCACTCTGCGCTTTGCTTTGGCACAGCGCGCTCAGCTTGAAAGTCTATTATAAGACGCGGACGGCCCCCTTCCCGCACTCGAAACGCCCTCCCTTCTTAACTTCCCCCCGACCCAAGTTATTAATCCACTCTCTCTTGTCCTGTACAATAACAGAGCGCTTCTTCCCTCTTGTTCATTTCCTATTTCTTTAAAGCTGCAAGCGTTCCCCATCTTGAAACGCATACCACCTGCCTCTGCCGACCCGGACCTGCTGCAACCTGTGCCTGCAACCACCTGCACCTTGCCCGCACCACCTGCACTGCACTCCTTGCTCCAACTCGCGTCTCCAAAGCCCACACGTTCCCGAAACAGTGAGCGCCACTACCGCTGCTGCTTGCCTGCTCTCCAGCGATCCACCTTGGGATAATAGAATCCGCCCAGAGATCAGCATCCCTGGCATTGAGGTGTTCTCACCCACGACAAAAGCCTCCAAAGACATCTCAGAGACAGTTCAAAGACAGTTTATCTCGCCCGCCGCTCGTCTACATAAACAACGACAGACTCCATCGCAACGGAGCTCGATTCTTGCCTGTCTCACCCACCCACACCCACACCCACACACCCACACTCATACACACCAAACCACCACCATCAGCTTGCATAAGTCTGGCCCATAAATAACCAAGCGTCATCACCACGCTTCCGGTGCCGTCTCCAGCCCTCTCAGGTCCCACGATTTTGCACCAGCATTTAACGAGACTTGACCACCTCTGGCGACACCCTCTGCTGAGCTCCTCTGCGATTCGGTAGAATCTCCCGGCGCCCCTGCAACCTCGACCTCGCCTCGTCACCCTTCACCAATCCCTCGCCGCGCCGCACCCTCCTGCGACAGCTCCAAACCTTCCGAATACCGCCAGCCACCTACTGTGAGTCACCTTCTTTCCTGTTCCTAGTGGATGGTCCTCATCCCGGCCCTCTTCGCGCTTCGTCTTGGAGTTGCTGCCTTGCATGCGACCCAAACTTTTTTTTTACTACTTGTTTTTGCCGTCCTGCCCCTGACTTCACTTTGCACCCCTGCAATAATCTCATTACACCATGCATCGGCACAATGCAATGCGACATTCCTCTCGCGAACTATGGCTAATGTTGGTTTCTGCAACAGCACCTTGAACCTCTCGTGTCACACGTTTTTCCAAACCGTCAAAATGGTCAGCAGGGAGACTCCAATCTTCGCCAACCAAGGCCGTGGAGCCTACGACACAACTGGTGTCCCAAAGCCCCCACCGCAGCCCAAGCCTCGATAAATTGGCCGTCGCTATGCCATCCATCCCTTGGTTCGGCGCCAACTCTCGAAACAATGGCCGCCATCACACGCTAGCCTCCGTCCCGCGACAAGAGGAAACAGCGGCAGACCAAAATCGTGGCGCCGGACTATTCGCTCGGTCGGGTTCCTGGTCGCGACGCCAAAGGCCAGGAGCACAAGCCCTCTTCTTCTCTCACAATGAGCACGGACTGACCTGCTCCTTGGGCCCCCTGCACGCTTTTGCCAATACGACGAATTTAATCACCGCGCCGCCGCCGCGCACCGTGTAACAACAGTCTTCATTTTTCTTTATCTTATTTTCGACGACAGCGACCGGATGGGCACACCATCCCTCCAAGTGTCTTGGGATCGATCGACTACATTCCGACACAGTACTTCATTTAATACGCATTCCTCCGAAAGAGACGACAACGTTTGCCTGGCTCGCTGCCACTTGGATTTTCCCAGCACGAAAAGGGACAGGCGTGAAATGTTTTGTTTTTCACACAAAAGGAAGAGGGTTTCACACGGCGAGATTCTCGCCCCGGGGCTGCACACGGCGTTCAACTAGATCGGATCGGGTTTTAGATTTGGGGCAAGTCAGCTTGCTTCTGTCTGTCAGACGTCAACATTTTCCGCTTTTATTTCTCCTTTACTTTTTCCTTGCACCACACATCGCGAGCGCGCAAGCCTCGAGGTGAAGTCGATGCGGGAAAAAATGTCTAGCGATCCCTGCGCCTCTCGACCATACGGCATCGGCATCCATGTGTGGACGAGCATGCCGCTTTATCTCGACCTCATTGCTTGACATTTTCTTACCTGTCTTGAGTTTTTTGGCATGATCAGGGCTGGGTTACAGAAAAATGGATACGACTAGTGGGCTGCAAGTTTTCATCTGCTTCCTTTTTCTCTTTACTGTTTGATTTGCGGGTGCTATGGAAAGAGAGGGAACGGGACACAAAAAAGGGTTGAGAGGATTGGGAAAAAAGAAAACTGGCCGGGATGCATATAGACCTGTTTTTTTGGCTTCACTGCCGCTTCCACCACCATCCTCCTCCCTTTTCCACCTTGGTTTGTTACTTTGCGCCTTCTTCACTTCGCCTCAGAGCCATGTTTTTTCTACCTCACCAAAACAACTTTGTTGCGTCTCACATATGTACACATACTGTCGAAGGATCTGGACAAACTTCGATAATGGAAGGAGAGAGCGAGATTGTGTGTGTGGTCAGCTGGGCACCCCCCGGGCTGGCACCAGGAGGAGAAGAAAGATACCCCGGATTTATTAGAGGTTGCCTGTACAGAATAGCAAGAAGCACCCTAGCTACACAGCGTTTTTTGCTTTTAACAAGAATTATTTCTCAAACACAAGTGGCCCACCGCAGTTAAGATTGACGTTGTCTATTCCCGATTGACATGACGGTTGCGAGAAGTGAGAACTGGGGCCAAAAGAAAGCACGAGACCAATCAGCAGGCAGTCAGTCATATGCAAGTCTCAGCAGCAGAGATAGGCGAGGCGGGCGGGATGGCGGATGGTGGATGGCGGATGGCGCCGCATGTAAGGGCAATCATCAAAAAAGCAGAGGGCGCATCGCATCATATGTGTGTCTCTGGACATGCAAGGTGAATCATAACTGTGCGGGCCGGAGGGGGAATGATGCGTCACATGCCCACCGACGACGTGTCATGTCGACGGTGAGCCAGGCGCGAAAAGAGATGAACGAGAGGACTGAGAGACAAAAAGGACTTCAGGATGGGCGGCGAAGAGGCTGGGCAAATGAGATGGTGTGTTTTTCCTCTCTTCACACTTCCTTCTGCTGGTCTGCTCGGCCCCCTCACCCCCCCCCCCCTCCACTGCTGACCAGCGAGATGAGGTCAGTCACATATAGTTGATGGAATCGGGCAATACACGGAAGAGACATATTTTATCGGAGGTACGAGCTCCAAGTCAGTGAGTGAGTGGGGGATGCTGCACAATCGACATGCCGCTCCCTCCTTCGCTCACCTGCCGTCAGCCTCGCCTGCAAGGCGAACAGACACACAGACTCAAGTAGTCACGCAGCAGGCGCAACACGAGCGACTCACCGCAGCAAGATCGGTCGGTCTGAGACATTTCTGTTGAGAAGAGGTAAAAAAAGAATTATGGACCCCATTCCGGTTCCTGCAGTAAGGGTCCTGTCAAACCCACTGACTGACTACCTACGCAGGTACTGTTTGACTAGACCGGGTGGGTAAGTAGTGTAGAAAAGCGAAAAGTACACGACACGTACCTGCTGCTGTGCTCCTCCGAGGCTGGCTGGCTGGCTGGCTGGCTGGCTGGTCGGGCTAATGCGAGCGGAGGGGAGGGACCCGCCGTGCTGGGTCGACGAATGAGAGGATGGGGATGGGGCAGCAAGCGTCGGCCTGGGCCGTCGAGAGCAAAAGTGGGCAGCTCTCTCCTTCTCTGGGCGCTCGCTCTCTCCTACCTCTGTTTTGGACCGTGGGCTGGCTGGTCGTTGACCGGCCGTCCGTCTTTTCGCTCACCGTGGCCTTGCTGTGTGTGGCAGGAGTGGTATGTATTACCTGGCCCTGCCCAACCTTACCTAGTCAGGTCCCCATTTCCGGGACGATGCATGGTGCATATTTGGGCTACTGCACTACAAGGTACAGTACATGTGTCAAAAAGTTCGCAGTGCCCACAAGCTCCCCCCCCCCCGGCCCGCATCGCTTTAGTCTGCTGCGGTACTGCACTGCATGTACGGGGAATGCTTGGCTTCCTGCTAGCCGCTGGGGGCGGGGGCTCCACCTGCTCCACTGCTTCTGGAAGAACAAGAAAAAAGACGGGCAGACGGGCAGACGGACAGACAGCCGTTTGTTCGCATGAACTGGGCTGGACTGGACGGTGCTGGACGGTGCTGGGGGCTGTTGTTGGACGGAACGAGTGAGCGCCCCAGAACAACAGGTGGGAGGATGCCATCCAAGACCACCGTCAACACTGACTCCCACACGCCGCACACCCGGCAGAAGTTCCCCTGTTTCAAGGCTTCAAAACACTTGCGCGTGTGTTGGGCCTTGGGAGTTGGGAATTGGGACGGGAGCGCCACTGACAGGCCTCTAATAATGCGGGCAGCAGCCGGTCAGCCCTGGCGCCAGCTGTTTTGTTTCTCTGTATGCTGGCCCTGTTGGGCAGGAATTGGATGCACAGGATCCTGGGAACCACCAACCGGTGACGGTTCAGCATCTTCACATTTTTTCACCGGGCACTGTACCTAGCTAGCTGATCAGCGCCTACCACCCCGGGCCCTGACCTGAGCCTGACCAGTCAATCTTCCATCTCCAGACCGGTACGGAAGTACCTCGTCCCCAATCTCCGTGGGGGTACCCTGGCCTGGGGACTGGCCCGCCAATCCTTCTGCCGCCTTCCAGAAGGGGCATGGTTGGCAGGGGGAGGGATGGGAGCCACTCCGTCCAGAACATTTCCGCCTTTGGACCAGGCAGCCCAGCAGCCCAGCTACACGCAACAAAGATCGACCACCTATCCCAATCCCTCAACGGCCTTCTCCTTGCATGAGCAAGCATGGGCAGAACCAAACTGCCTCTCGCCCGGCACGATCCCCACCAGCCCTGGCCCTTATCTCTGCTCATCTTCCTGAGACGTGCGGTACTTCGGCCCTTTGCACCAAAATGGTAGAATCCAACGAGCCTGGAAAGATGACGACGACCGCATTGGCAGTGCCTGCACTTTCTCTTCACCCTCACCATAGTACCGGGAGGCCCCGGGACAATACCTAGGTACTTAAGTACTTAGGCAGAAACCGAACTTGATTCTATTCCACACGCCTAATAAGCTGGAATCATATCTGTGAAAAAGTCAACTGGTACCATGCAGGGGCATACAAAAGGGTCTGGGCCAATCAACCCAAGCCGTGCATACGCAACGTGGGAAACATCTGACAGACATGCCTTACGCCGCATATTCAATCTACCAGACTATTATACCTTCTGGTCTATGCCTGCGCCTCAATTGTCCTTCCGAATCCTCCGGCCATCCATTTTGACAGAACAAAAGGAACGACCCCCTTTTTGGGCCAAAGGAGCACGTTTCAAGATCATGTCCAACAGGCCGTTGGAAACAGGTGCGCACCACAATAAGATCCTACAAAAGTGTGTGCGCAAGTGTGAGGGCGTGCGTTGGTGGCAACGCCAACCGACACTGGATGGCTGGATGGCTGGATGGCCTGAATAGCTGGTTGGATCTCGTCACATCTCAGAAAATAACATCCCTGGGACCTGTCAGCTGCAGTGGTCCCAACCGGCAGGGCAGGAACAACGTGGGAACGCCAACAGCCTCGGCGCAACGGTCAGGGCAAGCCTCCTCGGTGCCGTATTTGGAAATCTCACAAGGCCGCCTCTCTCTCCCTTCACCGCGAGGAGACGCGAGGGGGAATCAGTGCGGGAAAAAGAAGGAGCGACTGCCAGGCTCACTCACCTCCTCCTGACCAGCGGCATCCTCTCCCGGACGCTCTCCCACAGCCCCAGGTCAATGTCCACCAGGCCGAGGGCGCCCGCCGCGCCATCCGGTACAGACGGCCCCTCGCCCGTCTCCTCCACCGCCGGCAGGGCGCACCGGACCTTGCCCCACGGGTCCACGACCATGCTCCCGCCGTAGCTTATCCTCCCCGTCCCGGGCTCGCCCGAGTGCCACCCGACCTGCGCGGCCGCGATGACCCAGCACTGCGCCTGTTTCACGTGATACAAGTGATCATGTTAGCGTTGACACGAACGAAACCTTTGTATACATACACATTTAGACAAGACTCAATGAGCAGCCGGCCAGCCAGCCTCATACCTCGATAGCCCTCGCCCTCAGCAGCGTCTCCCAGTGCGCCGCCCCCGTCGGGACCGTGAACGCCGACGGGTACGTGAGGACCTGCGCGGGCAGCCAGTCCTGCTTCTGCCCGTGCCCGTGCCCGTGCCCGCCCTGGCCCGACCCGCGCCGTGGCTGCGCGAGCGCCGTCGCCGCCTCCGGGAACCGCAGGTCGAAGCAGATCAGGCTGCCCACGCGGCCCACGGGGGTGTCGAAGGGCGGCACGAGCCGGTCCCCCGCCCGCGTGTGCGCCGACTCGCGCAGGCTGCCGTAGTCGAAGAGGTGCAGCTTGTCGTAGCCCCGGGAGCCGTCGACCTCGCCCGTGGGGAGCACCCAGATGGTGCGGTTGAGGAGCTTGGTGGTGGTGGTGGTGGTGTCAAGGTCCGCCCCCGCTGGTGGTGTCGATGTCGGCTCGGCGCTGGGGACGTGGACGCCGGCGCTGATGTGGATGCCGTGCTCCTTTGCCGCGGCCTGCAGCCCCAACACAAAGGGGGACTCTGACTCTGGCCTGGCCAGGGAGAGGGACTCCTGCGGGGAGGAGGCTATGTAGTCTGATGCCTCAGGGAAGAAGATCGCCTAGAGGGGTTGAGAGTCTGTAAGTCTCTGACTAGTACGGGCGGGACCTCTACGGTGTCCCTCCTAATGTGACACGCGTAGCTCCAACTCCGCCCGATACCAAAGTATGCCTCTGTACGTAACCACCCCATGTGAGGATCCAGGCAGACTATCATGTCAACCCTCACTTGAGAGGCAATGATCGTTGAGAAAGGTCAGATATCGAACGTGAAATTGGACCTCAGCCCACCTTTGCACCAGCTTGGGCGGCCTCCTTGATCAGTTTGAGGCACTGGTCGAGGTTGTGTGATAGGTCCGGCGTCGAACAGATCTGTCCGATGGCCTGTCTACATTGTCAGTATCAAAGTTCATTCTCAGCACGGGGAATAGTATGAATGTCTCACAGCAATCGCCATTTTCGAGGAACCGGCGGAAAAATACCGTGCCTCAGGGCAGACGCAGGGGCAGAGGCGCGGAGAACAGGCGGCGCCAAGGTGCCGTTTCGCTGGGCGACGAGTAGGGCAAGTGGGCCTTAAGAGGTGTTGGCTCACCAAGTTGCGTGTCAGGAACATCAGATCATGAGAATGGCTTGTGGCCTGCTCATCAACCGTTTCTACACAAGTCAAAGCCGAGAGTCAAGTAGAAGTGCCGGCGGCATACGATGTGCGTGGATCAAGAGCAATGCCGTCATTTGTCAACACCGCAATCCTGACTCTTATCTCCGAAGCCCTTTAAGACCTGGTCCACTACAAGTCACCATCGGCGGCTGGGCGCAGTTGTCATGTTTTCATGTCGATATTGAATGGGTATTCTCCTAGTGCAGCTGCCGCACTGAACTTTTCTACCGATCCACTGGATTCCAGCCTGTTACATCGAACTATCTTTGATCTGCCCGTGCCCGGGCGCAGTCGTGTGTGCCCGGCAGGAGGATTAGCTCCCAGCGGTATTTGCTTGATTTGCCGAGACCAGGGCAGGATGTAAAAGATCAGCCTTTTTTACGTGATCTCCAAGCGGATCAATGCGTGCCTTCCCTCCATACCGATGCCCTCTCATAGAACGCCAGGCTGAAGTCATAAATCAACACAATGCGAGGTATTAATCCCGTTGAAGCGAGATGCTTCTGATCCGCTGCTTCCGCACACCTTCAACTCGTCCATATTTACCATCCTGCTTCATTTCTGCTCGTGCTCGCTTGGTGCTAGCACTTCCGTGGTTGCTCCTCATAATCCAGAAGAGGGGAGGGTGATTCGTAAACAACCGAATTCGAGGCTGCGATACGCAGCCAAATTAGAATGCCGTTCAGCGGCCCCCAGAGGTGTGGATGCTATTGTGGATCGCCATCCAAGATGATCGATCACACACTCCTCGTCAAACCCAGCATTGGGCAGCTTCTCTGTCGACTTGGCCAGTGGGGCTGAAATGGACTGGAAGCAGTCTGAAGTCGTCGCTCTACCGTGGCTCGGACGAGTCAAGCTTCATGTAAGCATGCTGCAGGGCGAGCCTTTCCCGACCGTCTCGTTCCAGGACAGTGATCCAGTCCCTCAGCTGGATATCCTTGCCCTTCTCACTATACTCTCGCCAACTTCCGAGCTTATAACGGCCCTCCGAGGTCATTGATTTGTTCTCTGGTGCCTTTGATGCCGAAGCAGAGGCAACCGCAGACGCAGGCGTCCCCGCAGCGCTGGCCGCCTGCTTGTTAGGCGTGCTCGGAGTGTTTGCTCCCATGGACATCCACGAGTACTTCTTCTTGCCACCGCCAAGGAACTTCATTGTTGTCTTGTTGACATTATCAGCCGAGGCATCATGCTTCTGAGCAGCAATCTTTTTCTGCTCCTTCTTTGTTGGTGCTTTCTCAGGCTCCGGAGCCGTGGAACCTGGGGTCCCAGGCGCTACTGAGCCTGCCCGGGATCCATTTGCCGCATTATCTCCGAGCAGCCGCTTCTGACGCTTCTTGAGACGCAACTCCTCGGCCTCTCGCTCTGCCCTGCCCATCTCCCTGAGGATTTGGGCCAGATGGTTGGTCGCCGGCACGTTCGGCCTTCCGCTCGCGCCTGAAATATTGCTTGCATCAAAGGAGCCTATCCACGAGCGTCAATACAGGGCCAGAATGGTTGAGGTGGACTGTCAACTCACGCTTGCGTGGATTGGTGCTGCCGCTGGCACCATTCTCGGTAGCCTTCCCGTCACCGTCATTGACAGGGAGGCCGGCGCTATCCAATGGGGCGGCCGAATCAGCCCAGTCAGAGGGTATTGCACCATGAGAAGTCTGCTGTCTCGTGGTTGCGATCTGGTCCGCGTCTTCCAGAAATTCTCGGATCCGATGCTTGGCGGAGATGGAAAGAAGCGCAAGCTGGTCGATTAAATAACTGTCTGCAGGCAATACTGACCCATAAACTGACACCATAGCACCGTCGGGACCTTCTTTTGTTGTTACAGTGACCTTGGGCGCAACAGGGTAGTCGGCTGGGTTTCTGGACTTCTGAACGGGCTGCGTCTTGGTATCTAGGTTTAGGTCCAAGTTATATTGCCGAGCAATCTTCTCTGCTCGAGCGTGAAGATTTGCCAGTTGCAGGAAAGGGCTGTTGTGCTCTGCAGCTCGTGTTGCCGACAGACGAGCTGCCGATTCGTTCCACCTCTGCTCTGCCAGTGCTGCCTCGTATTCCTTCTGGCCAGTCGAGGTTGGCGCGCCGGGTTGGTTGCCCGGGCCTGCGCCATAAAACGATCCACGGTTGCCAGGCGCATTGGCGGGGAAGCCCGTCCTTGAGTCCTGGCCGAAGGACCCGGCATAGTACTCAGCAAGCGCGTTCTCCTCCTCACGAATATCAACTCCTGTGCCCAGCAGACTGTCCGTCACTTCATATTCGTATGTTCGTTGCGGTCGGTCTTTCGCTGGTGGCGGACCCATTGCGCCGGTGGCATTTTGGTGGGCCCCGGTCGGTGCGAAGCCTGCATTGACATACTGCGCGGCGCCAGGAGTTCCCGGGGTGCCCGGAACTGGTGTCGACGGGCCACTCATGGTCGGTGTAGGCGGTTGGTTTGGGTGAGCGTACTGCGCGTTCCCATTCGTGTAAGCTTGTCGGCCATATTGTTGCTGAGGGTGTTGGGCTTGCGCCGGGGCCGGCGAGGGCGCCGTGGGCGTGGGCGTAGGCGCAGGAGAGTGCAGCGGGGCCGGCGGTGCAGAAGGGGCGGGTTGTATGACGGCATAGGAAGGCGACGTTGCCGTGGGCGTGCCTATGTTTGGACTGTGGGGATACGATGGCGACTGGGCATATGGCGACGATGGGCCGGACTGCGGACCTGGTGAGAAGGGCACGGGCACTGGCGATTGTGGTATATGTGTCGGTCTCTTGGTCCCCAAGTTTTGGGAGGACGGAAGCGCAAAGGGAGGTTGAGTTTGTGCTGGTTGCGCCGGAGAGTAAGTCCTGCCAGGCACCTGCTGAGATACCTGCTGAGGCATCTGTTGGGTTGGCTGAGCCATGGCAACCGTGATCTGCTGTCAACCGTCTGAAACAAAATTAACGGCCACGGTTCTGTATGAGTATGTCGGCCGGGAACTGGCGAAAGCTGTGGCTGGGGCGTGGTGGAGTCGGCGCCCGTCCTTTGTGGTGTTTTCGCGATGCTGCGGACTGAGGCAATAGCCTGCCTAGCCCTTGAAACTCCCGGCACCACCGCCCATCCGAGGAGTCTGGGTCCCTGGAACTGATCTATACGATAATTTCCAGGTTCTTAGATGGACCGATGGTGTGTGCGATGGACGCGATGGACTGCAAGGCTGTGGTACGTCGGTGAGCTGGGTCACTCCATCAGGTTGGTGATGGGTGGAAGTTGCTCGCCTCCGCTTTGGAAAGCTCCTCGACTTCGGCAGATTTGATCACGTGGGGAGAACAGGCGGTAGAGGCAGTCAATGTCACTAGGTACCATGGCACTCCGCAGTGAAGCCTGACGCGTTGTGGTCCGTGCACTGGACTGGTGCTGCTGCTGCTGCCCCAAGCTGCTGACCAGGCAGTCTTCGAACCCCCTTCATGTCACAAGAATACATGGACTAGAGACCTTTTCACCAGCCGACTCTCCCTTTCTCTCTCATTCCAGTAACATTTGTAGAGCCTTCCAGGTCCTTTTGGACCAATCCAAAGCAACAGATTAACCGATTGTCACAGGTAATCATTCAAAAAAGACATGATCCCAAATTTAATCGGGAATACGTCTTGAGTGGTTCCAAGTCGATGCCAGTCAGAGGGTGGATTGCTGCTGGCCCTCAGCCCATCTCCCTCGGAGCAGGTTCTTGTTAGGAAAGACCCATCATCATGGCGTCCAAGCGCAAAGCCTCGGCGATGGCCAATGCAGCTGCCGAGGAGCCTGTTGACCCAGCCGATGAGCTCAAGTTTCTCTGCCTGGGTGGAGGAAATGAAGTCGGCCGGTCCTGCCATATCATCCAGTACAAGGGCAAAACTGTCATGGTGAGTATCAGCGTCTTATTGATTCTCAAAATGCCCAGTGATGCTAACCCCCCGCTGCAGCTTGACGCCGGGCAGCATCCAGCGTACGATGGGCTTTCTGCGCTGCCGTTCTTCGATATCTTCGATCTGAGCACCGTGGACGTACTCCTCATCAGCCAGTAAGTTATCTGAATCCCCTTGGAAGCGGGCGGGCTCGCGTTTAGGTGGATTCCCTTGGGCTTGGGCCGGGATTATCGCGCGCTGCTTCCGTCTCCGTGGGCGCCGTGGCTGCCATGGCACCGCCGCTTCTTCGTCACGTCTATCAGTGTATCCAGAGATCAATACAATCTACAACAATTTGCCAACCCTTGCCACATCTGTATCGAGCCCTCAGCGTCGTGATCCCACGCCCCGTCCCCTCCCCCGGTGGTAGATAGACAGCTCACCGTGCCACCGCGCCACTTGGCCTGATCGGTCAGACAACGTACTGACCACGAACCAGTTTCCACGTGGACCATGCTGCCTCGTTGCCATATGTCCTCGCCAAGACCAACTTCAAGGGCCGGGTGTTCATGACACACCCCACAAAGGCAATTTACAGATGGCTCATCCAAGACAGCGTGCGCGTCGGCAACGCGTCGTCCAACGAGTCCTCGCAGCCGGTGTATACCGAGCAAGACCACGCGAATACCTTTCCCATGATCGAGGCTATCGATTACTATACTACTCATACCATATCCTCCATCCGAATCACACCTTACCCGGCAGGTCACGTCCTGGGCGCTGCCATGTTCCTCATCGAAATTGCGGGGCTCAACATCTTTTTCACTGGCGACTATTCAAGAGAGCACGATCGACATCTTGTCTCGGCCGAAGTCCCACGAGGCGTCAAGATTGACGTACTGATCACCGAGTCCACGTACGGTGTGGCCTCACACGTGCCGCGTCTCGAGAGAGAACAGGCCCTGATGAAGTCCATCACGGGCATTCTGAACCGCGGTGGGCGCGCCTTGCTGCCGGTATTCGCGCTCGGCCGGGCCCAAGAATTGCTTTTGATTCTTGACGAGTACTGGGCCAAGCATCCCGAGTTTCAGAAGATCCCTATATACTATGCCAGTAACCTGGCCCGGAAGTGCATGGTGGTATACCAGACATACATTGGAGCCATGAATGACAACATCAAGCGCCTGTTCAGAGAACGCATGGCTGAGGCTGAGGTGACTGGGGATGGAGCGGGCAAGGGCGGCCCATGGGATTTCAAGTACATCCGGTCACTGAAGAGCCTTGACCGTTTCGAAGATGTCGGCAGTTGTGTTATGCTTGCCAGTCCTGGTATGCTCCAAAGTGGTGTGAGCAGAGAACTCCTCGAGAGGTGGGCTCCGAGCGATAAGAATGGTGTCATTATCACCGGCTACAGCGTCGAGGGCACCATGGCCAGGCATATAATGCAGGAGCCCGAGCAGATTCAGGCTGTCGTCACCAGGAATGCCGCCGCCGCTCGCAGGGCTCCTGGAGGTGACGCAGAGAAGGTGATGATTCCACGGAGATGCAGTGTCCAGGAGTACTCTTTTGCTGCGCATGTCGACGGCAACGAGAACAGGGAGTTTATCGAGGAGGTTGCCGCACCAGTGGTGGTAAGTCAACGCAACATGCAGTCTTCGTCTGAACCCCGCCTGACATCCATCAGATCCTTGTGCACGGAGAACAGCACAACATGATGCGCCTGAAATCCAAACTTCTTTCTCTCAACAGCAATAAAACCGTCAAGGTTAAGGTCTACAGCCCCAAGAATATGGATGAGCTCCGCATCCCGTTCAAGCAGGACAAGATCGCCAAGGTTGTCGGAAAACTCGCGTCGATTCCCCCACCCACTCAACTCCCAACTCCCGAGGACGATACCCAGCTTGTCACAGGTGTCCTTGTTCAGAACGATTTCAAGCTATCGTTGATGGCCCCAGAGGACCTACGAGAGTACGCCGGTCTCACCACCACAACCATGACTTGCAAGGAGCGAATCCGTCTCAGCGCGGCGGGCATCGATTTAATCAAGTGGGGTCTCGAGGGCACGTTTGGCAAGATCGAGGAGCTACCAGAGATGAAGCATGATTCGGAGAAGAGCAACGGCGATTCCTCCAATGGTGACTTTGAGCCTGCCGACGAGGAAATCAATCAGGTCGTTGCAGCCTACCGTGTCATGGGCTGTGTGGCAGTCCGCTACCGTAGTAACGGCGAGGTTGAGCTGGAGTGGGAAGGCAACCTGTTGAACGATGGCATTGCAGACTCCGTTCTCAGCGTCCTGTTGTCAGTCGAGAGCAGCCCGGCAGCCGTCAAGCGGTCCGCGCAGAAACACTCCCACTCGCATGACCATGACCACGCCGAGCTCCCACCGCGCAATCCACACGCCAACCTAACACCCGAAGAGCGCCTTGAGCGGCTGTTCATGTTCCTCGAGGCCCAGTTTGGAGCAGACAACGTGTCGCCCATCGAGGAGCCAAAGCTTCCCCCGTTGCCCAAGGACACGAAGAAGAAGGAGCTCACGGGGGCCGGCGGCGGGGACGCCTCCATGAAGGATGCTCCGGATGGCGAGGGCAAGGAGGAGGAGGACGAGGACGACGAAGAAAGGGAGATCGAGGCGCGCAAGAAGGCGGAGCTAGAGCGGCTTCACCGACTCGGCATTCCCGTCCCCGGCGTGGCGATCAAGGTCGATAAGATGGCAGCAAAGGTCTGGTTGGAGGATCTGGAGGTGGAGTGCGGTCACAAGGCGTTTGCAGATCGCGTGCGTAGTGTGGTCGACCGCGCTATCGAGATCACCGCACCGCTGTGGGCTTAGGCAGACAGCAGCGCAGGAGAAGGCCTGATATTATACCGAGTCTTCAAGTACGGGGAACGATCCAACGCCCCGCCCGCCCCATATACGAAAGAAGACCATGAACCCGAAAAAGTCCTGGCGGAAACAGAGTAGGCATCAGAGTACTATGACACAGGTAGAATGCAGTCAAAATCTCTACGCGGATATTTCCCAGAGGCAAGCTTATGTTTTAGCATTGATTCATTGCTGGCAAACATCTTCCCTTGTAGATCTAGCAGGGCCCCCTAGAGGGATGTCTGCTCCCAGTCCATAGGCTTCGCAGCCGCATATCTGCTTTTAACGGCGTAAGTGCTGGCCCCTGTCTCTCCCGTGTGGTCTGCGTCTGCACAATGGGCAAACCCAAGCATTCTCCCACCGAGATCGGGGCTTGGACGCACGTCGACCGGTAGCTCCAGACATATTTGAGTCCTTGTCAAGCCGGAGACACCAAGTAAGGATACAATTCGCCGTCAGAGTCCTCATGCCTTGCCCTTGCCCTTCTTGTCCTTCTTTTTCTTCCCGGCCCCGTCCTCGCTCGCATTGCCGCTGCCGCCTCCTCCGGCGCCCGCTCCAGCCAGCAGGCTCGCCATGTCACCACCGCCCTGCATCTCCTTCATCATGTCCTTGAACAAGTTCTCACTCACACCGCCGCCGGTCATGGCAGGGCTGTAATAAGGCAGGAACTCGCCGATCTTCCACCCGCGGGGCACGGCAGGCTTTGGGTAAGGCTTCGACCGGTCCGGTGCCGGTGCGCCGGGGACGCGCTCCCAGAGGGCCTGGCTGCGGTCGTTGGTGGGGTTGTTGCGCAGGTGCTGGGCGATGAGGAGGTACAGCTGGTGCTTGTTCTTGACGCCGGAGGCGTTGGAGGGCTGGATTGTGCGGCCGTCGCGCACGATGGGCTTGAGCTGGACCTTGATGCGGCCCGGGTTCGCCCAGTCCTTGGGGTGCATCTTCTCGGGCTCGAAGAGGGTCTGCAGGCGCAGGTCGCGGCAGGCGTTGATGATCTCGCGGGCGAGCGGGTTGGCGACGGCCAGCTCCTTGGGGATGCGGCGGCCCTCGGCGCGCGTGCGGGCGGCGTCGAAGTAGAGCGGGTACAGGCACTGGAAGCCCGCGTAGGCCTTTTGGTTGGCCGTGGTCTGGAAGTCGTCGCCGTGGCCCGGCCCTCTCGAGAGCGAGGGTATTTGTGACGGGTTCATGAGGTGGGAGGATGCTGCTGCTGCTGCTGCCGCCGGCGCCTGCTTCTTGTCGGTGCGCGCGCGAATGATGTCGGACTCGACAAAGTCGTCGATGTCGCCCTCCGAGGGGTCGGACATTTCGACGTCGCTCTCCTCCACCTCCTCTATTCTCGGGTGCGACATGTTGGGCTGGTTGTCTGTGGAGTGGGGGAGTGGTTGGGCGGTAGTCCGAGGCGTAGGACTTGGTTGTCGACGTGGAGGGTCTATGGTGGGGCTCCATCCCGACAATTCGTTTTACACACTTGGTTCGGCTCAGTGACAAGGGTAGCTAGCTACCTAGGTACCTAGGTACCTAGGTAGCTTCCGTCAAGCAGCCACTCGCAGCCGGCCCAGGGCCCACTGTCCGCGGGCCTACACTACCAGTCCACGCGGGGTGGGGTGCGTGGGTTGGGGGACCTGGCCCCCATGAGTCGACATTTCATGATCACACTTTCGAGCCTGAGTCCCTTTTGGGAACACACAACCTGGGCGAAGCCGTAATATCACATGCAATATAACCGTAACACCGCCACACCTCCCAAACACATGCATGATGCCTACTTGGAAATAATTCTATGGACTGCCTCAAGGTCCCCTTAGGGGGCGATGGTCTAGAGGAATAAGAAGTTCACTTATAGGCTACTCTAATAGAGGTCCCATCTTAGGTGGCTGTCCTTAACAAGGTCGGGAAGTTGCCTTGTGGGAGTTTATCCAGCACGGCATTGCCCTGTGGGAATTCCCGTGCGAGAGATGCCGTGGCTATGTAGCGGACGGCCGAGTACGGCTCATTAACGCTGATATCGACATCAGTATGTGCCAAACGGCCGTGCGCCGACTTGTCATCTGATATCCAAATGCTTGAACAGGCACACCGAGGCAACGGGAGTATAATTTATTGGGAGTGGCTTGCTAAAAAGACCGATTGCGTTGATGAGAGGGCACAGGCCCCACCCACTCCCACCATGTAGTCCACAGAAGGCAATACTGGTAGCGTGGATACTACTGTTTAGAGAAACTCACCGAGCGCCCATAAGTCCTATTCTTGACCACCCTTGCTTATATTTCATCGGACCATTGATATGTCTGCCTGAACTTGGTGCCGGGTGGGTGCTCGAACGGCTTGAACTTGCAGTAAGGATGCGTGCACGCTCCATCCCGAGTGCTGGGGCACTGTATATACGTGTCAGCTCATGTCGTGACAATACTGCACCACCGAGTTGTCCCCGAGTTGTCCCCGTCTGCCCTTGGACAACTTTGCGTAGGAACACCTGTTGGATAGCCTCCTGGCCGCCTCCTATGAGACAGCCTCGTGTGAGACAGACTTATAAAGAACAGCCGGACTTACATGATGACCATAAATGCAATCGTCAACCTCACAGTCCTGGCCATTGGTGCAGGGATTCAGGCGGGCCAGGAAGGCTATGGCGGTTCTCTCCGCCTCGTTTGGTCGATATTTGTGTTCAAAACAGCACGAGTCGCCCTTAGCACAAGGACCTCGCAGGTAATGGTTATTGCAAAGTTTGTTGTTATCCTTTCGTTTCTTGATGTTGTCCAAAGCGGCCTGGTTGACCTCCAATGGCGGGTCCAGTCCCCTCAGGCCCGGATTCCAAACAGGCGCCTTCTCACGCCGCACAACTGGGGGCTTGACTGGCTTCGGCTGAAAAGGTAGGGTTACTTGCGGCGGCGGACTCGCACTCTTGATAGCAGTGGCATAAGAGGACGCAACGCCCGCAGTAACACTTACTGGGGTTGCCGAGGGAGGCGGCAGCGGAGACATACCCGCCACGACGGCAACTGGGGAGGACATGACCGACGGCGGTGTTGCATCTCGGAGAGTCTTGTCGACAAGCTTTTCGGCGCGAAACAAATCGCCATTCAGGTCCAACGTGTTGAGGTTCTTGGAGGCAAGGTCCCGCGTTGAGGGGACGCCTTCTAGAATTGTGATGCGCCGCCGGCTTGGTTCGTCTCGAAGAATTTCATCCAAAAATGAGGCATAACCAGCGTCATGTGACACCCCGAGTACTATTTGCTTGCAGTTGAAATTGCGCAGGTTCCACCTGATCGCCTCTGCGGGGGTCTGTCAGTACTCGACCCGCGAGGTGGGTGACCCGGGTCTTGAACTTGCCTTTTATTTTCGTATCTGCTCTCTCTTTTCCGTAGCCAATATCAATAAAATCAAAAGAAGCCATTCCCTGGCTCAGTCCTATGGTGAACTCCTTCAACCTGGTTTCGTGATCTAAAGAGCCGTCGTTCTTCATTGCTTTTGCGAGGCCGTTGAGGTTCGCAACGACCCTGGCTATGACTTCAATGTCGCCGGCAAGGGCATGGCATTCCTTCAAAATTGCAGTGCGAAGGGCGTAGGCGGCCTGCTTCCCGCCTTCAATACCCCTGTTGATGTACTCTTGTTTGAACTGGCCAAGAAAAAGTCAGCGGGCTGGACAGTGGCCGGCAGTGGCATGGAGGGCAACTTGCATGGCAACCGTCGCCGTCAATAAGGATGAGAACGTAAGGATTGTAATTCTGTACTTCATCAGCACAACACCGGCAATTGGACGTAGGCATCTATCTACCTTTAAATGATCAACGTTGTTGGACATGAAATGTATCTGCTGCTCGAGCTCTTTTACATGCTGCTGCAACTCGCGCCTAGACTTGGTAGCATCTGCGAGATCGAGGTTCGCATCACTGATCTGCGAGCGGAGATGCGAGTTCTCCTGCCGCAGGCTGGACTCAACATGTTCGCAATAGACGAGAAGGTCCTGGGCAAGGGGCCACGGTTAGTAGAACACGACACGGGCGGGACTCGAGGGGATCGAGAGGCCGGGGCCGGGGCCGAGGGCGAGGGCGAGAGAAGCCACGATGCGATAAAAACCCGGGAATAGTCAAGGGTGATTGCCCCCATGAGGTAAAGGAAAGGGCACGAGACATGACAACAGGACCGGCGCAGTGGACATGTAGCTTACCTTGATTAGCTCGTCACTCGTATCGCGCTGGGCATGGATCTGCTGAAATCTCTGGACAAAGTCCATAAGGTTGCCGCCATCCATTGTCTTGCGGTCCATGAGACTGCCGTGCAATCACTAAGCCAAGTGATCGTGACGGGAGGAGTGGAAGGGTCGGGTCGGGTTGGAGCAAGGTTGGAAAGGCACATGTGGTGGGCGGGGAGTACTTTTCCTCACGGCGTGCCTGCGAGCCTGCAAGATAGGTAGGACGGTGTGTCTCACGCGGCTGAAGTAGAAAAAGTCGCCAGTTGTGCTCTCATTGAGGGGGCCAGAAGTTTTTGCGTGTTTCTGCCTCAGGGCTGGAGAGGAGAGGAGAAAGGCTCAGTGCCGGCTGCACCGCGACAACAGCTGCACATGCAATGCAGACAGAGATGGGTGCCAGAGCAGTGTTTGAGTGTGGATGGATATCCGACCTTTTGTAGACAGACCCTACGTAGCACAAGGCGAGAACGTAGCATGTAGCCCCAGTACGGAGTACCTAGGTAGTCTGCCAGAGGGCCTAATACAATGTGCGCAGTAATAAAAGTCAAGTGCAGCGCAGCGCCTGGGAGTTGGAAGATGGGAATTGGAAGCGAGAGGAATCGCCGTCCACGGTTCATAAATTTTGTGGGGAGCTTCAGGCTTCAGGGAACCAGGATCGAATGCGACGTTGGTGGACAAAATTCTGGGCGGCATGGGGTACAAGTACCTGGTAGTTCTGCAGCGTGTGGGCATGCCTGGCGGCAGCAGCAAGTACCTACCTGGGTACCTAGGTAGGTAGGTAGGTACCGTACCGAGTCTGGGAGGGCCCACGACCGGGAGCAAGCCACCCAACGGGGAAGCAAGGAAAGAGAAGCGAAGGGGCGGCGTGTGAGCTGGCAGGCTGGCCGGTCCAGCCTGCACTGCGCACCTGGCTCTTCGTACTGCATGCTGACTACATGACTGCGGGCTGTGCGGTTACCACAGTAGACGGGATGCATAATAATAAGCACGGGGAGAGGATTGATTACCTAGACTAAGTAGATTACCTTTTCTTGTTCCCCAGCATTCTCCCAGTCTCCTTGGACCGGGGTTCCTCTCTGCCACCTGAGCAGGGCACAAGCCTTCGAGATCAGGCTTGCCGTTGCATCGAGACGAACACAGTTTTGTGCCTTTCCCGCGCCATTGCATATGCCACTCGCTCGGCCACTTACTTCTCAGCCTGCTTGCCGCCCCACCCTTCATACGACCTGGGCTCATCCAGCCTGCACGACTCTCTGCGGTGCCAGTCTGATATCTCAATGCAAGCCTACCGTCAGTCCTCAATGCTCAGTCCTCAACCCTCAGTCTCAGTCCTGAGTCGTCAATCGTGATCCCTCACTTTTCTCAATCAGTCCTCCGCCATCCCCGTCCAATAAGCCCCTCCTTTCGTGCTCCGCCCAATGCGCCACAGCTACTGTTATCACTCATACATCAGAACACTTCCCTAGTCGAAGGTCGTGCGACCCAAGGTGTGCCCCCTATGGCTTGAAGAACAGCCAATAGGACACGCCTCGCTCGGTCAAGGGTGAGGGGCTTCAAGCTTTCACGCCCGGCCGAGTCCCTCTTTGCGGGCGGCTAATAACTGTCGACTGCTGCGGGCTAGGTACCCATGCATTGGCAGTCTGACATTGGACTTGGCACGCATGCTTTTTTCCTTTCTCTGTTCCACCCTCTCACTGCCGACCGTCCGTCCGGTGCTGTGCTTCTCCAGGACCACCTCCAGGACCACCAAGATACATTGTGTGCATGTACGAAATCTACGGTAGACCATGTTTGGATTTATTAGACTGCCTGACTGCGCGAAGCGAAGCGGTTCGTGCTAGCCGACCTTCGGCTTCGCAAGCTTTCCCCCTGTCTGGCCTTCCACTTTGGCCCCCTCTGGCCCCTGCGTCTCTCTGGCCCCCCCCCCGGGGGGCCTGGTTTTGCACCGCCCTGATACGTACCTGCGTAGTATTGCTCATAGCTCAGAAAGAAGATGGATATTGATTCAGTAGATTCCAGACACTGTCGTTCCCAAAGTCACCCCCAAAAAGCCAAGGCTGTGACTGTGACTCCCCTGCTCCGTCAGGAACATCGTTCAGCAGCGGCGTCCCTCCGGCCCAGTTTGGCAACGAGGAGGTGGTTTCCCCAACGCTGCTGCTAATCCCCATGAGATCATTGTATGCAATGTCAGCCATCGCATACACGGGCTGGATTGAGCTCCAGTGGAACCCCTCGGGCAGCGTCCAGTCGCTCGCTGCCATGCCCGAGAGCCCAGGGTCGATGGGCGTAGCCCCTGATGGGCCTGACACAGGGCCGAACGGGTCGCCCGAACCGCCAGAAGCCGTGGAGGCAGCAGGTGTGGGGAGGCTCGTCTTGCTGCTGTCGCCGCCGCCCGTCATCGTGGAGAATGGGGACATTGTTTCGCTATTCGTGGTCGATGTGGCCGATGTGGCCGACTGTTGAGCGGGTTGCTCGAGGCTGACTCCATCCACCTTTTGTGTGCCTTTGAGAGCGCTCTTGAGCCGGGTGTGCACGGCCTTGAGAACGTTCCGGGCCGCTGCGGCGAGCTTGTTCCTCTCGGACATCGTTTCAAATCGCTCCATGGCCCACTGGAAATGTTGGAGCGCCGTAGAGACGTACTCGACGTTCTCCTTTGGGAAGAGTATGAATATGCTCGCCATGAGCACGACCGCATCGAATGTCCCAAAGAACAAAGTGAACCTGCCGTGGGTATAAATTGTGAGAAGAGAACGGCAACAGGTCTCGACAGTGTAGCTTGGCCGGACAATCACTTACGCCTTGTAATGCTTTGGCCCTATGGTCGCAAAATGGTCCCTCTGGGCGTTCAGCATATCCAAGCTTGCCTTGAGCGCTTCCTTCCGACTGTGTGGCCTCGTGAAAACATATGGTCTGTGGAGGGCCATCTTGTTAAATGTCAAAAGGAGGGGCACAGTGCCTCGAACCAAAGGCACCCAGAAGCACTCCGGCAGGTCATCCCACCTCGTGTCCGGGTTCTCGGTGCGGAAGAACGCCGGCGTCTCTGGTGCGAGTTAGTATCATACCAAGAAGCCTTCACTGACGTCCGTGGAACAGGTCGAACATGTCGAGACAGGGAGGTGTGAAAGAAGACTTGAACTGACCGGCTTCTAGCCTCTCAAGACTCTCGTGAACCTTATCCACCTTGTCAAAGTCCTTTGGACATGGTCCGTCCTTCTCCAGGTCGATAATGTCTCTCAGAGCCATCGTGGTGCGGTACACCCACAACGTTCTCGTCAAAGGAGACGGAGGATCTTGATCTGACCGCAAAGTGACGGGTACTTTGGTGGGATCTTTTGGCGTTGGCGCGTCTAAAGGCAGTGCATACCTGGTGGTCGTGTCGATGCTCGTCGGTCGACCGAGGACGATAGCTGTGTGGACATCCCAGCTCATAAGAATGATCCAGGTTTTCCGTCTTCGTTGTATCTCCCATTCGTTCTCCAGAACATCCTCTAGCTTGTCGCTCTTTGGCTTAGGATCGAGGGTGGTACGGTGAAGCCCGCATTCTTGTCCGTCTCTTATCGCAGATCCAATAGCGTGCCTGGAGATATGTCAGTGAGATTCTCATGAAACTTCTCTTAATCATCTATCGTCCACGGATCAAACACGTTGCCGTTTATACAACTTGCTGGAGAGCAAGAGCATTGCACAGGGATAAAATGTCAGATGGTCCAAGTAATGATGGCCGGCACGCGCGCGAGAACTTAAACCACGGGCATTACGATGGCGAGGGCGCAGAACTGTACTGACCATGCCTCTGTGACGAGTCCAGAATACTTCAAAAACGCAGCTCTGACAAACCCAGCTACGACCGCAGTGTGAGAAACCTGTCGCTTGCCCAGCATCGATATGATAGCGACACCAGATTCGGAGTAATCAAGGGCCAAGTCCTCAAAGGTCATACTTCCTGCATATTTCAATGAATCGAACAGAGGGTCTGGGCCCGGGGGAAGATTCAGAAGGGCAGTGGCAATCATCTGGAACACAAGAGCTGGGAAGGCCCTTAGATCAGGCGGGAGAGCTTGCGGGCCCTCCGTATTCAGCACACTGAAGGGCAGGCTATACCATTCGGCCATTTGTTTGTTGAACACCCACTGATCAACGCCCTAAAACGGTTCAGCACGCCTTGTGTTACCGGAATGGTTGCACATAAACTCACATTATACTGCCAGTTGAAGTCCTTGAAGTACATATCCACGAGCTTTTCAATATATGACCTCGCCGGCAGTTGGCGGATGAGGCTTTTGTACCTCTCCCTCATTCCGAAGTGTTCACCACTGCTCTGGCGGCCCATGGCCATGCTGGACAGCGAGGACTCATCCGCGTTGTTCCCGTCAATCTTGCTCAGGAAACCCAAGGTCGATGACGACGAGCCCGTTGTCGAATATCCAAAGTTTGTTAGCTTATCTGACATGCCAGGCCCAGCCGCGCCTTCGGCTTTGAAACGAGGGTCCCCCAAATGGCTGCCACTGCGAGGGAGATGGTCGTCACCCTGCGTGTTCTGCAGACCCTTGGCAGTGGGTGCTCCGGCCTCATAGCGGCATGAGTCCTGCTTGTTCCGAGATACGCAATTCGCACATGGCAAGCCCCTGTCGCACTTTTGTTTTCTGCGGTGGCATTCCGTACAGGAAATAATCAGGCGCCTTCTCTTCCTGGGCGGAGGCCTTGCGGGGCCGGGGTCAATCTCGTGCTGCTCAGGACCTGCGGATGAAGGGGTCGAAGCCGGAGAAATTTCGTCTTCGGCTGCCATCCTGCCCCAGGTTGGCCACTGGGGAGTGCGTATGAGTCGCAAGCAATCTGAATTGAATAGCCGGGGCTGGAAAGGTGGTGCAGGTCAAGGGAATAGGAAGGTGAAGTATGGAGGTTCCGGGTTTAGTCAGCTTAGCTTCGGGGCTTAAGTCCAGTAACTCCGGCACGTTTTGGCAGGGAAATAGCGGCCATCTTCCAGCCTCGATTTACATCTGACCCGACTCCACGGAGCTGTGTAGCCGCCTGTTTAGGTACCTGGGTACCTAGGCAAGTACTTGATGCTTGAGCACTTATATGCAAGACCTTTGTCGTTCTCGAGATTGTTAGATGCTACGCTAAAGGTACATTCTATGATACATTGAAACAAGCGCATTCAAACTACTTAACCCAGATATTCTTTCAACTCCTCGGACTCCTCCAACATGTTCTTGAAGGAGAACGGCGCAAAGGGCCAACCGTTGAATTCGGCAAACTTGGAGAATGACTCGACCCAGGCCAATCTGAGCGAGTGAAGCATAGCGGACACTCCCTCCATGATGATGAGAATGATGACGCTGAGAAGCAGGAACGCAGCAAAGAAGATGACGATGGCGATCACCCCCATGACACCAGACATTCCCAGAGCTGGCCCAATGGTCATGGACCAGAGCACTGCACTTAGCTGCTGGTGAGCCAGAGACAACGCCCAAAGACGCAGGTATGAAGCCGTGTGGGAAACACAGTTCAGGCAAAATTCTATGCGCGGTCAGTAATTACGAAATCTGAAGCGGTATGAGAAGGCATCTTACCGATGGTGTGAATGACCTGGTGGATCATGACCTCACTGAACTCGAATTCCTCGTGCTCTTCCTCGTCGATGTTCTGCGTGATCATGGCAACACCTTCATCATCGCTGTTGATGCTGGGTCTTCCGTTGATCGCATGGCCGTTGTCATCCTCATCATCGCCGTCTAAAGCGCTGACGCGTTGCGTCTCTCCAAGACCGCGGTAACCGTGGGCTCGAGCCTTGTTGTGCTCCCAGCGAAGGTAAAAGGGCTTGAAGAACAGAAGGATCGGGACCTGAACCACCGCCAGGAGCAGCAGCAAGACCTGGACTGTGGCCTGCCCAGGGTAAAGCTGCTCGTCTAGCGTGCCAGGCTGCAAGAACATGTAGATCAACATGTTCAGCAGTCCGGGAGGCTGTTGCCCGATGGCGACCCAGTCCACCGTCCACTTGTAGATGATGCAGACAACCAGATATCCGAAAATGGCCTGGAAGAAGATCATCCCGGGGATAAAGTTTCCCAGGATGTCAACCGGCTTCTTGAAGTGCTTCGCGTTGATGTAGGAGAAGCAGAGCGAGTACGTCATGTGGGCCCAACCGAGAATGATACTCATTTTCATCTTGTAACTGTTGGAGAATAGTAGATCGTTGTCGGTTCCGTGCCACATCCAATCAAGGCCGAAAGGATAGCGGTAGTCGCCCTTGAGCTTGGCGCTGATTTGCTGGCCTTCGACAAAGTTCTCCGGAGGGTCCCACTCCCACTGGCTGGGGAACAGGGTCATAGACTTCGAGAAGACGTCGTTGTAGATCAGGCCCGTGAACACAGAGAAGACAGCCATGACGAGAGCGATGTAGCGACCATAGTAAACCATTGCGAACAGTTCGAAAGTAACCTTCTTGAGCGGCTTTTCCCAGTAGATCATGGCCAGGGCAGCGCACAACATGATGCAGGCGTGGCCGAAGTCACCAAACATGACGGCGAAGAGGAAAGGGAACGTGACGATGACAGGGATGGCCGGGTTGACCTCCTGGTAAGTGGCGGTACCGTAGGCATTGACTATGGTCTGGAATGCCTCGGTGAACTTGTTGGTCTTCAAGTAGGTTGGCGGGGTCTTGTTGGTGTGGATGACATTGATGATGGACGGGACTGATAGACCAGCCCGGTTGTTCACGTCCTGAAGTGTCGACCTGATGAGCGGCAGGTCATTGGTAGGAGACCATCCCTCGGCAATCAGGGTGCGCCGTGCTCTGTCGTAGGAGAACAGGTTCAGTGTGTTGTAGACGGACTTTTCCTTGTTGACCAAAACCATCCAAGCCGACAACGACCGCGAAATCTGGGTCAGCTCGGCGTTGAGAGTCTGCTGGGTGTTCTGCAACACATTCTGGACGTCGTTGAGTCGAGCGTTAACCTCGTGGATCTGGTCCCTGCGGAGGTCGCTGTTCTCATCGACGTTGTACACCTCGGCACCCATAGACTCGGAGATCTTCCGGATCTTGGCTAGGATCTCCTTTCCGTGTGCAAAGATGACGAAGACGTTCTTGTTGACCGGCTCGTTGTTACTGGGGTCGATCAAAGGCTCGGGAATCTCTGACTGGTTCATGTACAAGTTGCCGCGCAGGGTACGCCACAGAATACGCTCAAAAGCTGCGACACGCTCCCTAGAGATCACACCAGCAACAAAGCCGATGTTCAAGCCCGAAAAGGACCGCTCGACGTCAAGAGCCGAGTTGTTCTGCTCGACATCTTGCAGGAGAGGCGCGTCATCCTCGTCGGTAGAGGCTCTGATCTCTTCGACGTTGCCGTGGGCACGATCGAAGAAGCCGCCAGCCTCGCGCAGGACCCAACGCCACTCGGTCAGTTCAACCTCGCGCTTCTTGAGGGTCTCGTAGCTATCGTTGAGCTGGAAGATGCGGTTCTCCAGGCCCTGGCTTCGCTCGGCGAGCTCGTCAATCTCAGTGGTGGTTGGGGCGGCAAGGGTCTCCATGTCGAGGTCCAGCTTCCTCAAGGGGATTCCGGTCTTCTCCATCTGGGCGTAGAAGTATCGAAGTTGACGTTCAACGTTATCGAGTCGCCGAATCTCTTGGGTGAAAGCTCGCTGGAAGGCGCTGAGCTCTCCGTTCAACTGCATTCCGAGGCAGGTTAGTCGTGGGTGCCACGGGTAGGCTGTGGTGACCGAGTTGCGAAGGCAGGATCGAACTCACGTCTCGGAACTGAACGAGTCCCAGCTCGCCGAGGGCGTTGACGACCTCTCTTCCGATCTCATTGGAGATATACAGCTGCACCATGCTCATATCCGCAGAGCGGAACGGGGTGTCGCGTGTCGGAGCCATGGTGATGGTGTTGGTGTAGCTCACGACGAGCTCTCTCTTAGGTGTCGTCAGCGACTTGGGTGTACGGATGGAGCTTCCAACATCGTCAGCCACTTGCTAAAATTGGCTCTCGGAGACGGCACTAGACAGATGACTAAGCCTGACGGCCGGCAGCAATGGACCACCGACTCCACTCTGCCTGTGTGAGTTCAGACGCGAAGCAAACAACCAACGAAATGTTGGATGCATACCTACTTAGGTATCTTATATAAAGTCAAACAGGGCCTTCTGTCTCCTAGACCTGCCCAAATCGTGCTGTTGTACCCGTTTTTCTTTTCCGGTGAAGGGTCTTGTGAACCCTTGAGGTCAGTAGCTTGCCCCATACAAGACGACTCACCGGATCCTGGATTCTTCTTCTATGACAATTCTACGGACCAGCACAAGAGAGACAAAAAAGGCACGAAAAAAAAGGATCAAATTCTTATTTCAGTTCTCTCATCTTTAAGCTGTCACATCTTGGTACTGGCCAGTATGTACGTGACACAGGCTGTTCGTAACTTACTCTCCCGATTTACGCCATGTGTCCAAGGTCGTGATGGAGGACTGCAGGCCATCATCGTTACTTCCCATTTGAATCGTTCACTCCACCAACCCTCCAAACTGTAAGGGGCCAGTGGCAAGCGAAGTCCACCATATAAGCGACGTAGCTCTACCTCGTCGCTAGAGCGGCTATTCGAGTAGTTTCCATCAGCATTCTCGACAGCATCCATTAGAAATCTTAGCCAGGCAAAACTGTTTCCTATGCTCGTCTACTTATACTGCATCCCTCCACGATCTACATTGCCCCATCCCAACCTAATGACGGGCCAGACTTGTCGATAGCGACAACATTGAACCGCTGATCACCCAGATGCGCCCCGATTTCGGTCTGCTAGACCGACCGGCTCGGGCACGACGGCCGGCAAGCACATGCTCTGAAGGGCGCACAGAGCCGGGTACCGTGCCGCGAACCGCCGCGCCGAAGTCAGTCCTGCCCTTGGCCTGCAGTAGTTCCTGGATTCAGAGCTGTCGACTGGCCCCAGCGCTCTGGGACAAGGCAGGTCAAGACCTGTTAGGAATAAGACTGCTCAAGACTGCTGGAATACACTAGGCACACAGTCAACCGCCGTGTGATTGGTCACCTGGGCATGTCATTGATATGCAGTGGTATAAGTCGACATGACCCACTCCCTGAGTTGCTTGTTATTGCCGCTTCAAATCGTGCAGTTTCCTTTTCAACCTTCAAAATTGTCTCATAGCATGACACTGGCCTTGAAATACTCGCACTTCATCCCAGGGTCCCTTCGAATTCCCTCATTGACCACGAAAACAACCTGCCTTCTCCGATTATTCCATTACGCATCTCGGTCGCGCGCTGTCGGGTGGACGTCTTCAACGGAGACCCAGCACCAGACCGTGGCTTTTGCTTCCATATAAACATGGACGGCTCATCATCACGAAGTCAAGTCGCACAAGAGCACCACTGTGAGGAGGAGGAGGAGGAGCAAAGCTGTCTTCTCGGCCCCGATGGCTATGACGGGTCATCCAACTCAGCAGGGTACCTCGTTCCTCCGAAGCCTGGTTCGGAGAAAGCAGTCGAAACCAAGAGTCAGCTTCTGAAGCCGATTGACCCATGGCAATCCTCTGCCACAGTTCATCCCGGGGACCTACGATCGAACCGGAATCTTAGGCCAGAAAATACAAGGAACAATACGGTGACCTCGAAAGTTCAGAAATTCTGGGAGAAGAATCGGAGTTGCATGTTGGTGGTGACTTCTTCCGTGTTCAGCTCAGCTATGGCTCTCTTCACCAAACTTCTGGAACTCGGTGATGACGGCATGGATGCATTCCAGATTCTTTTCATCCGGATGGGGGTGACGACCATCTGGTGTACGTCACTATTGTGCTTCAAAGGGAACCCTGATTCTCTGCTTGGGCCCAAGGAAGTGCGAGGACTGCTGCTCTTCAGAGGTATATCAGGCTTCTTTGGCATCTTGGGCATTTGGACTGCTATAAAGTTCCTCAGCCTCGCCGACGCATCTGTGGTGACTTTCTTGACTCCGACGATTGTTGGCTTCTATTCCGCAATCTTTCTCGGCCAGCCTTATACTCGTAAGGAACAGCTCGCATCCTTGGTAGCTTTGGCTGGGGTCGTTTTCATTGCTCGGCCTTCCTCTCTGTTCGGTACTCCCTCTCCCAGCAGTTCCTCATCGCCGGCCGCTGGTAGCGCATCACCCGTCCTAGGCGTGGCAGACGGCGGGCACCCCGTTTCACAACATTCTTCGGAGGGAGCTGACAGTACAGCCCTCCGCTTGACGGGGATATTGTTTGCACTGCTGAGCGCTTTTGGTGGTGCCGGGGCTTTCATTGCCATCCGAGCCATTGGTGACAGGTGTCAGGTGCTTACGACGACCAACTCCTTTGCTGTATGCTGCACCTTGATCAGCGCAACGGCACTGGCTATTGCTCCGCTGGTGGGGTACGATCAGCCTCACATCCGGTTTGGGCTTCCGCATGATCCCAGGCAGTGGTTTCTGGTGTCCATGATCACTGTTTGCGGCTTCCTAGCCCAGTGGTTTCTGACAGCAGGCCTAGGCAGTGAGAACAAGTCACATAAAGCACCGGCAATGGTTTATATGGGTATGTTGTGGACGACCGGGTTTGACCGCTTCTTTCTTGGACATAGTATGTACTGGACCAGTCTTTTAGGTTGTGCTCTGATAGTTGGAAGTGCTGTATGGGTGGTCGCAATGCCCAAGCCTGCGCCCACGACCAGCGCAGGCGCAGCTGGAGACTTGGAGAACTTTGCGGGCATGAGGGCCCCAGAGACGACTGCGACGGAGTCCGAACAAGCGCAAGAGTTAGTCCAGTTGCAGATTCTGCACCATCACTGAGAAGCAAATGAATCACGGACCTAGAAATTAGACACAGATCATCGCTTGTAATATCACCACAATGCATCCCACATGCTCAGGAACCAGGCAGAGTCATTGCGGATATTTGTGCCCACTTGCCTTCGTTCCAGACATACTGTGGGAGGTTGTCCTACAGGACTTCCTTTCAATTTAGTTCAGTAGGAGTTGGTTAGTGAGCATCCCCCTGGTGGTCTGCTACGTGGATGCTGTGGCCGCCAGGGCGAAGCCTGGCGAGGAGGTAGACGAGGGACAGCATGAGCCCAACGATAGAGCAAGTACGAGAGCGTTTGAGTTCTTATTCACTGGATGAGCCGGTGCTCTATTCAGATGGTGACCTGGGATACTTGTGTACTCTGGTCAGTGTTGTATTGGTGTGTCTGAGTAGGCGTCGTCCATTTCTGCATACACAGTATTAACCCTGCAAAGGCATAATCTGTCAGACTGTCGTAAGGCTGCGTACTTCAGTACCTAGGTACCTATAAAGGGAAGCTCGTGTCTTCAGGCGGCCCGTGCCTCCGCGCAGATCAGTCCAAAATTTGGCCGGGCTTGGAGCAACTCTGCAAGCTTCCAGCTTACTGCCCCAGTGCGCAACGGAGTGGACGTTCACCCCATACTACCATCCTGCCAGCCTCACTAGCTTTCTACATCACCAACATCACCAACAAACTTGTTCTGCTGCCATTTTTTGTCGATACTGGGTGCCACATAAGTCTGCATCGTCCTACTTCCCGCCTACCGCCACTTTCCCCCAGACATCTCGCGAGCAAGATGGTTCAAATAAGCGAGGTCAAAAACCAGGGTCGCGACAATCGCACCTCGGCGCACACGCACATCAAAGGCCTGGGCCTGACGCTCTCTGGCACCGCCGACAAGCAAGCTGCAGGATTTGTTGGTCAACAGACAGCGCGCGAGGTAAGACCTTCTACAACGCCCTGTCATCTCGATAGAGCTCCTCAACTGACCCTGCGACGCGACTCAAGGCATGCGGTGTCGTCGTCGATCTCATCAAAGCCCACAAGATGGCCGGCCGAGGCGTTCTGCTTGCAGGAGGACCTGGCACAGGCAAGACAGCCCTGGCTCTTGCCATCAGCCAAGAACTAGGAACCAAGATACCGTTCTGCCCCATCGTCGGAAGCGAAATCTACTCATCGGAAGTCAAGAAGACGGAGGTGCTCATGGAGAACTTCCGCAGAGCCATTGGTCTCAAGGTCCGCGAGACAAAAGAGGTTTACGAGGGTGAGGTCACGGAGCTCACACCAGAGGAGGCGGAGAACCCATTGGGCGGCTACGGCAAGACCATCAGCACGCTTCTGATCGGCCTCAAGAGCGCAAAGGGACAAAAGAAGCTGCGACTGGATCCAAGCATTTACGAGGCGATACAAAAGGAGCGAGTCACTGTCGGCGATGTCGTCTACATCGAGGCCAACACCGGAGCATGCAAACGCGTCGGTCGATCTGATGCCTACGCGACCGAGTTTGACCTGGAGGCCGAGGAATACGTCCCAATCCCCAAGGGCGAGGTGCACAAGAAGAAAGAAATCGTACAGGACGTGACATTGCATGATCTCGATGTGGCAAACGCGAGGCCGCAGGGTGGCCAGGACATCATGTCAATGATGGGCCAGCTAATGAAACCGAAGATGACCGAGATTACCGACAAGCTGAGGGGCGAGATCAACAAGGTTGTCAGCAAGTACATTGACCAGGGAGTTGCGGAACTGGTTTCTGGTGTCTTGTTCATTGACGAGGTGAATCCTGACTTCGCCCAGCTCCGTTTGCCCAGACGGCGACAATACGAGCCAATGCTGATTAAAATTACCCTAGGCTCACATGCTCGATGTCGAGTGTTTCACATACCTGAACAAGGCTCTGGAGTCGCCAATCTCACCAATCGTAGTGCTTGCATCAAATCGGGGCATGGCTACAATCCGTGGTACCGATGATATTGTCGCGGCTCACGGGATCCCTCCCGACTTTTTGGCCCGTCTGCTCATCATCCCCACCACACCCTACGACGCAGAGGAAATCCAACGGATTGTGCGGATCCGAAGCTCCACCGAGGGCGTCTCAATTACCGACGCGGCCATTGACAAGATTGCGGAACACGGGGTGCGGATCAGCCTGCGGTACTGTCTGCAGCTCCTGACGCCAGCAAGGTGAGTGGCCAATCGCAGATCCCAGACCTGCAGGGGACAGATTTTCAGCTAACAACAACAAAGCATCCTCGCACGAGTGAACGGTCGCGCTCAAATTGACGTCCAGGATGTTGCCGAATGCGAGGACCTGTTCCTCGACGCTCGGCGTAGCGCAGCCCTGCTCAGCAGTGAGACAGGCAAGGGATATCTGCCTTGAGGACATTTGATGTATCTGGTCCACGGACCTTTTCAGCTACGCGTCATACACAGACTCGTCATATTTCTAATTTTTGAAAGAACTGGTTTTCAGCGATGATACAAATGGGATGATCACGAAGGGAAAAGGCCGGTCGGGAGCCATGAGTGCGCGTTGTTTTGGTCCAGAGACAAGTTGCTGGCCGGTCGTCCGTTTGTCGCCTGGCGACAGAAGATGTCAGTCGGATCCACATTGCTCGCCGAGCAGACTAAATGTAAGATCACGTGGATAGAGAAATGGGATAGCGTGCGGATTGCCGTATTTCGGCTGACATAGTCTTTGTTTCCAGCTTCACATTCCAGAGGCGGCCTATGACTGCCGCACCAACCGCTGCGCATTCCGATGGCCGTTGTCGTAGTTGCAAAGCATATAATACGATGTCTTGTCCGGGGCAATCTATCACTTCGGGCTGAGAGCCTGAAGGGGTCACTGCGAACGGAATTCGCAAACGCTGAACAAAGAAGCCGCTGTTGGCGCCGTTTCGCTCTCAGTAGTCTCCCGCTCCTCTCCCGAGACAAAGACTTCCCCCCCAAAGGCCCACAGCCGATTGCCTCATCATCACCAACACTCTGATAATGGCAGCTAGGAAAGCCAGCCATAAGGCTATTGAGAGGGAAGAGAGCTAGTCTGGTCATTGTCAGGCAGCCCATGAATTGGTGGAGAGGAGCACATCTCACAAAGCAGACAATCCAACAAGACCTTGGTGGTCATTTTTGCCCCTAACATGAAGTTGTGGAGGGCTATTTTCCTTCTGGGACCCCATGCCTCTTCCATTCGCCTTGCTCAATTGTTGAGATTCGACTGGCGTAACCGCTCACCTCACGGGCAGCGACGACTGACCGCACCTGGGCCTTGACCGACAGGACTCACCGAACAATTCCATTTGGCCCCTGAACCTGGGCTCTGTCCAGTCGGTCTGACTTGTCTCCTGCTGCCTCCCAGCTGTTCGAATTTTTACCTCGTTTGCCCAACCAGTCAGCAGGTCTTTTGCAAAATGACAGACGTAGCCACCAATCCTGCCTCTTCCTCTGCCCCTTCACCTCCTCACCCGCTCACTCCTCCTCATGCCCTCACATCACCTACAGGCAGTACACATGCCATGTCTACGAGATCCAGCAGCGGTCTTGCGAGACAGCAGCCATCATCCCAACAACAGCATCAGCCACAGGAACAACAACCACATCAGCAACAGCAGCAGCAGCAGCAGCAATTTTCTCGGCCTCAGTCTCCTCCCAGAGAAGCCCAAGGGCTTCCTTCAGTCCCCGGGCGACTCACCAGGAAACGGGCACAGTCCATCAACATTGAGGAAGCAAACCACCCCAGGTTTGAGGGACTGGCCATCCGCTCCCCGGCTCTGGTTGGCACGCCTCCGCCTTCAGCTACTACGACGGATCTCATATGCATCTGTCCTGCGCCACCCAAAGTTCCGAGACCTCGCAACGGTATGTTCTATCATTAATCTATAATTGCATTTCCAGCCCTTGCACGGTCTGCTCTGTTGTTGTCCTTCCAACGTTGCTGGTGGTTCCGTCCCCTCTCGTCTGTCCCTGAGACGCAACTCGGACCTTTAACTTCTTTGTTCTTTCGCGTCCAATATTGCAGTGACAACCTAGGAATTTTCATTGGCTGATGTGTAGCAATTCTCGGCCTCTTTTGAACAGCCTTCATTCTTTACCGCCAACATCACCAAGCTGGTGTGGTCCTGAAATACCCCGGGCTAGCGAACCCAGAGATCTCCAAGATCATTGGTGAGCTCTGGCGTGAGGAGACTGAAGAAGTCAAAAACTACTGGAAACGTCTTGCGGAGGAAGAAAAGGCCCGGCACCAGCGCCAGTATCCACAATACAAATATCAGCCTCGCCGCGGCGGGAAAGGTGGTCCATCCGCCAGACCTGCTTCTGCACCAGGGGATGACCCAGGGCGGTGTCCAAAGTGCCAGGGACGTTATATCGCCACGCCTAGGACGCCATCAACGCCATTCATTCCGGGGGGGCATCACGGGCATCATCTCGGCCCATCCGCAATGCAGCCGTTCATTGCCAACAACCCTCGGGTGGTTGAGCAAGTGCAGCAACACCACAGGCCCATGATGGACATGGTTCCTCCGCAGCACGGACTTGACCCTCGCCGTGTGGGATACTACCCCCAGCATCACGAGCAGCTTCGGACGATCGAGGAGAATTATGACGGCTTGCCTCCTCACATGTCAAAGAGACGGACACACCAGGACGACTATGACCTGATGTCGCCGGCAGAGGCAAAACGACGACGTGTTGTCGACCGAGGTCGTTCACCTGATACCACGATGGTCATCTCGCAGCATCCACAACACGTTCAGCAGCCCGTTTCATCTCCAATCAACTATACTACCCTCATTCCAGGTGCCCGGCGAAATTCCTCCATCAGCAGCAGTGCCTACTCTGGGACACCTGGGAGCAGTACGTTTGGTCCGGGCTCGATGGTTCCACTTCCTCGGCCACGCATGCCCACAGGCCTGAGTGGCCTGCAACAGGATGCGGCCATGATGGCTCCGCCTCCTCGCCCAAATCGACAATTCAGTACTGGCGCCCCGCCGCCATCAGCTGGACAGTCCTCGCGCAACAACTCCACGTACGATGAATCTCTGACGTTGGCGCCGCTGCAGATCCCCACGTCGCCTATACAAGCCTCCGAGGCCAGCGGCGCCCGAACACTCTCGGGTGGTGGGCCCACCGGCCTGGGGATCATGAATCAGCAGGGCCTGTCGAGAGACAGCCAGGCCAGAGGCATCGAGGCCATGGTCATGAGCATCCCATACATGAACAAACTTGACGTCTTGCGCAAGATCAGCCCCCCTCTCGGGCCACCTACACCAGGAAGCCCCCTGTTCGGCACAAGGGGCCCGGTGATTGCTATCGAGGGGGCCAGTACGGAATTGATGCGGGAGGTCAGACCGGTAATAGAGAGAGCACTAAGGCAGTCGGGGGAGTGCGAGACCAAGATTTGGACAAACTCGTCCTCGGCCAACCAGGAAGATACATCCGGTGCCCACAGTCCTGGAAAGAATGGCGGCGACGAAGACACAGACATGAGGAGTACACGCGACAAAGACAAGGACAGCACTGGGAGCCCAAGAGGCAGTGCAGGCAGTAACGGCACCAAGAAAGATGCCAGTGCCAACGTCGGCTCGAGCCCACACGCAATGGGCACGTTCGACTACCTGCAGACCATCATGGAGTGGCACTCCAAATCAAGTGAGATTATCAAGCACGTCACAACCAAGCAGTTCGCATCAGGTCCTTCTTCGAAGCCCCTTCTTCCGGTGGCACTTGTACCCGACGGGTTCAGTCTTACACTGTCGGACAGGTTCGCGTCCACGGTCGCCATCACGGACCCGTACTCACCCGTGGACCACTGGCAGTGGATGGCAACGCTTTGGCGAGGTATTGTGGGGCCTGACCTGGTGGTTTACATCCGACCCTCGACATCCGAGGAGCTGGCAAGGAGCGGTGCGAGCGCGGTTGAGTACCGAGCTCCCGGTATCATGATCGTGAGGGTCGACGCCGAGAAGGGAACGGTCGACGAGAAGACGGAGAGAAGGCTCGCCTTTGAACTGATGGAGTGGGTCAGAGCGGGGAGTTTCCGAGACGGATATTGCTTTGGAGACGAATGAGTGAAGGTCGCGATCAGCAACAACAAGGAAGGGAGTGCAAGATAAGTCGCGGCAGAGGGAAGCTTTCGAATGTATGGGGTTCGGGCCTATGACGACGACGGTGGTGCTGACAGACGGAGGTTTGTCATCCCACCCACGCGAACAAGCCATGATTGTATTTAGAACTTTCTTTCCTTACTGTAGCTATGCGAGCCTGAAAATAACACAGTTCGAGCCTAGATCGCAGCCTAGAACTGCATTATATCAGTAATTGGGTCAAAGAATGTGCTGTAGACGTTGCGAGATCGACAATACCGGTACCTAGGTACTCGCAGTGCAGCTTGTGTTAGTGCGTCAGGGGTTTGACCCCAAAGCCACCCGTTCCGAAACTGGACCTCACTAACAACGGTAGCTCCCGTGGCTAAGACGTCGTCCCTGCATTGTCCTGCCGCCTAGGAGTGCACAGCGAACCGCAAAGAGGGCCAACCCGCGTGTCGGTCAGTGGACGCGACAAGTAAACAGCTCTGTCAGCACCTTTGCTGCCCGCATCAACAACGACGACGACGACGAAGACGACGACGACAGCGCCACCTCCACGAGATGTCCATCGGACAATAAGCAAAACACGACGAGCATTGGCCTCCTGTCAAAATGGCCGACCTGGCAGTGGCAGCAGGGCAGGTTGTCCGCCTAGCTGATGGCCGCAATGCCTTCGTCCGCTTCGTCGGCGAGACGGCCTTCGCCCCCGGCCTCTGGGTCGGCGTTGAGCTGGACGACGGCACGGGCAAGAACGACGGCAGCGTCCAGGGCGAGCGATACTTCGACTGCGCCATGGGCAACGGCATGTTCGTTCGGCCCACCGCCGTCGCTGTCATTGCCCAGCCTGCGCCAAAACCGAAGCCTGCCACAACAGCCACAAGGAAGACAAGCACATCGAGGCCGAGCAGCATGTTCACCTCAGGATCGAGAACCGCGAGCACGTCTATTGATACAGGGGTCGGGAGGAGGAAGAGCTTGAATGCCCCCAGCCCTAGTCCGGGCCCGAGGACGTCACGCCCTTCCAGTATTGCTAGGGTGAGCACCCCGTCCCCGGCCATATTCAATGCGGCAGCTCGTAACCATTCTGATACTAAATGCGTCTGTAGTCGCCCACCAAGTCTCCTACAAAGCAGCTCGGAACTGCATCCTCAAGTGCGGCCACCTCCCGAACCGGCACGCCGGCGAATGCACGAGGAACCACCACCAAAGCTCGAGCCGCTTCGGCCACAACGAGATCATCTATGGGCCCCCCGGCTGTCCCAGCATCCCGAGTAGGCCGCCAAGCGTCGGTCTCGGCTGCAGCACCGTCCCGATCCACCACCACAAGGACTGCAAGCAATCGGCTCTCACTGGCAACTGGTAAAGCCCGTCCAGAGGCATCAAAACGCAGCTCTCAAGGCTCACAGTCCGGCGCGGAAAGGAGGAGCTCCATCGACAGAGGTGCCACCCCACAGAGAGCTAGCAGCGACGAGGACTCACCGTCGCAGCCGAGGAACCCAGCGTTGGAGAATCTCACCGCCACAACAGAGGCAGACCCCGCGAGGAAGGTGTCGAGGCCCACGACACAGGCTCTGCAGGCCTCGAACCGGGAGATTGAAGACTTGAAGGCGAAGTTGAGGGTCATGGAGAGGAAACGCATGGAAGACCGAGACAAGCTCAAGGATCTGGACAAGATTCAGGGCGAGCGAGACAAGTTTGAAGGCATCATACACAAGCTGCAGGCCAAGTATGCGCCGCAGCAGCAAGAGAATACGGAACTACGGAAGATGCTCAAGGAAGCAGAAGAAAGACTCAATTCGGTCGAGGCTATGCAAGCTGAGCATGAGACCACGCTAGAGCTGGCAACTCTGGATCGTGAGATGGCCGAGGAGACTGCCGAGGTGCTGAAGGTCGAGGTTGAGGCGCTGAAAGAAAAAACAGAAGAGCTCGAACTCGAGCTCGAGATCTTGAGAGAGGAAAACTCCGAGTATACCAAGGGCATGTCACCTGAAGAAAAGGCGAGCACAAATTGGATACAGATGGAGAGGAACAACGAGCGACTGCGCGATGCTCTCATCCGTCTCAGAGACATCACTCAGCAGCAAGAAGAAGAGTTTCGGGACCAAATCAAGAGCTTGGAAGAGGACGTCACGGAACTCACCACCGTCAAAGAGCAACACGAGACCGCGAAGGGAAAGCTGGCGCAAGCGGAGGCGATGGTCGAGGATCTTCGGCAACAGCTTGACACAGCTCTTGGTGCCGAAGACATGATTGAGGATCTCACAGAGCGCAACATGAGCCAGGCCGAGCAGCTTGAAGAGCTCAAAGCGATTATCGACGACCTGGAAAATCTCAAGGAAGTTAATGACGAGCTTGAGATCAACCATGTGCAAAACGAAAAAGAACTCCAAGAGGAGATCGACTTCAAAGATAGCGTCATCGCAGAGCAGGCTAGACGAGCTGCGGAACAGGAAACCATGATGGAAGACATGGAGTATACCCTCTCTAGGTTCCGCGAGCTCGTCACGAATTTGCAGAGTGACCTGCAGGACATGAAGGCATCGCAAGCTGTGTCAGACACGGAGTCAGAGAAGCTGAACAGCCGGTCGAGAGCCATGGAGGACCTGACGATGAGGCTGCAAATCTCTGCGGAGAAGGCACAAGCCAAGACAATCGACCTCGAGCTGCGGCGCCTGGAGGCCCAGGAGGCAGAGCAACACCTGGAGATCGTCAAGATGTTCTTGCCAGATAGCTACCAGACTGATCGTGACTCTGTCCTGGCTCTTCTGCGATTCAGAAGGTTGGCGTTCAAAGCCAACCTGCTGCATCAATTTATCCAGGAGAGGGTCAAGGGCCATGCGCACCCTGGACACGAGGACGACGTACTGTCTGGCTGCGATGCAATGGACAAGCTCACCTGGGTTTCGTCGATGTGTGAGAGGTTCGTCAACTCCATCAGCCACTGCTCGCTTGATCAATTTTCCAAGTATGCGGGTGCGCTGTATGAGCTTGAGCCCGTTGAGCGAGCCCTCAACCAATGGATCGAGGGCCTGAAGAAGGACGAGCTTAAAGAAAAGCAATGCGCGAGCGAGCTGCAACGCACCATTGCTCTCATGACGCATCTCGGCGAGGTCCACATCTCGAGCGACCTGGAGAGCTTCGCAGACGATGTTTTTATGAAGACGGTGATGATGCAGAGCCATCTCGAGTCCGCTGCCACAGCCTTTACCACCCTTCAAGCCATGGTGCAGCGAATAATCCCCTCAGTGGGCGAGGAAGACGAAGTTGCACAATACTTCATCAGGAAGGCGGATGCTGTCATCACGCAGACCCGCAGCACCAAGGTCATATCAGGTAGAACTGTCAAGGCGCTTGAGGACTTGAAGCTGCGCTCCCTAGCGCTGCCGCATGAGACCAAGGAAGTTTTCCAGCGATGCGAGGAGACGTCTCAAGAACTCGCCGAACTTGCTCGCTGCATAGGCTTAGACCTCCATCAACTACTGCACGAGGAAGGCCGAACCGAGCCATACACTCATCTCGAGGTGCAAGACCGTGTGCGCAAGACAGTCTTTGCGGTGGCTAGCTCGGACGAGTCGGACCTGTTCGCAACGTACCTGAACAAGCTCCGCGCGCTCACTGGCGAGATCAGCGATCTTTCGCAGCTTGCGTCAGACTTTACACAGACTCAAGAGTTTGAGCGCAGCCCGGCACCCTGGATTATGCGCTCCCAGGAGCTCAGGGCCGTCAAGACCGTCCCTGTCGACGCCGAAGAGGAGCTCCGACACCTCAAAGAGGAGTACAACGAGGCCCGCCGTGCCGTCGCGCAGCGCGAGGAAAGTCTCAGTACGGCGATGCTCAAGATCGAGACCCTCGAGTCGAGGATGCGCGATGCAACAGCCAAGGCGAACAGAATCACAGATTTGGAGTTGCAGATCGAGAAATCGGGCGGCAACGTTGCCTCCCTCAAAGAGGACATTGAAAAGCAGGACCGTGAGCTGAAGATGCTCGAGGCAGACAGAGACAAGTGGAAGAAGATCGCGGGCGACTCACGCGCGTTCAGCGAGGCAGCGGCGGGCACAAAGGCGGGCAAGGAGATGGCGGTTGCGACAGCGCGGGAGATGGACACGCTGAAGGAGGAGATCACAAGCCTGCAGTCGGCGGTGAGGTACCTCCGGGAGGACAACAGGCGGGCGAGGCTCACGGAGCAGAGTGGGCACGACTGGCTGTCGCAGCCGGTAAAGCGGCCGACCCCGGTTCAGGAGCAGCGGAGGAAGCTGGTTGTCGCCGAGGGGAGAGACGTGCTAGGCGAACTGGTCCGGATGGCCACCGAGGCCAAGGTGTACGACCTGTCCTCGCTGCCGGCGGACAAGTTGGCGTGGAAGAGCGCGAAGAGCACGCCGCAGTACCATGCCGCCAGGCAGATGGAGGACCTCGCCGCGTGGCAGAGCTGGCGCGACAGCGTCGCCCACAAGGGCCAGGTGCTGTCGGGCCAGCAGCAACAGCAGCACCGGGGCAAGGACGGCCAGTCCGTAAGGAAGGCCAGGAATGCCGCCGCGGCGAGGCTACACATCCGCCTGCCGGACGGCCAGGGGAAGATGGCGTCTGGCGGACACGACGTCCGCATCGTGGGCTCGCGGGAGTGGGATGGCCTGCAGGGGCGGTTGGCTGCGATCTAGAAGAGCGATTGATGTACCTGTTGGAACCAGCAGAGCATTTAGAGAGATACCACTGTGATATGATGAATTTGCTTTCTCGTCGTTGTTATCTCACTGAAATGTGTCGAGCTCTCGAGCTTTTAATACCTGACCATCGTGGAAGGGTGTCCGTCAAGTTGATTTTTGAGCCAGACCAGTTTCAGAATACACAACATCGCACTTACAATTGCATAGTAAATCACCATGACCTTGTCATTGCACATACAGAAACCCTCGGAGTGCACAAGATAAGAGTGGATGGGCAATGAAGAAGAGACTGCGCGACCAAACGTCGGAAGAAACAAATAGAAAAGCCCTTGAAACTGGACAGAAGGGTTTTGACTCCCTGGCGTCAATCAGTCAGATAAAGTGTTGAGGTCTGATAGCCCATCGAGTCCAAGCGAACGGTATTCCGGCAAATCTACGAAGCAAGTGATAAACTTATAGAAAGCCAGCACAAATGGTCCGTTTCTGACTACTTTGTCCTGGACACATATTTTAGGTTTAGTGTATCCTCCAGATGCATTCCTGTTCCACTCAGACTCCTCACTATCCGCCCCAGAATCCACACAACTTATTATTCTCACTCACCTAACCCTTCCTCTTTACATGTTCTGAAAAAGCAAGATGCTACTCCATCCTGAACAGTATAAACACCCAACCTGGCCGAATGCGTGTACCTAAGACGTTGCTACAGACTTCTCCTCGGCCTCGGCTCTCTTGACATTCTGGCCGTTCGCCGGCTCTCCGTTGACACCAGACTCACTGCTCGTCTCCGAGGAAACATGCTTAGGCTTCATGAAGGGCCAGTGGCCCTTGACCTCTCTGAATCTCATCACGACGAAGCTGGCGATGACAAAGATCCAATAGACGTTGTAGGCAATGACGGAGCCGTACGTGCCGGTGTTGTTCCAGCCCAGAATGGCATTGAAGATACCCCAGCCTCCTCCTCCATTGAACTCGGGGCTACAGCACTACAGTTCTGGTAAGAAATTGAAGTAACTTGGAATGAAAGGAGCGGGAACGGTGCTTACGTTGACGTGCCACACAGACTTGTCGATGTCGTAAGAACCAGGGCCGACTCCTAGTTCAGCTGCATCGCCTCCGACAATGTTGTTCCTGTTTCGATATCAGCGACACACTCTTCATGATTTGGCACTCATCGGAATTAATTGGACCAAAACGGTCTCATAGAAAAGATGTGCTTGAAGTACTCACCACTTCTGTTGTTCAAAGTACCCTACAGATCGGGAGAAGAGTCCAGCTGCGACCAGGTAGAGCAAGCACGTAGAGAGGACGAGGAACAGTTGCATCTTGGCCGAGGATCCGGATCTACGAGGAGAGCGTTAGTCAAGCAAATAATACACTGGGGAAGGAGCAATTGGAGTCCAAACTCACTTGTACAGGATATATCCCACCAGTATACCTACCAGCAACCCGACTACAGCAGGCAGGGGGAAAGCGGTAGCCGGGGCCGAGAAGGACACGCCGGCGACGAATATGATTGCCTCGATTCCCTCACGCAACACGGTGATGAAGGGGAGGATGAACAAGGCGTACTTCTCGGAGAAGTTTTTGAGCCAGCCAAAACGGGAGCCGGTCTTAACCACGGGCCCTTCGAGGGCAGCGGCCAGCTTGACACGCCATTTCTCCTGCATCTTGGAAATGCGCAGGAGGGCGGCGCCGACGACGGTGATGATGATGGAGGCGAACAGGGCGAAAGCACCCTCGTAGTAAAGCTCGCTGGTCTCCCAGTTGTTGACGCCGACGGTGTAGAATGTGCCGATGACGGCGGCTGCCACTACAAGACAGATGAAGAAGCCGAGGCCGGTTCCCGCCCAGACCTGCCGAAAACACAGTCAGATATGGACGGCCCTGTGAACATATCTGGTGTTTCCATGATGGAGCGAGCTCACCTGGCGCCGGAGCTTCTTGTAGACCTTGACATCTCGCTCAGGACCGTCGAGAGTCTGTTTGAGCCATGCGAGGAGCACGGAGACGATGATGACAGTCTCGAGGGTCTCACGGAACACGACGAGGAAGACAGGGACGGCAAAGACCTGGGGCGCCATGTTGACTATTGCTGGACGAGTGTGCGATTCCAAGATGTGAGGACGGGAGGGAGCGGCAATGAGGACGAGGATGCCAGGTAAGCCACCATTAGACAGGCACAGACGGACAAAAGACCATATGCAAGCAAGGACGGGTCAGGCTGAAGGGCGGAGCAGCATGAGAAGCTCTGTCAGGTTGCCCCGGTCTACGGCCAGTCCTGATAAATCTGATCAGATAATCATTATGTTAGACTGGCTGTGGGGGGGAGGGGAGGGGAGGGAAGGGTAATTCCCAAAAAGAAAAAGGCGGACCAGGGGTTCAGACCCGACATGTGAGCAGATGCATTCTTGACCAGCCGGCCTGGTCGACTGCAGGTTTGTGACATTGGGCGAACCAGGATATGCACAGGGTGAAGTGGTGGTGGTAGTGTACCTGGGTAATACCCAGGTACCTAGGTAGGTGGGCACGCTCGGTCTCGCTGCTGGGAACGGTCCTCGAACAGGGGGGTTGCTGTGTGGGTGGACAGTGGATCGGGCTCAACAAAGAAGAAAAGCACGAGGCAAAAACTCAATCGACTAGTCCCTGGCTCTACACCACAGGCGCAGGTAGCGTTGTGTAGTCCTTTCAGCTTGCCCAACTGACAAATAAGTAGCGGCTTCGGACATTTGCTACGAGTCTGGTACCAACTGTGTCGTCCGCCGGTCATGGACGTTGACCCAATGGCGTGTAAGAGGAGGCCCCAGGGGACCCGCTCCCCACCCCTGCTCCTCCCTCCCCACCAGCCAAGTTCTTGATGTAGGTTGGCCCGTCAAAAGCTTAATTTTCGGGTCGACGACCCCCAGCCCTGGATCGGTGGGACTCGAGGGCAGCAACTCGAGGGCACTCATGGGCAGAGGACCAGCGATCCATTGCAAAGAGTCATTGACAGCAACATCAAATTTAAATTCGTCCACCATAACCGGCTGGGTGCATGTGGAATCGTACGATGCAGACCAGAAGCCGGTACCGATCACCGCCCGACCTGCCATGATCTTCTGTAGGCCTGGGCTGGCTGAATAACTCCTAGTCAGCTAGTGCCGACGCTTGTTTTGGGTTCCATGCGGCGCAGGGTCCTCCCCATCTGCCTTATCATATCAGATTGGAAACGCCTCCCTGCCGAATCTTATCTGATCCGTCCCTCCCACCCCCCCAAGCCGAGACCGTCCACCGCATTTGTCCCGGTTCTGCTCGGCCTGGAACACCGACTAGCCAGCATATCCTCGAGACACGGTTGCAATTAGCTTACCAGCCCCCCCCCTTTTGGTTCAACCATGCCGCCACCGAAGATACCTGCTGATTCCCCAAGCTGGTTTCCAAGCACTGATACAGGCTGGTGTCCCTCCGACCTGAGGGAGGGACGAGGCGCAGACCTCGCCAGGCCAGCAGCAAAAGCAACTACTCAGGCCAAGAGAGCTAATCAAACAAGCTCATGACACGGGCGACAAGCTTCGATCCATGTAACAACAGCCTTCAGTGGGCTCCAGCCTGTTCTGGCAGCCCCGTCGCCCCCCACCAGTGGGTCGCCGTCGCTTCGGGGCCCCCATGCGCTTAAACCTTCACTCCCTGCTAGAGAAACCGCATCTTCCCTGGCTTCACTTCTGGTCCGCATTTCGGAATGTGCTACGTGAGAGTTTTCTGGCTCGACACCACACTCCCGGGCATGTGGGAAACCCTGGCCGTCTGAGACTCTGGTCCTACCCGGATATAGTTCTGCTTTAGACCACACCACCACTCCGTGCCCTGTCCGCAGTTGTTTCTGTTTCTGATTTTGATTGATAAGATAATATCAGCTCCTTGAACCCAGCTGCAAGCCCCCTGCTTCAGTTGGCTCCCGCCTCCCACCATCCTCGTGCCCGAGTCCTTTGGCCCTCCTCTGATTTTCCGGGACTGCGGTCGGGGGCATTGCTTTACACAACACGAGTAATTTCAAGACAGCCTCTCTTTTCCTGGAATGTGTCTTCTTGTTCAGCATCTGACCAAGGGCCTCAAGTCTTGAATCCGCCATCACCATGGCTTCCTCAATTCCTTCTCGTTTACTCGCATTGGCGCTATTCTCCCTCTTCGCCCTAGTACGAGCAGCCACCGTTACATATGACTTTGAAGTCGGGTGGGTTACTGCAAACCCAGACGGCGCATTCGAGCGCCCCACGATTGGCATCAATGGAAAATGGCCCATCCCGCCCATCACAGCGAATGTCGGTGACCAGGTGGTCGTCAATGTCCTGAACTCTCTGGGGAATCAGACAACATCGCTGCATTTCCATGGTCTCTACATGTAGGACAGCCCCATGACCTCTTTTAGAATCCTGGACATGACCGAGAACCCGTTCTGATCACCAAGCATTTCACAGGAATGGCACAAACCACATGGATGGACCTGTGGGCGTGACACAATGTCCCATCCAACCGGGCTCAAGGTTCACCTACAACTTCACAATCACCCAGCCAGGCACATACTGGTACCACTCTCACGTGAGGGGCCAGTATCCTGATGGTCTGCGTGGGCCACTGATCATCCACGACCCGGACTCCCCATTCAAGGGGCAGTACGATGAGGAGCGAATCCTGACAGTGTCTGACTGGTATCACGACGAGATGCCCGGTTTGATTGAGGGCTTCATCAGCAAGGGCAACCCAACCGGTGCGGAGCCAGTGCCCCAGAATGCCCTCTTCAACGAGACGCAGAACCTCACCGTTCCCGTCGAGCCGGGCAAGACATACCTGTTCCGCATGGTCAACATCGGCGCTTTTGCGGGCCAGTATGTCTGGTTCGAAGGCCACAATATCTCCATTGTGGAAGTCGACGGAGTCTACACACAGCCTGCTGTAGCCGACAGGATATATCTTTCTGCTGCTCAGAGGTGCAGCTTCCTGCTGACCACTAGAAATGACACCAACGCAAACTTCCCTTTCGTCGCAAGCATGGACACTGTGAGTCTCTTGTTCTGCTCCTTCCTTTTCTAGGACCCAGGTGGGACTGATCTTCCTCTCAGGACCTCTTCGACACACTGCCCGACGACTTGAACTGGAACGTCACCGGTTGGTTGTCGTACGACAGTTCCAAGCCAATGCCCGAGCCAGCTTTGGTGGACGAGTTCAACGAGTTTGACGACTACACTTTGGTGCCTTACGACAACCAAACGATCCTTGGGGCGCCAGACCATGAGATCGAGCTTGAAGTGATCATGGACAACCTCGGAGATGGGGCCAATTAGTGAGTGTGCCGAATCTAATGCAGGCAGGCTTCGACTCCCAATACTGACCAAGTCCCAGCGCATTCTTCAACAACATAACATACAAGTCCCCCAAGGTCCCCACGCTGTACACAGCGCTCTCAGCCGGCGAGCTAGCGAGCAACGCCCTCGTCTACGGCAGCCACACGCACAGCTTCGTGCTCCAGAAGGGCGAGGTGGTGCAGCTGGTAGTCGACAACGCCGACTCGGGCAAGCACCCCTTCCACCTGCACGGGCACGCCTTCCAGGCGGTGTGGCGGTCCGACGAGGACGCCGGGCCCTTTGCCGAGTCCAACGCCACAGAGGCCGACTTCTCGCCCGTCCCGATGCGCAGGGACACGTTCGTGCTGCCGCCGCAGGGCAACATCGTGCTGCGCTTCCGCGCCGACAACCCTGGCGTCTGGCTATTCCACTGCCACATCGAGTGGCACGTTGAGTCAGGGCTCGTGGCGACCATGGTCGAGGCTCCGCTCGACCTGCAGCGCGACCTCGTCGTCCCGCAGGGCCACTACGACGCCTGCGCCGCCGCGTCCCCAGCCATCCCCACCGTTGGCAACGCGGCCGGGAACACGGCCGACCTCCTCGACCTTAGCGGGGAGCCGTCGCCGCCCGCGAGGCTGCCGGATGGGTTCACCCCCAGGGGCATCGTGGCTCTGGTCTTCAGCTGTATCAGCGGCGTGCTTGGTGTCGCCGTCGTGGCGTGGTATGGCCTGTCCGGCGACCCTGCGGCGATGGGCGCGGGCAAGGGCGCGGGCGCCGCGGGCGTGTTCCAGCAGGGTGCTTCTGGGCACGATGCCGCTGCGAATGGCGACGGTACCCGTGTCGAGGAGGTCACTGCTGTGTCTGGTGGCGGTGCGGGGGCTGGGAAGAGATGATGGACATTTTCGCAATCTGGTTGAAGCTGCGATGGGGCACTGTTCAGAGTGTTCTGTGTCTCGTTGGGTACTTTCTTGCTGGTCGAAGCACGAAGCATGGTATTATTTTAAGGCTTGTTAAAGCAAGATTCTGGCGTCGTGGCAAGCCAGTTCAAATTTGCCCCTGTGCTAGTTCACATTAATTCATCTGCATAGTCATCCTCGGAAGTTTGGCTTCAAATAGGTGCCGGCATAGCTTTTTATGCAAAGGGAATTAGGTTGATTCTTACTACCTTAATATTTTAAACTCGGATGGTTTGAATCACCACCACCCCGACTTTCCCTCGGAGATATTATTGATTAGACAATAGACAAAAGAGGAGCCACTCATAGGCATCTTTGACCGGCGCTCCCTCCTCGACGGTCTAGACGCAAGAGTAGACGAAGAATTACTACGACCAGTACAACATAAGACATTTGTCAAAACAGAAACGTCAACCTGCTCCCAACCTCTCCTACCGACTCAAAGAAAGCGAGACGGGAAGGGCTAAAAACATTTTCCCTCAGACCTCGCAATTGACACTTGCGGGGTTCAGGACGCCGCCTGCGCAGACGCCGTTGACGTCCCAGCCTCCGGCGTTGCTGGGCCTGATCGAAGGGGGGTCTCGGCAATTGCCGTACCCGACGTTGATGTTCATGTTCTGGCCCATGCCCTTGATGAAATACTGACCGGATATGCCATTGTGATATTTGAAACCGGTCATTTCCGTCTTGCAGCAGTTGTCGAGTATACATCTTATGCCCTTGGCAATCCATTCACCTTTGAGAGCCACATTCACGGGCCCGTCCTGTATCGACGTAAACGTTCATTATTAGTCTTCTTGGAAACTTTCTTTTTGTGGTTCTTGGCTACGGGAAATACTAGGGGTTGGCAGCTTGTCGGGCGAATAGCAAGGGGAAGGAAAGGAAAAGGTAGGGTAGGGTAGGAAATGGTAGGGCAGGAAAAGAGACGTGAGGAACAGGAGGGGAGGAGGGGGGACGGTAGGAGAGGGGACGGTAGGAAAAGGGACGTTAGGAAAGGGAGGGTAGGAAAGAGTAGGGGAGGAAATGGGAGGCAACATGTCAAGGAATCTATAGATGTACATACGTTACAAACATAGATACCGGTCGTATCGTAACAGTGGACCCTGTCGCACTGGCCGGGTTTGATGGTGAACATTTTATCCTTCAGACTTTTATACCTCATTTTAGAGTACATATCTTGGGCGGTATTAATCGCACCGGACCCGAAGATGCCGCAGTGCAGTCTGCCACTATCGGAGTGCTGTGATTGTTTCACGGCCGTCGCGCTGCCCATGAGGCAGGCAAGGAGGACGATATCGGGGCGGACCATCTTGGTATTTATTGTATCTGTTGTGATTATTGTTATGAGATAATTGAATAATCGTGGGATAGAGTAGTGAGTGTTGCTGTTGGTAGGTTATAATCATTTGTTGGTACAGAAGTTCTGTAAGCCTATTCAACAGAGCCCTGGTGGACGAGCAACACCTCTTGCAGCTATATATACACACACTATCTATGGAGAAACGCGGCAGCATCGTTCAAAGAGTCCCCGTGGCAGCGGAAATATCCAAAGCCAGCGTCTTGACTGCTTGCCCCATCCACCGCGGGTATGCTCCCTCTATGCCGTTGTACCGTTCACCTCCATTCTCGGTTCCAAGTCATGGCAAGGCAGGCGCCCAAGGCTTTTTGGCTCTTTCGACTCTTTCGAAACCACTATTATCCCAACGGCAGAGTATCAATGAGTCGATTTGGCGATCGACATCTTTGATGTCTTGTCGGGCGTGTGCTTTGCCGGGTGCGGTAGATGCGAGTGTGTTGTTGCGGGACGTATAATCTTAAGAGTGAGGTGGACAATATCAAGATAGCCGACGCCGCGTCTTGCATACCTCCAGGTGCTCTTGGTGCCCCTGCAGTAAGTCAGCCACGAGACCCCCGAAAGTCAAAGGCGCGGCTCGATTGGCAGTTGAGGCAGACTGGCCCCCACCGTACTCGACTCGACCCTCTCACCCTGCTTGTCCGTGAGAGCAATCCAGCCGTGGCTCGTCGCACCCCTCACATTGCTACCGCCGCAAATCACACAAGCAGTCATACCAGAATCGGGCTTTGATTATCCTGCTGCTCTTCCCTTGCCCCGGCAGTTCGTCTTGCAGCACGCACATGATCTGACATCCAAAGAATGAATAGCAATGAGAGCCAAATCCCCAGCGACACCAGACAAGTGCAGGGTCCGAAGCAAACGTCCCAAGGACAACTGCCGCGATACGCACCAGGATATCACTCAATCCAGCCGACAATCCCATGACAAAAAGACAATCGGAACAACTGACTCCAGTCTTCTAAAGTAGCCGTCGATCCTGCCCAAACTCCTTTGCTGTGCTGCGAACCTTCATGCGGCACAGTTCAACCTGACCGTTCCTCTCCCGAATAGTCTTGGACTATTTTGTACAAAGAAAAATGCAACTGTGAGGCAAAAATCTCCCAGGCTTCTACCAGCCTGGCACACTGGGTCCTTGTGCTCGACCCGCTGCCGATCTGAGTCGACTTTCGTAAATCTTGTTGTCTCCCGTTCCTGTGTTACCTTGTCAACACCAGAGGACCCCGAATTGTAACACCTCCCGCTCCTTGTCATTCTCTTCATCCGTGGCACGTCAACGGATCATCGGCCTGTGTCATGCTGCCATCCATCCATCCTACTCTTGAAGAGTTCGGTGCGCGAGCTGTTCTTGTGCGACGCACGCGAACTGGTATCAGCTTTCGTCGCCCGTTTCGCGACGGGGAGGCTGATAACTCAAGCGGTCTTTCCCTTCTTTCTAGGAAGACCCTGTTCTTGCCTCATGGCAACGTCGCCCTCGGCCAGCCACTTGCTAGCCTTGACTAGCTGGATGACATTCATGATCTGCTTGTAGGCCATGACCGGGAAGCTGATACCGGCTAGAATCCAGGGCACAGTGCTGTCCATCTTGTTGGCGCGGGCAAGCTCGAGGGCTGCAGCGCTGTAGGGGCTGGTGAAGACCTTCTCCAGCACCGAGCTGTTGACCTGGGCCCCCGCCTGGAGGTTATCCGCGGCCGGGGTTGCCAGGAGCGCTGGAGAAAGGGTGGGCGAGGAGAAGGATAGTAGGTACAGGGCAATAAAGAACAGCTCGTTCAGGGCGCATGCAACGAACAAAACCACCTATGAGCAGTGTCAGTTCAGTCATGTGGGGCGTTTATGCGAGATACACCTTGATGTTGGCGGTATCTGGGAGGGCTGGGGGCACGTACCTTGTTTGTGTAGTAGAGATTCAGCAGCCAGCTCCTGCTCTTGTCCACTGACTTGTGGCTCTGGTTCGAGCCGCCCATCACAAGGGTAGTATACATGTGCATATAGTGGCTGGCGAAGTCGAGAGAGATCAGACCCTGGAAGATGATGGCCCAGCGAGGGAAGGCGGATGAGAGGAAAACCAGCAGGCACGAGGTCGTGCATCGGTCCGTCACCATATCGAGGACGGCCCCGAAGCGGGTGCTCTGCTCATAGTATCGGGCGGCATATCCGTCGAGGGCATCGAGGAGGCACGAGACACTGTAGAGAAGCGAACAGGTCCGGGGGTGCAGTGGCATGTAGTAGAGGGATGAGATGGCGAGAACGATGCGCACGTAGCCTGGGGGAGGTGTCAGCTTGCTGCGCATGTGGATGAAGCCCCCGAGACCTCGTCAAGAAGATTCTCGGGGGCCCGCAATGTAGGCGTAGGGGGCATGGGCTTTTCGTACCAATCAGGTTGGGTATGAAGAAGAAAATGTTCTCTGTTGGCCGGGTGGCTTGGGCGACAGCATCGCCAGAGGCACGGGCTGAGCCATTGCCATTGACCACGACGTGCTGTTCTGACGGAGGCTCGGGCGTCGCCTTGACGGGAGTTTCGTCAGCCGCGGCGGCCAGAGCTGCCTGTCTTCGGGTCCTGGCTCCAGACATGGCAATGTTTGGTTAATGAGTCGCAAATGAGGAGTTGGACGGGGCGCAACGAGAAAAGTGGCGGCGTTTTGGTGTCGACCGTGGCTTGCCGAGGATTGTTGTGCTTGAAAGAGTGTCTCTCTTGGGTTCCGGGCAGGCCGGCACGAAAGACTGGATATCAAGACCCGTTGGGATGCGTGTGGAGCTGCCTGTTGGCTATACGTGGCGTGGGCTTGGGCGTGGGCGTGGCGTGGCGTGAGACGCGGGCTGGAGGGCCTTTCTTGATGCGTGAGGATATCCTGTATCGTCCTGCAGGCACACAATGACGATGTTCACTGACCTGCCAATGGCAAAAGGGAGACGGTGGGTTCACAAGCGAGATGGACAGATGCGAATCCAAATCAAATGTAAGCAAGTGTCGCCAGACCGGGGCGACTAATAGGAATGGGAAAGTTTACTGCCCGGCCGAGACAGCTCTCCAGGGCGATAAGCCTGGCGATAAGCCGCCTCCCGAGCAAACTGGCAGCCTGGACAGGGATTGTGTTCCGGCTGTTCCTAGCGCTGTCGCCTCGTCTGCTGGCCGGCCTAGCAGCCCAGTCGGGCCAGAACAGTACGGAGTACCTACCGGACTGCCGTATCAACGACTAGGGCTTCTTAAACATGAGCCCACACAACGGGCCTCCAGATATCTGATGATCTGATATGGATTCTTGCAGGGCCTGTCCAACTCAGTCGCGCAAGTTGCCAATATGGCCAATTGAATGCACCTCTGGGAGACTGCTATTTTTAAATATCACCCGGACAGACAGACAGGTCGGCACCCGGTTCTCCTCTCATGAGAAGACGAGGCATGCCCAGTTGGGTGCCAGGTTCCTCTGGACCTGCTGCGCACCTGGCTGGTATTTATGGTGTCACCCGGGCCGGGCTGGGCTGGGCCGAGGCTGGGCTCTTATAAGTTAAGGGGCTCATGGAGGTTCAAAGTTGTGAGTCGTATGCAGGCGGCACAACGGCAGATATCCATGCCACCGGCAGCTCCGGCCAAGTGTGATGGGATCACCAGAGAATAAACTCTCGGCAAACCCTACTGTAGGGATGCCCCGTCTGCCCGGGAGTCCCGACAAGAGCAAGTGGGCGGCGTCAGACCCCGTCAGCCCCGTCCTGCGTCCCGCAATCTCCGTGACAGACAATGTGCGAGGCTGGTCCGCCGTCTCCTCCCTCACATGCACACTCACAACTGGCACACTGGCACACGCACACTGGTACACCCCTCACATGCACACGCACACGCACACTCCGGTCCCAGGCTACATATTGGCGGGGTTGCGGCCGAGAACTTGACTCGCCTGCGTGTTGCAGCCCGCCAGTGCTCCGTAATAATGGCAGCCAACGACCCTGTCAAGCTGTTGACTGCCAGTGTTGGACTTGTCCGTCCCATGGGCCATGGCATGCATGTCTCCGGCACGAAAATGAACGAGAGAATGGTGACTGCCGGCACCCGAGCTCATATACGTCACCTAGCAGGTATAGATATATTGAACGGCAGCAGAGTCTCAGCTGGGGGCGGTATTACTGTGCGCTATGGTGCGAGCGAGCAGCGCCGGTTGGTGGCTGGGGGGGGGCGGGAGGGGTGAAGGAGGAAGATCTGCTGCAGTATAAGCAAAGCACAAGCACACATAACGAGCCCATGGGCAGAATGAATTGCTTTGCTTCTTCTATTCTTGGACAGCCACTCCTGCCACTCCTCCCCTCCCTGAGGAGACTTCTCACGGTGCTGTCCCGCCGGCCTGCCAAGCCAGCTGACACAGGATGGCTGTCGGCAGCTCGTAGATTCTGGGACAAGGAATGCGGGTGCAGGCCGGCCCCGGTCAATCACGACTCACGGTCCAGAACTGGTAACGGCGGAGAGCATCAGGCTTGTGCACCGCGAGACGAGCCCACCATGCACATCAATCAATCCCCTCTGTCCCTCTGCCCCTCTGCCTCTCTGCCCGGATGGGGCCACCCCCACCCGAATCAGCCATCTGGTTGGAACGGCCATTCATTGGCATGGGACGTGGGACGATGGGAGTGACGACTGCCGTCAGAGTTGAGTGATACATCCACTGAGGGATCGGGTCCAGGGGGGGCGGTCTGTCATATTATCTGGTGGTTTGATCGCGACAGGTGATGCAGGTGAGGCAGGGAATTTGGGGGGTGTGGCGTGCCTCAGGCTGGCACTCTGGCACTCTGGCACTCTGGCACTCTAGCCCAACGCCTTGGACGCAACAGTAGCACTCGCAAAGCAGCTATGCAGGTACTCAAGTACCTAGGTAGACAGGCTAGATAAATACTGTACCACATCCCGGGGTCTGAGGCTGCTCCCTCGCCTCCCCTTGCTCTCACCACACGTCACAGTTGCTGAACAAAGCAATGATCGAGTTGCCAGGGGCACATCTACCTGGCATATATCCACATCCCAAGTAGCACTGGGCCAGGGCGCAGTACCAGGTACTGTGTGCTGCAAGCACTGTTGCACACCTGCCGTCGCAGCAGCCTGGCAGGCCTGTTGGCCTGGCAGCTTGTGCCTGCAGCGTTGGAGCCAGGCGGGCGGCGCACGCAAGGGAAGCCCATGGCTCCAGGGTTCTGCCCGCGACTCTGCCACCTCGGGTGCATGGGCCACGGGGGGTTCCTCAGGGCGATGAGAGGATCTGGAGTCTGGGCCCCAAGAGCTGGCATCCCTGCGCACCATGGCCCCCTGGCCACGACCGTGCTTGCGGGCCTGGCAGCCCTGGGAGCCCTTTGGAGCCCTTGGGCGTGGGAGCTCCAAACACCGCCCACCCCGCCCTCATCTGCCCGCAGACAGGCCATTGCTTGCCGTGCTCGCCCTGCTTGCAAATGTACTGGCCGGGCCTGTACGAGGCCAGGTACTCCGTACCTCAAACTGCCTGGGACCACCATATCGTAGACGAGACGGAGGTGCGGGTCAACAGCGTGAAGAAAAAAAACAAGAGACGCCCAAAAACACACAGGCTGGATGGACACGCCGCAGGACGCACGGCAAGGCCATCGATAAATTCTTTCCTCCTCCTCCTCCTCCTCCTCCTCCTGCCTTCCTGCTCCGGCTTCTGCCCCTGCCTCTCTCTGCCCTCTTCTGCACATCACCTCAGTGGCCCGGAACCTGTCTTGACAATCCTTCGGCTGAGCCAACCGTCACTCACGCCTCTCCCTGACTGACACCACCCCTCCCTCTCTCCGGCTCCTCTCTCACCTCTGTCGGCTTGGCCTACGACCTGTGACACAACAGCCGCCCTCTCTCTCTCTCTCACCAGCTGTCGACGTCACTCGGGACCACCTGCATATCTACCTGCCTGTCTTTCTGTGTACAATTCCCTTTCCAGCTGCATTTCCCGCCAGCAGACACGCCCCCTTCCACGCCCCAATTTGAGGCTCTCGACGTTACATTGATCGTCGCCTTTGCCTGTGCTCCACTGCCTGCTCTGCTCTGCTCTGCTCTGCACGGCTTGCTCTGCACCGCACTGCATTGCATACTACCCCAGCCGGGCGAACCTTCCTGCCCTGCACCACCTGCCGACCTGGGTACTACCCGCCAGATACGCCCAAACCACACAGCACCGCGCCCGCACCGCACCACACCGCACCACACTGCGCTACACTGCGCTACACTATACTCACAAGAACCGTCGTTCTGTCGTGCCAACCCGCCAGAGCAGTGCTTCGACGACTTGGCAGGAATACAATTCCGGAACCCCGTCCCCGGACCTGATCAAGCCATCCAGTCCCGGGCCCCCTGTCGCATCACACCGTCTCCTTCGCCCTTCGTTGCAGCGGTGCGTGCTTCAGGTCTGGAACTTTGTCTTGTCGGAAAGGCCTTCTCCAATTGGACTTACAGACGCCTCGGTTCTATTGCCGGCTCTCCTCTCCCGATATACCACCGACCGACCCATCGTCGCCAGTTGGCCCCAACCCCTCGCAGCGCTTGTCCGCTTGTCTTTGCAGCACAACGACCTATCGACAAACGTCAGCGGTACCACCCTCCTGCTCCAGCCTGCTTTCCGCGAGCCTGACCCTATCGGCGCTCGAAAGCTCAAGTCAACCGGCCCCAGAACTGCCCTCCTGACCTCACGTCTTCGGGTCGACTCCGCAACTGGCAGCTCTTCCGTACCAACACGAGGTAGACAGCCTGGTTTTGCTTAGGTTCTACCAGTGACACACTCCAGTTCATTCCATATACTAGTGACCATCTCTTCAACTCTGCGCCGGGCCCCTCCACGCCAAAGAGATATCGACGGCCAACAACATCCATACCGATTTTGCATCTGATTGCGTTGGTGAGATACTTCTGTGTTGCTTCTTTTCTTGGACTATCCTTTCTAACTCCCCTGCCACCGACAGCCTCAAACCGGTTGTACAATCCTACGAACGTTGAAATACGTGCCTTGTCCTGCCGCGCGACCTCAACTACGCGCCAACATCCACGATGTCGGCACCAAAGCATTCTAGTTTAACGAGTAGCTACGCCGACCGGGCGGCGGGCGCGACACACCCGCTGACAAACTACCTCTTCCGGTTAATGGAGCTCAAGCAGTCGAACTTGTGCGTGTCGGCCGACGTATACAGCGCACGGGAACTCCTGTCTCTGGCCGACAAGGTCGGCCCCTCGATTGTTGTCCTCAAAACGCACTACGACCTCGTCATGGGCTGGGACTTCAACCCACAAACGGGCACAGGAGCGTATCTCGCGGCGCTGGCCAGGAAACATGGCTTCCTGATCTTCGAGGATCGTAAATACTGCGATATTGGCAGCACGGTGCAGATGCAGTATGTTGGTGGAACCGCGAGGGTCATAGACTGGGCGCACATTGTCAACGCGAACATCTCGGCAGGCAAGCCAATGGTGGGTGCGATGGGCGAGGCAGCGGCTAAATGGAGGGAAAGAATCAATTACGAGGTGCGAACGAGCGTCACAGTCGGAACCCCCGTGAGCGATGGTTTCGAGAGTGAGCCCGAGGAGATGGACGAGGAAGAGGACGAGAACGTTGGCGCCCGCGGCACCAACGGTCAGAGAAAGCCCTCTGCACTAGAGGCTAGGGATATCAACATGATGGCGCCGCCGCCTCCACCTCGAGACGTCGATGGACGCAAGGGCAGTATCGTCAGCATCACCACGGTGACACAGTCGTTCGAGCCAGCCGACTCCCCGCGCCTGTCCAAGAGTCTGTCCGACGTCGACGACATTGTCTACCCTGGCATTGAGGAAGCACCACTCGAGAGGGGTCTGCTGCTCCTGGCACAAATGTCCAGCAGCGGTAACCTCATGGACGCCCGTTACACAAATGCATGCATCGAGGCAGCGAGGGAGAACAAGGATTTCGTAATGGGATACGTGGCGCAGGAAAGCCTGAACTCGGAACCCGACGATCATTTCATCCACATGACCCCGGGCTGCAAGCTGCCACCAGAGGGCGAGGAGGAGAACGGCGAGGGGATGCAGGGTGATGGAATGGGCCAGCAGTACAACACGCCGTCCAAACTGATCGGCCTATGCGGTACCGACATCGTCATCGTAGGTAGAGGTATCATCAAGGCCGGAGACCCGCAGGGTGAGGCAGAGAGATACCGCGTGAGGGCATGGAAGGCCTACCAGGCAAGGCTGAGGAACTAAGCCAGGGTAAAGACCCCCCGTGGTGTGGAGAGTTTGAAGAAGTTCGATTTGGATACCCAGTCGGAAACGTTTCAAGGAGAGCCACGGCCATCATTTGTATCCCTATGCGGAGAATTCATTGGACTTTCGGTGTCATTGGAAAGCGAAAAGGAGGGACTGGTCCAGCTCGGCCACCATGGCCTAGACAGCACGTGCCTCTGTGGGAGGGTGTTTTTGTATATACGGAAAGCCCCTTGTGCGGGTCACGGAAGAACTGCAGGATTACTAACAGAGTTGACTCAAGTCTCCATGTTGTGACTTGTCGGGGTAATCACAGTGTGCTATCACCTGGGGTTCTTACAACCTGTTCAATGCAAGTGACGATGCACTTGCTGGAGACACATGAGCAGCTAGCCGGTTTGGAAGAACTGCATTGCTTGCAACGCATCTCTATTCCGAGGCGTCAGTGTCGACGTGCAAATGTCTTCTGAAGGTGCTGTCTGTTGCTGCCAAACGTGGTTGTGAGGGGTGAACCTCTCGAACTTCTAAGCTGACTCGGTTCTATATACTATCAGGATCAAGGAGGAATCTCAACGCAATGCCTACCTGCTTTCTGCCCCTGCTGGACCCTAGCGTGTGCCACAGACGCTGTAAGATATCATTTGAGCCACTTGGTTGTTGCAAATTCCCTGCCTCCGGAGCCGAGGTCGTCCTCGGGTGTCCAGTCCCAGGCCTCTGCCATGAATAGCTCCAGCGCCATCCGGTCAGCAGACATGGCGCCCTCGTACCTGAGCCTTTGGTCCTGGGCAAGGGACCTCGTGAAGCGGAACACCTTGTCCCTCCCTGGGCCCTTACTGTCTCCACCTGCGGCGCCGACACTGAACTCCTTCTTGCGGGCCGTCTTGCCCCTGTCGGGTTCTGCAGCCCCCTTGCACGCCGCCATCCAGGTGGCGGCCTTGGGATCCTTCTTCCAGGCCTGCAGGTTCACGCCGACGTTGGAGCTCAGCATGACCTGGACGTACTCGAGGATCGGCGTGATCTTGGACCTGAGCCCGCAGTTGGAGTGGTTCTTGTCTATCTGGTAGTGGGGGCTCTGGCGGAGCGCCGCGAGGATGGAGCCGACATCCACGGCGGCAAAGTCCCTGATGCTCTCCTGCGAGGACGGAGAGAAGTTTACGAGGTAGAGGAGGTTCTTGGCCGTGAAGAACTTGACCATCTCGCCCAGCTGGAACGAGTCACAGGCGGCGCTCGAGTCGTAGCCCAGCTTGCACTGACGCGCACGGGAGGAATAGAGGCGCAGGAAGTGCCCTACTATTGAGGCTAGCGTCCTGAGAATAAGCGTGCGGCGGTAGTGTAGTTCCTCTTTACGGGTTTCAGTCTTCAGCAAACGTTACAGAAAGACGGACGGGTGAAGGAGGCACAGGCAGTGTAGAGAGTGTGAAAGTGTGACAGTGTGAAAGTTTCGGTGCAACAGGTGGAGGGCACTTACCCTCCAATTCACTGGGGAGATACCACCACAGAGCATCCCGACGGGACGACTCAGGCTGCTTACCCGGCTCGGGGCCCGCGCCATCATCGTCCTCGTCGCCGACAGCAGCCCAGGCATGGGAGCCGTAGAGCACCAGCTCCCGCGTAGCCGCCTGGAACTTGAGTGGGTGGTCAAGCAGCCACGAGACAAGTGCCTTCTGGCGCAGCATCTCCTCTCCGGAGATGCTCAGGCTCGTCATGCCCTCGACGTCGGTGCTCGGCTTGGGCTGGGGCGTGGCAGGCCACTTGAACTTGAGCCCCGTGGTCAGGTACCGCGAGACGGTGGGGGTGCAGTCGAAGCGGTCAGCCATGACGGCCATGGTGGCCACATACAGCATGGTGACAGGCCTCGTGGTGATGCCGCCGCCGTGCAGGATCCTCAGCAGATCGCGGAAGACATCCTCGCGGCCGGCGGAGCGCGTGGCCTCGTCGTCGTCGACGATGACGACGCGGGGCAGCTGGTCGGAGTCGACGTCTGCGGGCTTCTCATTGCGCAGGGACAGGTCGCGGAACCTGGACTCGATGTCGCGGGCCTCTTGGAAGCGCGTGTCGGTCAGCAGGTTGGTGAAGTACCTCGAGTGCTTCTTGAGCGTGGAGAGATCCACACGGTAGGCAAGGTGAATCCGGGGCTTCAGCAGCGGCTGGGGGGCAGGTGGGTCGCGCTGGGCGGGGCGAGGCTTGGGCAGTGCGGCACGGGCTGCCTTGAGTGTTGCCTTTGAGGTTTCGAAAGTCACGTCCAGCAAGATGTCGCCCTTGGGGGCAATGGTGATGACCTTTGGCAGGTCGGTGGGCGAGGCCGGGACTCCATCATCTTGGGCAGTCTCGGATGCTTCGTCCATGGGTCAGCTTGGGAGGAACAGTCGGCAGCGCAGATCATAATAGGTGGAAGAATGCTGCGGACTGGAGCGGGTACGAAGGGTTAATGATATGAAGTGTGTGGATGGGATCAGATTCATCAGCCTCGCCTGATCGGTGACGTCGTGGGCGCACGTTTGGAGAGTTTGGAGACGGACTGCGACCCCTGGACCGCCAGCCGAGGCCCGACGGCGCCCGTGGGGATGGATCCTGGATCGCTGACAATGATACCACCCCAGGGTTAGAGGCTGTTGTATACGGAGTAGCCTACGGGCACCTGCACCTTGTACCCCGTGCCTGCCGGACGCCCAGCAAAGGAATGGGTGGGGACTCAACAACGGCTCCTCAATGGGTCGCAGACGGGAAATAAGCTACGACGATGATGGCATTTGGAACCCCGGGTTTCCAACCTGTTTATTACAGTACCGTGGCATGGAGCTTCCCAGGGACAGCGGCTTTCTCCTCCTCCCAAGGCTCTTAATGTCCGACCTTGGTGGTTCAGCAGGCCGAGCGTCTCCTTCGCTCCCTTTCTTCTACTCTTCTCCCCGTTGAAGTCTTTTGGCCGTTGAGGTCCAGCTTTCTCTGACGGCCCGACGTCCTCTCGGCATTATCAACGACAACAGCCCTTGTCCCCACCGGGCCAACCACGCCTACAGGGCCCACGATACGTCAGCCTCCAACTTGGCGCATCCGATCCTGTACACAGTCTTTTCGCTGATGGACCTCCAAATCCTCCGCCTCTCCTCCCCGTGTCCAATTGCTCATCTCGTGGCATCTACTTGTTTCGTAAGACGAGCCCAGCTTGCGAGCTCAGCCTTGCAAAGCAGCCACGATCATGGCCCGGCCATTATCCTCGCTGGTGCCAAGGACGCGGCCCTCAGCAGTCAAATCTGATGACACCGCTGCGCTCCTCGAAGAATTCATGGGCTTCGTCGCAACCTTCTTCCATGATGCCACCTCGCCAGCTTCGCAGACAGCTCATGCTGCTGTTACACGAGGCCGCACCACGGGCAGGCGCTGGTTCCACGCCCAGCGCCAACTATCCGTGGATCGGACCGCACCCGTCTCGCCGTCACAGAGCAACCTGCAGCAAAGGACGCCCCAAGCAACATCCAGTCGGGCTCGTGGATTCCACAACTACTTCGTCACCCACCTGCCTTCGTCCTCCCTCCACCCCGACTCGAGAGTCGCCAGTGGTCCGCACCACAAGCTTCCTCGTGCCGCCTCGACCCCGCACACCCCTGGGCCTGGCTCCTCGACTCCAGCGTCGCCGCCTAACATGCTGTCCCGCGACCTGACCGTGGTGCGCATACCATTACGCAGTGCAAAGCACCACTTTGGCGCCTTCAGTGGCAGGGGCAGCCGTCCCTACAACGAGGACACGGACCAAGCCGGCACCATCGATCTACCGGCCTTCGCCAAGCGGGCGCCCATGAGCTTGGTACGGAGTGAGAGGAGGAACAATGCTGGCGAGGCGACAACTGCGGACAGTCCCTTCGGAGACCCTCAGATCTTCTATTTTGGCGTGTTTGACGGCCATGGTGGCTCTCAGTGTGCCGAGTTCCTCAGGGACGAGTTGCATGGCTACGTCGAGGAGGCTGCCAAGGACTTTGAGCTGAAAAGTAGTCTCAGGAAGAAGAGCAAGGCAGCCAAGGGAGCATCAGGTGGAGCCGATGGCCCAGAGCCGCTGAAGCCTCCCGGGGAATCGAAAGAGGAGGCTTTGGAGGGCGTGGATATGAAGACTCCAGACGAGGTCAAGGCTCAGATGCAGGAGACGCCTCCCGCAAATGGGAAGCTGCCCACGGCCACAGGCCAGGAACCAGTCCCGGTGAAAGCGGATCTTCCAAAGGCCATTAAGCTTGAGAAGGAGCTACTCGACGAGTACAAGAGGACCATCGGTGGCTACTTTAAGAGGTTCAGGCCCGCCCTGTTTGATCCCGGCAGCTCGTCAGCCATCATCAACGCCGACCCCAAGGCCAAACCCGCCAGTCCAAAAGTCTCCATAGAGTCGGTCTTGACCTACGCCTTTCTCCGCGCTGACCTCGACTTCGTCACCGCCCAGGCCCGCAAGCCTGACCCGGACGACCCTTACGTGAGCGACAACCAACCGCTCAACCAGGACGAGGTGCTTGGGTCCTCACCGCACGCCGCGCCCTCGGGTCACAAGATCGGCGGGCCCACGCGCTTCAAGGGCGGCAGCACCGCGTCCATCGCCCTCATCTCGACGCCCACGCCGGCACCGTACTGGCACCCAGCGACGCACAGCACCATCGTGGTCGCACATGTCGGCGACACGCGCATCCTGCTGTGCGAGACGGCCACGGGGCTGGCGGTGCCGCTGACCAGCGACCACCACCCATCCAGCCCGACGGAGAGCCGGAGGCTGGCCCGGTTCGCCGAGTCGGTGACGGACAGCTTCGGCGAGGAGCGGATAGGTGGCCTGGCCAACAGCAGGTCGTTCGGCGACATGCAGTCGAAGCGGGTCGGGGTCAGCGCCGAGCCAGAACTAACGCGCCTCGACCTGGGCCCGGCCCAGTACTCGTTCCTCGTCCTCATGAGCGACGGCGTCAGCGGCACGCTGAGCGACCAGGAGATAGTGGATGTGATCAAGGAAGCCAAGACTCCCGAGCAGGGGGCCAAGAGCGTCGTCGAGTACGCCAACGAGGTGAGCCACAACGGCGACAACGCCACCTGCCTCGTGGTGCGCCTCGGCGGCTGGGAGAGGAGGAGTGAGGGCGGCTTGGGCAGCCTCGGGACTAAGGAGATGCGTGATGCTAGGAGGGCGGAGGCTCTCGACCCAAGGAGGGGCAGGAGGTGAAGACAGACAAGCGGTAGATACTCAAGTCGCGGGATAAGCGTGGTAGAAGGCTGCGTGGCTTGTTGAACTATGAGATACCCAACAAGAAGGAGATGGGAGCTATGCTGGCGATGCACTCGTACATAGGGCATTTATTCACACAAACACAAGGTGCATTTGAATATACTTTTCACGTGGCTATGCTGCAATCTACGACTCTTGTATGAGGTATGAGTGGAACACCTGTGATACAGCCCAGGCCGAATCTGAAAGCCTAAACTTACCGTTCTTGTGGAAGCTGTGCGCCGCCAGCTGAGGTTGAATTTGCCGGGCCCTGAGCATATGAATAGGACATTTTTAGATTGCGAATTTGAGTCAGGAGGCTTTTTTAGGCCGTATGCTCATACTCGTATGTCAGTTTTCGTTGCTTTGCTGCATTGCGGCTTGGATTGTCCCGATAGACACCGCCGCTGAGTGATAGTCATGTGCAAAAGTATACATGTATAGCTGCGCAGGAAAAACAACTTTTTCCAGCCGGCACATAACAACACCCTGCCTTCCGTCAACGGGACACAAACATTTGAAGACACGATTGGCATTAAGGACGTGATGATCACCACGCAACAAGTACCCCCCTGCCTATTATCACCATCGACTCGTCTGGTAACCTTCTCAAGCAGAATGTGCAGGTCACATAACCGCCCTACCCTTGGCAGCTTCACCTGAGATCCGCTGGTCCCTGTATCTATAACCTCTACCTACTTGCCGACAACTAAAATCCGACTACAGCGGTAAATCTCAGTACCGTGGTGGATAGCCACCCCATCCGCCCTGGCCGGGCGGGGGCTGCCCGTATGGTCCAGGCGGGTATTGCTGCCCACCGGGGCCGTGTCCGGCCCCAGGATATCCACCCTGAGGTGGTGGTGGGCCACCACCCCAGTATCCTCCCTGCCCGGGAGGGGGAGGGCCTTGACTATACTGCGACCCCTGGTACTGTGGGGGATACCCGTACTGGTTAGGAGGCCCTGGCGGCGGCTGTCCATAGGGCCCGGGAGCTGGCGGGGCGTATTGATTCGGAGGAGGCGGGGTGTGGCCGTAGTACTGCTGGTCCGGCTGAGACGGACGCAGGTAATCATCGGCGGCTCCTCCGGTTGGTGGATGATCGGACTGGCCGTAACCGTACGATCCATATGGTCGAGCTGCCTGCGGCGGTGCAGGCTCCTGACTTATGTACTGATCCTGTGGCCGGCCATCGCGACCTTCCATGGCGTCAAGGTCTCGCGTCTGCACCTGGGACCACAGGGAGCCCGCAACTTTCCCATGGCCGACTTCACCGAGGGCGTTCTTCCAGGCGGACCAATCGTTTGCACCGTGGTTGTGCCCGCCCTTCTGATCATGGCGGATGATGTGGTTCTTCCCGTTCTTGACGGATTCTGAGCCCAGAGTGTTGTTGAGGTCGTGGTTCTGACCATACTCGTGAGCCCATTGACGCACGGTTTCGAACATGTCCTTCTGGACCTGAACGTGCTCGTCGCGAATGGCTGGGTGGTGGAAGGCGCGGAGCACATCATTGACGACTTCATCAACTGGCACGCCTGTGTGCTCCCAAGCGTACAGCACGCGACTGGGCAAGTCTGTTAGCAAAGTGGCTCCCAAACCTGTGACGTGGCGGAATACTCACGGAACTGTGTACTGCAAAATGGTAGAAGCAACTCTGCCGGCGCAGGGGTTCAGGATGTTGGTGAAGTGGTCCTTGGACAGCATCGAGTGAGTTGGATCGGTGCAGGAGGGGTTCCTCCACGGCTCCAGCTGGTTGTTGGCGCTTGCCGTGATGACTCCTGAGCTGCCATCTTTGAGAGTCTTCGAAACCTGGTTGATGATGGGTCGCACAAATGGGGCCAGAAGGCCAAGCACGAACGCGGTGAGAGTCTCACTGATGTGTTCTAGCAGCTTCTCCAAGCCAGGAACCTTGCTGATGATGTTTGACAGCGACTTGACGATCTTGTCCCGGAACTCGAGGATCGGGTAGATGCGCTTGGCCGTTTGCACGGGGTCGAAATCCGGCGACATGCCTGGAACCTGGTTCAAGTTGGCCCGAGTGCTCTCGTTCTGTCGCTCTTGGTCCGCAGAGGCTTGCTGGAGGCTGCGGGCCTCTGAAGCAAAACCCGACCCCACGCCCGGTAGTTTAGCGATGCTCGAGATAAAGTCCGACCCGACGTTGCTGCTACCGCCGCCAAAGCTGAGGCCGAAAAACCCACGCTCGCCCGTCGAGCCGCCGCGGCTGAGGTCGCCCCCAGCGCCGCCTTTCTCGGCATTCTTCAGCGCAATGTCGACCTCGTCGACCTCGGACTGGGTGAAGTGGTCCGTAGCCTCGCCAAGAACCGAATGAAGGAAATCGACGCCTCCAAAGGTGCCCGTCACGATTGGGTAGACATGTTTCCCTCGCAAGTTGATCTGGGCGTCAGTTCCACAGTGTGGAAAGACATTGTGGTAGCCCAGTTCCCGCAGCGCCAACTCGCAGTAGTTGCTGTGTGCACTGAAGTCCTCCATGCAGTGGAGGGCCTGGCCCAAGCACCTCAGAGCCTCACAGAGATCGGCCTCCTTGCCGCTCCTGCCGCTTCCCCCGCTGGTGTAGAGCCTGCCGAAGTGGATGCTCCTCGCAAAGGAGAAGCGCAGGTATCCAGCGCTGGTGGCCCACCCACCAGACTCGTTGGCGATGTAGTTCTTCATGCCAGTCCGCATATCGATCTCAGTCTCTACCGGCTCAACAGGGCCCCTGAGCCGGCTGTCAAATGTGCGAGCATCCGCACCGTCGGCGTAGCCGAGCGGGTTGTCTATGTGCTCCTCGGGTCGGCTGCCACGCGTCAGCTGCACGGTTTCCAAGCAGAGCTGGCCTGACACTTACTATACACCAAGGCGCTCCTCGGTGACCTCGAATTCTTCAGTGGCGTAACCGAAACTCATGAACGAGAGCACCCAGACAAGGATCCGGATGGTGGGCGCATTGCAGCCCTTGAGGGAGCCCACGTCTACAGCCTGGGAGTAATCACGGAGCCAGTTGCCAAAATACGTCCGCTTCACCAGCATGCTGGTCCATTTCTTGCCGTGCAGGAAAGCGACGGTCTTGAGCATATCCTCAATGTCGCCATGGCGCCAGTTTGTGCCTTCGACCTGGGCTGTGGTGGCAGACTGTCAGAATTGTGGCTGGTCGTGTAGGTTTTTGCAGCGAGCCTGGGTGACTTGCCAATCGATGGGATATTTCCAGCTCCGAATGCGTGTGCCTTGCCGGGCAACAGCACCAGCATGACGCAGAGGACAAGGAGCATGGAGGTGGCGGGGCCCCACCTCGAGGAAGCCATGATGAGGTCGGCTTATTGCACGAGACTGACTAGGAGACGGCGCGCGTGCCGGACGAGATGTATTGACTGGGGAGCGTGTGTACTCAGGATTGGAAACAGCAAGTATGTTGTGATAAGAAAAAAGGGGAGTAAGAATTTGTTGTCAGATGTGTGTGTGAGTGAACAAGGCAGAGGCTGACATTCCAGGATTCCAAGGATTTTGCTCGGTTCCGTTTGCTAAGAATGAGTTCACCTCGAAGGCGGGGCAAGATGACTAGATTATCTACCTCGCTCACGGTAGCACTTGAGCAGTGGTTGGCACGTACGGCTCAGCTAGCTACCCTGGGTATCCTTCCTTTCCCTCAGGCACTCAGGCGCTTTGCAAACGACGTTGATTGTTGCAGGACTCTGCTCGCCTCTGCGCTCGTCCGCCCTCAAAATGGGGCTGCGCCACCCGTGGTCCTTTGGAATGTCACCTGTGATAGGCCACCTCAGACGGATCCAGCTGGACTGCGTCAACAAAGCCACGCAGCTGATGTCGACATTACTTCTACCTGCAGCGCAAAAACAGTAGTGTCGTGCCGTAGTCCCGGGCTTGGCTGGGCGGCTGTCGTTGCGACTGCGTCTCGGCAGACAGACGGCACGGACCAGAAGGAGGCCATTGCTTCTGCGCCGGGAAGAGAGAGAGCAATGGAGGTTCTAGATAGCAAAGTGGGTGCTGTACCTAGGTCTAAGGCGACAAACTGAATGCCATGGGCCAGCAGCTAGTGCCTCTGAGCCGAGCTTGACTTGGCTGGGCTGAACAGGCTGACTGCCTGACTGGGCAGGCTGGGCAGGCTGGCAGCTGGCAGCTGGCAGCTGCTGGCTGCATCCTACCAGGAGTGCATCTGGCAAGAATCTGGAGGGACCTCGTCTTGCTTTTTGGGTCGCATGTGAAGGGGCGGGAGCACCTGGTCAAGGGTACCGTGTCGAACTACGACGTTGGATCCCTCGGACCCTGAAGGCCTCCAAGGTTTGGGGGGGCGAACAGCTTTTAATTGATCGGTTTCCTACTAGTGCGCCCGCGGACAATAAGCAAGGCCGCAGCTGTAATAATAACTCAGCGCTGCTCGTACCGTGTACTTGCAGTATCTATCTAATCTGACGCCCTCTCAATGCAGACAAATAATACCTATGGATCAACCACCACCACAGACAGGCAGGATCTGAGGATCAGCACCAGGCATCTGCCAGCGCATCCGCGAGATTGGGGATACCGCTCCTCTTGGGGCCCCCCCAGAATCATGCCATTGTTCGGCCTGGTCGAAATCCCGGGTAGCGCCACTGAGCACCTAGTGGGGTGATCATCTACTTAGGTATGGGCTACCACTCTTCGCTGCCCATAGGATTTCAATGGCCCTTTCCAGGGGACGGCACTTTGGGGGAGTCAAGCAGCCCGGCCGGTCAGGCCACCCCAGCAGGGCCCGGCTGATGATAGGGCAACACACAGGGCCTCGAGCAGAGATCTGGTCTTGGAAACACTCGAAACCCATCTTGCTCGCCCCTGGTCCCTGACCCCCCGAGCCGGTACGGGTATAATTCATTTCCTGCCCGGTCCATCCAGCTTTATTTTCAATCTCCCGTGGGTTCTCAGTTCTCGTTGATATTCTTGTTCACCGGTCCTCTTCGCGCCGTCCAGTCCTTCTCTACCACCGGACCAGCCAATTGACCCGTGCGTCCGTCGGTTTGCAGTCTCGCGCACCGAACCGCGACACCGCGTTCGTTGTCTTTTTCTTAGTCGCCTTACCTGTCCACCAGCGCCACCCCACCCACTCCCTCTCCCGTCCTTCGCCACCGACCCCCAAAAAAAGGACACACAGGTTCACCTGATCTGCAAGACACGATGCCGTCGCGTACCCTCCCTTTCTTCACGCGCGCCGACGTCGAGGCACACAGCTCGGCAAAGTCCTGCTATGTCACCGTCGGCGACAACGTCTACGATGTCACCGACTTCCTCGACGCACACCCCGGCGGCTCCGACCTCGTCCTCGACTGGGCTGGCAAGGACATCACAGCCATCCTCAAGGACCCGGACTCCCACGACCACTCCGAGGCTGCCTACGAAGTGCTCGAAGACTCTCTTGTTGGCTTTGTAGCCGGAGAAAACTCAAAGTCGGGCGCAGATGGGCCAAATGGGGTTAACGGCGACGCGCGCCTGAACGGCAACGCCAACGGCAATGGTGCCACAAATGGAAAATGGGTTCACCCGAGGACGGGCATGGCCAGTGAGGAAGACCTGAACAAGGAGACGGACTACTCGGAGGACTACAAGAAGCACAAATTCCTCGACCTCAACAAGCCGCTCTTCCCGCAGGTCTGGTTTGGCGGCTTCACCAAGGAGTTCTACCTCGACCAGGTTCACCGCCCAAGGCACTACAAAGGAGGCCAGTCGGCGCCTTTCTTTGGAAACTTCCTCGAGCCCCTCAGCAAGACCCCTTGGTGGGTCGTCCCGGTGGCGTGGTGGCCTTGCGTGACTTACGGCGTCTACTCGGCCGCTCAGGGTTTCGAGCACTTCTACAACCTGGCCATCTTCTTCGTCTTGGGCTTCTTTATCTGGTCGCTCATCGAATATCTGCTCCACAGATTCCTTTTCCATCTTGACTAGTAAGTTTTGGCCTGCCTCACACACCCAATTCGATCACAGTGCAACTTACATCCAATGCGTTAGCTACCTCCCGGATAACCGTGTCGGTATCACGCTGCACTTCACCCTGCACGGTGTCCACCACTATCTGCCTATGGACAAGTACCGGCTTGTCATGCCACCTACTCTTTTCCTGGTGCTGGTGGCCCCGTTCTGGAAGCTTGCACACTTCATCTTCTTCTGGGACTGGTACGTTGCCGTGGCGGTGTTCTCGGGCGGCATGTTTGGCTACACGTGCTACGACATGACGCACTACTTCCTGCACCACCAGAATCTGCCGCTCTGGTACAAGCAGCTCAAGAAATACCACCTCGAACACCACTTCCTGGACTACGAGAACGGCTTTGGTGTCACCAGCAAGTTCTGGGACACCATCTTCGGCACAGAGATCAAGGCGGCACCGGTCATGAAGACAAAATAGGAGCACAAGGTGTCTGGGCCCCGTCGACACTACATTTCAGTGTACATGTATATCATCAACGACATATAGGAGGGTATTTGCATCCAACGTCAACAGGCGAAATACGGTTGGGGTGGTCCCCGTCCACAGAAAGGCGTCCCCTACCACCAGAATACCGCACTTTGGTGTGTGCAAAAATTATGGTCTCGAGGCACAGGGAAATGACTGTTTGACCGTCTGCCCGTCTGCAGCTCCACGTGGAATCGCTGGATAATAAGTAATAATGAAACGAGTCGCTCTCAATAAAACTTGACAGACCAAAGCACATGTTGGCACCTGCTCTCTACCTAGCTTGCCTAGGTACCTGGGCACCTAGGTAGACCGCTGATCCCTGTAAAGCAGTCGGCGGGTGTGGTGTGCACGGTCCACCAGACAGACGAGACTAAAATTTGTGCAATCAAAGTGCTGGCTGGCCCCACCCGTCTGTGTCTCCTCATAAAACACCACATCACCCTTCCCTGCCTGTGAGCCACCACACCGTCGTTATCAGCAGTGCCTGCAGATTCGACTCTCCTGACTCTACTCACTGCCTGACAAACACAAATCCATCAACACCATCCAAGATGGCGTCATATGATGTCGAGGCACTCCTCGAGGAGACTGCGAAGCAAGATGTGAACATGGACGATGCGCCATCCATTCAGGCAGCAGCCGATGGCACCAACGACGAAAAGCTCAACGGCGAATCCCGCCACCGAAGTCGCGAGAGAAGCCGCGATCGCGAGCGGGAGAAGGATAGGGACCGCGATCGTGACCGAAGTCGCGACAGGAAGCGCCGTGACCGTGATCGCAGCCGCGATCGATATAGCAGCCGCCGCGGCACCCCCGACGCAGAGAGGACCCCACGTAGCGACACGGGGAGCCACAGGAGCAGTAGGCGTCGGAGTAGGAGCAGAGACCGCGATGACCGTTCCTCGCGGCGCCACAGGGATGGGGACTACTATCGCGGCGGCCGTCATGGTCGATCGCGCTCTCGGTCCCCAGGCGGCCGTTTCTACCGCCCTCGAGACCGCGACGATCGGCGGGATTACAGAGAGCGCCGAGAACGACGGGAAGACGACCGAGAACGCCGTGGCGGCCGCACCCCTCGCCCGGATAAGGATGCCACCAGCGACCCAACGCCGCCGCAGCTCACGGAGGACGAGAGGGATCGCAGGACCGTGTTCGTCCAGCAGCTTGCCGCGAGGTTGCGGACAAAGGAGCTCAAGGAGTTCTTCGAGAAGGTTGGCCCCGTATCTGAAGCTCAGATCGTGAAAGACAGGGTCAGCAACCGGTCCAAGGGGTATGTGTTCACAGATCCACCCCTCGCAGGTCTTTCCCAGGTTGTGCTACAACATGTACTGACTCTTGCCTCGCAGCGTCGGCTACGTTGAATTCAAAGACGAGGAATCTGTGCAGGCTGCTCTACAGCTTACTGGACAAAAGCTCCTAGGTATCCCGGTTATCGTGCAGCTCACCGAAGCTGAGAAGAATCGACAAGTCCGCGAGACCGGCGGCTCCGGCGGCCACCCTAACTCGATCCCTTTCCACCGTCTGTACGTTGGCAATATTCACTTCAGCATCACTGAGCAGGATCTTCAGAATGTCTTCGAGCCATTTGGCGAACTCGAGTTCGTCCAGCTTCAGAAGGACGACACGGGACGCAGCCGTGGCTATGGATTCGTGCAGTAAGTTGACCCGACATACCCTTTCCTTGACCTGCACACTAACCCCATCGCAGATTCCGAGACGCCGGCCAAGCACGTGAGGCTTTGGAGAAGATGAACGGATTCGATCTTGCTGGTCGACCGATCCGCGTCGGACTTGGAAACGATAAGTTCACCCCTGAATCCACTGCCAATCTCCTGCAGAGATTCCAGGGCCAAAACCAACAGTATCAGGGGTCTGCTTTCTCGGGTGCTGGTGGCCGTGGGGCACCGACGTCCAACTTTGATCGTGCCGGTGCCCGTGATAACGACAAGGGGACTGGCGCGAGCGCCCTGGACGACACCGACGTCGCTGGCGTCAACTTTAACAACTACAGCCGGGACGCTCTTATGAGAAAGTTAGCAAGAACTGATGAGCCCCCGAGCGCAAACACTGAGCGACAGATTCTCAAACCCAAGACGGAGCCGAAGCCGCTGCCTGTCAGCGTGAGTCAGGCCAGCCGTTGCGTTGTTCTGCACAACATGTTCGATCCCGATGAGTAAGTCTAGTCTCGCGTTCATCGTATCTGATATCGGAGCCATTGTTTGCTAATCGTGGTGCAGGGAGGAGGGAGACAACTGGGTCAAAGAGCTGGAGGAAGACGTTCGTGAGGAGGCGGAAAACAAATACGGCCACGTCGTCCACATCTCCGTCGAGCCCAACTCAAAGGGAGATATCTATCTCAAGTTTGACAAGGTGCAGGGCGGCGAAAACGCGATCAAGGGCCTCAATGGTCGCTACTTCGGCGGCAGGATGATCACTGCTGCGCCGGTGGTAGATGCCGTCTACGCCAGTCTCTTCCGAGCAAACTCCAAGGCTTTCTGAGTCGCTAATCCGGATCCGCAAATGCTTTGCTCTAGGCTTTCTCCCAACCGGTAAGAGAAAGCATAGGCGACACGCAAAATTTCAGCGGTACTGATGACTGCAAGATACAATTACTGCTCAGCCGCTTTCCCTCGTGGAAGCGCTCGACGGCGCCGTCGAGCTCGATTCATCTCTCGACATCCCGATCGCGGCAGTCACCGCATCTCGCTGCTTCTTCTGGACCCTCTCGGCAAGCACGGTTGCAGAACGGACAACAGGCTGGTTTGATCCCGCAACTGGAACACGACCACTGACGGGTTACGAGTTACAGGTTCCCACTGAACTGGTAACACAGTGCACGACAACTCAGCCCATCTTTTCACTGATTATTATAGTACCCGGCGTTTGAGTCTCCGGTTCCTTCTTCCTCACACGCATTCCGTTTCGAAGAACATTATCTTGGAGTTGGGGTTACTTGACAAGATACTGATGATTGTACATAGGAGGATCAATAGTTTGACGTCTCCTTCCGTCATTCCTAGCTGATGACCCAAGATGCTCGACGTCTAAGCGAGCGATTAATGGAACAATTAGATTGCTGAAAATCTCTTACTGAGAGACGCTGTTTTGTGTGATTGTGTGCTTCATCCAGGTGGCCCGGCCCAAAGTTTATGGGCGTTGAGTCACGGGCATATACCTACCTACCTAGGTAGGTAGGTAGGTATGCAGTTCAGTGGCGATTTCGTCCCTGAGCGCACAGCCCGGTAATTCATCACCCGTCTTCCGTCTACGAGCATGCTTAACCTTTCTCCCACTCAACTTGCCCTGAAACTTTAGATAATTCTTGAGGGGGTCTTGAAATCCAGCACCATCAACATTAAAAGACCAAAAAGCGGTCTAAAGCTCATGTTCCTCATCCCAACCGCTCATGCTTTGCCAACATGCCTTCAATGTCCGTCCTCCCTAAGCATATGAACGTACGTACCCTCACTCCATCTCGTACTGCTCCTTTTTCAACCGTTCAATGATTTGGCGAGTCACGCAAGAGTGCCTTTCAAGCGTTGTTGGGGAGAAATGAGGTTCTGTCCGTTAACCTCAGCCACGTTCTCTGGAAATGCGGCATATGGGATCCTGCGCCATCGAGGTGGAGCTGTGCAATTCGGCTCTACGTGGGTATTCTTGCCCACTGCAGGCAACCACACCGCAAGAGCAAGTCACCACTTTGCTTCCATGACTTGGTTTTATCCATGTGCTTCGTTGTTCACCCCCCCCCCCCACCCCCTTGCTCTCCTTGCTTGCGTGTAAGTCTCCTCCGCAATTCATTATATCATGCAACTGCCATAAGTCATGCTGCTCGTCTCTTCAAAATGGAAGGTACGGCCAGGTAATCAAGCACTTATAAGTTGGCCGGCTCCCACTTGTCTCTTATTATATCCCTCAAGTGCTCTCTTATCAAATGTATCATGCGTGTGCTTCTCATCCCCAACCACGGCCTCCGGTAGAAGCCAGCCGTCTTCTAGCACCCCTCACATCCACTGGCCCTTGGTAGTGATTCATATATCTTCCTAGGCACAACTGACGGGGCTCGCTTGGTTCGACGTGACTTGGCCTTCTGGCTTCTCTCGATTTATCACGGCCGTGATTCTTCTCCTGGAAAATCTCTCGTCTAGGGCCTACCAATTCTGGTTTCCCAGCATATCAACCGAACATCAAAGCCCGATGCTCGATCCTCGGCACCGCGTAACAGCTCATGCCCCGCTCCCTTCCCTCCGGTTCGGTGGCCTTGTTCCGGGAGCTCTTCGTAAGTCACAGCCCGCCGGCCGCTTTATACGGATTCTCGCAACCATCTGTTCGATCATCAGCCTTGCTAATGGAACCAAAGGGACTGGCCCCACCGCATAATGTTACTGAGGCACAAATAGAGCCTTGCTCCCTGATGTCTGGCCGGAAGCAACATAAGCCATACATACCTTCCGCAGTCCAAAATTCACAAGCACATGAAAAGCCACCCAAAAGAAAGTGTCTCAACTTTTGAAATATTTGTATCTGTTTGAGATGCCGGATCCCGGTGGTGGTCATATCAAGAAGACCCTGACAAGCATTCCGAGCTGAGCACGTCGGCTGATTCCCATTGCCGGTATGGAACATGGAGACGATGGGTATCGCCCTTGTGATAGCCATGGATACTGATATCTCAGTTTCAGAGATGAGGCCTTCTCTCTGGAGGACAGACTATGGAAAGAAGTTGGTTGAGCCGATCACTTATGGCCTCAATGTTGACATCACTACTGCAGTGTGCACAAACATGCCGTGGTCCGGAGCTCCAGGAGTGGCTTTCGATCTCATACCAGTAATTTGAGTGTACAAGAAGTGGCCTAAAGTTATGGCCACCATAGCTTTGAGGAAGACAAAAGCTTATTGTGCAGAAACAGATGAGGAATGCACAGCTTGGCCCAGACTCAAGGCCACGGTATGCCCCTGAAAGGCTGCTGTAGGGCATGATATCCGGCAGCTTCTTGCAGGGCCTCTTCGCAACCAGCAGCCAGCATGATGGTCATCTGCTTTATTATTCCATTACAGTCCCATGCCAGGCCCATGGACTGGGGTACGCCCTCGTCCTCTTGTGTGGGTCCGTCTGCGGTCTCGGCTTGGCTGCTCCCTGCTCCCAAGAAGGGTGCCGCAGTGACTGGGCACAAAGGGATGAGTTGCCTCACTCACGATACTTGTTTATTTTACCTTACCTTTAGGGGCAGAACGCTCTGCTAGCTTCTGTAAACAGATAGCTGTTTGCAGACTCCCTTCTAGTATGGGGGTACCGCTGCCTACTGCGATCTTTTAAAGCAGTCCCTCCTGCAACCGACACCATCAGCCCTCCCCCTCCTTTCCCTTCCCTTCCCCCTTCCCCCTCCCCTTCCCTTTCTTACCTTCACAGTCAGTTTGAACAGCCTTCCATCAACCTATTCCCTTTACCATCTTCCTCTTAAGTCTGGAGAGACTTTCCCCCCCTGATATCCCTCACATCACCACCTAGTACGGCATTCAGGCCAGCAGCATTTGTTCGAACAGCAGTGTCGTGAACGTCAACAACACGGCAGCAGATCTTCTTGCTCGCCTGTGTACTTGCGTACGTGCGTGACACCTCCATTCTTCTTGACACTGGGGGTGAATTACAGGTAAGCAGACATCCCCAAGAGCACACGTGACAGACCTGAACAACACCACACTACCTGGGGGAGACACAGCTTGTCAAACCAATGCTCCTTGACCCAATTCTCATCAACACCATGGCTAGCATCAACTAACCCACTCATTCATTGCAAGCTGACTGGTGGTATACAGGCAGCGTAGTCCATCACACAGTGTCCGGATCAGCAGCAAGTGTGTTTGTGCACACAACACAACACGCATACGCTCCTTCTTGGATGCCATGAGCTCACTCGTATCCGGAAGTGACCTGTCTCAGCAGGCTCCTGAGCCAGGTTCGGATAACAGGGAGCACGCTCAGTTGGTGACTATGTCCAGTCCTGAGGGCGTCAAGCCAAAGCTGTATCTTCCGTATGTATTTCCTCCACTGGTAAAAAGCGTGAGCAGCTACTCAGCTAACTTTGTCCCACAGGTCGACAAGCCCACAAGACACAAGCTGGCATACCGACACCCGTGCTCTGAGGCTGTACCGGACTCTTGAGCAGATGACCCAGGGCGTGGTACGTCTCAGCGTGTCTTGCGAGTTTCTGCTCTTTTTGCCGCTGTTTTAGGCTTTTCATCTGCAATAATGCTTCATTCCCGGCTTCAGACTCATTCAGGAGGGAGGAGGCCGTCATCTCAAGTGATGGTCACCCAGTCCAGAGGGACTGGAAACTCTCATTTCCTTTCTCAATCCAGAGGGATTGGGGACACCAGCTGATTCTGCAGTCCAGAGGGACTGTAGTTGTATCCTGGGCCGGAGTGAATGTGAGTCTCCTGCACAGCCGAGCTGGCATCCTGACGGCAGTCTGTCATTGTGCAAGCTGCATTCTGATGTCTGCCCCTGCCCTTCACCCTGCCCTTCACTTCCAAACCGTTTGCCTGTTACCTCACCAGAGAGCCCTCGTTTGTCTGAAGCAGCTGGGCTGTAGCATCCGTCCCATCTCTGGTGGCCGTTGGCAAGATCACACAAAATCCCAAACAGACCTGGGCTGCCAGACTGTCCAGACTGTCCAGACTGCCAGAACCTTCCCTCCATCAGAATCTTCACCTTTTAATCAAACCACCTACAACTTCTTTCGAACCACCGACAACTTCTTTCGACACCCTCCCCTTCAATCTTGCACATCCCCCAAACGAGCTGTCCAGTGTTCTGCTTTGGTCTGCTTGGTTCTGCTTCGTCTTGGTCTTCCCAGCCCCCAACCATTCTTCACAACATAGCCTCACTCCCAAACACGTCAATTCTTCGCTTTCTTGGTGTGTTTGGCACGCGAAAGTAGCAACCTCTGCCCTCTCACACCGACTGCCCTCTTCGAGCACAGTCGTTCGTGATAGTTCACTGTGCCACTCTGGAGCCATTCACAACAGACCTTGTTCTGGAGTACATTGGGAATCGTTTTGGTCCTTACAGCCCTTGCCTCTTTGTTTCGCTCCCTTCTTTTGCATAATCACTCAAAGCCAAAAATGAGCTCCTCCAAGTCATCGGCTGCTGGTGGAGTTTCGCTCAACTCACCAAAGGAGTCGACGGTCATGTCAATGGATTCAGCTGACCCACGGGGACAGACTCCCTCCACCGACAACTCGTACCGTTCAGCTCCAATCAGGGGACCTGCAAACACTGTCGGTCGAGAGGAGCCAGGCGATGAGCCAAGCACCGTGGACCTTGTCAATGTAAGTATCTCCATGGCTCGCGACAGCTCACGTTACCAGGCGGTCAAAGTCTGACTTGGCAAACGCAGGAGGTGCGCGGCGTGTGCACGAATGCGCAGGAGAACTTGCGCATGCTGAACCAGGCCGTTCACTGCCAGCCTGGAATACCTGGGAGAACCGCCGATATGATTGGCAATGACCTCTTGGCCGTGGGACACCAGTTCATTACAATCGGTTCCGTTTGTAATGCGTTGGAGAAGAGGCTCGACGAAGACAAGCGGGACCATCACCGAACAGTGATGGCTGAGAAAGCCGCACATGAGGCTTACCATACAGGCCTTCATGGACAGCTCACAAAGGCCAACATCACGATCGACGAGCACAAGGATCGAGTGCGGCATTTGGAGCAGCAGGTCGCCAAGCTCGAGAAGAACCCAAAGGCCGACGTAGAGGCCAAGGTGCAAAAGCTCAACGAGAAGGTGGTCAATCAGAAGCGCCGAATCAACGAGCAGCAGGCGCAGATCGAGGTATGATTACTACTGGACACCTAGAGCATTCGATTTTGGGCATGCAGCTAGCTGACTTGAGACCCCAGAGCCTGAAGCGGAAGCTGAGAGGCGAAAGCAAGTCCGACAAGTTCGCCATGATCGACAGGAATGACACCGACAGCCCTTCTTCGCTGGGATTACCTCACTCGGTCACTTCTGAACTTCCGCCGAGGAAGCACAGGAGTCCCCCCGTCCCCCAGCCGAAGATGAGGTCGGCCATCAATGAGAACGACGAGATCCTTCTCAACAAGCTGAGAAGCAGCGTTGACGGCAGCCACGGTTTCCCTCCACCTAATGGACTCGCCCGAATGGACAGGGACAGTTACTTCCATGGCGGACATGCTCTGGGGGGCCCCTCGCTCGGTGACTTTGGCAAGCACCATTCGAGTGCGGTTGGTCCCAAGAACCCCCTTGGTGGCCCTCCAGGCTACTACGGTCCCTTCCCTCCTGCGCCTTCGTACCCTGCTCCGTCCTATGGTCATCACACTGGTGGCTCTACCCACGGCCCACCCGTGTCACACCACACATATGGCATGTCGAGCATGCAGCCTCCTGCTGTTTCTCTGTCCAACCCCCGAGCCGGCTTCTCAGGCTACGTCCCTCACACACGTCCTAGCCACGCCTTGGTCGTTCGAAAAGACGACGATCCTACCGACGCCACCTGGAGAGGCTTGTTCCAGAAATTGTTCGACGCTGTCAAGGGCTGGACAGACGAGGCGGACGAGAACATCGACCCTGCTATTGTTGACCGCGTCACCAAGGTCAACGACAGGCTTTGGCAATACATTCGGAGTCTTGCCTCGTGCTACAAGGACCCTCAGAGCACGTCTGATCATGCTCTCTTCCTGCTGAAGTCCAAGGATCACCGGGCGAAGTTCATCACTCGCTTGATCCTCCAGTACATTGAGCAGGAGATACTTCGTCCCAAGTTTTGGATGGGTTGGGACCGCGAACAGGACGAGATCCTGAAGTCATCCGTCCTCCCCGTGCTGGACAGTGCAGCCTCCCTCGGCAGGCGCCGCACCGCACGTGAGCAACTGAAGAGTGTGGTTGACTCGATTGTCAAGGACCCGCAGTACAAGACGAAGAAGCATGCTGCCAGGATGTTCCACGCCGAAGCCCTCAGGGAGATCGCAGGATCTTTCTACCCGAGCAAGACCCAGAAGGAGGATACCATCGTCGGCCTGTACAGCATCGTCAACATCGCGGTAGAGGCGAGCGCCCAGATGATGCAGAGCCGTCTGTCCTTCTCATTCATCTGGAATGAGTGCGGTGTCAAGTTCAGCCACGAATCGCACGTGGCCATCAACGATCACCTCAATGGCTACGCGGTGCAGTATAACAAGCACATGCGTGTCGCCATCGTCGTCACTCCCGGTGTCAGCTATCTCGACGACACTGGGCCCAGCATCGTGCCCCACAGCCTCTTCAAGGCGAACGTCATGGTCATGCAGTAAACGAAACCATCTGCCTGGCAGTAATGCATGACGAATTCGACGCATGTGTCCTCGGGAGAATCTGACAATGACTTGTGGTCTCTTTACGGCCTCGAGACGGTTCTTTGTCGCCCTCTTGGCACAACCTCACGTCTTTTCTCGGCCTTCTTGTTTTCGGTTGGATGGTATTCTCAGCTACCCGACTCGTTTTCTTTTCATGCTGCTCGGGTCTCCAAGTCATCGAGGTCGGGGCAGCACTTCCTGGCGTTTCTGCTTTTGATTTGGCTGTGCTTTCACGACCGGCCTCGACCTCGTCTACGGCTCTACCCGCCCTTAATGATGATGAAGCTTTTTTATCTCGGTCTTTCTTCGTTTTTCCTTTTTGCGGCCTCTTGGTTTGGACTATGGCTGGTATGCGGCGTGATTTGGAAACAGTCGCCACAGCCTCTTTCTTCCGAGTTTTGTGTGTCACGGGTGATATTCTCCCTTTGATGAGGCACGCCAGGGTCAACGAGGGGACACGGATACATGATAACTACGATGCGTCCGACATGAGGGGTGTGACGAGTGCATCGGGAATTGAGGTGTTGGAACTGCTAGGATCTGGAGAGCTCTGGGCCAGGGCCATTGGTTGACGATGGAGATGGTCCCAGGTTGGTCGAGTAGAAAATGACACTGCTCGCGGACATCAAACTAATGCTCTCTTGCTACATGTGATGCCAAGGTCGTTCCAGAAGGTGACTGTTTGGGGGGCTGTGGTGTTCATCTGCCGTACGCTGGTTCCCCATGTATAAGAGATCGGAGATTCACACCCGTAAAAGTGGAGGGTGCACTCGAGCCTCATGGGATAACCTCCCGTGGGATGACCGGTTTATTGCTAACCTGAGTACTTTGACCCCCTCGACGTCCTGGAGCTTCTCCAGTTGTCATTAGCTGTATCTACTTGGTTAGCCGTACATAGGTGTGTACCCTCGGTTTTTGTGGGGTTTAATCTCTGATCTCATGTATAAGATGTTGGAAGTACGCCTAGCATTTCATCTTGCGCACACCCATTCGCACATTTTAATGTGACCAAGCCAATCGTAAATCGAAAAAAGACGTCACCCCAATTGATGCTTTCCAGGCGATCACGCATTTACAACGCCTTCTTTTCAGGCACAGATTCGTACCCCAGGTGGGGCAGATGTCCAGGTAATGTCATGGGATTCCGCTTATATAGCCTTTCAGACGTACCAATTTCCTTACAGAAAACGCCCGTAACTTTAATTTATACTCTATCACCATACTACTACCATCCATACCACGAGCTGACTCAGTTGTCACCATATTTCTTGAACCTATCTCAAGGTCAGTAGACTGGATTTTACCAATGTTCTGTGATATCACTCACTTGTTGACAACCCTCTCGATGCCGTCACATCCGAGCTGCAGCGTCTCCATCTTGGGCCCGTACGAGAAGCGCACGAAGTGGTGGCAGGGCGAGTCAAACAGGTCACGACGCCTGGCCGGGTTGAGGTCGAAGAAGATGCCCGGGACGACGATGACCCTCTCCTCCAGGCAGGCCTGGAAGAAGTTGAGGCCGTCGCTGATGGGGCCGGGGAGGCCCTCCAAGTTGAGCCACAGGTAGAAGGTCGAGTCGGGCACGTACTTGATGACGAAGCCCATGGTGCGCAGCCTCTTGACGACGTAGTCGCGCTTCTCACGGAAGTGGGTCTGCAACGCTTTCATCTCAGCCCTCACTGTGAGGTGTTAGTACCTGCCTCGAGGGCCGTTTCTGTGAAGAGTGACATGGGAGGCAAGGCCCAATAGCGTACCAAGAGTGGGCTCAAGCATGGGCACGGCGGCCTCCTGGAAGGGGGCGTTGGTGCCACCATCGAGGTAGGAGCCGCAGGAGCCAATGGCCTTGATAAACTCCTTGGGGCCCAGAATCCAGGCGACACGCCAGCCGGGCAGGCGGAAGCGCTTGGTCAGGCCGTCGATGATGAGGACGTCATCCTCGTCGACGTCGACGACGTTCTCGGCCGCGGAGATGGTGGAACCGTCGCAGTTTGAGGTATAATTGTATCCCGAGTAGAATTCGTCGCTGATAAAGGTGGCGCGCCCGCGGCAGATGTCCTGGATCTCCGCCAGCTCCGGGTTCTGCACAACCCGCCCCGTCGGGTTCCGGGGGTTCGAGGTCAAGATCACGCCCGTTCCACGCATAATTTCTTGCGAGATTTTGTCTGGTGATATATTGTATCCGTCTTCCTCGTCCAAAGGCACGGGAATAGCAGCAAACTAGAAGGAGGGTGGTGATATGTGAGATTTCTCGTTGCCGCCACGAAACGCGGTGGGGTTGGACTAGCCGGACTCACATTCCTGAACAGGGACAACATCTCATTGTATGCGGTGTAATCTGGGATGAAAAAGCCAAGGTATGCCTGATTGAGCACGGCAGCGATCCTGATCAGACCGGCACGACCTCCAGGAACGATGGCTACGTTCTCCCACGTGTACTGGCTCGGCTTCCCCTGGCGATGATGCTCGTTGTACATCTTGGCGACGGCCTCGCGAAGGGGCTTGATGCCGGCGGTGGGGGCATATTCTCTGCTCGCAACGGTTATGTCGATATGGGTAGGCCTCTGAAAGCAGCCCTCGATGTCATCCTCGACCTAGCCACAAGGGGAGAGAAGGTCAGTAAGTGAGTATCCTCCGGGCTTGTCCGGCGGCCGTAGGCACCTACCTCAGGGGCACCCTGACCCAAGTTGGCCCATCGCTCTGGCTCCTCGAGGTAGCCAAATTCGCTTGCTCGCTCGGTGCACCAGACGACACCAGTAGAGGACCTGGAGGGATCCAGGCCAGCGTGCGGCAAATGGCCCCTACAGACGTAAACATATATATGTAAGTGCGTGCTCTAGCGGGCTGATGGTCGCTGTAGGTCCGGTCTCGTTGACGGGCTTACTCGTGAGCAGCTCGGAACTGCCGATGGATCTTGGAGCTGTGCTCTGGATTTCGCAGAAGCAAGTCATCAGCAAATTGCCGTGAAGCTGGAGTATGGTGGGGTGTTGAACAGCCAAGACAGCCAAGACAAGACAGCTAGCAGCGTCCGAACTTACCAGTGGCACTGGGGTCACCAAGAGAGAAACGACGCTCCCGGGGCACGCCAGTGTTACGGTTGATTGAGAACTTCCGGTTGGCAAAAGCCCCGACGACGGAAGCCATGGCGTTGGACATGTTGGGCAGCAGCAGCAGGTTCACGCAGGTGGTGGTTCTGCAGAGATTTTGGCGATTCAGTCCGTCGAGGGCAGAAAAGATAAAGACGTCAGCGTCCAGCCACAACAGTCTTCAGGGGCCAGTTTGTCGAGCCTGGACTTTGGTCCAAAACAAGAAAACAAGGAGGCGGACTATAGGGTCACAGCTGTGGCCCCTGCGCTGAGAGCTGAAAGGGGACAGCTGAGACCAAGAGGTGTCTAAATACTGTGGGCGTGGGCCATGTGCCCCAGGAAAGCAGCCCGCCGGGCAGCTCACCGTCGCCATGCTTGACACCCGGCGCCTTTGATAGGTTACCCGTCGGGCAGACAGACACGAGGCATTCCCACACCATGCGGCTTGATTGGTTTCCATCAGGTAAACTCGGGGGCGGTGGACCTCCTTGATCCCTTATTCCTAGTTTGCCTGCTTCTTTGCGCCTCACACTTGCCTGATGCTATGCTGTGTGCTCCGTAGCCGGCTACCTTTAAAACATGCAACACATGCACGCATGTCTCGCATGGTGACACCAGAATGTGAGCCACTGGGCCCGTCAACGGTCCATTTGGGCACCTGCGGATTCAACTTGATGGAGACCTGTCTTGTACCCAGATACTGCCCCGGAAGAGGACTGATTCAGTGCTCTCTGGGCATGGCAGAGACAAAGGCGAACAATAGTGCAGCCCAGTGCCGATGCCCCCCACCTGAATCTCCTGGATCGAGAATCAACCCCACCAGACGAGAACGCAACAGCGGGGTAGGTACAGCAAGGCGGTGACGGCTCCATCCCTGTACAACCTCTCACTCAGCCTCTCACTTACCATACCCAGCTCAACATTATGACAGCGATGGGACACATGAGATGACATGGGAACTGCAGTCTCGGTAAGATCACCATTGCCGAATGTCCAAAAGACTGACGGTTGTTCGTAGAGTAGGAGAAAACAGTAGCGCACACCCAAGTGCACTAGGTTTTGCTCCCAAGACCCCCACAGGTGGCTGTCTTTCTCATGAGACACTAGACCACTAGAGGTCAGAGACCATAGGACTGTATTGGTAATAAACCAAATCACCTACCCCATACAAGGTTATCCCGTAGAACGTATAGGTGACGTATATATGGGGCTGTACTTGTGTGGGTGCACACAGTACCTCTACTTTTGCTAGTGTAAACCTTTGATCTTTTGAAAATCGGCGGCTCAAGTCTCCCATGAGCCGACGTGGAATATAACGCTCTCTAGGCAACGAGAGACTGGTAGATGCGGCCTTGGAACCAGCTGGGCCTGCCCTGCAAGGCCTGGCATTAACCAGCGCTGCATGCGACGGGCTGGTTGGGTCAGGGCGGCCGTGGAGCCCCCTTGGGTCACCCCAACGAGAGGAAGAGGCGTACAGTTGGGTGACAGACCAGAGGCCCGCATAGCTATGACGCCGTCATCCTCGCCAGGCCTCACAACAATGCTTGGACTATGGTCGGTCGTACTGATCTGCAGGATGGGCTCGGATTCAGCGTGTCCCTGGCCGCGACCCAAGAGGCCGGAGCCGACAGTCTTGGCGACACTGCGAAGCCGAGAAGGATGGGGCGGCCGGATGAGCCCCCTGACCCCGGGCCGAGGGGAAGGGGCCTGGACGGAATGTTGGACTCCAGGTCTTGGGCCGCACCAACATTCTACTCTCCGCCCAATGTTCTGCCTGATGCTCACATCTTACCCCCGGCCGCGCCGTAAAAGGCCTCACCGCAGCCATCACCCGGTCTATCTCCCGTGCCATAGGTGGGCAGTGAGATGCGTGACTGTCTGACTGTCTACCACATGTTGAATGTGAGTGGTGCGCAAGTGACCGAGATCCTGTATCCGGACAAGGCAACGAGGCGACCACTCCTAAGAAGTCTAAACTGTCCCTGAATTTCAAAGCCCCTTGCAAAAAGGCCTCGCTTATGCAGGTACCTGGCGGGGTCTTGTCGGGCCTGTCTCAGTCAGCCATGTGGCAGGTGGCAGCAGATGATGAGGGGTCGGGAGGCAAGGGGTGAGGAAAGCCTCAGCCTGAGCCTCAGCCTCAGCCTCAGCCTAGCCCAGCCCACATGATACTAGACCAACAGGTTTGCAATATTTTCACCCGTACTGTGCCATAAGAAATTGGTATGTGTTAGCATCAAATTCGAAAATTATCAGTCGCCCATGTGCACGGCACAGCCTCTGGGCGAATGCCACAATCACATCATTAGCTTGTTAGGCAGAACAGGCCGTCATGCACGGAGTAGACGGGCTTGTATGTAGACTGCTTATGCACATGCCCAGATGGGTGCCAAGCCTCATTATATGCATGTTGTGACACCACCGCCGACCACTAATACAAGGCGGCAGTGGCAGTGCTGACAAGTGTACTCCTCTTTCTACACCCGAAAGCGGTGCGTGGCAGCCGGCGAGGAGACTCAGCCGCCGGCGGCGCACACAACTAACAGTCGGTCGCTAGTCATCCGTCCCAGTAGGATGATGCGGCCGCGGCCCTTTTCCCCTTTGCTCATCAAACCACGCCTAGGTAGCCTTTGTGCAAGTGGTAAAACGTCCGGTATGTTGGTCTCGATCCCTCCAGTCTAGTTTATCAACAAAGGAGCAGTATCCCAAGCGGGCTGGCCCAGATGGTGAGCATTCCACATTGCAGACTGCTGCGGGGCAAGGCAGTCAGCCACAAGGCATACACGCCGGCTGCCATTTGATCTGGTCTTTGGATGATGGCAATATGATAAGAAGGCGCCGTTTGTTTTCAAAGATCAAGTACGGGCGGGCAATCACCATCAACGGCCAGCTCCTTCTCCATCAACAAACAGGCCACCAGTCATCAGCCACCAACCGTCAACACGCCGTCTGAAGGCTGCCAACAGACCGGCCAAGTCCAAGTCGAAATCCATCTGCAAGTGCCAACCCCGAGTGCAAGTCACAGCACAAGGGCCATTCATTGCTTGCTTCTTGTCTCCCTTGAGCAGCTCTTTCTAAATTAGGAGTCACCCTGCGGCCCCAGCCGTCTGCATCCCTTGTCTCCAAAGTCCTTATTGTCAACAACCAACCTACATCGATACAGCCTCCGGGCCCTTCTTCCTCCCTCACAAATGTCTGACCTGCTCATCCACCCGTCCACAAACAGTTCTCGCCATAGTCGATTAAGCCGTCGCTCATCAGCACCTCGCCACAAGCCCAGCCCTGTCGCACCCAGCATGAGCAGCAACAGGAACAGCTTTCTCGGCTCTATCAAGGGCTCCATTAAGGACAAGCTCTCGAGGTCCCCCAGCAACGCCTCGCAGGGCTCTACCAGACAGCCTCGCCATCAGCCTCAGCCCCAGCCTCAGCCTCGGGGCAACAACCCCTTCTCAAACCCCTTCTCCGCTGCCGCTCCTCCCCCTCAGCCACCTCGTGAGTCCCGCCTCTTCCCATCTGGCAAATCGTCACAGGACACAGGATCTGACAAACCTGCTGCAGACAATGAGCCCCCTCCGGCATATACTAGTGTACCCACTGCCGGGCCCAGCACCTATCCATCAGCGCCGTCGCCCGCCTATGCCGCCCGGGACCCAAGCCCCGCGCCCTCTAGGATTTCCGCTATCACCGTTACTACCCCAGAGGACCAGTATGCCTTCCTGAGCTCTTTCGACACCATCTTCCTCATCGACGACAGCGGCAGCATGGTCGGTCGGTCCTGGCGGGAAGTCCAGTCAGCCCTCTCGTCCATCACCCCCATCTGTACCGCTCATGATGCCGATGGTGTCGACATCTACTTTCTGAACCACCGGTCGCCCTACCCCGCCAGCCAGTCACAAGGCAAGCCCCCGGGCGGCTACACCAACGTGAGAGATGCTGCTGCTGTGGAGCGCATCTTCACATCCGTCCGCCCCGGTGGCATGACGCCCACCGGCACCCGGCTCAACCACATACTCAAGGCCTACCTTCGCCACTATGAGGCGGCCGTGGACCGAGCCGGCGGCGACCCGGATGGCACAGATGTGAAACCCATCAATGTCATCATGATCACTGACGGTGTGCCCTCCGATGACCCCGAGTCCGTCCTGCTGTCCGTCGCCCAGAAGCTCGACAGGCTGGAGGCCCCGCCACACCAGGTCGGCGTGCAGTTCTTCCAGGTTGGCAATGAGCCCGGTGCGGCTGATGCCCTTCGGACCTTGGACGATGATCTGGCCGAGATGGGTGGTGGTGTCCGCGACATGGTAGACACTGTTACGTTTTCATCTCGTGGCGATGCCGGCAGGAACTCAGCCCCAAGTTTGAGCGCAGACGGTATCCTGAAGGTGGTTCTCGGTGCTGTTGTGAAGCGACTCGACCGTGCTAGGATCATGGATGCGGAGCGGAGAAGTCAGAGGAGCGGCAGAAGCAACATGCTGCATCCATAGGACGGAAGCCAGCAGTTTCTGCAGCCTCCTCAGCAGCAGTTTAGAGGTCAGAGAGGAGCCTACGATGGCAGTGGGCAACTGCCCCAGCGACCTTCTAAGTGGAGCCCAGGCCTGGAATATGGGCGGAAGACTTAGCAAGCGTCTTCTACCCAGCTCCCATATGACAGCAGTCCACCGGCTCTTCCTCCTTCTCACACTCGTCCTCCTATTGAACCGTTCGAATCGCATGGGCAACAACCACAGCAATTTGCTTGGCCTGACAATCCACAGGGAAGACCATCTCCCCCGCAGGTGTGGCACCAGCAACAAGAACAAGCTCTCCACCAGAGTCTGTATGACCGAGAGGAAGAGCAGCGGGCACAGGGCTTCTCTCCTCCACCTAGTGGTAACCTATGGTGGCAACCATAGACTTTTGCATTTTCCCTAGCTCTCAAATGCTGTCTGGCAATAGAAGGACACGGCGCCGGACTCCCTGGCATTGGTGAGGCGTTTTTGGTACGGCGTGAAACATTCATTTTTTTCCCTAGGAAGTAACAAGTCCATTTGATACCCGTCAGAGACAGGATCTCTCCTCTCAAAGAATTAAATTTTGAATTCCACAGCACTGAAGCAGCTCTCTCTACACATCGTGACGAATGAAACCAGCACAATGACTGCCTGACAGCTAAATTGATTGGCTAGTGGAATCTGATATTATGCGGTGATATGAGCTTGAGAAAGGATCGGGTCGCTTGGGGGGGGGGGCTTCGCCCAGCAGGGCTCGGAACGCATGGTTTGAGCCAAGTCATTCTCGTCGGATCACCCCATAGCCCTTTCTACGCACAAGATGCGGGATTGGACTTGAGGCGACACAGCCCGTGGCTCCCCAGATACTTCTGGCAGACAGGCTGTTGCTTCGGATATTGCACGCTTGCGGGCCGGATACGCGAGGGACTTGTGCATGGCAATTTTTGAAGACCGTGGGTCCCACAAAGCTCCAGCTCAGGAAACAATGATCAATCCTTCCAAAGTGGATCAGTTGTAGCCCGCGGAGTATTCCTACCAAACCAGGGAGGTTGACATTCGCTCGGGCACTCGATGCTGACTTGACCAGAGCTTGGATGACCTGCGAGAGCAGCGGGCTTACACGCGGCTACATGCGAGCAGGGGACCAATTCGAACTTCCGTCACACTTCACCTGCTGCAGGTCACCTGGGTCTTGCCATGACCTGTCATGTCACCGTAGGAGCCCTAATCCCTCGGAATCACTCACCAGTCACCCCCACGGGTCATGCCAGCCCTCATTCGCATGCAGTCTCTCGATTAGTCGACCCGTTCTTGGCGGCAACGTTGTGTATCCTGTGGGTGTGTCAAGCACGAAGGTTCTTCCTCGGGACAACTCCGGAACTGGTTAGTCATGAAGACTCAAGGTAATTCAAAGATTTAATCCTTGGCCAGTATGAACCCGGAAATAGTGACACTTTGAGGAGCATGGAAAAAGCCGCGTTGAGCGGCGGCGAATATGTTGTTTCCGAGCTTGGACCACCCGGCCGAAAGACCCCGTTCTGGGCTCCCGAGGTAAGTTTATTCTAGAAGCGACCCGAATACCAATCGCCGATGAGCCTCAACAGAGGAGAAAAGGAGGGACAAGCCCAAGTCAGGCGCTTGAAATACCCGTATTTTCTTCTCATCAACCCGCCCTGGACGCTGAGCACACCTGACTCAAGTCAGCAATGAGGAGGACCTTTACGAAGCGTGCGAGTCTCGGCCAGCTTCACCGCAGCTCACTTGCGCACACCACGCCAACAACCACCACAATAATAAGCTCAACGGCCGCGGCAGGGAGAGCCCCCCACACCTGGACCCAGCAGCAGCAGCGGCAACAGCCTCGGCAGCGACCTTGCATTGCCCCCATCGTCAGCCGCGTCTACCCACAGCTGCTACCACATCATTACTACCACTCGAGCAGCACCCGGCGGCAGCGGCAGCAGGAGGAGGAGGAGAGTGCGAGTGCCCGCACGCCCTCGCAGCCCGAGGCAGTACCAGGGAACACCCCGGCGGCAGAGCACGGCAGCACCATGGGAGGATCAGGAGCGACAGGGGCCAGCGCTGGCAGGCCCCCGACGTCGAGCACGCAAGCCGCACCCGGGAGCACACCAGATGGGCCCTCTGGGCCCGTGGCCAATCAGGCGGCGCCAGGCGGCCCAGGCGCGCCGAATGCGTCTGGGGCCGCAGCAGGGCACGCCGCAGATCTTCGCGAGAGTGCGGGCGAGCGTGGAGAGGCTGCTGCAGGAGGACATCAAGGAGCAAGGGCCGCAGGGGTTGCTGAGGGGGACGTGGGAGGAGACGGTGCTGGTGCTGGTGCTGGGGCTGGTGGCGGTGGCGGGGACCCAAAGGCGCTTCCGCCGCCGACGGAGGATGGGAATAACGTCCAGACCCTTGAGGTCGACGGGAAGCCCATCAGCCTGGACCACTTGGGCCCACTGGTGGTTCACAAGGACGGCACCATGTCCAGGATCAGTAACTGGGGTGAGATGACCGAGATTGAGCGGAAAAACACACTGCGGATCCTGGTGAAGAGGAACCAGGTCAGGTTGGGTGCTCTGAGGCAGGGATTGAAGACAGAAAGTGATGAGACCAAGTGATCAATCCGTCAATCTTGTGTTTGGATGAGAATTCATAACATTATCATACGCGCAGGACATATCGTGAACCAGAATTACATTTGCCACATAGACATAAACATGAAATCAAGTCAAGTCCAGTCACCCATATTTTCCCCATGTCCCAGGGGAACTATGCTCCTCGCCCAATTTCTCTGCCCGTGCCGCACGGAGCAGAACCATAATGTTGGCTGAGCCTAACCCCTAAACGCCTGCCAATGTGTGTGCAACTAGGGACGCCCTATGAGTTCCTAGTAGCCATGGGTATATACTCCAGAACAGACCACCCGATGGCACTGGCGTTATGAGGATGTCCCAGTCTTGGCCTTCTTTGCTTCCGGCGCCCCGTCCGTCTTGGCGATGATTTCGGCCTCAGCCTTCTCCTCCTTCTCCTCCTTCTTGGAGTCGCTGGTCGCTTGGGATGATGCCTTGCTCGAAGAGGAACCCTCGTTCTTCTCGATGACGAGCTTCTTTAGCCACTGGTTCTCCGTCTCCAGTTGTGTGATCTTCTGCTCCAGCGCGGCGACCTTCTCGGACATCTCCTTGGCGCTCTTCTCCAGTGCCTGCTCCCTCTGCTTCTTCTTAACGCGGAAACGGGCGCTGGCGGCCGTGTTCCGCCGGCGTTTGTCCTCCTCGGCTGCAACCCTCGAGACCTCCTCCATGTTCATGGCGCGGTTGGGAGTCTGAGGCTCAGCGGCCCGACGCTTATCGCCCGTCTTGGGCTGGCTGCCGGCATGGCTCGCGTACGCAGGGTAGACAGCCTGTGGGTTTGGCTGAATGGGTTGCAGACTTCCTAGGCTGTCGGGGAAGTTGTGTAATGTGGGGGACGCATATGCGTTATTGAAGTCGCCGAAGTTAAACTCTCCTGTGCGAGGCATAGTGCCATGATCAGCACGCGTAATTGACAGAAATTGTACTCATCAGTGTCGCGGAGACGGTAGAAAAACACGCCGCAAGGAGAGGCACAGGCTGGGGAGAGAAGATTGGTGAACAAGCTTCACAGCCCCCAGTATGTCGACCATGTCAGACAGACATATCAAGAAATGGACGACGCGGACCCATGGGGGACAGTATGTAGTATGCGGATGGGTGCAGTGAGGCATGGGTTCTGTCGGTTCTGGGAGAGGGACAGTGACGCTGCAAGGTCACGGGGTATTGCGCCATCGATGGCCAGTATGGCGGATGCATATCTGGCACTACCCCAGAGGCTGCAAGCCTCGCAGGACGCAGCTGGGATTGACATTTCCTCGAATCTGAAGATGGCCTGGGCCAATCAGACTGGCGGCTGATGGTGCAAGCTGGGAGCATGCGGCAGGCCGCAGGCCGCAGGTGCAGGGTGGGGAAGCAAGGCTGGTCCTCCGTGCGCGATAGCAGAGTGCCATTGGCTTTTCGATCGGATCCTCGGGGCAGAATAGAGGTACTCGGAACCGGCCTGAGGCTCAGTAGGCACTTGCCTCTTCCGCAACATCTCTCGGCACTCACCGTCCCCTGCCGAGAACACGGCCCCTCCCAGCCGGGGTACTTTTTGCCCCCTGTGAAAAGAGACTGGACTTTGGACCGTGATGTCCCGCAGTATCCCGACGTGACCAGAACCCCGCCAGGGCCTTGGAGCCGCACAGGGCGGGTAGGGTAGTGGGCAGTGCACAAGCAGAGCGACCAGACAAAGCCAAAATGCGATCCAGGCCCTCCAGCAACGCGGATCCGACGAAAATAGAAAAACCCCAAAGACCTACCATTGTTCATGTTGAAATCCATGCCCCCAAATTCTCCCGGGATAGTTGAAGTGGCTGATGTCGGCTCGGCTTTCGACGATGGCGGGCTGTCGGCCGCGGGCTTGAAATCGGTCTGGGTCTGGCTGTCGAAATCGAAGAATTGTGTGTTGGCGAACAAGTCCAAATTGTCGAGAGATGTGAAGTCCTCCTCGGGCTCGGAGGTTGACACGGTGTTGAGCTGTTCCCTCATGAACTGGGCCAAATGTGACCCTTGCCGCCCGTAGTTGGCCATGTCGACCTCTTGTGGTGTCGGTCAAACCGCGCGGTGATTACTGGACGCTCGCGGTCTCGCTGCCGGTCGCGGTCGAAGTCACGATCGGTGTCGTCGTGGCGGCGGTGTCGTCGTGGTTATGTTGTCGGAGGCGAGTGACTTTCGAGTCTCGATGGTCAAATTGACGGGTGAGTTGTGGTGGTCGGCGCCCCTGTTTGCAGCGGATGTTGAATGGGGTGGTTTGTGTCCTTTGGGGTAGAGATGCCACGAGTCGAGAGGGTTTTGAATGGTTGAGTCAGTTCGCAGGTGGGACCCAAGGTTGAAGTGGGAGTGTGGGAGTGGTGGTGCTAGTCGAATACGCCGACGATCGGGGGGTCGATTACTAGCGGCAGTCCCACACACTGTAGGAAAGGGTGGTTTGGCAGTAATCAAAAAGCAGTAAAGCCGAGCGTCATCCGAGAACCGTGCACGGCGCCGCGCCGACAGAAATAGGGCGTTTGTGGGCTCGAAGCGGTCGGAAACAAGCAGTAATGGGTTGATTGAAGGCCAGACTTGAACAGCAGGCAGGACACGATGTTCAGGAGTGCAGTGGGCTGGGCGGAGTGTTGACGAAGCCCTTTGATCTGGGGGGAGGGGGGAGATGAAAGAAAAAAAAGATGGTCAACGTAAGAGACCGGGGTCTGAACAAGGACATCTGCGGGGCCTCACGAGAACACCTCCGTGCAAAATGTCAGGCAGTCAGGGACTTCAGTGGGTTATCTCAAATGTTCAGATGCCCCTTTCCCAAGCGTTTTTTCAGTACAGCTTTCCCCACCTATTTAGTGTGGCGGAAGCTGGCGCAGTCAAAATGCTGACAAATATTGGGGAAACCTTTAGAGAAAATGTATTGGCTAAGAAGTCTGCTTACTAAAAAGCTGTACTGAACGCTTGGAAGGACATCTGAAACCAAAATGTAGAAAATCCAGATTAAAGGGACCAGTTTGTATGGTAATGAAAAGTACCCTCCTTCAACACTTCTCAATCCCAACACCTTCCCAACTAGTAATCCACATAGAAATAACATGTTGACAGAGAGAATTGGCAAGAGCTTCTTTTTGAAGTTTTTTTATTCCCAGAGCCCTTCGTTTGATTGAATGCAGCATACCCAATCGAAAAAACAATCAAGGGGACCCAAGTCACCCTTCCGATTGCCCATGTCGCCTTGCCCAGATTCCCTTAGAAATAGAGTGCAACCTGGTGGAAGTTAGTAAGAATTGTCATCTGAGGCTGGGAAGGGTACTTACTTGGAGAGAGAAGAGTTGTTGGGGGAGAAATTCGAATTTAGGGTTGGCTGGTGAAATGGGCGTCCCTTTGTCCTTATAAGGGGTGCATTTTGGTCACAGACCTCCGTGCGTTGAAAGCTGACCTCTCCTCTCCAGCCACACCTTAAGTAAGCAGTAGCCATGAGTCAAGCGCAGCTTTCCCAGCACGGAGGTCTGTGTGTCAGAGATAATCAGTGGGTGGGTCCCCGCTAACAGAGCGGCGGTAACCACCAGCCTGTGTCGGAAGGGCGCCTGGCACCTGGCCGTTTGCAAAAGCCGTGAGGGGCCCCTTCCGCCGTTAGAGGGGGAAATCTCTGATCCCGAGCTAATACACTAGACTGCCTCGAGAGCACCGGAATACCTATTACTGTGGTAATGCTCATCCCGCGCGGGGACATTCCCAAGATCGGAAGCGCCCCACCCTCAGGCCAGGCCACGACGCTTCTCTGACCAGGCTGGGCTCTTTTGTGCAGCCAGTCTTGCCAGTGACTCTCCCACTCGCCTGCCCGCCGGTTAAATTTGAAGCGTCGACCCACAGCACTACATCCCACATGGCGAGGGTGGAATTATCTAATAGGTGGCGAGGCCCTGGTCAGCTACCTCGGAGCTTGTTGCCCATCCCGCGCAACAAGCCATAGGACGCAATTGATGGCACGGGGCGCTTGACGTCTGGATAGGCAGCTGCACGCGGGCTGCTACAGTGTGCTTCGTGCCTCATCTGCAGTGAGTGGTCAGGGTGGTGTTGTCGCCGGCGCCAAGTCAACGCTGCTGACTGTTTGACAGCCGACTGACTGACCAGGATGACACGCCTGATCGCAGGGCACTGTGTACAAACCTACCGATCTCCTGCGATCTTTACAAAGAGGACGCTCGGAGCCCGGGCCCAGCGGACGACAGGACTCAGAGTTTCAGCCTCCAGCCAGCGAAAATGGCCCCGATCGATGCCGAACCGCCGGAGATGCACCGCAAGCCAAGCTGCCCAATGCCGCACCAACCACTCACAATGAGCCGTCGACTTACCTGTAGACGATGAACTGACCATGTTGACCCTGGATTTGGACTCGACCTTCTGGAAGGTATGTAGAATACAGGTACTGTGCCTGCACAGAAGTACTCCGTGCTCCAAGGTCGGATACAGCCAGCCCCGTCTGCAAGTGTGATGCAGTGACACAAGTATGCCAGGCAGCCCCGCCATTGCTGATAAATCAAGCATGCTTCTTTTCCGGTTCTTATCTGCAAGCGTGCGCGCACTCACGTTGTGACAGCTGAGAAATGCAAATGCCAAGCCGGCCGTTATCAAGGTTTCGGCTCTGCATTCGCTTAGATAAGCCCTGCCGTCGGTCCAGAACGTGCTCAGAGTCTCAGACTCAGACTGCCCGGCAGGCAGCCCGACCTCGACCTTGGCACCCGGGGTTCGCGTCACCCAGAGCCCCACGACGCGTCTCACCCCTAGTAGCCTGTTCCATCAACCATTGCATCATGGTATGAAGCGGTGCCGTCCCGTCACATGCCCTACGTACTCACCTTGCGATGATGCTCCACGTGGGCTCTGCCGTTGCCGTTGAGAAGAGATGGCGCGTATCTCAGTCCCCACCACCGCCCGCCTCCCTTCAACCTTGCGCCTCGAGCCCTCCAGCTCTACAGTCTTGAAGCAGCTCAGCCGTCTGAACCGGGCGTCCCTGCTCACGCTCGTACTTGACTGGCTCGACGACAACAATGCCTCCCTCTGTGGCCCCTATCTGCGGGACCAACAAGACGACGATGACGATGACGACCCCGCCGACCTCTATCCGCCGCTGTCCTCCGTGGAGGAGCTCCGGGACCTTTACTCCGACATGCAGAGCCGCAAAGGCTCGAAGCGCGAAGTTGTCGACCGCATAGTGGAAGGTGACTGGCGCCATGGCCTGACACTTTACCAGCTCTCTATGGCGGATCTGCAACACCTCTATCAGAATCCTACCTCCCAGAGATGGAGCGCATACCAGATTGTCCCCTTGAAAACACCCACGCCGCAGCAGGCTGCAGAAGACGATGCGCCTCCCAAGATCGACACTGCGTCCCTGAATGTGCCACGCTTCCATCCGTCTACATTCCTGCACAGCCTCCAGGCCCAGGTGCTGCCTGACGTGAAGTCGCACTACAGTTTTGACCGGCCCAAGGACATGGCCTTGCTGCTGCTGCGCATCTTCATACTCGACTCCCCTTACAATACCAAGCTAGCGACATCAGCAGCCGCTGGTGACGCAAGCCGGACAATATACGTGGCATTTCCTGACGGGAGCCCACACATATACATTAGCAAGCCGCAGAGCATCGGCCCAGCTGCCAGCAGTGAGACCAAGAGCCTTCACGCACTCGTCATCGAGGGAATACCCAAGGCTTTATCGCGACCGAGGCGCAGATACACGCTAAAGACCACTTCCTTGAACACGAGGAATATCCAGGAGTTGCTGGACAGACGAGGCCCAGGCAGGACGAACTCGGCCGGCGGTGGGTGGAGTATATACACAGATGAGAAGAAGAAAGAGTCACCCTTAGGGACGCTGCTCCCCTCACCACCACTTAGCGACGCGGATGACCATAAATCTACGAAGAGGCCGGGCCCAGAGGAGGCAGTGAGGGGACGAGCTGTGTCGCCCGACACGGCGCGATATGCGCGCAGGGTCAAGCGCGCGAGGGTGATCGCACAGGCAAGGTTTGGCGATTCAGCAAGAATCGACGACGGCAAGGGCGTAGAAAGAGTTGACGTTGTGATCGAAGACCCGTTCGATATGGAAATGGACCCTGTGCACGATGACAGCGAAGGTCGTGGAAGAGAGCCAGATGCTTCGAGAAGGCGTCCCAAGGATGCGTCTGTCCGCAGGAGTACAATCGACATGGCGTTTGACCGCGTCCGCGAGGAGGATGACGAGGGCGGAGGCGGTGGTGACCTCGACGGCGACGAGACAACATGGCGTCCGAGTATCAAATTGACCTTCCATGGGCCACACGTATTTGCTGGTGTGCGACAGCTCGTTGAGGCTGGCATTATTGATGGGGAAAAGATGCCGGGTTGGTTAACAGGCGAGGAGGGTGTGACCGTTGGAGCTGTACGGCATGGCAGAATCAGGGGTCACAAAGGCTCTGGTATGTGATGACTACTGTGAAATCACTGCGGTGGTCGATGATATGGCACAACTGTACTCTACGATAATCCAGCACATTTACGACTCTAGTCTGGTCGCTAACCACATCACTGTACCTGTATTTGCCTCGCCAATCTCTACTCTATGGTCGCATGTTGCCCCATGTTCTATGATTCGTCTATTCCAAATACCTTGACCGTATTCCGCCATGCAGCCTCGCACACCTCCTCGACCGAGACGCCCTTGATGCCGGCCACGATCTTAGCCACCCGCTCTATCATGCAAGGTTCGTTGCGACCCTTGACCATCGCGCCTTCGACCCATTTCTCCTTTTTGACCGTCTTGAATCTCTCAATGACCTCGGACTCCTTCTTCTGCGGCTTCTTGGTTGACTGCTGTTTCTTAGGCGGCGGCTTGGCCGCTGGGGGCGCCGCCTCTCCGTTCTCAGGTGTAGGAACAGCAGGCTCTGGCGTCTCTGCGGTGGCCTTCTCCTTCCTGTCTATCTCTACAAGGTACTTCCAACCCTCATGGCTCGGCCGTACCTCACACCAGGGCCCGTCGGTCTCGATCATCAGCCTGTCCAGCCGGACGGCGCGGACAACCTCACAATTCTCCACGGTCTTGAAGCTGCACCCGTTGAGGCCGATGTAGAGGCCCAGCTCCATGAGCTCACTCATCTCCTCAACGGTGCCCGTAAAGCTGTGCACCACGCCGCCCTTCTCCAGCCTCTCCAGCCTCTCGCCGAACGCGGCCTTGAGGCACGCCACGAAGTCGGCGTGCGCCGCGCGGCTGTGGAGAAACAGCGGCAGCTGTGGGCTCAGCGCGGCTGCGAGCGTGAGCTGTGACCGGAACGAGTGCAGCTGCAGCGACTTGGCACAGTAGTGCAGCCGGTCGTAGTCCAGGCCGAACTCGCCGAAGGCTACGAGGTGCTGCTGCCCCGGGTCCGCGGCCCGGGCGTCTTCGACCAGGCGCCGGAGGTCTGAGATGATGGTCTCGGTCTTCTCCGGGTCTACGGTCAGGCCGTCGTCCGGGATGGGTTTCTCCGGGTCTGGGCCGCAGGCGGGCGTGTGCTCGCCGTCGCCGTCCTCCTCATGGGAGTGCGGGTGGGCTGGGTCGAAGATGGAGGAGGAGCATGGGTGAATACCTGCGGTGGTGTAGACAGTGCCCGTGTAGTCCTTGGCAATGGCGAGGGCATCCCTCGAGGTCTTGAAGCTGGACCCCGTGACGATGAGTTTCGTGCAGCCGACCTGCCTTGCTCTGTCTACCAGACCGCTAAGATCGTCATCGTGCCTTTGCTTCCCGTTGTAGACGCCCCGGAATATGGGATCGGCAAGGTTGATTCCGATCTGAGGCCCGTCAGGATCTTGCTGTCTTCATGCACCGCTAGGACAAGGGGGGAAACATACATCTATATATCTTGGTTGGTACGTTGGGGCTGAAGTGACCCTTGACACTCCGTTCTCGGCGGCTAATGACGGGGATTGGGGCGGAGATTGAGATTCAGACGCCATCCTGGAGGATGCAGGCACAGAGAACCGTGCTGCTGGTCTGCCTGTGTCTATGGCTGTGGCTGTGGCCGCGGTGCAAATGCTGGTTCTGGCTGCGCAGAGTCTGGCTCGCGTAGAAAATAATTGGAGTATGTTCACGGTCATTCCTGAGACACACGCAGTACGCCAGTGACCGTGTTCAAATAGATCACTCCAGCAACAGGCAACGGACCTGGTGTTGACTCACACTCGGGCAAGCCACAGTGCCGTGCCGCTGAGATGCTGGAGGGATCGTGATGTGTGAGTGAGTGATGTGCCTAAGTACCTAGGTACTTAACCTGGGCCCCCTGCTACGGCTTACCTAGGCGCTATCATCAAAACACGCCAGGACCGCGGGTGAGCTGCTAGGCGCGTAAAGTGGCTCGGCCGATCGGCTCTGGGGCTGATGGCTGGCCCCTGCACTTGTTGGATCTTTTTGCAGACAGTAACACTGGAGCACTGCACACAAGGTATATGCCCAAGATCCTAGGGTCATGTAAGCCGCATCCCAGGCACCTGGGAAGTGCTGCAGGGTGGTGACAGGGGCAGCACGAGCCTCTGCGCGTCGTCCTGTTGCCCGCCCACAACAAGACGCGTTTTTGCTGCACTTGTAAGCAACACGCGCTTCCCAGAGCACGACTACTTAAAACTTCCCGCAACCGCGGTCCTCTGCTCGCTCTTTTGCATTCTTCACTTCCACAACTCCACCCAATTAACCCCGACGTACTCACTTCCTCTTCACCTTGTCGGGGCATAGAAAACCTCCTTCGTAAATAGCCCTTCCGGTGCCTTCAGCATCCTCTTGCCGGAACTGCAGGCTGCCACGCGGAACGCCTGCCCCTCTCCGTTCCCGTACCCCTCTCAGAGCAGTCTTCACAACACCTCGACGCGATGTTTGTAAGAAAGCGAGGTACTATACCCCATGCCCTTCACCTTTGCGGCCATCAGACACTGACAACTGCTCAGATGGACGCCAGGAGCGCGTTCAGTTCGACAAGATCACGGCGCGTGTCTCACGACTGTGCTATGGTCTGGACATGAACCATGTCGACCCGGTTCAGATCACCCAGAAGGTCATTAGTGGTGTCTACGGAGGTGTTACAACCATCCAGCTGGACGATCTGGTCAGTATCCTTGGCCCCCTCCCCGTTCTCCATTCCGCACAGGCGTCCGGTTGCTGATTCCCTCTCGAATCCAGGCCGCAGAGACAGCCGCGTACATGACCGTCACCCACCCCGACTACGCCATTCTCGCTGCCCGTATCGCAGTTTCCAACTTGCACAAGCAGACAAAGAAGCAATGGTCTGCCGTTGTGAGCGATCTTTACCATTACGTCAACCCAAAGAACCGCAAGGCGTCGCCCATGATCTCCCAGGAGACATACGACTGCGTCATGCGTCACAAGGAGGAGTTCGACTCCGCCATTGTCTACGACCGTGACTTTGGTTACCAATACTTCGGCTTCAAGACCCTCGAGCGTTCATACCTCCTCAAGCTCGATGGTAAAGTTGTCGAGCGGCCACAGCACATGATCATGCGTGTCGCTGTCGGCATCTGGGGAGACGATGTCGAGAGGGTTATTGAGACCTACAACCTCATGTCGAACAAGTTCTTCACACATGCCTCCCCCACATTGTTCAATGCTGGCACTCCTCAGCCCCAGCTGTCATCATGCTTCCTCGTCGACATGAAGGAGGACAGCATTGAGGGCATCTACGACACCCTCAAAACTTGTGCTATGATCTCTAAGATGGCGGGTGGTATTGGTCTGAACGTGCACCGCATCCGTGCCACCGGCTCATACATTGCTGGCACCAACGGTACCTCTAATGGCATCACCCCGATGTTGCGGGTCTTCAACAACACCGCCCGATACGTCGACCAGGGCGGTAACAAGCGTCCCGGTGCCTTCGCTATCTACCTTGAGCCATGGCACGCTGATGTCTTCGAGTTCCTTGACCTGCGCAAGAACCACGGCAAGGAGGAGATCCGAGCCCGTGACCTTTTCCTTGCCCTCTGGATCCCTGATCTTTTCATGAAGCGCGTCGAGAAGAACGGTGACTGGACCCTGATGTGCCCCAACGAGTGCCCTGGCCTCGCCGACTGCTACGGCGAAGAGTTTGAGGCTCTCTACGAGCAGTACGAGAAGGAGGGCCGTGGTCGCAAGACCATGAAGGCACAGAAGCTGTGGTATGCTATCCTTGAGGCTCAGACTGAGACCGGCAACCCCTTCATGCTATACAAGGACCACGCAAACCGCAAGAGCAACCAGAAGAACCTGGGTACCATCCGAAGCTCTAACCTCTGCACTGAGATCATTGAGTACTCGGCCCCGGACGAGGTCGCTGTGTGCAACCTGGCCTCCATTGCTCTGCCCTCATATGTCGACTACGACAACAACTGCTACAACTTCCAACAGTTGCACGAGGTCACCCAGGTTGTCGTCCGAAACCTGAACAAGATCATTGATGTCAACCACTACCCGGTCAAGGAGGCCTACAACAGCAACATGCGACACCGACCTATTGGTGTCGGTGTCCAGGGTCTTGCCGACGCATTCTTGGCGCTACGCATGCCCTTCGACTCTCCAGAGGCCCGTGAGCTCAACAAGCAGATCTTCGAGACCATCTACCACGCTGCTCTCACCGCATCAAGTGACATTGCCAAGGTCGAGGGCCCCTACAAGACATACGAGGGCAGCCCCGTCTCACAAGGCATCCTGCAGTTCGACATGTGGAATGTCAAGCCCTCCGACCTCTGGGACTGGGATGCGCTCAAGGCCAAGATCAAGGAGACTGGTGTTCGCAACAGCTTGTTGCTGGCACCAATGCCGACTGCGTCGACGTCGCAGATCCTGGGCAACAATGAGTGCTTCGAGCCATACACCTCCAACATCTACCAGCGACGTGTGCTCGCTGGCGAGTTCCAGGTCGTCAACCCTTGGCTCCTCAGGGACCTGACAGAGCTTGGCTTGTGGTCTGAGGCCATGAAGAACCGCATCATCGCCGAGGATGGTTCCGTTCAGAACATTCCTAGCATCCCGGCTGATATCAAGGCCCTTTACAAGACCGTCTGGGAGATCTCTCAGAGGACCATCGTGCAGATGTCTGCTGACCGTGGTGCCTTCATTGATCAGTCTCAGTCTCTCAACATCCACATGAGGGAGCCATCCATGGGCAAGATCACCAGCATGCACTTTGCCGGCTGGAAGCTCGGTCTCAAGACTGGCATGTACTACCTCCGCACTCAGGCAGCTGCCGCACCCATCCAGTTCACTGTCGACCAGGAGGCACTCAAGATCCAGGAACAGGCCGGTGCGAAGCACAGTGGTCTTGGCAAGCGTGCCCCCCCAGCGGGAATGTGGCAGCCTTCAGCTAGTAGCTTTGTGCGGCCCATGTACGCCAAGAAGGAGTCGATCAGCGGCAGCAAGACAGTGAGCTCTAACGGAATCCCCACGCCGAGCATTACGCCGCCTCCTTCGACTCCCACTGTCGACCAAGAGGCAGCAGCGCGCATCTTGTCATCTCCTTCCAAGCCCAGGACCGTCCCGTTCAAGGCTGATCAAGAGGAGGGCGAGAGCCCCAAGGCTCTGCCCATCGAGCCTGCGGAGAAGCCCGTGGAGGAGGAGCTCCTGGACGGCAAGAAGCCTGACGGACAGTCCGAGGACAAGGACGACGACAGTGCTGACCGTGAGCACGATATCTACTCGCAAGCTGTCCTGCAATGTAAGCAATAATGGCCTCTCTTGTTCTTGTGCGTTCGTTGACTGACAAACTCAAAGGCAGCATCGACAACCCCGAGTCCTGCGTGATGTGCAGTGGTTAAGTACAATATATCAATCAGTATTGTGTATAGGGAATGAGCACGAGTCGATGTTGACGACAGCAAGTCATGACGAGAATGGGCGTCGATTTTGATTTTCTTTTTCTCATTTGGGCATGGGGTTTCCTCATTAAACGGTGCAAGGGTTGGCGGCATACATAAATCGCTTGCAAGACAATTGGGTAATATTGCGAGGTTGCGTCGCGTTGCACGGCAGCAATGGCGATGTGAATACATGGTACGAGTCGAGCACGGGAGGTTGCAGTCATGGTGAGGCGTGTAAGAGCCCATCTCTTCATTGAGGTGCCACATGCCATCCCCCCCCTTTTTCCCTCTCTTGTCTTGTCATACCACTCTCTGTTTGTAAGTCGGGTCACGGATGTTTATAGTCTTTTTCATGTGCGAATAAAGTATCGATCAGACGTTATTATCTGCTGCCGTGATTGCTGACGTCCACCGCCGGCATTGCTTATGCTGACATAAATATCAGTAGCCGTGTACGAACTTGGTTTGGCAGCCTGTCACATCGTTCCCCTTATAATCGCACCATCATGTAGCCAGGCTCAACGATAATAGGGCGTTCCAAGAAGCACCGCGCAGATGGTTCCATCAGCTACAAACAACATACGTTCTCATAGCCAGACTACCTTGATACAGTGCGAGGCTAGGGACATGACCGACTCCGAGGCATATCGGGTTCCCACGTCCTATCTACGCAAAGCTTAATTAACACCCATGGCGAGGTTGATGTCAAAGATACGGTCGGAAGCAGGCGCTCCATCCTTGCGTTGGGCTCCGAAGGTAGGATGCCTGCCTCCCGAGGAGGCTCGCGTGGAATGTGGAATGCTTGATGAAACGTGTCTGAATTCCGAGTGGTTGGAACGCCGAGCTGGGCCGGCCCATCCAAATATGAGCTCGCCTCGTGGGAGATCGCATGGGATGGATTGGACGTTGCTTATTATTTGGGTTTTCCCCTACGTCCCGGTATGAAGAAGAATCCTGTCTTTCACACACTGATAGGCCGGCCTGTATCCCGCCACAGCAGGCAAGCCCACGTCATGTTCGCGCCAGGGAGACTGGGACGGTATCGTTGGTCTGGCCATGGCAGTCTTTGATCACGCATCAATTACTGGCCAGTCAAGGATCTGGCTAGGTTACCGATCACGGTGTCCAATTCGACCCTTTCTCCCAGGCCTAATAATTGGAGGCAAGGGTAATGACCGGCGTCTACGACCGAAACGGTTGGTGGTGCGCTGGGATATTTCACGCAGGACCAGCAGACCAGAGGCTGAAGGTCATCGATTCGCGACATCTTAGGATAGCGCTAAAGCGATGGGCCCCACTGAGCCTGGCCAAGTTGGTCCCCTTCACAATAAGCGAACAGATCTATGTCGGAAATGTGCTTTCCTGTGTCTTTCGCGAGAGCACAATGCCGCACGTCCCTGGTAGCCGGAAAGGTGTGGGAACGGGGGTTCTTTGTTGCCCAACCGAACCGGCTAGGCTCAACTGCTCAAATCTGCAAAAGCATTTTACGGGGGTGCGCTTTGTGCCGCGTAATGTGCGCACAAAGGCATTTAAAATAATGGTCTAAGATGGCGAGGTTGTACCAGCAGTCCTGACCCGATTGCAGTGATTGCGGTTGAGATAGACCGAACGTCCGGAAATGACTGCCGACAAGCAGCAATGCAAACAGATGCGACTTGATGCAAGTGGTCGAGGGCTCAGCATGCCTTGTTTGAGGCCTCATTTGGACATGGTCCAATGGGACGGGTGGCTGGTCACGCTCGCGCCACACTATGATTGTGGGCGTGTAGATCCAAGATGTGGTTGCACTCGAGTCTGATAAGCTGCTGCACGTCAGGGGTAACAGCGCGACAGGGGCATTTCAAGGTTGTTGCTGGGAGGCCACCCAGGGAAATTTCTCAGAACTTGATGCCGACTGCGAGTGGCTGTCGGCGGGAAGCTCTTTCGGGGCTAGTGGCCTGCAAGTCGCGAATTATGGAGGCAGACAGTTGTGACCGCGATCAGTGCTCAACACGTTTCTTTTTCCCACGGGCCATTCATGATGCGAGTCGCCGTGTGCGGTGATGAAAGAAACGGCCAGATGGCCGGGGGCTGGGGTTCTGAGTGCACTCCTTGTCGCTCCCTCCTCCTTCCTCATCGTCGCCGAAAGCCCAAGCTGTGGCTTGGGCTGATTGATACCAACTCGTGCCTCAATCGCGGTCGGTGGTGAGTGGGATGGCCGTCAAGACAAAGGAAGGGTGGTGAAGGGGACGAGCTCATCTCATGGGCTTGCACGGTCGAGGCACCGCATCCCAAATGTCAAATTTGACGGAGCTAGCCCGCACGCGGATACGCACGGTGGTCACGCCGACGAGATGAAAGAGTCGGGCAGATTGCTGATAGTTATAATGCCGCTGAGACATGGCACGGACGAAGAGAATTGACCTGAGCGTGCTGAGTGGCGCTCCTGAACTCCCAGGCGGTAGCAGCAGGATGACACATGCACGACGGAAAGGGCAAGGTCGTGAGATGGGTTGGACGTGACATGCGCTGCCCGCAAATTAAGGAGGTTACACACGTATCAAGTTGGCGGCCGGGTGTTTCTGGGCGGGTGCTCGTGGTGTTTAATCAACGACGAGCCTGGGGAAGCTGGGGAAGAAACATGGCCAGGGCTGCCAGGGCTGCCAGGGCTGCCAGGCGGCCAATAGGCCCGACGGTGAGAACCCAATCGAGCAAGTGGAGCGGCTGGCCTCTCGCACGGGTTCGTGTACTTGGTGCGTGCGTACATTACAGCACAGAGAGACAGCATGGGCGCCGCGGTGTCGCTGGGCTTATTGATCCTATGACATCACACAGAACGCCGTGTCTTCCATCGGGTCTTCTCCGTTGTCAAATCTGGATTCTTCCATGTCGCGTCGTCTTGCGGCAGAATCAGCTCTCCGCCGACAGACATGATGCCAGCATACGTCAGTCAGCCTCGTCTGTCTTTTCTCCCTCTTCTCCCCTCTCTACCTACGTGGCGCGCTGTGTTCTTTGCTCCCCTCCGTGATGCTCGTGCACTGACCCATGTCTCTGCCCCTGCCGGTCAAATGCAACGTCAGGACTGGGGCTTCCCTGCAGGACCAAGGCCCGGCCCAGATGAGCCATTGTCCAATAGCGGGCGGGCGACGCCTGCGACCAGCCACCCAAGTCGACCAACTAATACTCAAAATTGACCTCATCTGGTCTTGGGGGAGCTTGTGTTCCCTGCTTTCAGGCCACGCTAGGCTGCCGGTTCGCCGTCTGTTCGCATGCTATGGTGATGGGTGCACCTTGCCACATAGTGTATTGTGCTATAGTAGTACTAGCACCTGGGCCTGCTGAGGCGGCCTCCAGGCCTGGCAAGATTCCAGCAACAGGCTTTTGCAACCCTTCAACGTCGGCAAGAGAGCGGGCCCTTCTTGTCGGGCTCGGTTGTTGTGCCCATTACTGCACTGGCCCATCGGTGAGGGACCTGCCGGAGTCAGGCCAGTCCACAGCGTGTCCACGTAGCACCATGGATCGCAGGTGGGCGGGCCAGTAGCAGCAGAGATGCGGGCAGACTGAGGGGGCTTGGAACTGGCGGTAATTGGCCCGTTTTCCCTGATTGTCCGCGCCCAGGAGCCTGGCTGAGGGCGCCCGTTCCTCGCGGCTCCAAGGCATGGCTGACTTGAGTCTTTTGGTGCTGACGGCTTTCGTGTTGCCTGCATGTAGCCTTCCAGGTTTCAAGGTCGTCGCCGTGCGGTATTGTTTGTACATGGGCCTGTGAGAGGGTCGCGGTTGCAGGGCCGACACGCGAGTGTCACCGTCATTGCAAACACCGCTCCTGATTTGCTTGCCGACCCCATTTTTTTTAGTTGTCCGGCCAAGGCAGGCTTGGTGCATGCGGTGATGGTAACGGCCCCAGTGCACCCGATCCAGAATGGAGGTGAATGCACCAGGCCCATCTGGCCCACAACCTGACCCATCCGGCAACCCCAGTGAGCCCCAGCCTCCAGACTGCACTCGGCGTTGACGCAGCTCTGGACCAGGCTGCGGTGGTCTGGCTGAGCCACGACCCCAAGAGGGATATCCGGCAAGTCGCACGTCAATTGCGTCGGGTTGAGGGCGTACCGTACAGCTCTGTGGGCACTGCAATGCAGCTCTGTGTACCACGACAGGCTACGCAGGCCGGACAGCAGTGCCGGTGTGGTTGTTGCATGTAGACTGTGGCCACGGCAAGAATGGCGTGGGCAACGTCGATCGTCGGGGGTTTCCAGGCTGCCCGGCCGCCTCGAAAGGTTCTGGAAAAGCACGGCTGGATGGACATGTCCCAGTGGCCATATGGCAGTATGGGAGAGGCCCCACCTTGCCCGCCTTGCCCACCTGGGTGGGGAGACGGAGATGCAGCATGGGCGAGGATCGACGAGATCAGGGCCAGAGCTGCATCTTCCCAGCAAGAAACAATGGAACCTGGGCCAAGGCAGGGATGCCCACGCCGGCTGTGCAGACCCACAGGGACAAGAGCAGGTACACGCACCAGCCAAGCTTCATGACGCCGATTGGGCGGCAGCACCTCCGTCACCAGGTACCCGTGCTTGTACACTACCACGGTAGCTTGGGCATGGTTTGTTTGGGGCTGGGAGGTGCAGTTCTCGGTGGTGACTGTGTGGGCAGGGTGACGAGCTGGCAACGAGCTGCGAGCTGCGAGCTGCGAGCTGCCAGTAGCTAACCGCCTGCCTGCCTTCCTTCCTTCCTTCATTACTGCCACTGCCTTGACCTGGCTTCACGCTCGCACGCACGCACAGTAGCACGAAGTTAGGTACCCACTTGAGAACGACCTCCCACCCGCCTGCCTGCGTACCTGCAGTACCTTTTTGCGTGCCCTCCTCCTGGACCGTCACCCGTCCCCGTCCTATACCACAGTGCCTTCTCGACCTTGCAACCCTGGCAAGCCTCGTCAGTCGATCCAGCAAGTGCGTGCCCCCCTCCAAGACCGCATACTGTACGTAGTACCTTGACTACCCTGTCTTCCCACCTGCCCATTCTACCCATCAATCCATCCTGGCCTTGGCTCTTTGTGTTTGTGAACCGCTGCACTGGCCAGAATCGCACCTTCCCCCAGCCAGCCACCTCACTTCGTCCACACCCGTCGCTCCGTCTTTAATAAGTTCGTCCGCGCCCGCCCCTTCACCTTGCCCCAAGCCGCCCTTCGACCTCACTCTGTCTACCTCCCACCACTTGCACGCTCCCGCGCACCTTGACACGCATTGACCCAAAAGTTTTCATCCAAACAGTCTTCACCACTTCCAGTATTACTGCCGCACATCGACATTCGTCAATCTCATCTCGCAGTCAATAACCCTCTCACCCACCTTGACCTCACCAGCCTCAACAGTCAAGATGAAGTCGGCCGCTGTCCTCACCTTTGCCCTCCTCGGCGCCGTCTACGGCCAGGATATGAACTCCGTTCCCGAGTGTGGCGTAGGTACCCTCCCTTTGTCTTGTGTGCCTGCCATGCGCCTCTTGCTGAAAACATCGCCAGCGCACCTGTATCAACAACATGCTCGGCGAGCAGAGCAATCTGGGCTGCCCCCCCGCCAACGGCCAGCCCGACACGTCCTGTCTCTGCAACAACGCCAACTTCAGCTTTGGTCTGCGCGACTGTGCTCAAGAGGCCTGTGGCTCCGAGGTTGAGCAGGCCGTTGTTGCGTACGGAGTGGCCTACTGTCAATGTAAGTCATGCGCTGCACCTGTCCTGTTTATATCGTCTTCCATAACCTGCACAAGTCGACCTGAAACTGACCGATTGTGTCTTGACAAACAGCCGCTGGTGTGAGCATCCCCACCACCGTCGTCGTAAGTTCCCCCTCTTTGTCAAGCTTGCCAGTCTCCAGTCTCTCAATCTAACATACCCGCAGTCTGGTGCTTCGTCTGCCACTGGCTCGGCCTCCGGCTCTGAGACCGGCTCTGCCACCGCCGAGTCCTCTTCTGCCATCACCACCTCCTCTTTCGCCACCACCATCACCAGCGGTGACTCGACCATCACCACCTCTGCTGCCACTACCATCTTCGGGGTCGGTGGTGGCGCAGCTTCTTCTGCTTCTAGCGTCGCTTCTGAGGCTTCGGCTTCCGCCTCCAGCGTTGGCGAATCTGCCTCGAGCGCCGCCAGCAGCGCCGCCGGTTCTGCGTCTTCTGCTGGCGCCTCCGCCACGAGCGCCGCAGGCTCTGCCGCTTCCAGCGCCGCCGGTGAGGCCACCGGATCCTCGGCTTCTGAAGGCTTTGTAAGTCTCTCGTCTCCCAGCCATCCCAGACCGCCCTCCTCCTACTAACGTCAACGACTCGTAGGCCCCTCAGATGACTGCTGCCCCAGCCGCCGGCTTCTTGGCTGCCGCTGGTATCGCCGCCATGCTTCTCTAAGTAACGGAGAAGTTGTCAATACCCAAATTTTGTTTTTGGTCTTCTTTTCACCTTTTCTGACGTTGCCGCGTCACGAACCTAATTCTCAACTTTCTCGACATTCGTTCTTCTCCCATTTCATCCCACGGTTCATCCGACCATCGTCTTTAGCGTCCACAAGGGTTCCGGTAGATGGCGTACAAAGGCAAGGGAATTAGAGCAGTGGACCCAAGGGGGCTCTATGGAAATGAAATGAGGGACACATTGGAGTTTGACGGCGGGGAACAAAAAACATGATGACGAGATATGCTGATTTCCTCTGCCAGACGGCACGATGGATGTACGATTGGAATGGTCAGGCTGGTGGCACTTTGCCAGGACGTAATGAGGAGGGCAACGAGGCCTGCGGACTGGTGCAGGCGATAATGAGACCTCATAATGGGGCTTCCGCCGATGGTACTTTGAGATACCCCTCCCTGCGAGCGTTGGGCCAGGGTGGTTTTTGCAGCTTAGGCTCTTTCTCGCTCTCTTTAATGGCAACGTCCCTAGAGAAAATTCGCTTGATTGTGACAATCATACTGCTGCTGTAATATGTGTAGTATGCCGGTTGTGTTGATCGTCTATAAAATCTGCTTGGTGATGAAGACGTTGGGTCTCACTCACATGGGTAGCCAACATGAGATTGTGGTCAGAAGGGACCAAGGGGCTTAGTCATCAAAGGGCGACCATGACACATTACGTCGGGCGAGGCGTCGCAAGCTCGGGAGCAATGAATGTATTTACATGTCCTCTCCCGCACGTGGAGAACAGAGCACACGGGAATGCCAAATTGAGCCAGCTCTAAGGCAGGATGGCAGAGACGACAGTGACGAGCAAAAAGAAGACAATTGTCTTTTTCCATCCTGATCTTGGCATTGGTGGAGCTGAGAGGTTGGTGGTTGATGCCGCCGTGGGACTGCAGAACAGGGGCCATAAGGTTGTCATCTTCACAAGCCATTGTGATCCTAAACACTGCTTTGACGAGGCCAGAGACGGTACATAGGTTTCCTCCCGCCTCCAGTCTAAACAAAGTCCCCCATGACCCTGTCGCTGACTCCAGCTCCCCAAAAAAAGGGACCCTCGAGGTTCGCGTGCGCGGCAATACCATCTTCCCACCCTCAATCCTCTCGAGGCTCAACATCTTGTGCGCCATCGCGCGGCAACTACACCTCCTCGTACAGATCCACCTCAACGGCGAGCTCGCCTCCCTGCGACCCGATGCCTTCTTCGTCGACCAGCTCAGCGCCGGGCTGCCACTGCTGCAACTCATCCAGCCGAAGGCGCCCATCCTGTTCTACTGCCACTTCCCCGATCTCCATCTCGTCCAGGGCCGGGACAGGTGGCTGAAGAAGCTCTACCGCCTGCCGTTTGACACCCTCGAGAGGTGCAGCATGAGCTTCGCCGATGCGATTGCTGTCAACAGCAAGTTCACCAAGGGCGTGGTCACGCGCACCTGGCCGAGCCTGGCCAGGGGGAGGGACCTGAAGGTCGTGTATCCGTGCATCGACATAAAGCCCGCAAAGAGCGGGGGCGGGGCCAAGGAGGGAGTCCTGAAGTGGGAACATGGCGACATAATTCTGAGCATCAACCGATATGAGCGTAAGAAGGACGTCGCGCTGGCGATCAAGGCATACGCGGGACTGCCGCGAGAAAAGAGGAACGGTGTCAAGCTTGTCATTGCCGGTCCGCCTCCCTTCCCCATGCTACTGGTCCGTCCTGTGTTAATTTTCTTGTTCGCCTGACTGATGCCGCTACACTCTAGGCGGATACGACTCCCGCGTTTCTGAGAACGTCTCATACCACAGGGAGCTCGTCGAGCTCGCCAAGTCCCTCAAACTCTCCGAGGCCACCGTGCACTCGGCACAAACTGCTCTGGCCGTGCCGCCCGAGATCGACGTGATCTTCCTGCTGTCGGTCACAAATGCGCTCAAGCAGCAGCTCCTGAGGTCAGCAAAGCTGCTCGTTTACACGCCGTCCAACGAGCACTTCGGCATCGTGCCCCTCGAGGCCATGCTGGCAGGCGCCCCCGTGCTGGCGGCCAACACGGGCGGGCCGACGGAGACGGTCGTCGAGGGCGAGACGGGCTGGCTGCGGGACCCGGCGGATGCCGCCGCCTGGACCGAGGTCATGGACAGGGTCCTGAACGGGATGAGCCAGGAGCAGCTGGCCGAGATGGGCCGCAAGGGCGACGAGAGGGTCCGTGGGCAGTTCGTGGACACCCAGATGGCCGAGAGGCTCGACGGCATCCTGACAAGCGTCGAGAACCCCCGGCGCGACGGGAACCTGGTCGCCCTCCTGGGCTTCCTGGGCTCGGGAGCACTCGTCTTCTTCGTGCTAGCCGCCCTGGTCGTGCTGGTAGGCATCACACTCACTAAGCAATGAACATATCGCATGCCTCACGCGCGTCTACGGTTCCGTCGTGACCATGGACCGATCTGGTAACATGTATGCAAGACACATATCCGCCGGACCTCGCTTCTATGCCGTTGGTCTGCGTGTAGTCCGGGTGAGGACTTCAGACTAGGCCTCAGAATCACTTTGCAGATGTCAATAGGCCCGTCTCGAAGGTGGAAATCTACCATCAGGACGTGCATGCCTCCATAGAAAAAGAGGGCATGAGAGATTTACGGCCGGCAGTCGCACGAGCGTCGAGGCTACACTGATGAAGTCTGTGGTCTTTAAGGTTGATGAAGGTTGATGGCGACCAAAGAACTGGTAGTCTAGGAACTTCACGGCCATGCAGGTCAAGGAGCACGCGGTGTGCTCTGAAAAGTGAGGCCATCAGCCATGCAATGTGGAGGGGCCAATTTGATGGGAATGGGTAGTTATGGTTGGGACATAGATGCCCGGAATATCACGACACGGCGCTTCATATAGTCATATACCTGAGGCGGCTCCTCTAATGCTGCGCGACAGACGCCCCGGCCAGTTGCCTTGAACTTGGATTTCAACATTTATTAGCTCGTCCGTCACAGTATCATCAACTAATTTGGGAGCAATTGACTCTGTTGGAAGCTCACAAAAAGACGGTAGTGAGAATGGCCGAAGCGCTAGTCTCCCTTGCAGTTCGTGCCGACAACGTACCAGGCCCGGTGTGCCATCAGAACATCGGACACTAGAACAATTCCTTGAAAATCGAGACCAATCCATTACTACATGAATCTGCGATACGTTTGCAGGCAACGTGTCAAAATGGAAGAACATTGCAGTTGGTCTGGTCCTTGTTTCTTCCCATTGCAATGGTATATAGGCCCGACTTAATTAGATTCATATCACACTCCTCCACCAATGCAAACAACACCCATGAATCGCTCGCCAAGCTACAGTCGCTATGATAATGTGGGTTGACTGTCCCAGTCTCGACGACGTCGACCCCGTCGAGATGTCGCGTCGTCCCATGCTTGCTCTCTGTGCCCATGTCCCTCATCGAGCATGGATCACAATGAATATCAGGTATGGGTGTGTGTTCTGGGGCCCATCTGTCCACGCTGGAAGTCGAGGGCCGTCAGCCCGTGTCTGTTGGGCGGCGGCGTTGACAAGCACACGCAAGGAGAAGGGAAAAGTTTTGTTGTGATCCATGTGGAGATGACATTGGATCCCCTGGGCGCCTTGCTGTGACCGTCAAGCGTAATTTCCTAACCTTCCCCCCGAATGCAGAGATCTCAGCCCTTCAAAGCAAAGAAAAAAAGCACCTGGGGCCTGGTGCCCGCGTCTTCCTGCTCCTAATACATGCCTGTCGAAATCTTTCCCGCTTGACCCCGTCCCAAAGGACGAAAGAATTATACATATATAAAACACTGCCCCTGCAGGAGCTCGTCAGCGATTGGCGTCAACTGTGCGCTAAGTGCGCTCGCGTGCTTCCCGTGAAGCCTGTTCTAGGCTGAGATACGCCTCTCCTGTCATGAGAAGGTTGACATCAGGACGTCCGGAGACTGCAGGGAAGTAGCTGGGACTACGCCTTGAAAGCGAAGAGTAGCCCAACCGAATGGAAATTGTGAACGCCCCGGCCAGGCCTCGTCCCACACTGGGGAGGTGGCACTATGCAAGTAATAAGAGATGCGATCTTGGAGCCGCCGTATAAACGGGGAGGTATGTATGTACTGTTGGTAACAATTGTAAAGCAGGCAGCCGACCGATGCAATTTTTGTGAGACACGTCGTAGTATTCTTTGGTGCTCGAGATTCATGAGTGAGTTTCAGGAGAGGAGTTTGTGTGTTCGAGGTTCATGTGCGTGGTAACTCGGTTTGTTGTTCCTCCACGAGACAGTTTCGACCTCCACCGGTGAGTGTTGTGTTGGAAAAGCGAAACTTCTCGTGAGTAGTCATACAAGGGAGAGTGAAGCCTTTACTCGCCCGGAGCGAACAATTTCTTGGCCGTGTCGGTGCTACCCACAGACGCATTGGTATTGCGCCTTTGCGACCGGAAGATAGTTTTGCCCATGGAATTGGGAGACCCTTTGGTAGCGTTTGACTTCTTGGACCGATGGCCCATCATAAGAATCCCGTCATCGCTGTCGCTGTCATCGTCATCATCATCATCAATGCGTGCAGGCGGGGTTGGTGTCGAGTTCCCAACAGATTCGGGCTCGTGGTCATCAACGATCACGGTCTCGCTGCGCTCATCGAGTTCCGTGGCCTCCAGAGGGAATCCGGTGACGGGCTCCTTTGCCAGAGCTGGTGGCGTCACCGAGTCCGTTGTTTCGAGAACAGCGCGTCGGCTAACAGTCTTGGGCTCGCCAGGGTTGCCGAGAAAGTCACCCTCAGGATCCGCAGACACTGATGACGCCCCGCTGAGCAGTGCTGGCAGCGAAGGGTCAGACTGGAATGCAAGCATTTGCTCCGTGACGGTCTCCCTTAGATCCTTCTGCGATGCAGACGTGGTATAGCTCACTGGACTCGTGACCACGCTCGGGCTGGTCCACGGCGTGGCAATTGCTTCGCGGGAGTTGCATTTCGATGAAAACGTTGTACTAAACGTCTCCCCCCGCGACGGCGCCCCGTTGCTGCCGGAATCGTCATCATCTGGAGAAGGAGGACAAGGGACACGAGCCGCGTCAAGCTCGGCAGGGGGTTGCAGCGCGTCTTGCCGACGTGAATCCTCCTCGATCTCAAGCCTTTGACGTCGACGCAGGGTCTCTTGAGCCCGAGCAAACGATTCAGGAGTCGAGGAACCGTACTGTCTTGGGGGTGGCGTCTTGCCTTCGGGTATGTCCTGGACTCGGTGTGCCGTCATCGGCCTGTCCTCAATCTTGACGACCGTCCGAAACTTATCCAGCATGGGATCCGATCTGTGTTGGCCGTACTGATACGACGAAATGGTGTTGGAGAAGAATTGAGGAGAAGGCAGCGGGCTGTCTCCAAAAGCCCGGCCAAGGTCCAAGGACCGCATCTGTGAAAGCTTCTTGGGCTGCTCCAGGCTTCCCGGTGCAATGAAAGAGCTCACACCGACCTGTGCTTCGGCTCGCTTGTCGGGGCTCGAGAAGACCAGGGCTCTGTCGACTGATTGGGACCTTGTTGAGTCGTCGGAGGGCGTCGCACCTCTACCCTTTCTGCGTAGACCGCTTGAGGCATCCACGGGGTCATCAACAGAAGGGGTGGCTGGTGCAGTGCGGGCCTCAGCATAGTCGCTGTGCAGGCTTAACACAGCATTCGAGATCGATCGCGAGTGCCTGTGGCGCGGGAGTTCCATCTGAGCCGAGGTCGGTGTCTGGTGGTCTGTGATGTCTTGTCTGCCATTAAAATTCGTGGCAATTTCAGGAAGTTGATGCAATGGGTGGCCGCCTACCGCTCCCGGCTGTCGCGAGGTTGGTTCCGTCTCCAATGGTGGGTCTTCTTCCGGACTGGCCGTTACGCTGTAGGTCAGGGGGTGCTCGCTATGCGTATGGGAATGATCTCTAATGGTAGCGAAGTAGTCACCGTCCCCTCGTAAGCTCTTCCTGCGTGAATCGCGAATGTGGTTTGTAATGGGCGTGTGTGCGGGACTATCACCGGCCGAGCTGGCAGCACTGCTGGTAGCCCTTCGCCGAGAGGCTCCCTCGGCGCGTTCCACCGACCGGCTGGTCAATTTGGTAAGTGTCTTTTTGAGCGTAGACCTGGCTCGCTCTAGTAGTGTGAGAGGCACGACGGCGTCATCCACCTCCTTCTCGTTGACCTTGATTTTGGTGCCTTGAGTCTGTCTCTGTGGATCCGTGTCGTCGATCCAGCCCATAATATTCGGCAAGTTGGAAAGTACCCAGGGATGGTACTTCACCCCTCTAAGTGTGATGCGCTGCCTTGGGTCCTTGATGAGCATCTGTCCCAGAAGTTGCCGTAACGTCTCGTCGACATCCTCATACAAGAGTTGGTGGTCATCCCGGTATGGAGCACTGTTGACCCGCTTGTAGAGCGAAGACGTGTCCGGGGACGTGGATGGATCAACAGGCCTCAACCGCCTCGTGGGGATATAGATCTCCTCGGTTGCGATTTTCCGAAACATTTGGAACTCGTCCTCGGCCAGAAACGGAATTCGAGCAAATATCATACAGTAGAGTGTGACACCAAGAGACCAAACGTCGATCTGTTCGGTAACCTTGGGAGGCGGGGTGCTATCGAGGTCGGTGTAGCACAATTCGGGGGCGAAGAAAGCGGGTGTTCCGACAGTCTTGGACAGCTCGTACTCGTCGTCGAAGTCTTGTGCTTCTGATTCGGAGACGGTATCATCGGGTTCGCCATCTCGCATCGGCCTGCCAAAATAAGACACGCCGAAATCCGAAATCTTGACACGATGATCCCGAGTCCAGAGCAAATTTGCCGGTTTGATGTCACGGTGGACAATCCCCTGATAGTGCAAGTACTCAAGACCAAGGACGACGTCGCGGAAAGCATTCCGCGCCTCCTCGATAGTGAAGCAAGGAACGTATGAGAAGTCGTCGGCGAACGGGTCATGGGGTTGCGGGTTGAAGTCGATAGAAGACATGTGTGATATGATGGAGTCAGCCATACTAGGAGAACGCTCTCTGAATCCCAGGTCGTCATAAGCCCCGTACATTGTTCCGGCAAGCGCGCTGGATGACCCAGGATTTGAGTGGAGTGGCCCTGGCGTTTCCATGTCATCTTCATTGGAGGTGGGGGCCCCTTCGGACGCGGCTGCAGACATTGACCGAACCGACTGCGTTCTCGACGGGGCGTGTGAAGAAGGTGCAGATCCCCGGGAGGCCGGTGAGTGTGACCTCCGGGAAGTAGGCATATGCCGGGCAAGATCCGCCTCGGAGGGCCCCGATCTTGGTTCGGACTCGTCTTGACCTAGTTCCAAACTCCAAGGGTCGACGTGGGTGCCAGTCTTCTCGGCAAGGTGGGCGCGTTTCATCTCCTTGACATTGAACCTTCGTTCCAAGTCGAGTAGATGCTGCTCCTCCTCTTCTGTGAGCGTCTCGCCCCTCATCTCCCTTTCGATGCGCCGGCGTTCAAAAGCACATATGTTCGGGAGGCCCTTCTTCCTCCATATGACCTCGCCGCATTCGACGTGCTCGAGGCAGAGGTAGATCTTCCTGTAGTCGGGGTCGTCGATGACTTCCAGCAAGGCCACCACGTTGGGATGTCTGATTTTCTTGAGGATGGCGATCTCCCTCTTGGACTTCTCGAAGGGCGATACATTCTGAGTGATCCTTCCGAGGCGACGTTTTCTGGAGAAGCGTGGGACGATCTTGATGGCAACATTTTGGCCGACATCGAGGTCGCGGGCCAACTTCACTTTGCCATGAACACCGCGGCCGATTTCCTCGATAACCTCGTAATGGTTGATGATCTTGCGGCCGGTGGTGAAGTCTCTATCGATATTTGCGACATGTGTCCTGCAGTCCGGGTTGTCAGTACCATTCTCAGCCTATCGCCGGGATAGTTTCAGGTGGCTCGCTCAACGTTGACGACTGCGTGTGAAAATGACAGGGAGCACAGGCTGCAGGGCTGCCTGGGTTGGAAGGTGGTAGGCACGTACTCTCTAACTCTGTGATTCTGTAGGGGATGTAGAAAGGGGCTGTTGAGTGCGGCAGGCGTCGTGCCCTCGGAGACGGACTGCGAGGGCGGCAGAGACATGGTGGTGCGGGGGTTGGACGGACTGAAGAGGCCCGGGGACGCGACGGGAGTGCTGCTGGCCGTGAGCGAGGGGTTTAGGGGTTGTGTGGGCAGAAAGGTAGCCTGTGGTTGTGTGGGAGGCTCAGGGTGAGGCTGGGCAGGTGGGTTGAAAGCCTGGTGCTCCATTTTGCGGGCGTGGTCGTGGACGGAGGCCGGATCGGATTCGAAGTCGTCGTGGGCTCGAGTGCTGGTGGGTGAGGAAGGCACGGCCACCCGACATAATGAGCCGTCGAGGTTGGCTCTTGAGCCGGTCAAGCCTGGTGGGAAGCGAACAGTCGATCCAGAGAGGGATTGTCGTGTCTAGGCCGCCATAGCGACCGAGCAGCTCGAAAAGGTGCAATGCAGGTGTTGTGGGGGTTGAGAAGGAGAGGATCGTGGTCGGTGGTCGGAGGTGGCAGGTTCGGTGCTGAGAGGGAAAAGGCCGGCCGGTTTCGAATGAGGGTGAGTGTGAGCGCGGGTGTATGCTGGCTTTGGGGCTTTTGGAGGAAGAGGGGGGCTGCAGAGCAGGGCAGGACTGGGCTGGGCTGGGCCAAAAAGGTTAGGACGGTGGGCGGGTGGATGGGTGGATGGATGGACGGGGGTGGGTGGAGAGGTCGTCAGTTTTTGGGACGCTGGGCTGCGGACCGGGTGGGCTGCAAGGGGTGGTACGGAGGTACAAGATGGGCCAAGCCGGGCATCCACTGACGAAGTGAGCGAGCAAAGGGGAAAAAAAAAAGTTGCAGAGCTAAATAATAATGGCCGCAGATGTGATGCATGTGCGCGGGCCCAGGCTAATAAGGCATGTACATATATTCCAGATCCTTCTTCTCTACATTACCAGTACATGGAAAGTTACTCTTGTTGGCGAGGACAAGAGCGAGGGAAAGCAGGCAAGAAGCACCTCACCTCACCCTCGCATGAAGGTTCCCCTCCCCACCATGTTCCAAGCTCTGCCCATGCTATCACCACCTGCAAGCGGGTGGGTTTTGGGAGAAGGGGGGGGGTTGTTATTCAATTGTGTGCACCAACCCGCCCGACAACCACCCAGCCTCTGGACAGAGCAGGTCTGGAATCCATCCGCCTCTTACAAGGACATTGTTTCTCTGCGCCGGGCCTCACTGCACCCTGCCCTTCCCTGCCCTTCCCTGGATTGCAGGCTGTCCTCGTGGGCCGGCCGGGACGACACGGCGCCAGCAGCGGACCACCGGACGAGAGTGAGCCTCGACCAGCCCTGTTGAGGACGCGACTTAGTAACACGGCCGACCAGGCACCTTCACTGTATTAGCTCTTCCCGGCACCCTGAACCTGAACCTGAACCTGAACCTGAACCTGAACCTGAACCTGAACCCCTTGGCGCCCCAACCTCTGAGTCCTGGTTCTCCACCGCCTAACAGCCCACCGCACCCCATAGCATGGCTCCAGTTACGGAGTACTGCCATGCGGCCGTCGGTTCAGTTGCACCACACTACTACCTACCTAGGTAGGTATGTAGTAGGCGCTAGGCAGAGAACCGCCCGGGCGCCGGGCTGAATGGACAACGAGACGGCTGTTGTTTAGCAGTGGCAGTGGCAGCCTTGGTTCCCCATCACTTTAGCATCTGGCTGATGGTGGCTGCCCCAGGCTTACCAGCGCCAGTGGCCAATTCCTCAACCGCACGTCGTCGGGCCGGCCAGAGACTTGGGCCACGACATTGAATGAAGCAGGCGCCTCCCGCCGGTACAAGCTGCGGCAAGAAAAAGCCTACGACTTCATGATAAATCCAAACCCAAAGCTGCGCCAATGGGGAAGAGGCTGACAGGATGAAAAGCCTCATCAGATAGTGATAGAGTTGCCCAACAATTGAGGTCGAGGAGCAGGGTGCAGGGGCTTGCCCTCAATGCCCATTGCCCTCACAGCGAGACTGTCCGACTGCCCTCGCTGTCTCGCTGCTTCCCACACGAGTGACAGGACCGACCACGGGAGTTAAATTGCCTTCCAGCACGAGCCAGGGTCCAGGATCCGGGGCCTGGTTGGACTTGGCGTGCGATAAGGGTGGTCCCATCCTCGCCCTTCTGATTGGCCGCCCACATGAACATGGGTTTGACCGTAACTCTTTCGTCGACGCATGTGAAGTGGGCTGCTGCTGCACACTAGTAGTACGGAGTACCGAGTACGTACCTGCGATCCGACCAGTCCACATGTGGACGCCTGCGTCTCCTACTGTTATTATATCCAATGCAGCTATACGTATTGCAGTACCCCGAGGCGCTCATCACTGCCCGATTGCCACTCTCACTAGGTTTCCGCCATTGTTTTGGCCAGATGCAGGTGTACAGAAGGAGACGTGCTCCAATCTTTGCTCGCCAATGTGAGAAGAAGAGAAAAAAAAAACCACCCGCGGTGCCAGCTGGCCAAGCACCCGACTTCACACACCCTAGCCGTGCCCCCCTCGAGACAATGGCGCCTGCTGGTCCTCTGGCCATAACAGACGCTTCAATTGACGGCGACGGGTCTGAGGCAGGCTCTTGACAGCCCGGCCTGACGACGGATCTCTACCCAGTCGTACTACGTCGTGCTCTGCACATGCAGGCTGTGATGTGACGGCGAGTCAGGCTCGGCTCCACGTCGGTGGTGAGGCCGCGATCCCGCTCCGATCTTCACAGCCGGGCACGTCTGGGGCTTCTTCCTCCGAGGACCCCTTTTGCCTCCTAACCCAGCGGTAGTGTGCTGTGTGAAGGCACCGTCCCTGCGGACCTGCGGGCGGGTGCCCGACTGGTGCTGGATGTGGATAATTGGGTTCGTCGTGCATGCCGGCCTGGGCTGCTTGGCTGCCTGGCTGCCTGCCTGGCCAGGTTTTTTCAAAACATCACCGTCGCCTGGGCTGTCGGTGCGCGGCCAGGACTGCCAGATCGATTCAGCGGCAGGCAGGCAGCGCCCTCAACTATCGGCAGGAAGGCTGGGGGATCTGTCCAAGCTCTTGTTGGGGGTTTCATCACGACGACGGGAAACGGGATGATCTAGCAGCGATCATGACGGTCAAAACACGATCTAATCTTTGCTACCCCCGTAGGCCCGACTGCGGTTAGTGCCTGATTCCGCCCGCGTGCGGTGCGGTATCCGTACGGCGAGCCAGCATGCGTCGGCGCCCCATATTTGCCCGAGGACAGTCGAGATTGACATGTTGCACCGACAAGTCGTTACATGGACTACATGACGACGGACGGCATGAGACCACCGGGTGGCCCTTGTGTCCTTCATTTCAGCGACACTTTGTTCTGGATGCGACAGGATGGAGCCGTCCTCGGGTGTCCATCGCATGTGGGGCCTCGTGGAAGCGTCCAACACTGACCAGAATTGGCATGAGACGCTTGTGAAGGTGGGGCAAATTGTTCCCTGACCTTCTGTTGCACTAGTCCCATCTGGTCCTTTTCTCGATACCTCGTACCTCCCGGTCACGGACGGCCTGTCTTTGTTGATGTCCGCATTTCACGACTTCGACCAGGCCTCTTCGATTCTCTTGCAGGCTTGCCATCCTGCTCGGAACCAGAACCTCTAGCACATTGGTCGCCGTCATCGTTCCGCGCTCCGAGGGAAACAAGAAAGCCCCGCCAGCGTCCCAATTGACTTTGGAGACAAAGGAGGAGGCGTCGACTATGGACCGGGAGTGTGCGTTACCACACAACCACAGTAATTATGGGCGGACGCTAGTGACGTTACCGTCTCCAGGTCGCCATTGGGGGCTGCGCAACCCATAATCTACTACTGTAAGCAATGCCTGGGCCTTATTATCAACAGATGTTGTATTCGTCGGCAGCAGGCTAGCCGTGCATGGACCCAGGGCCCTGCCGAGTTCCTCCATCCGAGGACGATATGCTCCGGTACCTGGCGCTGAACCACGAAACCACGAAACCACAGAAGAAGCTGTGAAGACATCTGCTGTGCTCTGCTGTGCTCTGCGAACCTCACTAAGCTTGGTGCTAGCTCGCCCTTTCTCCCTGCGACCGTCGACAAGAGCCGCGGGTCTGCCATCCCGAATCCCACCCTGCCTCATCCTCATGTTGACGATGCCCACGCGCCATCAATGTCGGCATACCCACCCAGTGCTTTTTCTTCGTCCCTCGGGATCCCGCCCCGGGACCAAGCTGTACACCACATGGCGCACAGGTATCGGGGCTCGAGCCCAGGGTCGTGGCAAGGGCCTAGGTGCTGCTTCACGCGAGACCAGTCATGATTGCAGACGTAGGCCTCCCCCCGGGGATCCTGGCGCCACGAGCTAGCAGATTGCCAGACGTTGGTGCATCGTGGCATGTTCAGAGGGTATCGTGAGATTTGCCCCGCCCCCGGGCGCCTAGGACTGCATGGGCCTGCGGCAACTGGCCGGGGGAGGGAGGGGGCAAGCGGTGACTGACATCTTGGCGAGATGGCCAGGCCGGCCCTTTCTCTTTTCGGGTCCCACAGAGACTCACGATGCACACGTCTGGCTTCACTTGCATCATACCCTGACCAGCGCGCCCGGGTCGGCCGCGCCGTGAGCACCCCACCGTGCCGCCTCGACCTGCCACGCCCGCATATACCTCCACAACTAAGGACGTGCTTTCGCGCTCCCTATTGTCGTCGACATGGAGCGAGCATGCTGCTATGGCCAATCGGCCGGCAGTTGGGTGAAGAATACGTCGGTCATGGGTTCAGCGGCCCAGCGCATGGGTCCCAAGCCCACGAGACGCCCGTCCTTCCCGACGCCGAAAGCGCCTGCGCCTGGCAGCTCACGCTCGCCTGAGGGTGAAGCTATCGTGATTGTTCCCGTGCAACCCTCCTTTTACTAGTTGCCCGGGCACCTAGGAAGGCAGGTTCATCCACATGTGCGGGTTGGTGGTCCCGTCCAGTCCAACTACACTACACAGTAAGCACCCACCACTGCCACCCCGGATTATGCTCTCCTCCAACCCTGCCTAGGTTGACCTGTCACTTGCATGTCGTCTCAGTGCGTGCTGCTTGTGCCATATAGTCCGTCAGTCGTATTTGCTACAGAATCCCTTTCTTTTGCAGGCACCCATATTGGCTCACGTTACTACTTCTACTGCAATACGAGGCTGCGTAAAATGATCCTAGCTGATCGCCCTGGAACCTCCGAACCTCAGCAAAAGCCGACTGCGTGCGCTCGCCTCGCGTTGACTTGCCCTCTTCGGAGAACCTCGGTTAGACGTGATTCGTGGGTGGCAGCCCTCAATATCCAAGTGTCAGACTCTGACATAGGTTGGGTCGTTAGTAAAGGCGACAGCTCACTTTTTTCAGGATTTAAAGTCCGCAATGGCTAGCATGCCAACATGCCCAACACAGTGAGCCTGGATGGGCGACAGCCTGACAGACATTCGGATCGCCTGAGTACGCACCCGTGTCTCTCGCTCCTCGTCACAGAGTGAGAGACGCCAAGATAATGCGGCCACCCACCCACCCACCCCCTGCCCCAATCCAAGATCCGTGCCCCTCGTGCCTCTGTTTGGCATGTGCTGCTATTGTAGTGGACTACTGGCTCTGTCGCCGGCCATAGGATCGTGCCCTTGGGTCTGGGGCGGATCTGACAGCTCACATCTCACACGGAGTTGCGAAAGCTCTCCGTAATGGCTCCGGCATTTCCCATCTAGGAGTGTATGTCTGGGTTTGTTGGGCAGTTGGCGTATTGCTTGGTCGTCCCGAGGCCCCGGCAATATAGCAAAGCTGAATTTCTGTGTGCTTTGTGTCACCACCATCTTGACCCGAGCGTGATATGATTTCCTTAGGCCGCCACAAGCCGTCGAGACGTGGCTGGGTGCCGGTCGTGATACCTACCGTACGGAACCTGCCCGGCGCAGGCCATATTATGATATCGTGGAGGCGGGCCGGCGATCACGATGAGCTCTGCAGCCAGTGCGTGTCTACTGAGCCCCAGGAGGCTCGGGGGGGGGGGCGTTATGATGTGCCTCGTCCCCGGACCTCTTGGTCGCTTAACATGCCTAGGAATGTATCTACATGTCTAGCTTACATGTAGAATCCGGGGCCCCAGGATTCTGTCGAGCCCACAATTATCACGGCCAAGGAGCAGGCCAGACCAGACCAAACCTGACTGACTGGCCCGTGGCTCGGGCGCAGGGAATCCCACCGATTTGATAGTCGCATCTTGCTTCTTCTACCCTGGGCCCAGGCACCTGGGGCAATGGTGACTGCAACTGCAACTGCAACCACATCCACGCCCCACCCCAACTCCCTACCAACTCCCGCCTGAGGGCAGGTTTACCCATGCCCCAAGTCTGGTCGAGAAGAAGGGCAAGCCGGGCCATTCCCAAAGCAGAACGACCTGCATACGCCCACCAGGTGGTCCGACACGGCGTCAAATCAGTCAGTCCGCCCTCCCTCCTTTTCGAGGCCCCGGCCCCGGATGTATGCACGACTGTGACGGGAGGCCGGCCACGATGAGATGAACAAGGTGGAGCTGGAGCTGGAGCTGGGTGTACCACAGTAGAGCTCGCGAGCTTTCAAAAAAGGCGACCGACAAATCGAGATTGGCCTGCACGCCCGTGGAGATGCAGCCCGCGGCGGAGTGGGCCAGTCGTCATGGTGATGTTAAAGGCTCGCAGCATTTTCATCCCGCGGGCGAAGCGCAGTGCATTTCGAGCCTTGGGTGCAGACACGTGAGATGCCCCATCGGCACGCGACGATCGTGAAGATTCAAGATTCAAATGTGGTTGTCGATGCGCGTCATCTCTGTGAGCGGCGACATAGGACGCCGATCCCCTTGACTCTTGGGTTCTGAAACGCATGCGAGTGCTCCAGCAGACTACCTGTGTGTCACCAGCAGACCAGCAGCCACCCCAGATGTGATAACCGCCGTGGATACTTTAAGTATCTCTCCGCTTTACATGGTTATGCCTCCTGGGAAAAAGGAGCTTTACGTCCGCGCTTGTCCGCACAAATGTCCGCGTACCCATTCCTGGGGACGGTGACAACACCAGAATAAGACGGTTCATATTTAGTGTCTTCCTTTGCCATCGTACACAGTACATTGCGGTCCCTGTCGACTGCAGGCCGCGCCAGCCGCCCGACCTGTCTGAACAATATGCAAGTTGCTAGGCTACATGTAGGATTTGGATGTACTGTATATGTCCCATGAAGTCACCGGCACCTCGCAGCTCTCTCTCCCTCCCTCTCTCGCCCGTGGTGGACCACGAGCTACCCTTCTATATTGGGAGCCGGGGTCCACTGCTGATCGCACGCCAACCCTTTTACGACATTAGAGTTTGAACCGTCCCTCGATGGGGCTTGTTGTCGAGCCTCTCAAGGGCTTACTGTATAGCACACAAGTGGCAATGAGCAAAGTCGTCCGACTCCCTCCCTCGCGTCGACCACATGCCACCGAAGGGTCGTGGGTTTATTACGAAAGCGATGATGCTTCATGGGATGCACATGTGCCCTCGCACTGCCTATTTGCTCCCCTCACACACACACACACACACACACATATTCTACCACAGTCCATCACACATGAGCATATTTACGACACAAGGGGGCGTGCGTGATGGCCAGCCAGCCCAGGTTGCTGGGGGAAGGCACGTAGGTAGACAAAACGACAACTTTGAAGCCAGCTACACATGCACGCAAACCGTACACACCCCTGTGGACCAACAGTATGCTCTATGATCTATGGTCATGCAGGGCCCGAGATCAACCAAGGAGGGCCGGCGTGCATATGTCTGCAAGAAAGGTGTTCGCAGAGGCGGCCACCACACGTCGCGACTCGAAACGGAGCCTACCCATCTGCATATCTCCATCCTCTGTCTCATCTGAATGTCCTCTCGGCCGGGGTAGATCAAGACATCTCGCCCCTCCCTCCTGACGCGGCCAGCTCGTGATTGATAAGGCAGAGCCACCCTTCTCCCCTCCAAAGGGCACCCGGCTAGCCCGCCACCCGGGACACGCGGGGAGGATGGCTTCCTGGTCCTGCCTCCTCAAGCTGCGCTTGCCCAGGGTACTTGGTAGAATGCGCTGGGCGGCTCGTCGCGTCCCTACACCATCACTGCTTTTTGGCACCCGTCGAACCCTGAAGTTCCAACAGGCGCGAGCAGTAGCAGCTGGTAGAATCCCAGCGTCAGTCACATCCACATGACCGCCGTCGTGATTTGTGGCTGTCAGATCAAAAGGGAACGAACCTATGATCAACGTTGCCTGTTTCGAACGTGAACACACGCAAGGGTCCTCCTAACAACATTGTAGTCCTCCACCCACATCTCCCGTCTCCCCAGAGCACCAGCCGCCGTCGTAATGGTGCTTGCTTCGCCCATACCCCCTCCCATCCTCCTTTCGCCCATCCCCTGCTCAAACGTCCAAGACACGCTTGCCTCCTGCCCCCTCCAAGCCACCCATCCCCCTCACCATCACCAACCCCAAATATCGCCTCCCGGGGCTTGGGGAACCGGCCGAGTGACTTTTGGTCCACGGCGCACCTCAGTTCCTGTGTAGTTCGCGCGTCCTCGCCCCTCCTAGGTGGTTTGACGAGTGTGGGCGGCCGACGTCTCGATGACGCCAGAGATGCCTACCAACGGTATTTTGGCCGTGTAACAGGAGGGTGGTCGCCGCGCAGTGACTGGGTCGCAAGACCGAGGACAGCCGAGCGGCCCGGAGGAGTTAACGGGCGAGGGTGTTGCTGCGGGACACTGCGAGAGTCCGCCTGTCCCATCGCCCCAAGGCTCCTCCTAGTGGGTGAGCATGCTGCCTTGTGGTTTCTGGACGCTCTGCATGGTCTAGGATGCACCCACCAGAAGGGGTGCCTCAGTCTGAACGTTTGGCAATGTACGGTCTGTTCGGTCTGTTGCTTGTGCCGGCCCCAGACAGATAGATCGCTCCCCAGAGGCCGCGCAAGTTGTCCATAGCCTGTCTCTGTGGCTGCTCAATGGCCAGATAGAGAATGATTCCGAGTGCATTTACCTCGCATTGTGGCTTGGCTCGCGAGGGAGGTGGGCCGCTCCAGGCATACATGTGTGGACAGCAATGTCGGGCTCGAGGACCCATTATACTCATTATTATCATGATGAACACCCATCGCGGTAGCTCAAGCACCCACGCGCCTGTAATCCCAATATATGTACATATCTGTATGCTCGTAAACCAAGACAGCGTGCTACCACCCAGGAAACACACAGGATATTGAACCCTTGCCTTGACCGTAAATAAAAATGGCATGCTAAGTCCCTAACACCAAACGCCCATTCTGCTTGATGATGAGACTGACAATTGCCGCTGGTGGCATGTAGCGCATCAGCCCGCAAAGCTATCCTCGATGCCCCAGCGTCCACTCTCATCGACAGCGCACTTCGCCTTGCCCTTCTCGCTTTCGCCACCGTCATCACTGACATACGAAGTGGGGTCTTCTTCCTTCTCGAGCTCGTACTGAGATAAGTCGAACGGCAAACCGTCGGGCTGAAGCAGCATTCCTCTCAGCGCCATGTTCTTCCAGACCACATCTCTTATATGCCTTATCTTCTTATTCGCTGGCAGTCCGTCCAGCTTCTGCAGATGTTTACACGACTGCACACATTTCCGTTCGTATACTCGCCGCTGGATCCGTGTCTCCATATCCAGGCGACGGCAATACCTTGCATCCCGCTCAGGGTCCGCATCAGGAAGCTTGAAGATGTCGGCTGTTTGCGTTTCTCCATCCTGGAGAACTACGCGCATGGGAGGATAAAAGCCCTGTGTGATCACATTGTCACGTAAGTCGACCTCTGTCAGCCAGGGGAACTGGCCCAAGACGCCGAGCAGGGGTTTCACGTTGGCCAGCCGATTGCCTGCAAGCAACAGCCGTTTGAGTCGTGGGATGCTCGAGAGACCACTGACATCAGACAGCCCGTTGAAGCAAAGATTGGCCACACGTAGGTTGGGCATTAGTTGTCCTAGGTTATCAGGTAGACGTTGCAGGCCGCAGTTCGCCAGGTCCAGGAGCTGAAGGTTGAGGAAGTCGCGTGGCGGGTCAAAGAGCCCCAGGTGGTTCCCCGAAAGGAACAGCTTCCGAACCTCGTACGCAGTCTCCAAGAAGGCCAAGTCGAAAGGCTTTGAACCGCCCTGCTCCCTAAGCGATAGACTGTCCAGATGCGGCACTCGAGACAGGCCAGCGACTGTTGTAAGCTTGTTGCGATCCGCATACAGCAGGTGAAGGCGGGGCATCGAGGTGACATCAACCTTTCTCAGCTTGTTGTCGCTGATGATCAAGTGTTTCAGCACGAGTGGCTCGGCGGAGCTGAACTTGACCAGCTGATTCCCTTTCAGGTTGAGATAGGTCAAGGAGGAAAGCTCGTGCAGGTTCTCGATTTCCCGTATCCTGTTGCTCTCCAGATCAAGGCTGGTCAGCCTTTGCAGATTCGTACCGTCGAAATTGAGCTTCTCAATGGAATTTCCCCTGGCTCGCAAGGTCAACAGTGAGTCGTGGAACCTGACCCCGTCCAGATTTGCCAACCCGCAATTGTCTGCGACCAAGCCACGCAGATGGACCAAACCGTTGAACGCTGAGAGACTCTTGATGTCGTTGTTCGAGACGTTAATGTACTGCAAGTTTCCCAGTCGATCCCAAGCAGTCAGCTCACTAAGCAGGTTGTGGGTGATGGTCAGCTCGCGAGTGGTTGATGGGATGCCATCCAAAGCCCTGATCGTATTGTGCGAGGCATCGATTTTGACAAGGCTTCCACAAAACCGGTCTAGCGTGTGCAAACTTCCCAGGTCCTTCTCACGGAGTGCGATCTCTTTCAAGTCCTCCCAATACGGCTCAAATGGTTCAACCTCCGCAAGTTTGCTGACCAGATGACGGACTGTCTGGGACATGCGCTTCCGCGTGGTGTCGCCCGTGACAAGATTCTGGTCCTCGACAAGGTAGCTCACCTCAAAGGCATACGAGCGGTCCTGGTGTGCAGTGAAGTCGGATATGGGACTCAGTGACAGATTGCCGATTTGATGGCTGAGTGTTTCCGCATTGTCTGGTCGAAGTCTTGATTTGGGCCGACCAGGTGTTTTGAACATTATGCTCACACTTGCCTGGCGACTTTGAGGAGGCTTCTCTTCCGTAATGCTCCGGCCCCCGCCCTTGCTCAGTTGTGTTCTATCCGCGAAGCTCTTCTCATCACTCTCCTCCTCGATGACCGATACCGGTCGAGGTACAAATGACGCTCCTTTGACCGACATGTGGCGTGATGGTGCACTTGACGAATTTCGTGGTCGTGGCCCGCTGTGACTGTTGAGAGAGTGATGGGGAGTAGCACGGCGGCTGTGCCTCCCTTTTGACTGGAGTATGTCTGCCACAGATTGTTCGAACATACTGGTGTTGTTTTCTTCGGGGCCGCTTCCGGAAACCACATCTTGTATGATGGATGCAATTGGGGAAGAAAAGCTGATGGTCATTCGTCGCCGAGGTGACGACTCTTCCAGCCGGTCTTCGTGAATTGTGATCTCGTGCTCGACATCCTCATTTTCGGCTTCAGCAAACTTGCTTATAAGTCTACTGGTCGATCGCATGGATCCGTTCTTGCTTGGCTTCTCCGCAAAATCTCTAACAAGAATGGACTTGAGAGACTGGCCTCGCACTGACTGTTCTGGACTCCCCGTGAACTTATCTGGACCAAAGAACTGCTTGCCAGATTCACTTTGCCGAGTCTGTTTATCTTTCAGGTTTTGCAGCTCTCTCGTCGCATCCACAGTCAAATCGGGAATATCGGCAAACGGGTCGTCCTCACTGTTCTCGGAGGCGAGAGTGTTGCTTCTCTTCGTGCGGGTCGCATGTACCTTGTTGCTTTTCACCCAAACGTTTCGCTGTCTATCTAAAATCATGTTGCCGACCTGGTCAGGAATGAGATGTGACACACTTTGTGGTGCGATGGTCCTCCTAGTATCTGAGCCCCGGGAGGAACCAGTTCGTACTGACTGTCCCGTAGAAATGCCGGATTCGGAGCCTGAACTGTGAGAGGGGAGTCGGTCTCGAAATTGCTGTGCCTGTTCAGCTGAAGTAGTATGTTCATAGCGATGAGGATTCTCAGAAATGCGTATGTTGGGTGGGTCGCTGACAATTTCATTATGCCGCAAGACGCTGTGCTCAGATGCCTCCGACATGGAGCTATGTGAGCGGTACTCCAGAGCTTGTACTGCCTGAATATCTTCCTTAGAGACACCGAGTGACCGTAGAGATGAGGCGATGATATCACCCATGTCGCTATGCTCCTCGTACTTCTTCAAATGGTTCACTAGGTCAGGATTTTGTTGTCGATTGATGGCCCTCGGAATGGGCTTTCCGTCACGGCTTGGCGGTCGAGAAAATGGTTCTCGAGTGGACTCTTGAAACGAAGAATCTGGCCAAGCTGGCTCCCGGATGTCCTGCCTAGTGTTCTCCGACTCGGACTCTTCGACGCTTGTGAGGCCACTACGCGTACCATTCTCTCCTCTGATAGCTGCCATGATGCGGTGGGCCTCGTTGATGAAGTCTTCTGTTCTGATGGACGGCTTCCTGCCTCCACCGGCAGGGAATTTGGGTTGATGCTGGGCCTTCTGCATTCCTTTCCGAACACGTCTCGCACCGTCACTGTCGGGAACGTGTAACTGATCGTAAGGGTGCTGTTCTTTTTGGACTGACGACCTCTGGCTTGGACTTGGGGTCGGAGTTCGAACGCGGAGGACCTTGCGAGAAGCTAGAACTTCGGCATTAGCTTTCTGCTGCATTTCGCCAGGGCGAGCGTCCTTACGCTTCCTCCCAATGACCACTTGCATATGTTGGTGCGTGGTCTGTGTTGATTCTAGCATATGCTCGTCTCCAGCCCCGAATGAGATGTCAGACTCGTGCAAAGTTCTTCTGCGCTTGGGTGTCGGGTCTTTGGTAGGTGATGTTCGCGGTCTCTTGTACTCATGGTCGTGGATCTGGTGTTTTGGGGTTGCTGCCAGCAGAGCAGATGCAGCTCGCGAGGCGGCCCCCGAGAGTGTTCTGAAGTTTGCCGAGGAGATGTTTTCCGGTTGCTGCCGTCGTTTTGCAATGGAGATATTGGCGGTTCCTGAAGGCGAGGAGTCCGCTGTGCCATCGAATGTCACCGACCGATGCACAAGAAACTCATCGTCAGAATCATTTGAAAGACGGGAGAAGTCCTCGTCAAATTCAAAGCCATCAAGCTCTCCTGCCCCAAACTGGCTGACAGACCTAGTCTGCCTTTTACGCTGGCCCGAATTCGGTTCTGGATCTTCCTCACTCGATTGCGGTCTGATGTCCGCATCCGTAGTATTCTTCGACGTAGTTCCCAGAGAGGGTTGTTTACCAAGGACTGGAGGCTTTTCTGATGTGGGCGACATGTTTGGGTCTTCGAACTGACTGATTCGCCTCACCAAGATTTGGTTTGTGAAGGTATCGTACGGCCCAAAAAGTTTCAGGGGACTGGCACCATTGGCCTGCGCACGAAGTTGCTTCTTTTCCGGGCTCGGAAACGGCGGAGCGGGCACAATCGGCGTCCCAGATGACATATCCTGCAAGTCTGGCTTGTTGCCGCGTAGGCTCGGAAATTGTTTAGGAGTGCTTGCTTGGAGAGATTCCTCCGGGAGCATATCTGACGTGTTACCCAATGCTGGTGTCAAGACGCGATGCTGAAAGGAGCCTTCAGCCGACTGACCACCCCTACGGATGTTGACATAGCTGCCAAGTCGCTGAACACCATCTGTGGCTGCTGTTCCTTGGGACCTGCCTCCTGCGGTGGATGAGTGACCGTGCTCAGAGCCGCTTGTGCGGGCCCGGTCCTTCTGGAGCCTCTCAAGACGCTCATACAGGACTGAAGGTGATAGATCCAGCGCAGAAAAGTCATTCTTGCCATCTTCGGCCCCCCGCCTACCGATGAAGATGGGACTGAAGTCCTCATGGCGTGCCGCACTTTGACTGCTGGTTTTCCGCGACTCGGCACCGGCAGTGGCTGGGGCCAGGAATTGTGCTGAGGACCGGCTGCTATCTGCTTGTGCGTTTATATGTGGCACGTGTCGTCGAACCGACATGTCGCTGAGCTCGCTCGCGTCGGATTCCGCCTCGTCGGCTAGCTTATACCTGACCGAGCGGCCCTTGGACTGGGTTGCTCCAATGGGCTCGGGCAATTCCTGTTCCGAGTATCGATCAGAGAAGACCTCGTAGTTGGAATAGTTCCCTGCGATTTCTGGTGGACTAGAAGGTAATGTTGTGTTGTTCCTCTGCAAGTTACTGCGGTCTTCATCTGCAAGGCCAGAAGCCGACTTTACGGGGACCGGGGGCTTGAACATGCCCTCGAGTCCGGTCCCAGCGGAAGTGAACAGGTCAAGTTTCTCACCATATGCACATTCGCCGTAAATCAGTCTTCGCTTCCATTCTGGAGTGTCGTATTTCCTCTTGTCGGGCGATGAGCTGAGTGACTGGCGGTGAACGGTGTTGTGGACAACAGATCCTGCTGGAGAGCAAGATATGCCAGATATGGACCTGCTCGCCGTGCGGCCTCGAGGGAGATGAGACCTGACCTCGTGAGAGAGTTTCGATGGAGTCCGCTTGGACAGCTGTGCGGGAACGTTAATGTCGCTGGGGCTCCGCTCGTTGAGCGCAGCGCTGCTGTTCCGATTAGGTGTAGCCGACAACCTTCTACTAGCGCTATGGCCACTGGATGGGCGTGGAATCTTGGTTCCGCTGGCCCTGATACTCGATTTCGTTGTGCCGTTCCTGGTTGGGGGCTTGGAGTTGGCGGGAGAGTCTGGCTCCGAGGGCCAGTCCTCGGATAGAGAGTCAAGCCAGGCATGCGACGACATGGTTTCGGCTGGCTCCCACAGCTGGGCTGATTGTCGCGTCAAGATCAGCTCGCACCCATGAAGTCCGTATGGCCGTCGCGATCAATCAGAGAGGCACGGTCAGATAGTGGCGGAGAGATGCAGCCAACGTTGGTCGCTGCCTCGCGATGTGTGCGATTGAAGATGTGCACAGGGTGACAGGGTGGTGACGCGCTGAGAATGGGCCAGCCTCGGACTGCGGATACCTTGCTGGGTATCTGTTCTGCGATCAAGCGGGTCATGCAGTCGCTTGCAGGGTGTGTTGGCACTGTATACAGTACGGTGGTGGTGGAGTCGCCTGCGATTGACAGAAACAACAAATTGGCGATGCGGCCCTGGCAATTGATACTGTAAAGGAAGTTGATGGTCAGATGGCTGCAGGCTGCGCAGTCCTGTTCTTTGTATGTTGGAGGAATAATTTCGACCCGTCCGTCAGGGAGATCCCGCGTTGTGGTTTAGAGAGGGTGGAGCTCTGACTGCCCAAGCAAGTTTGTATCTCATTGCCCGAAGCAAAGCATTTTGGGTTGCAAGCCGCACTTCTGCAAAACACAAACCTCGCTGGAGACGTGATTGGGTTGCGGGCCGGTTGTTGTCACGGCAACCCGCTCTTTGGCGCCCTGCCCCTCTGTGTGAGGGCGTGGCCTCGAAACGGGCCGTGTTGTCACCGGCCATGCGGCCGTACCTTCAGTTCCTCAGACTACTATAGGTCAGCCATGCCCAGCTTCTTTCGTTGCAGATCTGCGATTAGATCATATGCAGGCCTGGCGTCTTTCCTCGTTGGACAAAGGACTTCGCTTGTTCGAGGATACCTGGGCAGGTACCTAGGTACTTTTGGAGGTGGCAGGGTTCTGGAGTGCTCGCATGGCCAAGTTGTGGTCAGTGCACCAGTAGCGCGTGTTTTTCGCGTAAAGTGGCTTAGGGAAAGCGCGTGTTGCTCTTTGCAACCGCGCCTGTCTCCATTTGAGCTCCGCCGGGCCTGAGCTTTCCGCCTCTGCCTGATTTGTGCTGTTCTCCCTCTTGTCCGCCATTCTCGCCACCATGAGAGCTCTCCCCTCCTCTCCCTACTATTGACAAACAGGACAGCACCGATGCCGTCGCGGATTGTGCCCCACTGTAGCCGGACATTTGGGGAATACCGTCGTCAACATGCCGCCGGTGCCCTTTCATCAGCTCAGCGATGAGCCCCTTTACTGTGAAGCTGTGCACGACAAGGACGAAGATGGCTTCTACTCAGGCTCCGAAGACGACCACTACGAGGGCCCCCTGCATCGACGCCTGCATATCGAGAAGAAGGCTATCGACTTCTTGTCTGGAAATGTGCCGATCTTGATATCTGCAGCCCTTCGCGGCCCCTTCGACAGGAAGCACTGGAACAACCCATGGAGGTCAACGCGAGCCGATCCATGCAAGGATCAGCCCACACATCCGAGACAGACTGCTGTCTCCGAAGAGGACCTCCCTGATACCCAGGGCACGAGTCTATATCCCTTGCCAAGCCCTGAGACCACGAATCCACCATCGGCAAAGAAGAACCCGTACATGGACGAACAAGACTACAGTCGTGTCAAGAATTGGAGAGCAGCAGTTAAGAGCACATCTGCCTCAAAGGATCCATTCTGGCAGTCACATGAGGACGACAAGGATGAAAAGTTTACTGCGAGGAAGAGGTCTGCAGATTCGACTTGGTTGCACAAACGAGATCGGAAGAAGCCAAGGTCTGCCAACAATCGAACTTCTAGTCCGGATGACTTTCCAAGTCGTGGCGTATCCCGACCCAAAGGTCTCCAGACTCGTCAGCGACATGCCTCTCAGATGGTCGCTCAATTCCTGCGGAATTCATCTCCGCCGGACGACGAGCTTGCAGCAGATGACCATACAAGGCCATCTAGTTCAAATACTCCACCAATGGCAAAGAAGCCCATGGCAATGACGCCCCATGGGGCGAAATGGCTCTTTTATGCCTATGATAACTCTGACGACGAGTTGTCTCTGCCGGCCACTACGCCTACTTCCACAGCTAGATACACTTCTGCCATGGTCTCGGCATCCCGGATGAGGAATCGGTCGCCCACTCGGCGGATCAAGGCCACCATGAGCAAATCTCGACCGATGAAAAAGCGCAGCACTTCGTCAAGTGCGCGAGCGAAGCCCAGGAAGCTACAGGCAGCTCAGTCATCGCCCAGTCGAGGTTCGGATCATGATGGGAGCGGAGCAGGTTCTCATGTTGCAGCATTCGATAGCATGGATGTAAGCCCCCGAAACTGGGCCACCAAGCAGTCAGAGTCACCACTGGATCAGCCTCTTCCAAATACGTCGACCGTGGAATCGATGTTCTTACCCCAAAACTTGGCCGCTCAATCTTCGGCCCAACAGGACAGCAGCTTTCTTTTTCACAAGAGAGCCAGAATACCCACAGGTGCAAATGAGCATGGGATATCAATCAGCGTTTCCAAGGGGAAGGCTGCGCTGAATCAATCTGCACTACAGCTCAATTCAACCAAGATGGATGAGCAACAAGATCAGTCCGCCCCTGGTGACGACCAGGCTGCGCCCATTGGTTTCGGTCCAACAATTGTGACGGGAAAGAACTCTCAAGTGAATCAAATTTTCTCAACCGAGCTCTCGAGAATGTGCAGAGATCCAGCTTTGTCACCAGCCGTGGACCAAGGCAGCGCGTCAAGTCAAAACCAGCCAGATCAGCAGAACCAACCTACGGACGAGCACAAGGTGAATGATGAGGCAAAGATGGCGGTTGAATCCATCGCGAAGGTTGAGCCTGATGCTGGAACTGATTCGGCAAAAGTGGTGCAGCTCGCAATTGCGAGTGAGCCCTGGGGACTTGAACAACCTCGGTCCTTTCCGCAGGGGGATGGCTGTTCCCAGTCGGACTCGGAATGGTCGACCTATCTCGACACTGAAGACCGGATTCCAGTCTCTGCCTCGGAACAAGATACCATGAAGAAGTCGGATAGTATGTTGATTGTAGAATATGGCGTGGACGGCTCATCCGATCCGGAATGGTCAACTTCTGTCAACACACAAGACATAACAGCTGTCATTGCGAACCTGGAAGCAGCCGTCGGCCCCGAAGAAGCGGCACATCAGCAGATAGGTTCTGACAGGTCAGCACTTACCAATGCAAAGTGTCTGCCACCTGTCACTCTCGACGCAGCTGGCACGCCCTACCAAAAGGTCAAAAGCACGCCCGTCGGCATGTGCTCTACAGGCCTCGTTGGTCACACCAACGAACCTCCCGAAGATTCAGCTACAAGAAGTTTTCCCGAAGATCAAATGCACACCCAAGCTAGTGTGGGATCCATCATTGATGCATATGCTGAGTTCGGCGTCCTGTCGCACAGTTCCGAGCCGACGACTACGGAGAATCCTGCTGAGCAGCTGGAAACAGAAGCAGAGGTGTCCGCCTTCCCCTGCCCCCTGTCAAATCAAATCACCACCGTCTCGGCGGATGGATTTGAAGTGCATAATGAGATTTTAGCCAGCGAAGAACCGCAACAGCTTCAAGCAGCACTCGAGAAGTCGGACGACGCAAAGTGCTCGTTGGGTTTGATTTGCGGTCCGACCAAGTCTGATGAAAATCCCATTTTTGAGGATACACGTTATGTTGAGAACCTCTCAGTCCCTATCCTGCAGACCTTGAGCGCAGCAAAAGAACCTGCAAGCAGAAGCGATGGCTCTAGCTCTCTGGACGAGCCGACCATCGCCCCTGAAGAACTGCAAATTCAAGATCCATGGGGACAGGTAGCAACAAGCCCTTTGCGGGTGGCACCCCCGGCTCCAAGCAACGAGACAAGACCAGGTTTTCATTCTGATGGCCTGGGCGAGGCAGCAGCAGATATTCAAAGCCCATGGAATGACAAGGCTGACTTAGCCTCGCCATTGTTTGTCCCACTAACGACCTTAACCAACACCGCCGGAAGCACACCCGATTTGAGCATACTCGCGGGTAAAGCACTGGCAATATCTCAGCAACCACAGAGTCCTTGGGAGCCGAAGACACCTGCAGCACCAAATCCTCCAGCTCAGGACTTTGGCATGTCCATCAGAGCGTTTTCGGATTTTATGTCGCCTTCGCCGGTGAAAAAGCGAGCGGCATTCAACACAAAATTCTCCGGGCCTTCGAGTGTAAAGCCCGGCATACTCTTCAAAACACCTGGGCAGCCCAAAGCAGATCGCCGAGTGCACTTCGCGCCGCTTCCTGGCGAACAAGAGATGTGCTTCACTGATTTTGAACTGGATGAAAGTATCGCTATCTATGATGAACAGGAAGTCTCCTATTTCGACCCATCAGGCAACAAGACTGGCACGATGCGGATGCCGAAGCTGACGACGAGGGCGACTTCTCCACCTCCTATGGAGATGATTTCCGTGGAAGCTGGGGGACTCCCTGATTACGACCAGAAATTCGCGAAACACTTCGAGGCGATGTCAAAGCGCAAGAACCCAAGCCGGAGATCTTTGAGGCTGCTTCCTTTGGAGTCTCAACCAACAGTGACTGCCAGCCCGGAAGTTGGTGCTATGGCAGAGGCTTTTATTCAAGCCTCACAGACCAGGAAGAGAGGCTTGGAGCTTGCTGCTGAGAAGGGAAACAAGGCCGAATGCAGACCTGAATTTGTGGGAAAGAACCCTGTCCCCGCGGCGATGGTCATGCTCGAGGACCAGGAGAATGTGGAGCCGGTGGACGACGTGAGCTTGGTGCTTGATAACCTGGACAAGTTCCTCGACAACACATGGGGCATTGATATGGGCACTGGAGAGAACCCTGCAGACGACGCCTGCAGCAAGCAGGAGAAGGAGACTGCTCTGAATCAGGGCGCAGCACGGAAGGTCGAAGACCCGATGTTTGATTTGGAGGCAAATGTCTGGGCCGATTGAGCCCAAATATTCAGGCTGGATTGCTCTGATTGTGTGTTCTACAGGGCCCATAGGTCAGTGAACTGGCGTCTGTATTGACCGATATGAGTGAGCGTTGATGGTCTCGTGGGATCATACAGATTTTGAGCGTGCACTCTTGTTTGCTATTAGCTGGAACGGAAGGGCGGATGCCCATAGAGCACGGCAAGGTTATTGGAGTTTTTTTGGTATGGTCGCTCACATGGCAGCGCACGGAGTTGATTTTACAGAGATATCCCATCGCGCGTGCTTATCAAAGTAGTGTACCTCGTCGCCTGTCACGGCAGATGTACGAAGAAATAGAACAGAAAGGCTTCTGGCCGCCAGGGGTTCCTCAGGCTTCCTTCCCTACATGCGACCACGACCGTGTTTCTTCCGTTCCGTTGGGGCAAATTCTGTGCCAACTGGCAGGTAGACGGTATACCCGACCACGATAATTCATCATCAAAGAGGGGCAAACAACCTCTACACACGCCCAACTTGCTCCATCTTGGCCGAGCCCGCTCCCCTCAACCCAGGCTGGACGGATATTCTCTCGGGCATGGCCTCGGAGAATAGCCACAAGCTGGGAAGCGCATTGGCTGGAACACATATCACTGTGATTCATCCTGCATCTAGTTTTCATTTGTTCTCGCAGAGCAAATTACCCAAAGCATACAGAAGCCACTGGCCGCCAGCACATGGTTTTGCTCAGGTCTCACCGCCGTGGTCTCATTCCTCAACTGGGATGGGTTTTTGGCGCCGTCCATTCAGAAGGCCACCGACGCACAGGGGCGTTTGTATGCTACAGCAGAATTTTTATTATGAGTTGTCTACACCAGTCAAACTTTCGGTTGAGTTGTGAGTAGAGGAAGAACATGCTGCGAGCAGTGAGGCTGCAGATGGTCTTAGAGAGACAAACTGGACTGCAAGAGGTATAATTTTAACTTTGAACGCCAGCAACGCAAGAGGAAGCAAGAAGATATCAATGGCAAATCTACGAGATGTTTTACCAGGCCTTGGAAGCCGGGGGGCCTCATGCATTCCTAGATCATACATGCACACGGTGAAGGCTCTGAATCGGTAGAATTCAAATTGCACCCAGGACGAGGCAATGCAGTCATCAAACTGCTGTCCTCGTCCGGGTAAGTAACTATCTGAATAGTGCCCCCAAGGGCAAACCGGCAGAGCCATCTTAAGCCGGCAACCCGACCACGAGCTGCTGTAAAAACCAGTACGAGCCAAGATACGAACTTTGGCACCCTGAGATCAGGCTCGGTAAAACAGGGGCTTTGCGAGACATGATGAAGGAGCACTGGCTGAGAACTGCATGGCGAGCCATAGGAGCTTTTCCTCCCACCACTACGTATCAATCCCGGATCAACGTGGCCTGACTCCGGCCGCTGCACACATTCTTCCATCCGTGCGGTAAAAGACTGCCAGAACTAGGATGAGACATGACGTGGGAGGTTCCGGGTCACCACCTCCGACGGCGTTCACAAATAATAGACTAAGATGAACAGGGTGGACCGAGACTGTCCATATGGTTGAAAAGTGGGCTTTCCCATGATGTAGTTCGAACAGCTGCGGGTGGCCTGGACAAAGGACCGATATCAAACTTACGCTGTGACAGAAGTATGACACCTACAAGACACTTTCGAGCCATGGAGCGGATCGAAGCCGTGAGGCACAAGAGCTGGCTGAACTATTCCTGTGATGCAGAACAAGAACAATCTGGAAGCCGGGGCGGATTCCGCGACGGCCCTGCCCTTGCATACACCCAACACTTTTCACCATTCGCTTGGACTCCAAGAGTCTCGACTGGACCAAGAAGGGAAGAGTTCCCCGGGCAGGATACGCTTTTCCTGGTCGTGTTTGTCTCGACAAATAAGGAAAAGGGCGGTGACGACGAAAGAGGCACAGGGGCCCGGGGACTCTCCCGTCCACCGAAGAGCATCGGTGCGTGGTAGGCCAAAACAAGGCAGAGAAGGTGGACCTGGGCGGGCATTCATTCTCCTGGCAGTCTGACCAGACTGATCGGATCCCGGAGGTTGGGGCCTGGGGTTGAGACTGAAGCAGGAAGGAAGCTTCGGGCAGTGGCATTGACTCGAGTTGATTGATGACACTATGCGGAGGAATAGGAAGCGATACAGAGAGCACGTTGTTGGATGATTGGTGAGAGAGCTGTCTCGGACTCTTGAAAGCATGGACACTCTTGATTGGGCCGTTCGCCCTTGGCGAAAGTCAACGTTCAGCCTCCGTTGAAGACGGCACAGTCGGTCTTTGTAAAATAGCAAATGGATTATGCACGGCCAGGAGTTGCGGGAAAAAGCAGCACGCAACAGAAGACACAAGCGGTACAGCGCAAGTGACACATCAAAAAGGCAAGGATGATTGGGTTAGTTTGTGTGAGCGATATTTGCTGTCCCAAGCGGCTGTGGGTGTAGATGATAAGAGGCCGCGCCGGCCCGTTGGAACGGTGCAAGGAGGTTCTGGCCGCAAGGGAAAGGTGACATGCAGATTGGCGAATAGAGGGGCAAGACCGGCCCCCCTTCTGCGGACGAGGTAGATACTTAAGTATGTAGCCGGGATAGTATCTGGGGTACCAGGGCCGGGCCACCCTCACCGGTCTGGCAGTCTGGCTAGGGCGACGAGGGTGACGGCCTTGACGGGGGTGCTGGTAGAAGGACAGATATGTAGACTACTGTCAGCCGGGGCATACCACAGTAAATTCATGAGAATGGCATTGGAAAGACAGTGTGCTGGGCCGCCGGTGCGACTCGAGCCTGTCAAAGGCGGTAATGGCAGAACGTGACATGGGAACGAGGGTGATGACGATGATGGGCCTTGGTGTCCGTCGTCGTTCGCGTAACAGCGCCTGAGCCAGCCAATGCGGTGAGACAAAAACCTTGCGAGACGGCCCAGGATCGGGCAAGGACAGACGACCGTCCAACGCAGTGACATTGGCTGTGGCCCACAAACAAGCCAGTCTGCCAGTCCAGATGACACCACCATATACACGTGTACTGGACTGTGGAAGGAGCAGAGGAAGATGGTGGAAAGTTACCTACTGAGAGCATGTGCAAGTGCAAGTGCAAGTGCAAGTACATGCCGGTCGGCCGAGGGCAAGGGGAGTCGAGAGGGCCCCATCACCCCGGCCCAGTGCCGCCCAGGATCATGACAACAATAAGGCTGACTTTACCCAGGTATGGAACCGGGAAACCCACCAGTGACGCCCACGTGGTACGTACAGTAAGTCTACAGTACCATTCATTGACTTGGCCCCGTCGTCCACTTGCTGCTTGCCCCATCCAGGACGAGCCGTTCCCTCGAGCAGGTGAGCAGATGCGCTGGTCTTACTGGCAGGCTGGGCGCAACTCACTCGGGCACACACTGACGGGCCAACTGTCGTGCAGGGGGTTCGGCACATATGGGTGGTTGTTTTTCTGGGTTTGACATGGTCGTGTCCTTTGATACTTACTAGTCCCCCGAGGAATGTTCCTGGGCTGTCTAGCGTCAGGCACGTATACCACCACCTGCTCCATACTTACCTAGGTACCTACTTAGTAGGTACTCCGTACTTGGCCATCGGTGCCCGACTGTCGGAGTGGCCTGCGAGCTGCGCACATGTACCTCTGTATCTGTGGGCCTATTACGGCACAGCCCAGCCCAGCCCAGCCAGCCAGCCACAGGGGCCAACGTCTCTTGCGTGAACCAGTGCCTCCCACCCCTGGCGCTGCCTGCTAGGGGCGACCAGGCCTTATCTCCCGTGGGCGGATTAGCGAAACACTTCCTTCGCCCCCCCTCCATTTCTTTCCCACACACCTACTCTCCAACCCGACTCTCCCAAAGGACGTCAATCCTGCCACAAATCACGCCTCCCGTCCAATTGCTTGCCCGCAGCCACACACAGGGCCCCAGAGCCGACGAAGCGGGAGCACATGGTTCGTGCCGTCACCCAGTGTCACGACAGTAGCATCAGGGACAAGAGGCACGAGCTGCGCAGGGTTTGCCGTTCTCCCAACTCCGTCGCCTTCATCTCCTCCCTGGCCCTAGCCCTGGCCGGCCTCACCACCACCACCACCTCCTCCTCCTCCTCCCGCGCAACCGTCGCCTATCAACCCTCCCACACCCACACCTCTCCCCGTCCACAGCCAATGTCCACCACATGTCGCCGTCAACTACCTTTGGAGCTGTACCGGTGAGCCCCCACAGCGGTGAACCTGCACCTGCACCCGCACCCGCACCCGTACATCTGCCCGTGCCCGTGCCCGTGCCCGTGCCTGAGCCTGAGCCTGAGCCTGAGTCTGCACCGGTACAGCCACTCCCACTCCCACAACAAGAAGATCAGGAACAAATACAAGGACAAGGGCAGGGACAAGACCAGGGACAAGACCAGCTGCGCGGCCGTCGCCCTGCCGGCACACCCACCTCCGTCCCCGCCGCTTCCCAACCCCCTGGCACCTCGAGTTCTCTGGCAGCTGGGGAGGATGGCCGAGCAGGAACAGCAACATCCCAGAATACCCGTGTACCTAGTTTCGAGAACAATGCTGTTGCACCAGACCTGATAGATAAAAGGCCAAGGGGACCTCCATCTGTCCCTTCCGCCGCCGCTTCTTCTGCTGCCTCTGCCTCCACTGTTCCCAAACGGCCTCAGGGGCCCTCTCTGCTGACACAGCAACTCGCAGAAGCTCGTGGTATATCTCTTGCTGTCGCTAGCCAGTCCCTCGATGCTCCTTGTCCCAGCCCTCGTTTGCAAAACCACACGTACGACCCTGCCAACGTTAGTCGCCCCAAAGAAGACCGCCCTTCGGACGGGCTCCCATCCACACACTCCCATCACCAAGATCACCCTCAGGACACTTCCTATGATAGCGATGGAGGCTCCGTGACTCCCAGAGCCTCACCAAGGGCCGTCGCCGCTGCCATGGCTCGCACTGGTACCGTCGAAACCCTTACTCTTACTCCCCGGACCAGCGAATCCGTCCTGTCCCACGCACTGGACTCGTTGGAACCAAGAAGTGTGGACTCGAGGCCCAAGGACCACTGGGACCTCCTCAGATCCAGTGAGAGAGGCACATCCTTGGAGAGGACAGACAGGGAGAAGAGACTGAAGGACGTGGCCTTCTCTCCTCGCACCTACTCTGAGACCTCCACTGCACCATATTTCGCCTCAGCGCTGGACCGCGATTCGGAGACGTCGAACGGGAGGCTGGACCAGGCTGTCACACCAAGCCAACGCTCCCCGGCCAGGCCTCGCAAACCCGACCATCGAGTATCGATGGGACCTGAGAAGGCGTGGTCAATTGGTTCTGACGATCTCAAGAACGGCCAGGATGGCCAGGTTGAAAAGTCTATTGCAGAGGTGCTGGCAGGAGTAGAGCCGAATGCTAGAAGCCGGAAAGCAAGCCACAGCTTGCGCTTCTTCAAGGAAGGCTTGCCGGAGGAAACCATGAAGAGGCGAGAATCTCGACACGGTCCCAGCCCCAAGGAGAGACTGCTGCCGTCCGCGGACGATGCCGATCCTGAGAGGCACCGGCTGGCTATCCGGGGTGATGATCACTTTAAGAGCCTGCAGCCCACCCCTGGCCCTGCAGAAGATGCCCCAGGACGTCTATCGCGCACCAGAACTTTCCCACTATCGATAAGTGCACAGAAGTATAGCGAAGAACCCCAGGATTACTTCCACGTGCGTCGCGAGCACAAGACGGTCGCTGACCCACGCACACCTCTGGATGAAGCGAATGTGTACGAGGAAGACTCGCCCAAAGTCTCTGGCGGACTTCGGATGGATCGTGAAGTGCGAACAGGGCCAAGTGACACAGCTGACGCTGTAGAGGACGGTGAAATTTCTGGAGAGGAGAAAATATCGTCCGCCGTTTTCCTGCCGCACAAAGGCCCCCATGCTGCCCCCGATAGTCCATGTGATGTTGAGGAAGATATCGATGCGACTAGTGACCCCGGCGTGACACACCAGCGGAACGCTGATGGCTCAGCTTGGCTGGTCAAGGCCGACGAGCCTGAGGTCGACGAGCCGAAATCGCCCCAAGGTCCGATCGAAGAAAAGACACGAGATGCTCCTCCCATCAGACCCCATGATCCCGGACTACGCTCTCCTGGTTTGAAGCCTCCCGAGAAAGCTGCGCCTGTGGCGTCTCCTTCCCCAGAGATTGATCGTGCGGTACAAGAACAGTCTGTGCCTGCTCAGTTGGGTCCTCAAGACTATGAAGACCACGTCCATGATCATCAATTAGGTGCCCAACAACCACTTGATGCCATAGAGCTTGTTCCTTACTCGCATCAGGTGGGTGGGCACACGACCCTGTGGAAGTTTTCGAAGAGAGCGGTCTGCAAGCAGCTCAATAACCGCGAAAACGAGTTTTACGAGGATATTGAAAGATACCACAGGGACCTACTTCCTTTCCTGCCTAGGTACGCATCAATCTCTGTGCATTCACTTGGGTTGGAGAAGAAAGCGGTCAGGCGAGTGACTAACATCAAATGCAGGTACATCGGCGTGCTCAATGTAACATACTCAAAGCAGCCTAGGCGGAAATCCACTATCAAGAGGGATGAGCCTGCGGCTTCTGAACGTAGGAAAGCCGAGCAGATGGACCAGAGTACGGGCGTGAGGAGTAATGGCCTCTCGCCTCATGAGTCTGCCGAGAAGCCGAACCAGGCCAGTCAACAGACGAGCACGCATACCAGAGTAATCAGCCAATCTCTCCAATCAAGCTCGATCCCAATCCCAACGGTCACATTCATGGACAACCAACATATTCTGCCCCGGAGCCTTCTTCACCCGGCAGCAAACGCGGCGATCTATTCCGAGCGTGCGCGGAGCTCGTCAATCTCTGTTCCGGCGTCGCACTATACCTCCAATGATTCGACGCCTGCGGGAATACTGGAAAGACCGTCTCTGGAAGACCGGCATGCTAATAGCTGGGGAACCACCGTGGTCAACAAAAAGCTGCGTCACGAGGTATTCAACGATGCCTTCCGGAATCAACCAATCAACATCCATAGGCACAAGAAAGCTCACCAGCGAATACTGCCCAAGAAGACTCTGGACCGCCTCCTTCGGCCCCAGAGCTCAGATTCTAGCCTTATGAGGGGCAACAGTACGCAGTTACACATTCCTGTGGTGCGCAACCAGGAGCCCATTCAGCAAGTATCCTCACGTTTGCACCAGAAATCACAAAGCGACCTGGGCCCTTCTAGCGAGCCTTGCTCAGATGGCAATGAGGAGTCCAAAGATGTCACTGGGACCAGTGCTCCTGAGCCAGACATACTGAACGAGGCTATGGTCCCGCAACGTAAGAAACGCCGGCATTCCGGGAGTGCTCTGCGAAGGAGACCTAAGGACGTGTCAGACTCGAGAGGGGATCTGCATTATTGGGAGGAGCCTGATGATGCAGGTTATAAGGGCGACAACGAAGAAGTTGGTGGCCCAGCTCCCAGGCCCGACGCACCTACAGCAATGCCCGCCCAGGATCCCAATGGGGCAGATGAGACCCAAGGCAAGGCATCATCCACGACTTCGTCGGCTTGCGAATCTACAGTTGTCTCTTTGGCGACAAGCCCCACGAGCGATTTCAAGAGGGTGCCAAGGCCAATGAACCCCAAAGAGGCTCAAACTCAGCGCGGGTCACGAGTCTCGTACTTCCTACTATTGGAGGATCTGACTGCTAGCATGAAGCGTCCTTGCATCATGGACCTGAAGATGGGCACACGCCAGTATGGTGTTGAGGCCACCCCCAAGAAGCAGAAATCTCAACAACGCAAATGTGCCGAGACAACATCGCGGGAGCTCGGTGTGCGGGTCTGCGGCCTTCAGGTGTGGGATGTGCAGACCGAAAAATATGTCTTTCAAGACAAATACTACGGTCGAAACCTCAAGGCCGGGGACGAATTCCAAGAAGCACTCACCCGCTTCCTTTACGATGGCAAGGATCTTCACAGCATCCTCCGGCATATCCCCAACATTCTGCAGAAGCTAAGCCAGCTCGACGTGATTGTGCGTCGGCTGCGGGGCTACCGATTTTATGCCGCCAGTCTGCTCATGACCTATGATGGTGACCAATCGGGCAAAGACAACTACGACACCGCGGTGGAAGACTCAACAACGGACTTTGCTACTGACACAGAAGACGTCGGTAGAGTCCGCAAACGGAAAGACAAGGGCGAGATCGATTTCAAGATTGCCGATTTTGCCAACAGCCTCACTGCTAGTGACATGGACCAGGACAAGCCTTGCCCACCTCGACATCCCCAGGATCCAGACCGCGGCTTTCTCAAGGGCCTGCGGAGCCTGCGCAGGTACTTCCTCAAAATTCAACAAGATACTCGCACCGAACTGGGGCTGCCGTCAGCGCAGCGCAACCTGCTCTACGATCCACAAATGGACGTGTCGGAAGACGAGTTCGTCAGCGAGTAAACAACGTGCGCTACTCCAACCTGTGCGCGGGTAGCTGTTGTTTTCGATGGATACTCTCGGCTATCACCCCAACCCTGCTCTCTCCGGATCCACAATCACAACCCTGTTTGCATTGTGCTTGGGAAACCTGCCTATTGTTTTCTCTTCCTTTCTTGTTCTCTCTCCTTTGTGCACCTGATCAGGTCACCAGTGCGTTTGGCGTCTTCAGAGAGTGTTTCGTTTTTTTTTTTTTTAAAAAAGGTTTGCCGTTACTCAGTCCAGGTACATTGAGACTTGGCTTTCTGCGGAGTTGAATGGGCCCAAAAATACATCAAAATGATACCAATGATACCAAAAAGTCAAACAATACCAGCTCAGCTGCAAGGCGGAAAGGGCCGGATTATTCGGAAGCAAGGATGGAATCCCGAGGGAACCAAGCCTGGCGTGGGCTCTGGTTGTACTGACTACTGTGTATGAGATGGAATTGGTCGGGCAGGGCTTGATTGCGGACTGATGGATGGATTTGCTGGGTCGAGGCCATGGGCCAAAATTCTTAGACTGGACGGCGAACGGTTCATTGTATCGGCAACGCATATTAGAAGCTCTAGAAGGATGGTCATCAGAATAATCGGCTCTACAATGATGCATACTATACAGTTGGACTGTCCCGGCTGCGGCCAGTGTTCTTCCTGGCCGATATCTACCCTGTCTCTCTCTCTCCCTCTCAAGCCAATGCCCGTGTGTCACAGCTTCGCCTTGTTCCCATTTGCCTTGACCCAGCTCTCCACCCGCGCCTTCCCCTCGGCCTTCCTCTGATCCTCAGCCTTGAACCAGGCGTCGTCCTTGGCCTCCTCCCGCTCATGATTGTCCAGCAGGTCCAGGCATTCGCGGTACATCTCCATCTTGAGCAAGCCGTACACGCCCGTCTTGCCCCTCTCGGTGAGCTTCCTCTCCGCGACCAGCTTGAGCACCTCGTCCCAGCCGCCGGCGGCGTCGACGATGCCCCTGGCGGCGGCCTCCCTGCCGCCGAAGCGGCGGGCCTCCAGCACCATCTCGCGGTACGTCCTGGCGTCGGGGAGCTTGACGCGGAAGATGGAGGACATCGGGGGCTTGAGCGGGGCGCCGAACTCGAGCTCGTTGAGGCAGCAGAACCCCCTGTCGGGGTTCATGACGCGGTAGTCGTGGTGCATGGCGAGCATGAGGCCGCCGGCGAAGGCGTGGCCGTTCATGAGGGCGACGGTGGGCATGGGGTAGGTCAGGAAGCGGCGGAACAGGGCCCACAGGCACCCGGCCCAGAAGGGCGTGCCGCGGGCGACGGCGTGGGCCAGGTCCAGCCCGTTGGAGAAGAACTTGGGCAGCGACGAGGTCGTCACCACGCAGCCGGGCGCCAGGGAGAACTCGACAATGTCCAGGGCCTGCAGGAGGGCCTGGCACACTGCCGTCGTGAGGCGGTTGTCCGGCGGCGAGGTCAGCGTCAGGACATACACCCTCTCTGCCGGCTCGGTGATGGTGACGGACCCGCCCTGGTGCCCATCACATGCCGGGACCGGGATGCTGTAGAGCGGCTTGGGGGAGCTCGGCGCGGCCATCGTGGGCTTGGTCGTGGACTGCCCTTCTGATGGTAAAGGAAGAAGAATAAAGGGGGGGGACTGAGGACTTGTTGGGACGATACGATCAAGTTAAACCCAACGTCGTTTCCTCTGCGTGGGTGGGTATCAGAAGAGAGAGAGAGCGGTCGACGTTGGACCCCTTTGTAAGTAAGCCCCGATTTTACCTCGGCACCTGCGTTTACCTAGGTGGCCCTCCCCGGCCGTCAAGTGGGCCCGGCTGTCCACTGACGTCCGGCTCCGACGCCTAGAGGCTCGGCGACGCTGGCCGTGTGTGGGTTTCTCTGGGATCCACGGTACGGCTGCTAGATATACATGATATTAGCGGTGGATCCGGGGTTGAACCCCTGGTCTCTCTGCCTCATCGCAGCACAATTCTGAGCGACTTGATTAGTGCGGGAGGCCGGGGAGGTCCGGGAGACCCGGCCAGTTCAGTCGAGTAGTGCAGAGAGCATGTTGCATCAGCCAGGTCCATAGCTAAACGTGCATCCCGAATTGCAGCAACGGGTTTAGGCCGTTCTGTCAAACCACGAGAATCTCATACTTGACACCCTCGGAGCGCCAGGCAAAGCACCGTCTGTACTGCTACAGGTGTCTAACTTCGCTACCAAAAGTAGCCCAACGCCATACAATCAAAACCCTCGCCTTGGCCATGCCGAATCTTTGAACCAGCCAAAAATGGGAGAACCGGGGGAAAACCAGAGACGGAAAAAAAAGGAAAAAAAAAGAGAAACAGTTCACCAATCATTGTGTAGTAATTCTCGTAACCTGTCCTCATGCTAATTGACCTTCATGCCGTCATACTGCCATCTCATACTGCCGAGTAACCCCCCCTAGAGCCTGTGCCTTGCACGGTGTTGAGGACCCTCCTCGCCCAGTCCTTGAGAAGGTACGGGATATCGCGAATAGCGTCACTGTGCGGTAGCAGATCCCAGCCACGGGCGCCATAGCGGTTGTAGTTGAGCCAAGATCCAAACACCAGGTAGGAAGCAGTACCGAGGAACACGCTGACACAAGCGTTAGTTAGTAAACCAGAGAAGAGAGGCTGGGGTGGCCGTCGACAAGACAATAACTTACAGGATGACAAGCCACGTGAAGAACCCCCAGTGGTTGTTGCTGGGGTACTCATCTGCCGGCAGGCCCTCGCAAGCGTATTTGGTATACCAAGTAAGCCTCAGCACGTCGATCTTCTTCTTGTCATCGGCGAGGGGTCCGTAGCTGTCGAAGATGAGGGCCGCGTCCGGCTTGAGCAGTTGGTGTTCTGATTCCGGGTCGTTCTCCCCGTCACCGTCGGCCCTCTTTCGTTTCTCGGCGGCCGGGCTTCCCTCCTCCCCGGTCTCTTCCTGACCAGGCTCGTACTTGTCGTCCTTGGGGTCCCACTCGCCCTCCTTGCCCGTCTTGTCCTTGTCACATACCATCTCAACGACGGCCTGCTGTGCGCGCTTCTGTCCGCTGACGGATGACTGTCCACCGTGCAAGACGATCCGAACACCTTCCTTCTTGGCATCGGACTGTGAGTCGGATGTCTTGAGCCGCGTGAACAGGGGCTCCAGGTTGCCGCCCCCGTGGTTGAGCAGATCCCCTGCGATGGGGATGGTGGCGGTCACTTCGTCTTTGTCGCCTTTGATGCCGCGCACGATACCGCAGACTGTCCACGAACCGGTTCAGCATGGGACGGCCCCTAGAAAAACGACGAGGGGTTCTGGAGAGGTCTGCTGTGGTGACGGGAACTCACCCCTTGCTCCGTTCGCACAGCTCTCTTCGGCCGGGCCGGTCTTCTTTAGTGGTGCACACAGGTCTAGGGTGTACGTGGTGTTCCGATACTGGAAGGGCTGGTCAACCAGCTCCTGCGTTGTCACTACGGAGTGGGGGCCCCCGAGATCTTTGAAGTTGAACTTTTGGCCTTCGACTAGGATTTTATCGCAATGTAGCATCGCCGCCGCGGGTGCCGCTAGTAGTAGGAGGTATAGCAGGCCAGCGGCGGACTGTGCCGCCGGGGTTGTCGTCGATGTGCAACGCATGGCGATGGCAGGTATGTGTGCAGCGTGGCGGAAGGGCTGAGGGGTTCGCCGAGGTGGTGGATGGGCTCGACGCGGACGCGGACGCAAGGACGGACGGACGGGTGTAAATACACGCAAGAGATGGACTGTGGGGGCGTGGACCCGATCTTGAACGGACTGGTCACTTTTCAACAAGCGAGGGATGCGAAGAAAGCTTGTGCCGCGGGCTTAACGGGAGGACCCAGGGTCGGATTTGTCATAGAAATAGAGGTTGTAGCTTGAAAGTTGCTATTGCGTATCATCTCGGCCGGTTATGTCATGAGCAACTGATGCGGATGCGACCTTGCCATCCCGGACGTCACGTGCCGTTCAACCCGCATCGAACGCGAGACGACGGCCTCGCGACGCAGCCCGCATGGCGGACAAATAGATCTGGGAGCCCAGCAGTTGCGCAGCAAAATCCACCTTGGAAAACATGAACAATACCATTTGCATTTGCATTTCATCTATGCGAACATCTCAACGCCGCTCGCTGACGGGTGCTACCAGGTGAGGGGGAGTGATAAGCACGCCGCGGATAACAAAGCACTCGACCTCTACTCATGTAGAGAGAGTCGACTAGATCCCCGCTCCCAGATTTGAGCGCCTTGAAGTAAAGCGCCACAGACGCTTGAGCAAAGTGAAAAGCAACTAACTAAATCTCGACAAGTCGCTCAGGGCCACCCGGGGTATAAAAGACCTTGCTCAGAGTCCAAATAGTAGCCTGGCTTCGACGACATCGTGTATCATCCATTCCCCTGCCGCCCTTTCCTTGAAACGCCGAGATTCGCCCTTGCTTCCGTGGACTGAAATCAGTAATTGCAATTATAATTGTTGTGATCTGGGATAAAGCCGCCCTGGTCCCCATGGTCCCCAGGGTAAGTCCGCCGGACGGTAGGCATGAACTACATGCCTTGAGGCATCATCCCCTGCTGCTGCATGGCCGCCTGCTGCTGCTGCTGCATGGCCAACACCTGCTGCTGCTGCTGCTGCTGATGTTGCTGCTGCTGCCTCAGCTGCATGACCTTGTTCTTAGCCGATTGCATGCATTGCATCCTAAATTTCTGCAATAACTCTGGCGGGCAGGTCTCTTGTGTAAGGTTTTGCGACTGCAACCATTGCCCGACATTATCCTGGTACAGTTTGGTGGTGAACATCTGAACCTGCTGCTGCATATGTACAGCCAAGCGCTGCTGCAACTGAGCCTGTGGTCCGCCTGCCCCCATCATGTGGTTCTGCTGCATCTGCTGGGGGTGGCCATGCTGTTGCTGTTGCTGTTGCTGTTGCTGTTGCATCTGTTGCATCTGCTGTTGTAGCTGCATCTGCTGCATCTGCTGCATTGATTGCGGGAACATCTGGCCTCCCATGTTAACCATGTTCTGCCCTGGACGCATCTGTGCTCCACCCGGCATGCCCATGTTGGCCTGCATCATCCGCTGCTGGCCCATCTGCATCCCAGGCTGCTGCTGGCCATTCATCTTCTGACGCATCATGTTCTGTTGCTGCTGGATGAACCGAGCCTGCATCAACTGCTGAGCACTTTGTGGGCCTCCGGGGTTCATCATGCCGCCCTGCATCATGGCTGCGTTCATGTTCTGCTGCTGCTGGTACTGCCGTTGTTGCTGCGCCAGCAACTGAGCTTGTGCCATCGGGTTCGCATTCTGTGCCATGTTGGCCATTCCTGGACTGTTCATCATTATCGACTGGTTGAGATGGGGAGCCATCATGCCTGGGGGCGGACTGGTCTGGGACATGCGAGGGGTGTGAGCCATCGCCTGAGCACGACTTATCGGGGTCGCGTGGGCCATGTTCGGGGTCGCGGTGTGCATGCGTGGTGTACCAGAGGGATGACTTTGCTGGCTCCCTCTAGCAGACATGCTGACTGCCATGGGTGTGGACATTGGTGGCTGGTTCTGAACGACTGATGGCGGCCTCGCGGGGCTGCCTCCCATGTTGGACCCAGACGCCTGCATGGCAACGCCACCGACCATAGGTGACGACATATTCTGAGGGGTGTTTTGCTGAACAACCGGCGAAGATACCTGAGGCTGCGAGACTTGACCGTGGAAGCGCGCCGGCATGCCATTCGGCGCAGAAACCGAGACCCCATTGGGGACCTGTCCGTTCTGAGCGGGGTGCCCATGAGCGGTCTGATGCATTCCTCCGCCGCCTTGGTTTTGCTGGGCCTGGGCCTGTGCCTGTGCCTGTTGGGCTTGCGCCTGTTGGGCTTGAGCTTGTGCCTGTGCCTGGGCCTGTGCCTGGGCGTGAGCGGCCTGGGCCTGGGCCCTCTCCCGTGCTTGCTGGGCCTGCTGGGCCTGCGCTGCCTGCTGCATTTTCCTACGCATATTCTCTTGTTGCTCCTTTTGAGCGGCCTGCTCCTGGCGAAGTCTCTCCTGCTCTGCTGCTTGCTGCTGTTGCTGCTGCTGCTGCTGCTGGGCTTGTGCCTGGACCTTCTGCTCTGCAAGCCTGCGCTCGTTTTCTTCTCTCTTGAGTTTCTCTTGCTTTGCCCTTTCAGCGTGCTCCTTCTTGATGTCCTCGATCTTCTTAAAGCGGTCAAAGGTAAGATTGAAGGGCGCGACCTGCTGCTGCCCATCACCTCCGGGAACTGAGCTACTGCCTTGGGTGATCCTTTCGTCCAATGCAAGCAGAAATCTCTCATTCTCGGCTGCCTGAGCCTCATCAGCGGCCATTTCGGCGACCGTCCGCTTTCTTGTCTTGGTTTTCGGCAGCGGCTGGAAGCGGTGGGCGTGAAGCTTCGTCTGCTGGTCAATCTTCTGGACCAGGCTCTCTACGTTCTTGCTCGGCTCCAGATCCAAGGGTGGCATAGTGGCGAGTAACATTGCCGCTTCAGCCGCGTGAATATTGCTACTGTCTAGCTCCATGCGCTCACGCTTGACCTTCTTGGCTGGTGGCGGCATGCTCGAACCCGTCGGGGTGGGCGGAACGAGCGCTGAAGGAGTCGGAGGGGGCATGCCACTATTGTTTGCGTCTTGACGACCATCGGTAGAGCCGCGAGGGTTGCATGCCCTTATCGCAAGGTCTGCTTGCCGGCTCTGTTGCGTGGGGAAGAGGACGAGGGTGGATATTTTCCGTTTCGGAGGCGCCTTGCTCTTCTGGCTCTGCGGCGAGTTGGACAATTGCCTCGATCCTTGGTCCGTCGATGCAGCCGATTTTCCCTTTGAATCAACCTCTGGGCTTTTGGCCTGGCCGTTGATGGCACTCAAAGGATCCCTCTGAGATGGCCTATTTGGCGATGGCGTGATGTATGGGTTGTTCTTGTGAACCGAGGTCGGCACGTCGGGTTTCTTGACAGAAGCATTCTTTGCGGCGTCCTCCTTCTCAGCTGCGACACTCCTATGGTCATGAACCTCCACGATCAGACAACCCTCGTAGAAAGGTACTCCGGCCTCTGTCAGGTCGGCGAGCATATCGTGGGGGATGGTTCGGCTTTTTATGTGGTCGAGAAAGGCTTTCATTGGCGAGGTATAAAGGAAATAGTCATCCTGGGCGTCGAATTTGAAGTGATTGGGGTGGAGGTGGACGATGAGCGACGGGGGGTTGCCATAGTACTTTTTCAGAATATACAGCCGGGAAGGAGCTGGGGCATGGTCAGTCTAGGATACGCATTACGAATGGTAGGCGAGACTCACGCTGCTGCACATCTACCGGCATCATGGCTGGGTCCGCCGCACCGGTCGAGGCCGGCTGGGTGGCGCCATTTGTGCCTGGGCGTGCGGCGCCATTAGGCTGGGCGGTGATCTCTGGACGTACGCGATTTGGCGGCCGCGCGACGGTGACGGTGCCACCGTTTGCCGTGGCAGAGTTTGGGGTTTGTTTGGCGCTGTTGGGGGGCTTCTTCGCGGACATGGACGGGGAGGGGGAGGAAGAAGGCGGCGCGCCATTTGTCTGGATGCCGGCGGGGATCTGGCGCTTCGTCTTGGGGTGCGGAGGAATGACGGGTGGGGGTATGGGAGTCGTGCTGGGAGCCATGGCGACCGCTGCGCTTCTTGGACGAACTGCGCAATGCGCTACGGGTGAGGCCCCGCGGCCAGGTGGTGGTGGTGGTGCTTTGGTGGGCGGTACGCGGTGCTCGGGCGCCTGGCCTGGCCTGGCCTGGTTCCCAGGTTATTGTAAGGCGGTATGAGGGGCGCGGTTCGATCGCATTTGGCCAGATGAGACTGCGCGCTGCTGGAATTGTTTGGAGGTGTAGGCGGGCGCCGGGGATGGGGCGGTCTCGGGGTGAGGTGAGATGCAGTCGCTGACGGTTGGGCTGTGGGCTGTTGGACAGACGCGCACTCAAAGAATGGAGGTCGTGGGTCTCGGCGTCCCGTGCAAGCGGTCGGGGACAATGGGCGAGGCCGGCAGAACCCCTCCCAATGACCAGTTTCGACAGAGATGGAGGCGGCTATGTGGATGATGGATGGGTTTTCGGATGGCTTCGAGATGGTATTGATGCTGTCGGCCGAGAGAGACGGTAATGTGATGCAGTGTAATGCGATGATGGGCGCGCGTGGGGAGAAGAGAGGTCGGTCGTCGGAGCCTGGACGTCGGCTGGGTGGGTCCAATTGGCGCTTCCATTGCTGGAGTAGCCCCACTCCTCGTCCTCCCGGCTCGAGCCCCAAAGATGGTGACACCTGACAGGACAAGTCCCTGGTTCTAAGAGAACAACGACTCAGTCCATGGCTCGTCTGACCAACTTGAACCACTGGCACAACTCCGCCATGGAATCGAGCTGGTGTTAAAACTATCAACATATATATATATTGCAGAGCGAGGCAGGCGTCTTTCCCCCAACTTGTCTCTTCTGGTCCGCCCCACACCCCAGTCTGCGAGTAGAAATGATGTTTTGTTGCACGTCTGTTTAGAATTACATTGAATCTCATCACGACACCTCGAGACTGGAGAAATTCCGATGGACTTGAAGAAGCTCGTCGTACCTTTGCAAGGGGAGGAAGGCTGTCCATAAGGCAAGTGAAGCAGAGGCGGGATCCGTGTTACAGGGATCCTTCCACCAAGTGTAGCGTTCCACCCGCGTCCCCTGGTCACCGAACTTGAGCCTCAATGGCAAGCCTGCACGATCAACACACACACACACACACACACACACGTATCTGTATGTGTGTGTGTATATATATATATATATATATATACATGCTTGGCTAGCGCTTTGCATACATCCGGTTCTTATTTCTACCTACACATTATTACACCGAGAGCAGTACGAGCTGTATATACTGTGCCTATCCGCTACAATCCATGTCGGCAATATCATCCCCCAAAATATTGTGCACCAGCCCTCAGGCCAGCCCTTGTGGCTGGTCCAGCTTCCGCAGCTGCGGCTTGGGGTGGAATCTGTTTCATTTGTCATCCTCACCCTTCCTGTCAGTTCATAAAGGTCATTGCTCGTTGCCCTGGACGCGACGCGACCAGTCATCATTTACTCTCATCCCGTCCACGACGATCACTCCCCGGCCACGCCCCACTCGGTCCTCCTTCTGCCACCACTTTTGTGCCTGCTCAGATTTCTCTGCTTCAGACTCGCTGTCTGCCAAGCCTCCATGGCCACTTTCGGCACCAACGACAAGGATAATGTCGTATCTGAGCCAGGTTTGGAGCTTTTGCACGTGAAGCCCGTTGTCCCCGGCAAGAGATTCCTGTAAATAGACAACTTCTGGTTTGAGGTGGTGCAATATGTGCACATAACCTGCTGGCGTGGTGAATGGGAGCACACTGGTCTCCTTCTCTACCAGGCTGATGGCCTGCGAGTAGATGGCGTTGAAGGCCGGGTTGCTGGACGAGGACAGGCTGTAGAGGGCGGCTGCGTCAGCTGGGCTGGAACACACAAAATGGTCCCCTTGAGGCACGGTACTCACATTGGACTCTTGACCTCGTCCCCGGGCGTCAAAACCTGCTCGGGGCCCACCACAGAGAAGGACGAACTGAGTGAGGCTGGTGCCCGGGTGCCCGTGCTCTCCGTAGCAGTGTCCTTCAGCCCTGGCGCGTATATCAAGATGAGAAGCTTAACCCTTGAAAAGTCGTTGTGCTTCGGGATATGTGACAGGATCGACTAAGGTCTTCTGTTAGCATCCGAGGCGCGTGAGTGACGGCGGAACCGCGGTGGGAGGCATACTGCATGTTCATGGTACCCGTCGTCGTCCAGGTCTAGTGGCGTATCAGCAGAAACGACAATGGCTACTGTCTTTCTCTTCTTGTTGCTATGGTCGCGTGCTTGCACGACAGTGCCTTTCTCGGTTTTCGCATCCGCTTCCTCAGACCACGTCTCGTGGTCGGCGAAGGCTGCCTTGTCCTCCTCTCGGATGGCAGCGAGGGCACTCCCCATAGCCGTGCCCGCCGCTGCGACACCTGCGGCAACCGTCTTTCCCGCACGATCGAGTATGTTTTGGGGGCTGGGAGTGCGTCGCAACGCACCAGACATGCGTGCCCCCCAGCCCGGTGCATTGGCATCTGCCTGCGTGACGCCGTAACCGACCTCCTCGGGCCTCAGGTCGCTCCTGAACGAGGGCGGGGCCCGGGCGCTCGCATTGTCGCCGGTAGCGCCATAGGGCGGGTTGTCGCCGTAATCAGCATGCTCATAGTCCAGGTGCTGGGTGATGGCATCCTCGTCCTCCTCGTCATTACTGCGCTGGCTCCAGATCCAGGCCGCAACTCCAACAGTGGCAACGGTCACAGTTACTGCCAGCGGGACCCAGTGGCTCCAAACACCGTTTCGGCGGCGCGACGGGCCGCGGTTATCATAAGGTGAAGACATTACAAAGAGCCGCTCATCGCATCAGCACGTCAGTCGGGGGGCCGCGTTGTGCGACGCTGGGTGCAGTCTTCACAGTAGGTCGGACTGTGGAGCTGGATGGAGGCCGGAACATGTGTCGCATGCGCAGGTTGGTTGCATACATATATGCTGTCGACGCGAAAAGATGTGGCGGGACTGTTATTTGGGCCCTGGGATGAGCACACCTCACTTGGCGTTGGAGGTGGCTGGCGGCATCGGGCCCAGCCCTGCAGCATACTTGAGTTAGTTAGTACCTAGGTAACCAACCTGCCAACCTGCCAACCTGCCAACCCATCGCGCGCCCAACTCGCACCCCAACCCTGGTCCTGCCATGGGGTCACTTACCTAAGCAATCGTGGCCCCCCTGTCCTGTGGCCCCCCTGTCCCGCCTATGGCGCTGCCGCCAAAGATTGAACTTCACCAGTGAGAGTGAGTCAGCCAGCGAGCAGCGTCTGTGAGTCTGAAAGCAGTCAGTTGGCCTGCACACACAACACGGACCGTCCTGCCCAACGATCAAGACGCGCGAAGCTGCAAGCACACACTCAGCAGCACATACCAGACCACCTCATATCCCATTTTCTCTCAAATTGTCTCAAGGTCACGCAGCCCCGCGGCCCCACAATGCCGCACGCCGTGTCGTCGGCCTCACCTGGCCTGCAGGCTCTTATTCTCTGCGGGCCCGGGTCGTCGCTGCCCACGTACACAGCGAACCCTGACGAACACCCCAAGGCTCTTTTGCCCATCGCAAACAGGCCTATGGTCTGGTATCCCCTCGAGTTTTGCTACAGAGCAGGAATCACAGGTAAGTGCTTGTGAGGCAACCCGGGGGCGGGCCTATGTTGATTGGCTTGCCAGACATCACACTCATCTGCCCTCCCTCGGCTGAGAAGGCCATCTCCTCGACTCTGAGCCTGAATCCTGCCTTGACCAGTCTTCCTTTGCCACGGCCCTCTTTGCTGGCACCAAAGGACCTGGACCACAACTCAGGCACAGCAGAGATCCTGCGGCTCCCTGAGGTGAGGGCCACCATCACCGGGGACTTTGTAGTCCTTCCGTGCGACCTGGTCTGCGAGCTGGGCGGCGATCAACTTCTCCAGGCGTGGATGGTGAACTGCGAGACTTTGAGGGATCTGGTCGGGAACAAGTCTGGTCTGATATCCGAGGACCATGGCCCGCATAGTGGCGGCATGGGAGTCTGGTATCAGACCAAGACGGAGACACCTGTCAAAGGAGAAGAAACCGACTTCATTGCCACGACGCCACTGGCAGCTTCGGCACCGTCCTCCAGAGAGACACTGACATCAAACATGTCGAATCTGGTCTACTCGATGCCTACTGATTCACTGAACGACTTGATGGAGGAAAGAAACGGCTACCCTCTGCGCCATGGGCTCCTTCGAAGACATCCCCGGGTTCAAGTGCGAACAACATACCGAGATGCGCATATCTACATTTTCCCCCGGTGGGTGCTGGACCTTGTTCGCGACAACGACCGCCTTGACAGCATCGGAGAAGATGTGATTGGCTGGTGGGCCAAGGCAGGTTGGCAGTCGGGGCTCGCGCAGAAGCTAGGATTCGACAAAATCTTCGCCCCAAAGGACACGAAAAAGGCAGACACAGACTCACTGCACGAAGACAGCATTTCGTCCGAACTCACCGGTCCTCATGGTGTCTCTGGTGGAAGGGCAGACGGCGCTACAAAATCACCCACGGAACAAGCCTCCCCCACCTACACCGACAACGCCGTGCCTCCGATCCTTGCCTACTTGCACTCGTCCAAGCCAACGGCGCCAATTGTCCGAAGGGTCGATACTGCTCAGCTTTTGCTTAATGTTTCGCTCCAACTCGCAAAGCTTCCGTCTGTGGAAGAGGCCGAGGCTCGCGGCGAGACGCCGTCACCTTTTGCACATCCCAAGAAAGTCATGTACCCGGAGGGCGTCAAAGGTCGAACAACAATCACGCGTCCGGACAGCCTCGTCGGGGAAAATGTGATGGTGGACGAAAAAGTCGCCATCAAGGAGTCAGTTGTCGGCGCCAACTGTCAGATCAAGGAAGGGGCCAAGCTCTCCCAGTGCTTGCTGATGGACGGAGTCGTGATCGGCAAAGGATGCAAGCTTACCCGATGCATTTTGGGTAAGCGAAGCGAAATCGGAGACAACTGCACGTTAACGGACTGCGAGGTGCAGGAGAACCTACTTATCGAGCCCAGGACGGAAGATAAGAACTCAAAGCTGATGAGCAGCTCCGGCCTGGAGGCTACAGAAGAGGAGATACAGGAGGTGTATCAAGAGTTTGAGGCCGACGATGCGGCTCCGGGTGGTGACGTAGCTGCGGTTTAAGGGGACAGTCTCAGCCTAAGAAATGGACGGAGCGGTTGAGATTGACGACAGGTCCAACCTTGGATGTAACGGTCCAACAGCCAGCTATCGGGAGGCCGCTGATCTATCTCAACGTGCGCCCGGGAACTGCATCTCGATTCTCAAAGCGTCATGCTGCTGGATCCATTTGCCGCATGCATTGCACGGCAACGCTTCGAATTACTCGGCAGGCGGCTCGGGATGTCAATGGGGGCCTCGCATCGCTGGGCCGACAATATGGTCACCGGCATCGACAGGGCTATGCGGGGTCCCGCGCAGGAAGGCTGCCTGTCATATATGACAGGTCATTGAAGTCGGAGACAGGTCTTGAAATTGACCTGAAGGATCCCCTATCGAGGTAGATCGAAGCAGAGCTTATACGAAAGTGAGGTCGCAAAAAGCTGCAGTATTTCGATATCGCGTGAGATGCAGCCACTATTTGGGCGGCCTGCCAGACACTTGTCGTGTAACGTCTTGCATCGGAGATCTAGTGCACCAGCCCGCCCGCGGCCAGCCTTGACTTGACGTTATCATCCTGGTCAGCTGCCAAACAGGCACAGCATGTGTGTTCCATGGGCATCCAACGCCACATTCAACGGGGTGTCATCGGTTGGCGGAGAGTGCCGACCAAGCAGCCCGACATCTCCTGCAGCTTCCCGTTCCACCGGCCTACCCTCCTCGGTGGCAAAGACTTCCCAGATGGGGCATCTGTCAGGCCGTATTTCGTAATTATGTAAGACCTGTTGTTGTATGTGGCTTGGATGACCTCTCAATTCGAGGGGCATCGGGTCTGGCCATGGCGGAGCCTGCCATTCACAGAGCATCTGGACAGCTAGAGCGATCGATCACACCGAAGCCTGTGGCCACGCCGATCCGTGAGGCTTTTCCGAGCACTTAGGCCGTGTCACATCAGACCATTCGCCTCGTGCCGACCAGCCCGACCCTCAACAGCGGCTATTACTCGCGCGTGGAAGAGAGTGTGGCTTGCAAGGTGCGTTCGCCACCTGGGGGGGGGGGGGCCAGATAGACTTGAGCTTCGCCAGATCGTCTTGGCACGATGGAGAATGCGTGGCACAGACGGATTCGATTTTTCTTTTCGCTTTGGAGAATTGTCAAATGTTGCGTACATTTTGCCTGTGTCTTTAGGCATCATACCACCTGGTGTCATGCCACTTGTGATCCTCCATCCTTCACATGGATTATTAGCGTCGATTCGAGATCTTCTTGTCCCTCCACACATGCATACACGTCCGGTTCGGTGTCCCTCATCGCGCCCCTATGGTCACTGGCCCTTCGGACCGAGCCAGTGTCCGCTGCGACCTCTACTCTCATGTAGATTGGCAGCAGATTCAATATATTTGCCCCGGGCCAGAATATGGAAAAGTGATACGAGGTGTCCTGGAACATGGTCAGTCTATCGTCTTACATCGGAGACTTGCATGTGACTTACAATAATCATGTGGGTTGTCAATGCCATGCTTAGGGCACGGAGCCAGATGTAATATCTCTTGAAGGAGCATACCGCCCACCTGTCCCGCTCGACTCATATCAGACTGGCCGCAGTCCTGCCCAGCTAGATATTTAGGGCAGTGCACTACGACTTGCTCCACACATGCCCCTTTGCAAGCGTAGCATTGCTTCTTCAGGGTACACATGGTACTGAAGCTGGTCGGATCCCCGTATTTTGTCGTTGCTTCGATTCTATGATAGCTGATCCTGCGATCGAATAGAACCGGTTGAGAACCGAGAATGAACACTTGGGGGACAGGCCAGGGAATGCATCGCACATTCCCAACGTATTGCTCCATCCTTTATATTGTATCACTGACGGGGGCCCTGGTGACAACACCCTCGGGGCTACTAAGCATGACTCCCTCGGAGAAGTAATCTATAGCGGTGGTGACATACCTCTCTGCGCGTCGCTGCTCATGGAGTCTTCAATGGCAGCATTTACGTCCTGCAGAGTAACGATTACGGTGTAGCCGTGCTCGCGGGGACATGTCGGCTTCGCCTTGCTCCAACTAGCTCGCCTGGGCCTGTTCTTAGCCGGCGATAGTTGTTGCCAGTTGGCAGGGGCTTCTTCCTTGCCAGGGGTTGCCATCAACTCCGGGTAGTAGCATATTTCAGTTTCCTTGGGGAAGGTGGGCCGACTTGCTGCATCTTTTATGTCACAAAGAACCAATCTTGGTAGTTGGTGTGATATGCGTTCCCAGCCCCACAGGGCTGGCTGGTCTTGAATTGACGAGTTGTATTCTGTTCGTGCGGCCATCGACTGGAAGCGAGAGGCGCGATGTACCATCGAGTATGCAGTTCGTCAGCCACACTATCCCATTCACAACCAAGTGGGCAATAGCGGCTGCTGGTACCTTGACTCCGAGGCGCAAATTCCTATGAAGAGTCACATCGTGGGACGGGGTGTTATCAGGTTGACGCGGGTGAAGATCGGGGCCGAGGTCGATCCTCCCCCGTCGTACTATGGCTTGGCCTTGGGGCCGCTTTGTTCAAGATTTGTGACGTCTTTCTCTTTTCTCTTAGAGAAAAGAAAATGTGGAGGGGAATCAAGCATTTGACCAAATTGGGTTTATGTTGAGGAGGACGGACTGCGAGCCTAGGTTCGCATGAGGTAGTAGTCATTGTGGCCCCCGACAGAGACGGATTGACATGGTTCACGATTCGGACGCCAACGCAGTCTCCAAAATGGCTTGCATTGGTATGGTCGGGCAGCAATCCAATGGCAACTGTGGCGATTCGCGAGAAACCCACAGGTACTGAGATCCCAAGGCTGTGTGTCCTTGCGGCGGACATCCACCCACCCTCAGGGATAGCATCTATTATGCTTTGCACGCAACCAAACGGGGCTTGATCCCCAGGGACACGCGGTGGGATCACGGCCGATAAAGGTGACATTATCACGGGAAGTGCCGTCTGATGATAGAGTTTGCCAGGGCCGACGTGGCTCTTCTCATCATCATGACGCGGAACCAGCGCGGTCCAGACTCTGCCTGCTGGCCCTTGGGATTTCGAGGCTCATGTTTGCTCTCGATATCCGATCCTGGGCCACGATGAGGAGTTGTTGAGTTTGTCGCTAGGCCATTTTGGTCCGACTGTGCATTCGACTCCTGATTCGCACGCAGATAGCGCGAGGCTTAGTGCCCGTAAGCAGAAAGAACCCTAAAGTACGACATCAAGTTCGAGTGCAGAACGTGGTAGTATAAGCCGGGTTGTGCTAGTCCTGTTTAGCCCAGAGGCAACGAATGATAACTCGAATACCAATAAAGTATTGACCAGCAATCACTGTCGTATTAAGAGGTCCTGTGTAACAACCCAAGCTCGACGCTGGGGGGGGGGGGGACTCGGTGAGCCGGAGTCATGCCGAGGGCGCGCTGGAGACTTGTAAACTGGAGACTGCGCATTTATTTGTGCGCCCGGCCGAATCAGGAAACCAGGGCACAGCTGCCAAACGACTCCCCGGATGACTTGCCGGAAACGGGTATTTGCTAAGAGAGCCCATCGATGTGATATGCACGAAGTCTGGCCACCCACTCTCCACGCAAGGTCGAATGCGTGTGGTCCAAAGGCCCAGCAGACATATGCGGAACACAAGCCGGTATGCAATGTGATCGCGGAAGGCAGAACAGGCTAAAATGTGGCATGATGATCATCTGCAAGATGCATCAAAAAGAGAAAGATGCCCCCAATAAACGCTGGACCGAGCCAGGGGCTTGTGACAACGCAGGCTGGCAGGCTGGCAAGCTGGCAGGCGATGGCTGATACCAAGAAAGCCTCATGAGATCCATTTCCGCCGTCTCTGAGACAACATGTGGGATTGCTGGCCCAACAATGGCATGCTGAGGGGGTGCCCGTGAAGGGCAGCGAGCCAATGTTCGAGGCAGTGGGCCTTCTGTGGCTTCGCTTTATCTCGACGGCGTGGAGGACGGAGGGCAGCTTGAGCCGTCTCTGGCTCACGAGAAACCTGATTTTGGCGGGCCGCAACGGACAAAAGGCGGGGTGTAGGCCTGCTGGGTGTATAGGCGGCAAGACATGGTTCAGGAAGAGCGCAATGGGCACATAGCTCGCACATAGCTCGCACCCGTACGTGCAAGCCCAACGAGGGCAGGGTCTGCCGCCACAGCAGCCGCTGACTCTCACTGAAGAGTCCCTCAGTCCATCTCTCACTTCTTGCCGAGTACCGCACAGCCGCACTGAAAGGCAGCACGGATGGCCGCGGGCCAACGAGAGACCACTTTTCTTTCCGTTTTTGTCTGGGCAAGTCGGCGAGGCCCTTATTACTGTCGCAAAGACCGCAGAGCTTTGTGCAGACACCCATCTAGCATTATAAAGGGATCGACCAAGACCTGCCCAGGTGGCAGAGATTGTGCTGTGCGTGTCTCAAAAAATATCCCACAAATCCAATGGTAGAGACTCGACCCTACAGGGAGGATCTGACAACAAAGGTGTATGCTCATGACTCTTCTTCATGGCCGGGCCTGGGCTACACTGATGGGAGAGCAGCGAGGGCCGTCGACTCCAAGTGAACCAGCTCGGATTGGATTGGATTGGCGGATACGACGGTTGAGATAAGACTTGTACGGATGGATCATGGATGGCAGATGCGACTTGACAGGTTGACAGGTGACAGGTGACAGGAGGTGGAAGGTGACAGGCAGGGGTCGCTCGAGCCAACGGGCAGGGAAGTGTACAGTAGTGCTCGGTACTTGACTGTAGTCTACAAAGGTGCGCTGATCTTTTTGGACGAAGTCTCGTCTCTCCCGCCCGGCACGGAGATTTGTGATCTTCACAAGGGGGCCTCGAATGGGCTGAACGGTTGTGTCTGTGCCCGCTCCATCCAACACAACCCAATCTATCCATCTACAATCTAATCTCTTGACCACAACTCGGCCAGACGCCACCATGATTCTGCTATGCGACCACCACGACAAGAGACAGACAGCATCTGGCCCACCTCAGCACGCCATGCCGGCCGGGACGAGAATGACCTCCTGGCTTTGGTCCCGCTCGTGGGCTCGTCACACGGTGCATGTTCCGGAGTTTGTCATCCCGGAAAGCCGTCCCATGGCCCCCATCGACGAAGCCACATCGTGGTAGGCCGTCGCTGTCCGCTGCATCCGTCCTGCCCCTCGACAGACACGGACAGATGCGGAACCCAGGATCAATACAGTTGATCCGACTCGCTTGGCAGCGAGGCTTGTTTGGACTTGTGGGCGCATGTATTCGACAAAGAACAATGGACAAGTGACCAATCTACAAGAGGCGCGCCTCTCTGGCACTAAGCATGGCCCAAGCAGAGTCAAGCAGCAGGCAGGCAGGTCAGGAAGATCATCCTGCAAGGTCCCAGATGCAGGGAGACAAGGTTCCCCAGGAACGGCAGGCTCAAGTGCAGCTGGCCGGCGTCCTGCCCTCTCGCGGACTGTCTGTCGAGCAGCACATAACGGCGACTAGCATATACACCACTGCCACTGCCACTACCACCACCACTGTCCGGACGCCTCAAACGGTCGGTGGCTCGAGGCTCAAGGCCGATCCCATCATCTCGCTCGCTCTTTGTCCATCTTGACGGGGGTTGTGCCGTCCGGTCGTCGGCGTGCGGCTCTGCGAACAAAGAGCCAGCCACTCAGCTACAGCGCCTTCACGGCGTCGCAAACAGGACATGGAGACTCGGTTGACAGCCCTCGTTCGAGGCCCTGGGACAAGTAGTCGACATCGAGGACGACGAGCTGATCACCTGGGCCTCAACGAGTTCGTCCAAGAGCGGCTGCGGCACGGCAGCTCCAATTACGTCTGAGCATGCTTGCTTTTCCGTGGTACCCCCAGCTCGACGTCTCTCAACCTGCATGGTACTTCACGCAGCCTCACTGGCGTCATGGGCGGCCTAGAGGCTTCAGAAATCTTCCAATGGCGAGCAGCCTCACCTCGCACTGTCTGCCTGCCCCAACCGTGGCCAGATGCCGAGATCGTCCCTGGAGACTGCGGAAGGCATTTGGCGATGGGGCCCGGCCTGTCAAGCTTGGCTACCCACCGCTGTGTCTCAAACTTGATGGCCGTGAGGCCCGCTCTGGAAGGCGCCATTACCGTATAGGCCAATTTCATTCCAGTTTCCCACCATCACGACACTCGCTGTGGGGCAGATCTACCGGTTCATGCACCTTGTTTCTTCTCCAGGCGCGACTCTACTTCTCCATGTCGGCCGGGGGTATCTGTGTCCCACGCTGTGAGCTGTACTTTGGTTGACAGGCAGGGTACTGTGGGGTGGTCTGGCCGCTCAGAGGTACTGATCGAGCTGCAAAGGACCACCGATCTATCGATAGACCCTGCCCACGGCCTGCCCATCTGCTCCCCAAGGGTGCTACAAGTCCCGACTAAAACAGATGCTTCATGCAAGCAATAGGCTGGTGTAGGGATGTGTAGTGTATGTTTCGCTCAAACGTCTGGACGAGGCCCCAACCTCGATTCTCTTTTGGGGCTGGCCCACGTCTGCCGCGTCTTTTTTGGGTGTGCCACCCCTACGTATTGAGCATCCACCAGTGGCTAGGGCTTTTCATTCCAATGAGCCGCGCAACTCTCTGCGTATTCTTATATCGGACCCGACGACCTCCCTGCTCGAAAAGCCACCGTTCAGTGAAGCTCGACAACCCCTTGGGCCTCGTGTGCCCTTCGACATATCAGACTATATCATTCTGGCACTCCTCCATCACATCCCTTCTCGACTCCCTCGGCCCGTGATCCAGCTTACTCACCTCCACTCTTCCGACTTTTGGAATGACATCCAGGGGACAGCCCAATAAGCAAGTTCTCGGCCCAGACAGCTATACCTCCAGTAACAGCCAGAACATTCACCTATTCGATCAGAACATGGACGCAGACGACAGCTTCACCTTCGGCTTCAACAGCCAGTCCATTCCATACTCTTCATCCTGCCCTTCATCATCTGGGAGTTTCTCCTCGGCCTCTTCGCTATACGATGCTCTCACGCCCCCGCCCAGAAACTCAACTCCACAGCACCCCATGGACTTTGATATCGCCTTTGGCGGTGAATCCATGATGTTCGACGAATTCACACCCTCGCCGCCATCGTCATCTGGCTGCTTTCCTTTGGACATGAAATCTACAGTGGCTCCCAATATGCTTTGTCATGGTATGCCAATGACACCCTCTAGGAGCAACAGCTCGGCGGGGGCATTCCAGAGCAATGTGGACTTCACTCCAACACAAAGCATGGACGCGTACAATTTCATGGACCCTCTCATGATCCCGACTCCATCCCCACTGTTTAGTAGCCATATGCCGAACTGCGACATGACAGCAATCTGGCAGCACCATGCGGATGGGAGCCCCATAACCTTTGAGCGGACTTCCTCGCCGGCGGTGGCCATGACGACCCCAACACCTGGCCCCTTGGGGAGCTCTCACGGAAACATCAGGCGGAGAATCGTCATGGACGGACCCCAGCAAAAGTCAGCATTATTACAACAGAGCCTCCCTAAAACAAATTCTGGCAAGGGTCGCACTTCCAAGGCCAAGCAGGTGTCAGGGAAGCTTCCTCCACTCCAAGAAGGCTTCAAGGTCTCCAAGGCCCCGGCGAATAGGCATCGATGTGAATACCCCGAGTGTAACGGCAAGAGCTATTCCAGGCAGGAACATTTGAAGAGGCATTATAACGAGTGAGTCGTGACGGCAATCACCGGCATGAGCTGAGAAACCAAAGACTGACGAAAATTCCAGAGCACACTCGGATAATCCAGAAACATGGCGCTGTGAATTCTGCGAGACTCCCAAAACTTTCGGTAGATGCGACAATTTCAGAGACCACCTCAAGCGGCACATAGAAAAGTCTGCCGGCAGCAGGACGAGGCACGAGATAGGCGCTGCTATCTTGCTTGCAGAAATGCAAAGCAAGATGAAGAACAAGAAGAAGACTACCACCAGATCAACGACACCAGGCACGGACGATGGTATGAAACCAGTGGACAGCTTTCTATCAAAGTCTGCGCGAGGCCTGGTCAAAGCCGAATCCTCCTAGCGAGGGCCCACCAAGCTCATTCCGCATCAAGTGGGACGGAAAGGCCTCGAAATCCAAGGCACGGCAAGACGACTGGTTCTCACACGCATTACGCTCATACGTTGGATTTGCCCACTTCGAATCTGCATCCTCGTACCGCCATACACGCACTCATAATACTCCAGGATGTTTTGTAGTTGGCACGAACTGTTCCGACGGCGCATAATTCGCGGCGTCGCCATCCACCCGGCGCATATCTGTCTTTTTTGGAGGTGTTCAGGAGCTGGCGCTCAACATGTTCACAGCAATTATGTACTGAATATATTCTATCACTTTAGGAGCCTGCTGTGAGTCGCTGTTACTAAAAAGCGTTTGGGGGGGGGGAGGGTGGACCTGGGACAAGTCCCCAAATGGGATAGGCGTTGAAAATGGCCGTTGTGCAAAAGGCCTTGGGAAGGACTGGGAAGGCGGTGGCGATTGTACATGTCCTAAACTCTGTCAGATACCACTGTCCTTGCGCATCTCTTGCTCAAGATCGAATCGCAAAAGTCCATTTCTCTTGCCCTGTACCCTTTCTTCGCCTTGGTCTCTCTCGCAATACAGTCTGACAGTCAAGCTAGGCTGCGGACTACGTCTCAGTGTCAAAGTTCTGTCCGCCCTCCTCCCCAGCCAGCATTCCTCAGCCTAGCTGGGGCCGCGGACACCCCAAGGACGACTCTCTCGTCTCCACTGCCGTTTCTCCTCTCCGAAGGGTGTCCAGCCATCAGGCCGGACTGACACTTGTTCGGATCGCTCCCGAGTGAGACATGGTAGGCACTGTGCGACTGGTGTGAAGGCCGGGTATGCACCGGAGATCTGAACTGACAGACTGACAAGAGGCTACCCGAGACTGGCAGCTGGCAGCTGGCAGGGACACTTGGTTCTTGGTGCCGTTATCAAAGCTCACCATCGGCCGATGTGCTGTCGCAGGCCTCCTCCCCCCCCACCCGAGACAATACTGTGCCTGTCTTCCGTCACCAGATGCCGCGACGCGTGCTCTTCTCATCTGACGCGAACTGAGACCTCGTGAACGCGGTCCCCCGGGCGAGACAGCGGCAGACTGTGCTGAGTGAGACCCCCCGGCCCAACCTTGTGCGACCGCTCCATTCCACTTGGGCACGAACAAAGTCGAAGCCCCCAGGCCCCCAAGCGCCCCCAGCCCTGCCGGCATTAACAGGAGCCCATTAGGCCAGATCGGTGCATCTCTCCCTCCATCTTGCCTCCTGTCTGCTCCCCCGCCCCACCCGGTCTGCCGGTCTGCCGGTCGATGTTCTCCCGTCCTTCCGCACTGACTGGCCTGGGGCGATAGTCCCAAAACCCCACGCGTCCCAGATGAGGCTCCTGGCGGGAGGACGCGGTGCGCGTCCTCGCTCTGGAATGAATGTCTTTGCCGTTTCGGCTGGTCTGGTTGGGAAATGGGATTTCCTGGTCGGGTACGTCAGGATGAGCCGGGCAGCATCTCAGTCAGGCTGGCTGGCAGATGGCCCAGATTTACGTGGGAGAGGAATTGGTACTGCAGCATCTGCAGCCTGCAGCCACTACATGCCGGTGGGGTGCGACAGACTGGCTGGTGCCTTGCAGGAGAGGCAGAGAGGGTCGTTGACGTGCAGCTATACCAGATATCCTCCGGCCTGGCAGCCTGGCTGGAGTGCCAGCCACATCCCCTGGCCCAGAACCACCGGAATTTCCACCAAGTCAAACAATTGTCTCGATGGGGGCCTGGGGGGCCTGGGGGGCCGGGGCCACCCTCCGGATAGCCAAACGAAGACGCCTGGGTAAGGTCATTTCGAGCTACATGACGCTTCTGCAGGCACTTGTACGATTCTGCAACCACCTGCATGCTGGTGCGAACCGGTGCACATCGATGGGCCCATGTCTGCATTGATCCGAGCCAGATGTCTCATTACGTGCAGGAGGCTACCCTCAGACATCCGACCAGGCCGGCCGGTTGAGGCCAAGAAGAAAAGAGGGAAAAAGCAACCACCAGGTGTCAGGACCCCAGCTTGCCCAGGGCCCCGGCCTGAGATGCCTCTTCTGCTGAGGAGAACTGCGAGACTGATCAACCATCTATGCCATCCCTGGTTCTACACATCACCCTGATCACGTCGACGCTTTTGGCAAGGTGGAAAAGGCTTGATTTTTTGGACAGCCAGGCGCACGTCAGCGCCTCTGGTCACTTCCGCGGTCTCGCCACCCCTTCCATGCCGATGCGAGACATTATATGATTACGACATCACTCTGTTTGAGCGTTTTGGCCACGGCCCGTCTTTTGAGAGGGCCTTCCTGACTGCGGCCCGGTGATGGCTCGTGACAGCATCCTGTGTGCCTACTGCATGCTAAATAAGCCACGGGGAGCTTTGAACGGAGGCCTGGGTTGGTGACACAGAGATGGCCAACTCACTGTTCGAGAATTAAGCGAAAACAAAGGTGTGGATAAGCTGCGCCGACGGATCCAGATGGAAATGGCATTGCGCAGGCAGACAGAAATAACCAATTTCTTGAGGCAGGGTCTGTTTGTTTGTGGCGCTGGCCTGCTGTTCGCAGAAGTACGGCCGGAAGAAAAAGCCCTCTCCTAACAAGTACCGCGGACCAAGGAACTTGCTGGCCCCCAAGCAAAATCAAATGACCCAGCTGAATCTGGAGCCCAAAAGCACAGCATCGTTTGGCCTGGGATGTCCGCTGCACACCACCGTCCAGCATGCCGGCATCTTCCTACGCGGCCGCCACAGCCTCCACATCGCTTCCGGATCGACCTGTGCCAACGCACACCAAGAGAGCGGATTCGCCAGGTGTAACCATCCGTGCAGTTGAGCTCGCTTCTCAAAACCTACTACACCATGCCGGAATCCTCGGACGGGGCCTCCTCGGCGCTTTTTCAAACAGATGGAAGACGTGATGGCTGCTGCGGCCCCAAAGCTCCCCAGAGGCCCACGCCTGCCACGCCGATTCTGGCGTCTTGGGGCGGCCAGGGCTTTATGCACTTTCTCAAGTGTCGGGATACCCTTTTACGGAAGTCTGAGGGAAAGGCCAGGGACAAGTGTCGCCTTTCGACTTTTCCGGGACTCCTTGGTAGGCCCAACCGCGTGCTCAAACTGTGACATGTTGTTGCGCGAGGCCAGTAAACTGCACCCTCACACCATTGTTTGAGGTAAACACAATGACATAACCGGCGTAAGCCACTGCATCTTGATCTCTGCTAAATATTCAGCTGTACTGTGTAGTTCTAATTCTTTACTCGAGCTTGACGTGTATGGAGAAGAAAGGGCGATGATGTGTGCTGGTAACAACAAGGATATTGCTTGGCTCAGTATAAGCACAAATCTCTGCCATGCCCACCTCGCGGTTGGCCTTGAGGACGTGTACTTCATACAATCCCGCACTGACAGTCATGTTCTTCAGTCCTCCTCCGCCAGGCCAGTCAAGCCACCGGCAAGGCCGTGCATCCTCCGCCCGAGGAGATCATCGGAGCTGGCCAGCCTGTTGAGCGAGTCCTTCTTAGCCCGGGCGTTGGCTCTCCTCTTCCCCTTCCTGTCAGAATCCTCACCATCTGCCTCGCCATCTTTGGCCTTTTGAGCCTCGACAACCGCCGCACCGTCCTTGCCATTAGTCTTGACACCATTCGACGCCGGCTTGCCCCTCGCCCTGGTCATTCCGATCTCCAGCAGCCCCTCGTCGCCACTCGACTCAGCCCGCATGTGGTGCCTCCCCGAGCCCTCGGCCGCCTTCTTGGCCGTGCGCCTCCGGCTCTCGCGCTCGCGCTTTTCACTCGACGCAAAAGCCTCCTCGATCCACCCGGCGGAGCGATCAATGAGCTTCCACGCCGGAGGGTAGATGGTAGGGAATTGCAGGAACCCGTGCGACGTGCCTGGTATCAGGTTCACCTCTGCGACATCTTTGTCGTTGAATCCCGCAGCCAGGGCGTCTGACTCCATGTAATCCAACCTCTGCCCTCCCGATGCATGCATGGCGGCTTTGACGCGGCGCAGGCGGCCGGCAAAAATGACAGTATCATCCACCAGTGGGTCGCGCTCACCTGTCAAGAAGTATGTCTTTGGGAAGCGGGCGAGGAGCATGTCTGGGGCAAGTATGGGCGATAGTAAGTAGTCTTGACTGAAATCCGGCCGATTGTGCGGGCCGATATACAAAATGATCATGGCCCGCATCATTTCAGGGGCCAGGACGCGGTCATTGAAGTAGGATAGCATGGAAGACATGGCCAGCCTGGTCTGGAGGGGCTCTGAATGATACGAGGTACTGCCGGCCCGTTTGCTGACGGCCGACGATTCTGGTTGTGATGATCGATTTCCTTTGCTCGTTTTGCTCCATTTCGTCGGGGTCGCATGGGCATATTCGGGCTGCGGCGTGCGAGTTCCTTCCGAGTTCGCCAGCTGCTTCGACTCCTTGGTCCCGTCGTCTGGTGGGTGGACCACATATTTCGGTGAATCGTGCTCGTCATCAGAGTGGTGCGGGGTTCCGACGAGATTGTTGTATTGCATACTCTTGCGGCGAGCGATGGCCTTATTAGTTGACCGCATTCTCCGGTCTTGAATCAAGGCCATTTGCTCGTCTGACATCCAGTTCCCAATATTCATGTCAAGTCCCGGATAGAACAAGACCAGGCCATCGGGGATCGGCAGGCCGGCTTGACCCTGAAAGTGGCTTGATGGGAAGAGCCCACCTTCTATGATCATCAAAGTCATGGCGGTCGCGAGATTGCCACCTGCACTGTCACCTGTGACAACGACCTTGGGCGTCTCTTTGCCAGACATGCCGATGCAGCGCCCGCGGGTCTTCATGAGGGTGGCATAGACGTCGTAGCACTCATTCAAGGCGTAGGGGAAAGGGTATTCCGGCGCCTTCCGATAATCTATGCTGAGCACAGGAAGCCCTGTCTTGGACGCCCACGAGAGCAGTTTGTCGTCGTTACAGCGGGGATCCATGGCGACGAAGCCGCCTCCTGGCAGGTCCAGCACGACCCTATTCTGGTGCTCCAGTTCTGATAGTGGACCGTCAAAATACAGCCAGGCTGCCACAGGCTCCTTGTAGTCGCTGGTGGACGGCCTCGGGATGCGAATAGCGCGCGGGGGCCAGCGAGAATATCGCGGGCGCATGAGCTTCTGGAAGAAGTCTATGTATGGGCTGATGCCCTTGTTCCAGCTGATCCTCAGGTGCTCAACGGTCAGGTTCGACCGAACCTTGCGCACCTTCTCGTCGGCCTTTTCGGCGGCGAATAGGTAGAATATCGAGAAGACGACGCTCGACAAGTCCCTCAGCCACTTGGATTTGATCTTCATGGCGGTCCAAAACCCGGCATCAAGAGCGGTCAAGATCCAAGTGGCTCGGAAGTAGGCCGGGTCGTACATGTTTGATAGCGGCTCGGGGCTAGCCAGACCGACCAGAGTGCTGAAATTGCGGCCGGCGTAGAGGAATGTCATGGTTACGACGACAAGTTGCCATGCTGTCAGTTTCCTGGAACAGAGCTTCGAGTAGAGTCGCACAAGCGGAGGGCCGTGCTTATGGCCTCTACTATAGTGTCAGACGAGGCCTCACAGACATGGTGGATGAGTTGGAAGGCTGGCATACTTGAAGAGGTATGCTGACCAGAAGGCCAGCACAGCCAAGACCTGAAGTCTTCGCGACTTGGCAGACGGCCGTCCCAGGACATGATCCAACATGATGCTTGGTGATCAGGCGCTGCGCCCGGATCATACGAATTTGGATGTCTCCAGGCCAAGTGTGCCTTGAACCCGGCCCCGGGCCTTTCGAATAACGGGAGAGAATATCGCCAAGCGGGATGCAGTTTGCAATGTTTCGGGGTCCCGCTGCTTATGAGTGACAGGTACGGTTAAGCAACATTCATATAGGCCGCAAGCCAGCGCACACAGCCATGCCTGGCACCAGATGAGAAACGGAGGTACAATTGCGCTTGTTAACGTGGCCAGAGACGGAGACAAAAGTGTCTGGGTCAAGACACGGCACGTGGCGGTATTGGGTGTGCTTGAGAGGTTCGTCTATAGTAACAAAGAATATGATGATAACAGGCAAGGGAAGGTAAAAGAGAGAGAAAAGACAAGCCAGATCACAATAATAAAGATGTCGGGGTCAGGTGAGGATGATGATGTTTCGGCCCGGAGCCCTGGATGTCAGACGGACACGGAGGCTTGGGGTCACTAGGATTGGGCCTGGCAGTTTTGCATGTGACTGTCGCGTGAAGGGAGCGAGACCCATACTGGAGCCGGCCCCCCCGTGGCCCCGTGGGGAGTGCCCAATTGGTAGTAGTGTAGGCCGACCGACTGACTGACGACAGCGTTCCTTCACACAGCCTCCAGTGACAGCACGCCAGCATGCTGGCTGTGATTGGAACGCATCGCCTGGTGGGAACCTGTCTGTGTCCAAAGAAAGCCATTGGACCCGGTGTTGTTATCCCATACACGGCGTAGTGTCAGCACTCAGCAGCCACGTAAGTAAGTGGTGGCCCAGCCAGGTGGTTGATAAGTGACAGAAACACCTGGTCGCCCCCACACTCTCCTACCTTTTCTTCTAGAAATGGGCATGAGCGAGGTCGAGGACTTGTGGGATCGTCGGATTGTCGTGGTCTCTTCGAGGCTGGCATGTGACGGTGCCGCCCCGAGTCAGTCACCTTGTACCCATGCCACGATACTTGGGTACTTAAGTACTTATCTACCTAGGTACCTAGGTGCTTAGATAGTGTGGCCGTTGCCATGACCCAGGCCGACAGTCTGATTCCAACCGAAGCAGCCGAGATTCTGGAAACCGGCATGGCTACTTGATTGAAAATAGGATATTCCACCCACCAACCGACCTGGCACTAGAATGGTCACAGAACAGAACAAGAGGCCGTCTCCACCCCCACCGACCTCGGTAGCAACATTGGGACAGGCCCGCCCACTCGGGCTGGGAACGGATCCGGGGCACGCTGGGTGCGGCCCTCCAGCATGGGTCTTTGCAGGGACAGCTCCCCGCCTGGGGTGACCCTGAAGTGCCCGACAACTCCAAGAAAATTTCACCAGGGACCACCGCTATCGGGGCTCGCCCGGCTGCAGATAACCTCTCGTCTATGACTGATGCGCCCTCAACAACAAGACTCATACTGCTCCGCTCGCGAGCGACTTTACATGTGCGCCAGCCTGGCATTGACTCACAAGTCTCTTCTCTATAATAGCCACATTCGAAATCGCTCGCTATCTCAACACTCACCTTCCCTCCTGCATACACCACCGATCTAAGGGCATCTCCCACAATGGCTTTTCGCGCTCGAATCTCCAGGGCAGCGGCTGGCCTGGCCGCTCGCCCTTGTCGCCCATCCTCCTGTTCCATGCCAGCCAGGCTGCGCTCCTATTCGCAGGCTACCGCTGTCCCAACCAGCAATCTGGGCTCACATGTCCAGCAGAACATAGCCGTGAGCCTCTGCCATGTCGTGGAGCTTCGGCTGGCTCTCCGCTAACAACCTTGTCCCCTTCGCAGAGAGATGCCAGCCTACCGAACCCAGATCCCGCGGCCGACTCGCCCAGCGCCGCCATGGTGGACGGCCATGCCCCCTACATGGTCGCTACCTACGCCCGGCCCCCACCAGTCTTCGTCCAGGGCGAGGGCTCCTACCTGTGGGATGTTGAGAACCGGCGCTACCTCGACTTCACATCCGGCATCGCCGTCAATGCCCTGGGCCACTGCGACCCCGAGTTCGCCAGGATAATTGCTGACCAGGCCAAGACCCTCGTCCACGCCTCTAATCTCTACTACAACCCCTGGACTGGCGCCCTCTCCAAGCTCCTGGTCGAGAAGACCCTTGAGTCGGGGTCCATGCGCGACGCTGCTTCCGTCTTCGTCTGCAACTCGGGCTCGGAGGCCAACGAGGCCGGCATCAAGTTTGCCCGCAAGGTCGGCAAGATTCTCGACCCCTCTGGCGCCAAGCACGAGTTCGTCTCTTTCAACAACTCCTTCCACGGGCGGACCATGGGCAGTCTGTCGGCAACACCCAACCCCAAGTACCAGCAACCCTTCTCTCCCATGGTCCCAGGTTTCAAGTACGGAGACTACAACGACATCTCTGCCATCAACGATCTCGTGACGGAGAAGACATGCGGTGTCATAATTGAGCCCATCCAGGGCGAGGGCGGTGTTCAGGTGGCAAGCGACGAGTTCCTGGTTGCCCTGGCCAGGCGGTGCAGGGAGGTTGGCGCTGTCCTGCACTACGACGAGATCCAGTGTGGTCTGTCGCGGACTGGCACATTCTGGGCACATGGCAGGCTGCCCAAGGAGGCCCACCCAGACATTCTGACCACGGCCAAAGCACTAGGGAACGGCTTCCCCATTGGCGCCGTACTCGTGAGCAAGGATGTGGCTGACAAGATCAAGGTGGGCGACCACGGTACCACCTTCGGCGGCAACCCTCTTGCGTGTCGCCTGGCACATTACATTGTCAACAGGCTCGCAGATCCAGCGCTGCAACAAGATGTAGTAGCCAAAGGAGCCGTCTTCGCAAGCGGTTTCAAACAGCTGCGGGACAAGTTCCCAGATCTCATCACCGAGATCAGGGGCCGTGGCTTGATACTCGGGTTGCAGCTCACCGAGGACCCGACCCCCATCGTAAAGGCCGCCCGCGAGAGGGGACTCCTCGTGATTACAGCAGGCACCAACACGCTCCGATTTGTGCCTCCATTGACCATCTCTGAGGCAGAGATCCAGGAGGGACTCCAGATCCTGGAACAAGCGATCGCCGCTACTCGGTCTTGAATGGCTTGGGACACGAGATACGCTGAATATATATCTCTATCTGGCAGTGAGTTATGTCGTTGAACCTGTATATATTTGCTTCAGCAGAGAGGAGTTTGGGCTTCAAAAGTCGACCGCGTTTCGGCACACCTTATTGTACTGTTCTTTGCTCCGATGCCACTGCCGGAAGTATCTTGATACCCAATTCATTCTCACGAGCAGGACGGCATACATAAGATAGCCCTCATCTTGTAGGCAGGACCCGGCAGACCGCAGAATTACAAGAAAGGTTGGTTTCACTTGATGATTCTTTTCCTCGACTGTCTTGTTTGGATGCCTCTTTTTCTGGCATCTGATGTGGTGTGGTCCTGGATGCAATCCAATGGCTGCAGCCAATCAGTGTAATTCAGCCTACCCGAGATCAAGTGATCACTAAGCCTCGCAGCCAAGGCAAAGATGACGGTCACGTCAAGTTTGCAATCCTTCTCGAGCCACATGCACGACCACATCTAATGAGTTTCTTCTGAACATTGCATTGCAAAGTTCATTTCTACTTCCTCCCATCACTCTCATACCGGGTCGAGCAAACAAAGCAGATATTGAGTGGCACAGAGGGCCTGCTCATCTACCATCCTGTCAAAGCTCCCACTATCCTCAATCTCGTCCGACCTTGCCCCCCCCCCCCCCAACGCTCACCCACATGTCGGACACATTTCGTCACCGTTTTTTCTGAACAACTCGGAATAACTTTGGTGGTCATAGTTCCTTCAAATGAGCAGTTATCAACCTCGACACTGATTCTCAGCCCCTTGATGGATACCCTCCTCGGTAGCATGTCTTGAAGCCCAAGCTACTGGTATTTCTTTCGGCACAAAACTGCTTGCCACCACCTGGCTGTCTACTATCTGAGCGGCTGCTCTTCGTCAAGCCGAGAGCTATAGCAGCATCGTTAATCATGGAGCAACTGCCCTCATATCAGGATGCTACCGGGAAGAAAGAATGGCTCGAGCTGGTAGCACCTTACATTGATGCCTCCGATTACCAAAGCCTGTGCTGCGTTTCCAGACAATTTCGTAGGGTTTTTGCCCCACGAGCTTGGAAGGATCCTCTTTCCGTTGTACGCACATTGAATCGGGATACAGCCTATGGTGAGTTATTTACCCAGTCATTACTGCCCCTTGCACTGCCCCTCGCACTGCTACCAGAACAGAATGGTTGACGCATCTCATGAAGACTACCGTTGGTACTCGAGGTTTCTTGGCCGTGTACGACAAGTAGACACCTCAGTAGCGTCCATGGTAGCCATTATGGACTTCCGCGGCTTCGCCCCCACTCCTGGACTGGAAGAATACCAAGATGCATACAATAGGAGCTTTCAGGAGCTTGCGATTCGGCTCCCCAACCTGCGCTGCTTGTTGCTCGATGGCCACCCACAACTCAGCCTGTCTATGCTATCTAGGCATGCCTTGCGATCGAGTACCGTCGATTCCCTAGACAAGATCCACCTAGTCAGCATCGCAAATTGTGGAACGTCGCTTCCAGCAAAGTTCTTTGGCGACCAATGGCTTAGTGGCTTGGTCTATCTAGACATGTCAAACACCCCTGGGACTCTCGGAAACCAATGGGCGCTTACATCCCATGACCTGCCGCACCTCCGCATCCTGAAGCTCGGGAGAAAGAATCTGACTGATTGGACTGCTGGCGCCATCGTACGCGAATTCGGCACGCGGTTGTGGAGTCTTGACGTTTCCGGGAACGGCCTCACGGACAACTTTCTCAGAATGCTGTTGGAACACAGTCTCCCTACCTATGCAAACACTGAGCTACGGATCAACAACCATTTCGCTGTTGAAGGGCAATTAAGACCGGTGTTTGAAACTGGCCATCCCCGCGCCAACCGTGGACTGTATTTTGTCGACGAGTCTGATCAGAGCGCGACATTTTCGTCTGCTGAGCGATACCTTGCGGACCCCCCAATCTACGACTCTTTGAATGGCGATTCTATCAGCGAACAAGGTCAAGTCAGATTGCGTGGCCGATCTAGGGGGCAGGAACGCATCAGAGGTGACTCGGCGGAGGACGCGGTCAGAGTTCTAGCAGGTGCTGAAGGGGAAGAATTACCTGATGCACTACACCCCCAACACCAAAGGCTTCATTGGCCGTCTCCCCAGGCAGGTACCACGCATTTGCATCTCAACGAGCTCAGGCTCAGCGCATCTGCCGTCAAGTCTTTTCTTAGCGAGTCTTCTGGTCACATTGAACACTTCGAATGCGACCGAACATCGCTGTCGTCTCACTACGCCTCTTTCTGGCAGAGCAAAGCGCCGTTCCTCTCCAAAGCCGCCACCTTGTATGCTCTCCCAGGGGCTGCGTACCTCTTCCGCCCCGTCATATCGTCGAATTTGCGCGTGCTCAAGATTCACCATTCCTTGATCACCAACACCCCTACTCTCGATTCTCGAAGCACCGGCGAGTTGACCAACCTGTGGTTGGCCGAGACATACATGCGCAAAAGGCTCGATCTCGCCTATCCGCAGACGTACGTCCCAGACATGAACCCGCGTCTTTATTCACTCACCATCTCTGTGATCCCGCGCTACTCGACCGGTGTCGTCGCCCAACGACTGATCAACTTCCTGCGTCTTGTCGCTATCCAGGAGCAAGAGATCGAAAGCACAAGAGCTGCAGTGCCATTCCGAGGACCGCCGGTGTTGCGTGGTCTCCGCCACGTCCGACTAGAGTTTGAGCCAGACGCCAAGGACGACCTCGGCTCTCTCGATGACGAGACTGATGAAAAGGACTCGGCAAAGTTTATTGAAGAGGGCACAGGAGCGTTCTCCTTCTTCGAGGGCGCATGGGATCCATCATCCTCGTCTGTCACGTCCAGAGTGACGGAACATTCGACTACTGAGACCGCAAACGTGAGTGACGTCGATACCCATCGCAATGCCCTCTCCACCACCGCGGAACGAATCAGCGACTATCCTTTCAATAAGGCGATAGACGAGCAGGTCAACTTCAGCCTCCTCGCAGGCGGCGATGGCGATCAGCCCCCCAAGCTGGTCTCAGTCTGGGTGGGATCAGGGATCATCAGCCCGAACAAACCGCCCGCCATCAACGAGTACATGAAGAACACCTGCGACACGGCCAACCGCACGGACGTCTGCCCCGCGACGCCCTGCCACGTCGCCGCCGGCGTACCGCCGGGATCGTTCATATTCGAGCGCGCGTGGGACGCGATAACGCTGCCGGGGGCCACCACCAAAGTCAGGCTGCCCACCAAGGCGGAGCTGCGGGCCATGGAGGACGTGGTCGCGCGGGTCAAGGCCTTCCGGCTGGAGTCGCGGCGAGTGTACGCCGCGCTGGAGCCCGGGCGCCGCAACGCCGTTGGGCAGCACGAGTACTGGCGGGGCCGGCTGGAGCTTGTGCTACCGCGACCGCGGGTGCACTCGTCGGATTATTGGAGGTAGATTGATCGTGGCCTGTCAGTTATCGGAGCGAAGAATACGTATGGTACAACAATCTTCGCGTTTGTAGATACGAACTGCCATCCAAGAGCTACAGCGCGAGTGAATATTGCTCTCGGGTATCTTCCTCGAGGCTAGCATTTAACCAACAGAGGCAATCAGATGGTTTTCGGCCGCCCTGTAAAGCCCTGCTCGGCCACGGTGAAATACAGTGGGTTTGACGCCGTTGGGATCAATAGCCGAGGCCTGAATTAAGCACGAAGGGCCAACGGTCCACCACGCGACCGCGATAGGGGTAATATCAGAGCTTAGGCGTACGCGCAAATCGCCCTATGACTCGGGAGTCCCACCCATGCGGAAATCATTCACTTGCATGACACTCTGGTCTCATGTTGGTAGAAGCTATTTCCGAGATGGCGCAGATATATTTCCCATCCCCGTCACACCTCAAGGTCCACGAAGAAAACAAAGAGTGCTGTGGATTAATCGATCCCCGGAGACCCTGTAGTTGATCTTGAGGGAGAAAATTCCCTTAAGAAGATGGAAAAGGGAAGGGTCTCTTTTCCTTCATCTTTCCTTATGAGAAGGAATTTTCCTCCCGTTTTTCCCTCGTCTTTTTTTATAAAAAAAAAAGAATAAAGGAAGCAAGGAAAACAATGTCGAGGGCCACCTAGCAACCACAGTGGGAAAGACGCGAGGGCCGGCATGGGATTTATCGATTCATCATACCGTCACAGTGTGTTCTTGTTTCATTGTGCGTTGCCCGCAGGGAATTTCGTGCGGCACTACTCTTGACTTTTGACTCCGTCAAGGATCTTCAGATTCGGATCTTTTCGATGTAGGGTTGTCTGGTGTTGGACCAAATGTGCATAGCACCGTACAGTCTTGTTTGGTGGGCTATTCTGTCATGATGACCAGACATTTTTGCCGCAGTGTGAGCATGGCTCGCACGGAGTCATCTCAGATGCAAAGGCGGAAGCGATTTGGCCATATGCAGACAATCTGCTACGCGATCGATACGAATCGTGTCGTGGAGTTGAGGAGTTGTTCACGCACCACGCGAAAGCATTGCACATGGCGATCACAGGCCACAGAGACGAGTAAAGCCCTATCGAATCACGGCTGCAAGAGCACGGTCAGAGCAAAGAGAACCAGAGAGTAGACGCACAGTATGCAGTGAGGCCGATGATGCACGCACAACCACATCGGGGACGGCCGAGAGGGTTTACGAGTGCTATTTATCGCCCAGCAAGACAGGGCAGCCGATCGAGGCCACTGACGTGCGTGTGCGACGCAACACGACCCAGCTCACGAGAATGATGGGTGGAAAACAGCAGATGCGGCGGGCCGGGAAGTTGGTTCCCGGTTGCAATTGCAATGGGATGGGATTTTAAAGAGGCGGTCGTGGGTCCACGCTGTCTAGCTGTCAGGCTGTGTGTGCACGTGTGGCTTGCGCGCGCCGAGATACCCTGTGCAGCACTGTGCAGCAGGTGTCGCATTTATTCCAGCTGCCGCTGGCGGCGGCGCAAATGATGTGCTGGCCACGCGGTTGTCTCTGCTGGTATCCGTCCCGCAGGCGTCTGCGGCACGGCTTGTAAATGCCACTAGCTAAGGACGGAAGAAGTTCGAGGAGTTGAGCGTGGACTGCGTGACGGCCTGTGCGAGGTTTGGCGGAAACCAAGTGCCGACGTGCCCAGTGCCCAGTGCCACAGTGACCATTTTTGAGTGCGCAGCGGAGGATTTCCTGAAGCGAGAAGCTTGGCATGCAGATTAACTTCTGGGGAACCGTTCGTCCCATGCGGCAGTCGAGCTGGCAGGCTGGCAGGCTGGCAGGCTGGCAGGCTGGCAGGCTGGGCCGGGCCCCTCTGGCCTCTGGCAGTCTGGATAACCTTTGTCCAAGTGTTGCTGTCTCAGGTGCGTCCGAACGCTGGCAGGTGGGCGGGCAAACCAAAACCTGTCAGGAGGCGGCTGTCAGGAGGCGGCTTGGGCGGGCGTGAGCACAGCAGCGGGCAGACCAAAACATGGCGAGATGGTGAGACGGCCAGCAGCGAGCATCCAGGTGCCAGGGCTGCCAGGGCAGACTGGCAGACAGACAGACACACGACTTGTTGCGTGGACAGTGGGTTGGTGGTAATCTCGGTTAGGTTTCGCGTGGACGCACCCCCCCTGCGGAGATCCGGGCTGACGCTGCGAGTCGCGTGGGTGCATCCACCTGTCCAATCGTAGATCTGCCAGTCCGGGTGTGGATGCTCTTTCCTGGTGGCCAGTGCGGGCAACGCCCAACGACGGCGTCGAAAGGTGAGAACGAGCCCGAGCACGGGGGGGGGCGGGCACGGGCGCAGGCTTGGGGCCCTGGGGCCATCGACCTGGTGGACGTTGGCAAGTGTCGCGGACTCGGAGCCCAAAAGTCAATCGAAGCTTCTGTCCACGGGCCACGGCTGGTCTGCTGGTTCGCAACCGGATTGCCGCGGCTTGGCAGGGCAGACCTTGCCCAGGGACCAGGGTCAAACTCTGTGCCTGGTTCCTGCAGCTCAGACCCACCACCCGACCAACCGCACCCCGGCAAGAAACATTGTGCACAGTAGCGCGATTTTATTATCGTCTGGTGCTGTGAAATTGATTGCACTGTATCAAGGGGCACAGAAGCATGTCAGACCACCAATGACAGCCAACGGGTGAGCAGCGCGCCAGGATCCAACACGAAATAGACGAGCCCTGATGACTGCAGTGTTGACTGTTGAGTGCCTTTAAGTGCCGAGAGACGGTTTACGCTAGATGATGCCCTGCCTGTTTTTTTTTTCCCTCTGTGTTTTGTTCCCCTCTTCATTTACAAGGTGCAGTACAACAGTCCCTCAGTCCCTGTGCGCTGGCAAATGACCCAAGTCTATCTCAAACCTGATGGCTGACTTGTTTGTCACACATACAACGGCCGCGGTCATGGTGATCTCGAGATCTCTACTAACAGTCTTGTGCTGTGTGCCACGGCTGCACGGCTGCGTGGGTACGCTATACTGCCAGACGGCCAAGACGGCACAGCGCCTATCCACCTCGTACTATCCACCTCGTACTACGTGGTAGCGCCAGCGGGCCCGCCCTAGCCCCCTGGTCCTAGTCGTGGCTAAGCTTCCATGTCCCTGTCCCTCGGGTCCGTCCAAGTCGGTCGTCTCGTCGTGCGTGCCCCTGGTGTCAGCATGCACATCATATGCTGTAGGTAGCTTGGGTAGGTACAGACGTATGTCGCCACATCCTTCCAACCCCCCTCCTGCCCTCGTCGCCTTCAGCAGCCCAGCCTGGCCCAGACCTTGCCAGGCAGGGCGCTTCGCCGACCAACAAGCCCACTTTGTTCCTCACTGTCCTTCACTGTCACCTTCTTTGGACCATTGCCCCGTCCCGAGGGCCCACACCCCAGGACCACTCCATCAAAAAGGTCGCCAGCCTCGACCCTGACGCGTGCGTCCCCCAGGAGTCCGACCTCTTTTCTATCTCCGTCCACGTCGTTCCTGACACCGCGCAAGCACTCCTTCTTTTGCGTCTTTGACAGACAGCACTCATTTCCCATTGCATTGAATTGCACCGCGAGCCCCTCGGCCTCGCCTCACCTTCTTGCTTGCCCTAAAGCATTCCACTCTCCCTTCTTTGACCGCCTGTCGGCACGCCGCACTCCTTTCTCTGTCCCGGCTTGGCCATACGTTAGAAGAAGAAAAAAAAGGATATCGGACAAAGCAGTCGCTTGCCCTCGTGCTCAATACCAGTCCCACTCGTGGCTCTCTTGGCCCGGATAGGCAACTTACAGGTCCACGACCACCTCAACAATCGAGCAGACCAGCAACCCACTCATTTGCTGTCACAACTCCTCAACGACACGATGCTCACCAAGACTTGCTTGGCGCTCGCTTCGGCTGCGCTTGTCAGCAACGGTGCCCTTGCCGTGAACCACCGTCACCGCCACGGCCACGAGCAGAAGCGTGCTCTCATCTACGAGACCACCGAGACTGTCACTGATATTGAATGGGTCACCGTCACTGTCGACCCGAATGAGCCGCCCACCACCGCTCCTGTCGTTGAGGCTACCTCCTCATCCTTTTCCTCCAGCTCGGCTGCTGTCGAGGCCACTCCCGAGGTGCCCAGCGTCGCCCAGGCCCCTGCTCCGTCTTCCTCCTCTTCGACGCCACCCGTCGTCGTCCCGACTCCTACACCAAGCCCAGCGGCCCCTACCACATTCGCCACCAGCGTTGCCTCTCCATCTCCATCTCCATCTCCTGCTACTCCATCTCAGGCTTTTGAGACCCCTGGTGTTGCGGCCGTGGCAGCCCCGCCCTCGACGTCTTCGTCCTCCTCTTCGGCTGCGGTCGCTCCTACGCCTGCCGTGGCACCATCTCCTTCTACCAAGAAGCGTGGTGCCGCTTATAACGTTGCCAGCCTAATCTCACCCTTGATTGGGAGCGGGAGTCAGATCTCTTGGGCTTACAACTGGGGCCAGGTGAGCGATGGGCTGGACCAGGTCGACAGCTCCCTGGAGTACGTCCCCATGCTGTGGAGCAACAGGCAGGACTTCATTTCCACCTGGGACTCGAACGCCAAGACTGCCATCAGCAACGGCGCCAAGAACTTCCTTGGCTTCAACGAGCCCGACAACGTAGGCCAGGCCAACATGGACCCTGCCAGCGCTGCCTCAGCCTACATTCAATACCTGACTCCTCACGCGGGATCCGTCCGTTTGGGCTCTCCAGCTATCACCAACAGCGGTACCGACGGCGAGGGCGTGAGCTGGCTGAAGCAGTGGGTCAGCGCGTGCAATAACGAGTGCAAGTATGACTTCTGTGCCGCTCACTGGTACTCACCAGCCGACAGCAGCAACTTCCTCAACTACGTCACCCAGGTCCATGAGGCTTGCGGCACCGACAAGACCGTCTGGATCACCGAGTTCGCCCCCACTGGGGCCGACGACGCCACCATCTCCTCATTCCTCCGGGAGGTGCAAGACGCGCTTGACAACAACTCCACCTACAGCTTCGTCGAGAGGTACTCGTACTTCTACGTCGCTGATGGCTCCCTGGTCACCGGCACCTCGGCCAGCAGCTACGGTAACACCTTTGCCTACGGCTCCTGATTGATCGGCCGCTGGCTTACGGCGTCTCTTGCTTTTCGACTTGCTACTTTTCTTGTGCCAGGGTCACTTGCAGTGACCAGGGTGGGATGGATATTGGAGACACCTTAGTCCCCGAAGTCGGGGTCCAACAACTCTTCACTTCTTGTACATATAAAGACTTTTTTACTTCTTCGGTTCTTTGGGGTCCATGACGGATCTAGAAGGGACAATTCGATGGTGGCAGTGCAAGACTCTTGCCAACATCATAGCTGGGTGTTGATCAGAGAAAAGATATAGAACACCTGAAGAGGTTGACTGATCTTACTCGGCGTCGGGTTTCGGGGATATACTCCAGTCCCAGACGCGAACAATCCACGATGACTTTATGCCAGGAATGAAAATTGCATGTAGCATTGCACATTAGCTTGATCCTAGAACACTTGCGTGACCTGATCTCTTCCTTTTTGCAACGTCTATTGTCACCCCTGATCCTTTCATCATTACTCTAGGGTACGCAGAGTACACTAAGTGTGGCATAGTATAGGCAAAGGGGGGGCCCGCCCACGCAATGTGAAAACGAATAGAGAAAAGACCAAGATTTCCCATGTCAGTTGAAATGGGTCGAACAAATTTAGTCGAACCACACCGTGCCTTCTCCGCGGCCAGCGGGGCGGGGCGGCGGTATACGTTCATTTCGCCGAAAAGGAGCCCAACAGACGGGTTTCATCACCTGGGCACTTGCGCGTCGAACACTATCGTGTAATGGAGACCGAAGGTAGAACGGCAATTGCATGTCTACAGGTCATCGTGAAGCACGCTGTAGCTTTCACCACTCTGATCGGGTTCTCCCAAGAGAATCCCCAGAGCAAGGTTCCCATAAGGAGGCTACCGTTTAAGGGCTTAATATCTCATGAAATTGTTGAAACGAGCTCTGCTTCATGCTAGCAAAGTAAACCGCTCGGCAAACGAACAGAACTTCAAATGGCAAGATCGGGCATACCAAGCTGTACATAAGACCCGCGCCATCACCGTTGTCTTCAAGACCCTCTTTCCCCAACACGCGGTTGGCATCGAGCGCTGCCCAGGCCCTTGAATATCCACTTGATTTGTCTGCGTAGCTGGCCAAGCAATACTAGTTGCGAATTTATCTTCTCAATGTTCGCCTTTCATGACTACGCGACGATGTGACCGCCCAGCTGATACTAGTGATGCCAACTCAAGCCAAATGCAATTACAGACTTTACAGCCATATGTGATTTGTGTGTGACAAGAGAATGCTACGAATTCTAGCGGATTGTGTACATTCTTCTCAGGTTTGTATATGTTCTTCGATGTTCACGCCATAGTCTTTCCGGCGCCCTCTGGCTTCCGTGAAATCTTGCATCCCATACCCCCTTTCCTCTGGTCATTTTCTGCCTTATGTACTCTCTTGTCGTTCCAAATCCAAAACTCCGCGGGGCTGTCTGAGGTGAGGCTTCCACATCTGCCAGCACTTGCCGCCCTGGCGGAGGTCGTCGGCCGGTGCCGCCCCACAAGGGCCGGCAGTCTGACGGCGGCCAACCTTGAAGGCCGGAATCAACATATAATTCTCTACTCCTGGATTGACAACTTTAGAAAGACACATTCATTCTAGTAGCCAGACTGTCCAAAAGTTCGTCACAAACAGGCCCTATTGCTGCCCAGCACTTCACCTGCCAGTGCATGATAATTTCACCGCCCGACTTTCTCACCATCGTGTTAGCAACAACATGGCCTGTTCTCTGTCTTATCTTGGAGTAATCAAAAGTTGCAGATCATTACGATATGCTATGCTGAACCTGATGATATTTTTCATGTTGACGAGACAATGGCAGCCTATCAGGTGCCTACCTGGACCGGCCTGCCTACACGCAGGATTCACTGCCACGCCGGTTCATCTTGGCATATCAGCCTCAATGCTCAAGTGCTGGTCCGTCTGACCCTCACCCCCGCGCCGCCTTCTACCCCGTGGGTGATGAGTCCTGCCTCCATCTACGACAGACCCATCCTCGAATCCTTAAAAGCATCAATCCCAGCGCTGTCATCTAGGCCCACCGGTGAGCGAGGACGTCGCCTTAAGCTCGCATACACTTTGCATCACGCCAGCGGGGTTTAGCATCTAAGTACCATGGATCAAGAGCTCTGGGAGCAGTTGGGCCTCGATGAGCTCTCTGGGGGCACAGAGTCTGGCGGGTACACAGTTGACGACTCTTCCCATCATCTCAGCGCTGATAACTCAGCTGGAGAGTCGTCGTCATCCGCGGCCTTCTCAAACTCGCCACAACAATCCGTCGCCCGGCGGGGGCCTATCCCAATAGCGCCATTGGGACCTGTCACTAGGCCAGCGAAGAAGAATAAGCTTGAGAGAAGGGGGCACTTCAAGTCTCGCAATGGCTGCTTCAATTGCAAGAAGAGGCGCATCAAGGTAGCCAGGACACCTTCTGCTCTCGCTTCTCCTAACCGTCTATGCCAGTGGTTTCAGCTAACTCGGTTCGAAATTCAAGTGCCAGGAAACTCATCCTGCATGTGGCCATTGCATTAAAGGCAAATTGAAGTGCGAATACCCAGCCGTGCCGCAGATAGTACACCAGGTTAGTGAAGTCAGTCGGACGTGATGAGTGAGTGAACTGAATAGAACTAACATGGAGTTGACTGTGTCCAGCCAAGAGATCAGCTACCACTTTTCAGCATGCAGTAAGCAGCCTTTCGGCTCCCTGAGGCTTTGAACGCCATTTACCTCACGGACAAAACAGACCACCAAGTGGTTACATATGTAGTAGCTGACTATGTGCGCTCTAGGGACATGCGCTTCTTCCAGCATTTCCTTCAATACTCGTTTCCCCACCACCCCCTCGGCAACGACAAAATTTGGACACACGAAGTCCCTTGCTTGTCCTATAGCGTGCGTAGCCATCAGTCACCTTTGGTCTCGGCGGCAGTAGGACCGGTGATAGCTCCAAGAACATGCAGCATTTTCGTTCACTTTGGGACTGACACATCTACATAGCATGAGTTTCTGATGCATAGCATATTGGGCCTCGCTGCCTCGGAGCTGATCGCAACCGACCCGTCACTCGCCGAGGCAGCCTTGGTCCACCGCTTCAAGTCCATACAGGCTATCAAGCGCAAGCTGGCCGCAAGTGACACTAGCATCACATACGCCGAGGGCAATGCCTTGATCGCAACCTGTTTTGCTCTCACATTCCAGAGTGTCATCTTGGAAGACGGCAGTAAGTCACCCGGCGAACACCAACCATAGGCGTTCCCCGACCGCTCACCTCCATAATTTAGTGGCCGAGTATATGGCTTTTATTAGAGGCATCATCGTTGTAGTCATACAGATGTACAAGTCCCGCGTCGACTTTATGTTCAAGCACCTTTTCGAGCAGAACAAGAACAACGCCGAGATCCTGAAGCCTCATATAGACAAGGTGACGTTTCCGGACGGGATGTGGCAATGGAAGGCAGGGGCGCTGGCGTCCCTGGCTGGGATAAGGAGCTTATGTGACGGGGATGACCTGAAGATGAAGTATCTGCAGATGACTGAGGACATGGCCAACGGGCTGGATGAGGAGTCGCCTTTCAAAGGTTCGCGCCCACTGCCCGCCTCTCGACCTTGATTTTATTTCACTCATGCTGACTCCATCTACCGCACGCAATAGCATACTTGGCCATGGGCAATCACTACACTTGGTGGGTAATGCTGCCACAAGATCAATTCGCCCGGATAGTAGATCCCAGTGATCAGGTCTTCATACTGTTGGCTGCGAACTGTATGTCCAACCATCATCCACACACACTTTATCAAGCGTAGCCTACACACCAAATCAACTACCCGACTCGTTCTCAAACTGTAGGACACAGTCGCTGACCCTAATCGACCCAGGGATTGCCATCAAGCAGATCATGGCTGTGATCACCGAGGTGGAAAAGGAATGGACAAAGAAAGAGAATGACAAGGACAATGTCGAGGAGGGCATGGGCCGGTGGCTGAGGTACCTGAACAGGCAGGTCGAGCCGGAGCTCATCCACTACAACCAGTGGCCCATGTGGGTTCAAGGGCAGCTCGAGATGGACCCGTGCTTCTTTGGGAAGGCGACCAGGGCCGGGAAGAAGATAGAGCGCTCCTGCGTTGGTGGTTATGCCAAGCTCATCCAGTGATGTTGCTGTTCGGGCGGACAGACCCCGCGTGCTCATCTGACAGTGTTGGCGCCTTGGTGTGTTTTCATCAACGCCTTGCCTGTATCTCTTTCGGTTTTTCGTCTCAACATGGGAATCTACTCGGTCAAGGCGCACGTGTCTGGTGTTCATGGTTATGTAAATGGAAGGTCGGAGAATAGCCCCGTGAATCTTATTCCAGCGTTGGCTTATTCAATGCCCTAGTTAGCCGAACTTTTATTGACTAATCTCTTGCTGAAGTCTGTAGTCAAAAGATTAATGGGAACAAGAGGAAAATTCAAGTGGTTCCCAGAAGCAGATACATGGTCATATTCAGAGATCAGCTACTGTTGCTGGGTGTGTTCACTGTGATGGTTACACAAAAAATGTCAAAAGACAGTTCTTCCAATGTAGACCTGAGACGGTTGCAAGGAACTGCTGATTCCGGCCGGGGTATGCAGCAGGACATTACTTTAAATGCACGCTTCAATATTTGAAAGAGGTCTATTGGCCAATTTAGTGACAGTCCGATCATTGGCGGATCAAATGATGGAAAGCTCATGAGGTGAGCTGTCTAGCGGTCTTGATTCCCCGCCACTGAGGAAACGGGCATCAACCGCCTAGCACACAACGTTAAGCCTCTCGCTATGACAGCCCCGTTGCCCGTTTTTCTATGAACCGGATGCAGTTGACCGTTCAGTTCAACTGCACGCAAGCTTGAACCAATTTGAGCCGTGCACCAAAAAAAACCAAGGAATTCCAGAGGCAGCACCCGGAACCGCCCAGCGCGCAAATCCACCTTAACACCCAATTGGTTCGAGCCCACAAAAGATCGGCCCAGGGACCTTCCTTTTCAAGTTAAGCTTTTCTCGGGCCCCAGCGGGGCGGTGCCGTAAGGCTGAGGCTTGATGCAACCCTCGAACTGAATCTTGGGGTTTGGGGCGGCCTCCAAGTCTGGACGAGATGATGCATCGTGGAAACCGACCTACATACAGCTTTGCACATGACCTTTCTCCATGGGCTGCTCACCCCAAGTCGCCTTATTGGGCAGCTCTTGTCGGTGGCCACTAGTGTGTCGCGGCTGGCCTACCACTTTCGACCAGTACAGTCCCACCAATTCTGCGCCTACGGCTTTTGTCCCCATTCATCAATATGTGTTTGGCAGTATGCTGATCCAAGAAGACCCGTAGCATTGAGCACTGTAGCTGTGATCTAATGTCTGTCTATCAATGGCCGCACAATCCGAAAGGCCCGCTCAAGAAATGCAGGCTGACCGTCCCCGCCGCCTAGAAAACGCCAGACTACCGCCGCCCTGTAAATGTACATGCCAGTGTATCAAGTCTGGTCACAATCCATCACGCCGTCTCAGTTGTTTCTATCAGTCGCCTTTTGTGGTTTGTAATCTGGCAGCTCGTCGAACCATCCTGCTGGCTCGTTGTACTTGTACGCATGGAACTCATACCCATAGGGCTTGGGCTCGATACAAAAGAGCATACCGAGTGGCACGTCGAGGTCGGCTATGCCATCTCGCGAGAGGTCCATGAAGTACGCCATCAGCACACGGCATACCGACCGGTGGCTGATTACCAGGACATGGTCCGTAACCCGCTCAAGCTCCCGGACCATGTCGCGCAGCCGGGAGATGACCGCCAGGTAACCCTCCCCGCCGACACCGGGGTAGATGTAGTTGAGCTTGTCGGCAGTGCGCTTCTGGTACTCGTTCGGATACTTGACCGCAATCTCGTCGTAGGTCATGCCCTCGAACGTCCCCGCATTGAGTTCATTCAACATCTCCCAATTCTTGACATCGTAGTCGTCATCGTTGTCAAAATATGCCGCTGTCTCGATGGTTCGATGCAGCATGGATGTCCAGACGCAGAAGTTCTTCTGGTTTAGCTCGTGGTACATTTCCGGATATGGAGGGGTGTCATCTCCGGCCTTGGGGGGAAATGAGGACTGAGCGAGTCTGTCTTTCTGGTCTATCAACCATTCCTGGCGTTTCTTTGTCATAAAGTTGTAGAGCGCCGCTCCATAGCATTGGCCACGTTCTGTCAAGTGAGAGTTGCCGCCGATCTTCTGGAGTTTGTTATCCTCGCTCTGGCCATGTCGGGTGATCCAGATCTGCCTGGGCGCCAGGTTGAATGTCGTCAAGTACGAGGCAATGGTCCCACTCAAGAAGCCCTTCAGCCTGTGATGTATGACCTTGCGCCCGACATCTATCATCTGGATGTATTGAAGGTCCCTCTCCTCCTCGTACTGACCAAGCGGCACGTACGCGCTCTCGTACGCCCGCACCCTGGCCTTGAAGTCCTCCAGTGACTTGGTCGGGTCCTTGTCTTTGTAGTCGGGTCCGGAAAGCTTGAGGCGCATATTGGCCTCCAAGAGCTGTCAAGAGGGTCAGTCCATGATCTCACCAGAATCCCGAGCGGGGCAACGTACGTTCTTGTCCTGGCAGATACTCTCAATGAAGAGGATGCCCAGTTTTGGCTCTCTCTCTCGGATCTTCTTGACGAGCAACTCCCTCCTCGCGATTGTGCTGTTCGTAGCGTCCAGGATTCCAACGGCACCAGAGCTGTTAACCAGGTAGTCGAGTAGTTCGTCCAGGGTATCCATGGCTACTTTCTCACGAAGCTGGGCAGCTGTTGCATTGGTGGGATCAAAGAACTTTGCAGACTGGTCAAGGTTGTTAACATCATGGCCTTCGCCGGCGTTGCCGTTGGTGGGGTCACTGTGCGGATGTACCGTTCTCTCGTCATTCGAGTCGTTCAGGTCCAGGGCTGTTGGCTCATCCGAGGCTGACTGAGCGACGCCGTTCAGCAAGATGGTGGCAGCCTGCAGCCGGCCATCAACGCTCTTGGTATCATCAGACGTAGTGGTAGCCTTTGGCGGCTTCTGGCCGGCAGCGATCCGCCGCCGGTTTCCGACGTTGAAGATCTTGGTGTTGTGCTGCTGCCATGACAAGTAACGCTGGATCTTCTTGGTGATGTATGACTTGCCCCGCGCAGGCAGACCGACCATGATGATCACAAGTTTGGCAGCAACATCCCTCTCTGCGATCTTGCCATCTGGTGACACCCTCGACCTTGTCATGCCTGGGATGCTCAGTGTGGTGGCGTGGGGCCGCACCCGCGGTGTTTGGCTTCCGGAGTTTTGGCGCACAGGCGGACTAGACAGGCAATGGTCAATACGACTTTTGAGTGATATGGGGGGGTGGGCGCAAGACCAGACAGACAGTCTCGCGGGGTGGCAGGGACTCACATGCGTGGCGACCCCGGCGCGGTGGAGTTTGCGGAGCGCGCATAGGGTGAGTCAAAGGAATGTTCGCGGGGCTTCTCGCGGAGCGTCACCAGGGGGTCTGCTGCATTGTTGATGCCCTTCAGCGCGCTCACCAGTGCTGGCGGGGCTGAAGGAGGTGGAATCAGCCCGTTTGGGCCATCGTGTTGGCGAGCATTTTCTTTTGGCTGGCGGGGCGGGCTTTGCGACGAGTTGTGGTGGGCTGCGGCGGCTGCTTGGGAGCGCATGACCTGTTTGAAGAGAGATGATGACGAGGGCTCTGTGGGATGGTCCCAGTATGATATGTCTTGATTTCGGGTCTGGTCAGCCGGGGCAATGGGCTGGTGGTGAAGGATACGGCAGATGTTGTAGGGAAAGGAAGAAATTGGAAGGGAACGGCGGCGGTTGGTGCAGAAAAAAAGGAACGAACCTCTGGTGTGATTATTTGGATGGCATACTCCGAAGATCGCAGTGGAGGCCATGATTTTTCTGGGGGTGGGCGTCGCGGCTGCCAGGGTTTTGATTTGGGGCGCGCAGGAGACCGGGTGCCGGTGCGGCTGCTGGTGAGCGGCCTGCCTTGGGGCGCTGCGAGATGGAGTCTACAGTATGCGCCGGCCAATGGGCAACTTGGCCTGGCCGTCACTGGCAAGGGCAAGGGCCTGGGCAGGGGCGCTGCGGCAGCACAGGCGCAGTGTGCAGGCGCAGGTGCATGTGCAGGTGCGAGATGACGGCTCGCGGGCTGTGGAGTTCAGGACCCACTTCACGGGGGGGGGGGCAAACAGACGGGTGCTGTCTAAGTGGGGGATGAGGCGAGCCGAGGCGTGATGGGGGCAGAGCCCAAGTTCAGAATTTATCAGGGTCCAGCACGAGCTAGCCAGTCCACCCACTCACTGCCCTCTGCTTAGCGGCTGGGCTGGTGGAAGTTGGCAAGACTTGCAAGTCTCTTGAATCTTGGATCTTGAATCTTGAGGGCTTGGAGAGGGGGCCTGGGTAATAATAATAATAGTAGGAGTTGGAGTAGGCTTGCTTGCTCTGAGGCACGGCGGGCTACTTCGAGGAATGTCTCAACAAATTCTATGAATGAGGACTAGGCTGGTCGCATGCAGTTAGCCGGGTGAAGCCCGTAGCCTTAATATTGCACTCGCTGAGATCTGCCAAGCCGGACGAGAGCGTTCGGGAGCACCCAGCATTGACTTTGCATAGATAGGACGACTTCTGATTCGGACGTGGGTTGACTCTGTCGACGTCTGAGGCCTGGATGTTTGGGGTTTGGGCGTGCCTGTCACGGAACAGTAAAGGCCTTCTAAATCGGGATGCGCTGCAAGCCCTGCAAGCCCTGCAAGTCAACGCTCCCCCCAAGGCGACCCAAGAGATCTTAATCTGAGCGAGTCTAATAACGTATCCAAGCCCTGAAGGCAGGCGCCCAGGATCAAGTCCGACTGGGCTTCCAAGCCTTTGCCCAGAAGGCAGGTGCTAAAATTGCACACCCGATTGGAGACCCAGCCCCGGGAAAACAGAACAAGCCGGGTAGGCCACAGCACCTGCTCAGCTGCTCTGCCTGTCTGCCTGTCTGCCTGCCTGTTTTCGGATCCCGTCTCACCCTGTGACCCTGACAAGCTGACAAGCTGACATGTACGGAGTAGATACAGTGCACTACGGTACTACTACTCCGTACGTGCCACAGGGTAGCAAGCGTCTAGGATCGCCAGGGAGGGGTCGAGGAATGGGGCATGTCACAGTGGACGGATTAGGGTTGATCATGACTCTGGCACCCTTGGCGTGCTGCTCGTCACAGACTCGGACTGCCAGAGTACGGAGTACCGTGTAGCCTATTGGCACTGCGCATCAGTGCATCTTGTCCTCCCCGACACCAACGCCTACCTAACGCCCACACCTGTCCGAGGGAGCCTCAATCCTTCCGCATATCCCGTCTGACCGCTGTTCTCGCTATTGGAACCTATTTCCCGAAGACCAGCCCTGTAGACACGCTGAGACCCGGTGGATTGCAAGTGCAAACAGCGAGAACGGCCAAAGACGGTGGTGGTACTTGGAGTTGCTCCTGTTTTATTACATCACCCAGGTCCCACTCTATGGACAGACCCCAGTTTCTCGCCCCGCTGTCGTCAGAGCGCGTCTGACGACCTGACGACCCTGATTGCCTGACTACCTGCATTCGCTCTTCTCTCGACTGACGCATGCGCCGTCCCAGAGTGGCGCCAAACATCCTGGGGCGACAACATTCGGCTTGTTATGGGGGCCGCATGTATCTGGTCTCCAGGTCTATTCGCACTGCCATTGCTTCCTCTCCCGAATATTCTCTGAGGGATTAATTCCACTCGGGGCATATCCGCGGAGCCGCTGGGCTGCGCTGATGGGTCTGAAGTCGATGGGCTGAAGGGGGCCCCCTTCCCTACCAAGCTTATTCGTGAAGTCTTCATGAAACCTCTTCTGAGGAGCGGTGGGAACCATTTTTCTTGAAACAGACTGCTTCTCAAGACGCGAGGGATATGAGACATACACATCGCCCCCACCCCCCCCCCCAGCTCTGTTCGGTGAGCAGTGATACACCGACAGGACCTGGGAGCCAAGCCGTTGGCAGTTTAGGATCGACAACCGTGCCTGTCGGTATCGCATACCCGACAGCCGCTCAAGGTAAGTCCTTGGGGTCTCAACCTCAACGGCTTGCCAGCCATGGCCCCCACTGTTTCATTTCGGGAGGGAACATGGAGAAACACACAGTTCGCGCGGAGGGCCCCCGGTGCTGGCTGACGACTCCCGCGGGGCGTCTCTTGCACGGTGGCCGAGCAAGCATTCCGAGTGGTGGAGCACTAGCATTGAAGTTGTATGTGAGTCAATGTGAGTAGGTTCGCTGTAGGTTTGTGTCGTGGCACATTGACGAGACCGAGCTGTCTAGTGTCCAAGGCTTGGTGGCCGAGCCTGATGCGATATTATTTGGACAGCGGAACGAACACCGAGCAGCCTCAAAACAATTGCCCCGTAATGCGCCACCCTGGTGGACAAGTCGGGGGTGGGGAACATGGAAAAGCAGAAGTTCCTTGCGACAAGCTACCCCCACGCCACGAGGCTTTGCGAGATCTGAATCTCTTGGGTGCCACGGAAATGTAGGCGGCCAAGACCCGCCTACTCCTACACAACAGGGGCCAGTCAATGGTTGTTGCGCAGAATAGGTCGACCTAGAAGGTGAAGCAATGACAGATCAGCCCAACTGCTCGGTTGTCGCAGTTGGATGGATCTACAGACTTCGAATCTGGCATTGACGTGTTCATCGAGCAGTTGACACAGGGGACGGGGCCTGTCTGGGACGGGCAGATGTCGGCAGTCGGAAACAGAACAAAAATAATTCTGCGAGCAAATCTTAGTATCAAGACAAATATAGACCTACCATGCGGTGAGGCTGTGGTCATCTTTTCCAATTGGTGGCCAGGTCTGCCGTGGAGCTGGCCAATACCCAACCGACATATGAACTCTTACAAGGCGGTTATCTCCAAGGCTCTGTTCAATACCTGGCAGATATCTACCTGGGTACCAGTCCCTCGACGCGGGCTAGAGTAGTCTCTTTGTAAAAAGACAAATGAAAAAAAAGCGTGGCATTCGCCTAGCTTACAAGAGTGCTTCGTTCCTGCCGGCTTGGCCATCAGGGTACCTGCCATTTGGGGGGGACCCTTGGACCCGCAGTGGTCTGGGCACTGCAATTGGGTCGCTGAGCGGTACCTAGGTACCTGAAGGGAGCTGTGCACCCCGCGTAATGCAACCTACTGATAAGATTGATCTGCTGCATTTTCGCGATTGCCCTCAAAAGATTCAAGTCGAGAAACGCGAAACGCGACAGCCTTGACTCTTGCGTGATTGCATGGATCGAAGTTTCCCAACCTCCTCGCCTGAGCAGAAAGAACTGTCTTGTGGTTAATCCTGCTCCCTCCTCATCCCAGACGATTCATAGTTGACCCGACCAGATCCCTCACACTGGAGCCACTTGCAAATGCTCTTTCCCCCGTCCTAACTTCATCCATCCGCCGCCACTCGAATACATTCAAACTACATCGCGAAGCACCATGCGCACCTGCCAAGACTAGGAGATCTCGACAAAAGCAGTCTTCGACGAGCTGGTCCCGACCTCGACCCAGCACCACCCGATTGCTCGTCCCCGACCACCGTGAGACTACGGGCGTGGTGTAGTTCTCTATCATTGTTTTCTTTTTGGAGCTTCAAGTGGCACTAGACCTCAGACGACGACCACTACTATCTCGAGACCAGCAAATTGCGAATTTTCTTCTCCGGTGCTGGCACAATGGCTGCCGTGGATGGCAATAATTCCAACAACATGGACGACATCTTGGCGGCCCAGCAGCAGGTGGTTAAAGACATCTTGCCAGCTGGTGTCAACCACGGCGTCTTGATACCTCTGAAGACTACACTGGAGCTTCGTGATGACCACCGCTGTGTCAATGTGGTGATCACTCGAGTCCCTGTCAAGAGCGCCAATGCCGTCATTACGTGAGCTCATTCCCGCCCCGCCCGTCCCCCTGGCCGCTCGATCTCGTGGACTAATACAATCTTATCCTGCTCCAGTTTGCTTCGCGATCTCCTGCCTGAGGCCATTGCTAAAGGCATGCCTCACTTGCGTAGATGCGCGAAGCCTGTGGACCTCCCTGCCCACCTGAAGCTGCAGTTTATGCACGACGATGCCAGCAGCCGACAGATACACACAGGAAAATCGCAATGGATCTACATCATAGTCGGACCAGCGGCCAACTTGTCCAAACAGGAGCTTCTCAACGGCTTGTGCTCAGTTGAGGGGCTTGTTGATGCCAATGGGTCCGCCCGTGGCCCGTGGCTCTCTACTATCCCAGTTCCCTCGCTGGCACCAACTTCTCAGATCCAGGCTGCGATGTGGTCTGAGCAATACTGGCCATGTGTGTACCGAAAGAACAACCCACTTGGCCCCCACCCTGGCATGGTGACCCGGTACACGGACGAGATCAGGTCAGATGCGTCCATCTGGGTGGGCTTGGCACACCAGGTCGCTGAGAAAGGCAAGGAGGCCGGCTACGGTGAGCCCATGGGGGCTTGCATTGTTCATCGTGGTCCAGATGGCTGCCGGGTCGTGGCCCTAGCAGCTGACGCCCGCTGGCACAAGCAGCCAAAGACATGCAGCACCGGCAACCCAATGGCCCACTCAGTCATGCGGGCAATAAGCATGGTTGCCCAGAAGTTGGTTCGAGCAGAACAGCGGGTAGGCGGGGGCCCCGAGGTTGTGTTGGAGTTCGAGGCTTTCCAAGACAAGCCCCTGCTGGATGAGGAGCAAAAGGTATTCAAAGAGGACCACCCAACACCAGACGGATACCTCTGCCACGATCTGGAACTCTACGTCACTCACGAGCCCTGTGTGATGTGTTCCATGGCAATTCTACACTCACGCATGGGTAAGGTCGTCTTCAGCGAGCGAATGACTCTGACGGGCGGGATGACATCGGAGGTCCGTGGACACAATCAGCCACACCTGGCGGAGCTTGGCGGCGGTCACGGCCTCGGGCTATTCTGGCGCAGAGAGCTGAACTGGAGCTTGGTTGCATGGGAGTGGGAGGGCAAGAAATGCGTCCCACATCACGAGGTTCACCCCACAGTCCATGCTTGACGCGCATGGAGTTGCAACCGGCACGCTAGCAACCAGGGGGTAGAAAACGACGGAAGAAGACCTTGTGAACAGTGCTAGTCATCGCTTTCACCGATCGAGCCTATGAGGCCCTCGAGGCGAGACCTCCCAACATCCGGGTGGCTCTTGAAAGGCACTCGGCTTCTAAGAATGGATTATGTAGCCATGAGTGTCAGTGACACCCTGCTGAAGGCACCGTTCGAGCTGCGGCTAGAGCAACAGTGTGCCATCGGTGAGGAGGGAACAAAGCCCTGCACCTGTTGCTTCACTGCAACCGAGCTGGTTGTAGAAGAGCCGCTTGGAGCTATTCATCCCGAGCAAGAAATTATGGCCCAACACTCTGGCAACACTGCGAAAAGGATCCAGGCTGGGTGTGACCACCCTGGCGTCACTAGAGCTTATATCTATTGGCGGCAGCCTGCGGGCTTCCACATATCAGATTCGGAGCCTGTCAGGGAACTTAGAAAATCAAGTCCAGGGCGGTGGTGGACAAGGCCATACTTAGATAGTTTTGGCTGGCTTTGGGAGGGTGAGCCACTGGTCCGTCCCTAGGTAGTAATTTACCCAGGCATGAAGAACGTGTCCGCGGTAAGTTCAAGGACGGCATCCAAGACGTGCCAGGTTCTGATGACAGCAGTCAGGGGCTGGTTGCTCAGTGAGAAAGAATCCATGAGATCAGGGCTCTGCACAAACGAGACACAGAGTTAATGTGAAAATCCCCAGTAGTTCAGGCCAGATCCAGTGCACCCAAGAAACGCAGACGCTTCATTTCTAGACTTGTGCGCAACCCATACAGAAGCAGGCGGGTAAGTAGGTACTTAAGTAGGTTGGTTGGGTGACAGAACGACAGCACTGCCAGAGATTTAGGGGATGTTCCAATAGGCCAGCCGCACTTGTTCGTTTTCCTATAATTAAGTGTGTTTGACAAACTTGATTGAGATCTAGGTAGGTGAGGGTCCGTCTTTCCAAGGTTCTGTGCCGAGTTCTTTTGGTAGTAACTATTTATGTTCCACTCAGTAGCACCGGCACCTGGTTGGAAATAGCTGATCAGCATTCACGCGAGGCCATTTCTGCGGCCCGGTGGCCTAGGCTCTCTTTAGCCGTCAAGACTATTTTGCTGTTTGAAAGAAGACGCTCACAACGTTGGCGAGTGCGCTAGGTGGTTGAGCTGGAACAGATAACGAGTATCCCAGCAGGAGCTGGGCGCTTCCTGTTTGGTCGATAAATTCCTGAGTACATATTTGCGGGGGCCCCTCCCCCCCCTCCAACCGGGGGGCATCAACCAAACAACCAACACAGACGCCGATGCTGAAGAGGCAACGACTTGTCTGGAGCATTTGCGAACACTGCTTGCGACAGACGCGACCTCTGACGCGATTATCCGGGGCCTTTTCCACCAGCACCGACAAAGGCGTGGCACAGAGGACCGCCCTCCATTGTCCCGAGCCTGACCCTCTGCCCTGGAGTGCCTTTGGCAGCAGCAGCCTCTGGCGAACCACCACGTTCCGGATCGAAACATACGAGACGGACCAACTGAGCCCCACGCAGCTACGTTCGCTTCGCCGAGCAAACCGTCTTGCGACTCGCGCGACCATCATGCCCGCAGCTAGAACCAAGAAGGGCGACGCGCCCAACGTCTCGAACGAAGCCAACAAGATGAACCAAGCCTCCGTCAAGCGAAAGCGCAGGCCCGGAGAGCAGAGGTTCTACGCAGTACGCGCCGGCAAGATTCCTGGTGTTTACATGTCCTGGGCCGAGTGCCAGGCCATGACCAACGGCTTTGCTGGTGCCAACTGTGAGCTTCTTCCCTGCTCCAACACCTCGAATCCAAATAAACCACCCCCCAACCCCCACCCCCAGCCCATCAACTCCAAGACCCCGCCCAGCTTTTCGCTCCTGCCACCATTCCTTCCGCCACTGACGAGGTAGTTCTGAGCAGACAAGTCCTTCAGTACGTATGATGAGGCCGCACTCTACGTGGCTGGCAAGAACCCCAACCCCGGCGTCGCACCCACTCGTTTCTACGCAGTCGCCATCGGCAACAAACCAGGCGTATACACGGAATGGAGTGACGCGCAGGCTGCTTATGTGGGGGTCAAGGCACCCAAGTACAAGAAGTTCGACTCGCGGGAGGCGGCTGAAGAGTGGATTCAGAGCATCCGGCTGAGTGCTGGCCCAGCGCCCGAGGAGACGTTCGATTTTAAGGATGAGGATGGGGACGAGGACGACGAGGATGAGGACGCGGGGGTGAGCCCCGCGGCGAAGAGGACCAAGCTTTCGAGCGATGAGATCGCGCTGGCCATCACCGGCGAGACCGTGGAGGACCTACTCGAGATCTACACCGACGGCAGCACACTTTCGAATGGGCAGACAGGAGCTGTGGCAGGCGTTGGTGTGTTCTTCGGTGATGGCGACCCGAGGTACGTTACAGCCTCCGAATCCATATGCCTCACCCTTTCTCATGTGGATCCTGCCTGACATCGCATAGGAACATCTCCGAGCGACTGTCAGGAACGCCGCAGACGAATCAGCGTGCCGAGTTGACGGCGATCCTGCGAGCACTCGAGACAGTCCCCTTGGACCAGGGAGTCATGATCTGGTCCGACTCTATGTATGCCATCAACTGCGTGACGGAATGGTTTGTGAAGTGGGAAAAGAACGGCTGGAAGACGCACAAGGGGCAGGTGCAGAATCGCGATCTCGTCGAGGCAGTCCTCGTCAAGATACGGGAGCGCGAGAGCCACGGCACGACAACACTCATCAAGTGGATCAAGGGCCACGAGTCGAGCGCCGGAAACATCTCGGCGGACAAGCTCGCCGTCGGCGGCGCCAACATGGCCAAGTCTGGGAGGGGACGTCGTTGAGGGCCGCGTCTTGGCGGTGGTTTTACAAGAACTTCGTCGTGGCCAACGGCTACTGTTTGTTCGGACCTTTAGGTGGAGATTGCGGGCACGCATCTTCAATGACACAAGGATCCCGCAATGCAGTCAGTCAGGGACCCGCATACTTCAGGTTTGGAACCCCTCGTTCCTTGATGAGGCAGATGCTGAGTACCACATCGGACGGAAGCACAAGCATGCCTGCATTGGCCCTAGGGCTTGCAGAGACAGGAGGGCTTTCGGTTTCCATTTTTTATTTCTTCCATGACAGTCCTGGCGATCTGGGATGGTCAGGTCTGCACAACAAATTCTAGGGCGCGGCGTTGTAGGGGGTGTCTGCCGATATTCTGGCCTTGAGCTACATTTTAGACACGGACTGGCTGTAAACAACCACTTGCGCTCAGGCACACATAAGAACGAGTTCTTTCAACCTTTGGCCGAGGTTCGAGGATTGTCTGTAGGTTATCAACATCTAACTGTCGGAGATATTGTCTGCCTGTATTGGTGAAATGTTCTGCCTTAGTGGATCATCTGTCCTACCGAGGTCCTACCAAGATTCATCACGACCTTTGCTCGGGTACTAAATATCGGCTGCGTGACCACAGCATCCATGAGATGGAGCGGGAGGTTCTCGCTACCTTTGCTTGATGTAACCTACTGTGGCCCAATCACCTGAAGGACTTACCATAGTATGCTCTCCTACATACTAGGTAATTAGGATGAATGTCGACAATAAGCAATATGAGCTTGGGGTTTGGTGTTGTGTACTTTTGAGGTATATAGTGAGCTAGGTGTGCTGTTGGTAACAAGTCTGCCCAGATGGATGATATGTATGATGCCATTGAACATTGTAGCCTGGTGGTCGTGCGATTCGTTGTACAAAGGATAGTTTGGGTCTAGAAGAATTGTCTTCTGAAGTCTTGATAATGCTGTGGCGTTTCCCGTAGTGTGTCCGTGACTGCGCTCTCGGACCACCTTTCCATCATCAGAGAGCGAGGAAGAAAGCTGAATACATCGGCCAGGACTTCCGGGTAGATATCGCACTCAGTTCGCGCTGACCGAAGATTACCAGAAGTCAATGCGAGAAAGCGCGGCATTTCTAGTCGCGGTGTTCTGCGATTATTCGCGGGCAGGCTCGACTTTAGGACTTTAGGACCGCGCGCATAGCTGAAGATGCCGACCCTCGAGGTGAACGACTTCAACATTGTACTATCCTTCCTTGGTGGATGGATCTCGCTGTTCGGTCTGGTCTCGTACCCATGCAAAGAGCATTTTTACTTATCCGAAGCACGTGAGTCGCGTCCGTTACATTTCGTCGCGACGTGATTCTTGCCAATTCCGCTGATGCGCCTCCCCTCCCTTTGCTTTCTGCGCCTCAGAGAAATGAGGCACTGAATTTGGCTGGGCTCGATTAAACTTGCCCCCCATAACACAGCGAGCACGTGCGGTGTCTAGATGTGCCGGTAGCCCGGATCCTGGGTCAATTCAGATAGTCAATGACAGCACTAGACCGGTCCCATAACCAGGTGTATGGCTCCAAGGCGGACAGAGGTACTCCAAGCCCTGGCTTCCGGTTGCAGGGTAACTAACCTGTAGTGTCTTTTTTTAACACCAGTAAATGTATTGATACTATCTACTATAATTAACTTTCCGTGCTCTGTGTTAATGTTCACACGGTGCTTATGTTGAGGGAAGATACTGGAACCTCCAGCCCCCATTACATGCCCTGAGAGGTTGTCCTTGTAATACCACAAGCCACTTTTACACACAAGCCCTAGTGACAATTGATAACCCAACGTCTATATCCACCTGACCAGAAGTGAAAGACATAATGCTTGAGGATCCTCATGCTTCCCGTTAATATAGTATGTGGTTTCGCTTCTATTCCGTATACGTCCAAGGACATATATGGCGCCTTCATATGGTAGTAAGCACTCAAGACCTAGCGCTTGGAAAGAATACGATGCTGATAACGATAGTTATAATACGATAGGTGCTACGATAGTATACCGGGTAGTTAAAAGCGGCCCAGCTCCATGAACCTACCCTGTGCTACTAGCCTACTGGTTATTATTAATTACACCGGGAAACATGTCTAAGGCTAAAGATATAAGCCGCGTGGCTCCCTATGCCGCAGCTCAAACCTTTCCAGCCGTCATCCTTGCTCGACTCTAGGGAACAGTTCATCATACTCTACCAGCTAATATCTATAGGTACTTATACTCCCCTTACCCCACCTCGCCTCTATCTGCTTACATCTTAGTTTAAATTTATTATAATAGTTATTAATTTAGTTAGTGTTGAGCACTTACCACCGTATAAAGGCGCCATGTATATCCTCGGATGTATACGGAATAGAAGCGAAACCACATATGCCATCCATAAGAAGATCCCCCAGACCGAACACGCTCGTCAGGCCCAATTGGAGTGTCTGCTGTCTTCTACTTATACATCACTCATGGATTTCTGCCGACACTGAAAAACGGTAATGGGGGCTGAGGCCTGATGGTAAGTGACAGTTCTGCCCATCACCCGCATAGTTACAGCCCATGGCTCCTGAGGTCAGGAACCCAAGGCTGCCCGATAATACTTTCTTTCTAGCCTCTCTTCCAGCGACAGAAATGTTTGACCGTGGACCTCTTAGTGGACGACTTGCCGGAGGCTGTACTTGTGGTTGTTTGGTTCCCATGGATCTGCTCTGTGGCAAGCCCAACAGCCCCCACCCAGCTTGTGGTACGACCAGGACCTAATAGCAAGCACAAATGGGCAGTCTATGGTCTGATCATACCCCTAGCTAGGCGAGCTTGGGTATTATCTTCCAAGGACCATTTCCCGGAATACGACCGAAAACACCGACGGCGCCGTACCCTCGGATATCAGGAGCCTGCTGGACAACATCTCTCTGCGCTTGACAACCTTCTCTACATCACATAGCGATCCTCTGAGTGTATCCTCTGAGTGGTGATCGACGGGCCTCGTCTGAGCCGGGCCACCGAGGGGCGTCTCGTGTTAGCCCCGCCAGAGCTGTTTGGCGCATCGGTGGGACGGTCATCCCAACGGAAGCCCTTCCGGTGCGGCAGGATCAGCAAATACAATCTCCTCCAGAACGCCCCGGGTCAACAGTCACCTCATGCGACCAGCCCAATGGCGAGAGAGGAGCGATCAGGCCGCATGTCCCTCAGCATGAGGCTGACAATGTTACTGGCACGCCGCCGCCACCCGCCTCTCGGCCCGTTCCAGGACCAGTGAGCCGCACGATACGATTTACTGATGAGACTTGACTGTGTGCATTGAAGAACGAGTCGACCGCCCTGGTCCACCGGATCAGGATTCCTGCGTCGATCCCGACTTGATGGGCAATCTGGACAGGCCGATATGTATCGCTGCCGCGGACTACGTTTCCCGGGACTGGCATCTGGTAGCCGCTTGACGAGACGACATTCAAAGACAGGAGGCCTGCTCGGCCTGCTCTGGGCAGCGCGGAGGGGGTCGCTTAGCAGCCCTAAATCTAAGCACAGGAAGTAGCTGCCGGCAGAGAATTGACGTATTGGAGATCAATACATGAGAAACTAACGCCAAGGGGCATCATGGTTCAGTTCCCAAGGCGGATGGGGAAGGGCTGCAGATGCAGTAGTACGATAGAGCCACAATGGTCCCCAGCTTGGTCATGGCTCATCATGGCTAATCATGTACAGATGTATATGCGCAAGCTCCAGCCGAGCTCTCAAAAACCAGGCTCCTAGTTATTTTCGTCGTTGTCCAGGTGTTGGTTGCAGAAGGGCAGACTAGGCCCGGTCGCGTCCGGTGACTTGGAGCGCAAGAGCTAATAGTTAGCCGTTCTAAAGTTCGCGTCAACGTGCATGCAGGTCGGGCAGGCTGGCAGGTCAGGACACTTGCTGTGGCTGTTTCCCCCGCTAGGATGCCCTTGGGTGCGGAACGCGTGGGACACAGAGGAGGTGGCGATCATGAGAGTTACTCCGTACTGTGTTGAGTCGGTAGTCACCTTGTCACCGGACACGCCGTCGTCGTCATGGCTGGGCAAACACGCCCATGGAGCAAAACACGGCCCCTCCCCGGCTACTAGGCAGCTCAGTTGCTGGGTCGAAAGGGGTCTAGGGCAGAACCACGACGTGAGGTGCTGTCATGGCCATTGACAGTTCGCAAAACAATGCCCAGTTGGTTGGCGAGCGGGAGTTTGGTCGTAGAATTAACTCCCGGATGGTTCAGTTAGTGCCAGACCGGAACGCACGGCCCTGCATTATCAAGGCGGGGGAGCATCACGTCTGCACACCAGCAGAGGCTTTGGGCGAGAGTTCGGCCGGCGAATCATCGCAAGGTGTTGGGGATGGATGGGCTGGGCTGGATTGGACTGTGGTGCACAGGGGGCCGATTTGACAAGAGGAGGAGCAGGGGGGGGCTGCAAGCTGGATGAGGGGGATACGAGCCTCGTCGTCCTCGTCCTCGTCCTCGTCCTCGTCCGCTCCCTTCTGCCTGAGACTACCTGGGTACGTACATACCTAGGTACATACATACGGAGGAAAGCCTAGAGGCCACAGCCACAGCTGCAGCAGCGATGTCGGCAGGTCGGTCAGTCTGATAATGCACACGAGGCTGCTGTGTAACCGTGGCCGGGAGCGACGGTGACATCAAATCTCGTCGACCGGCAATGCTCCTGCCAGGTCCTGCCCGTGTAGCAACACAACGCCATCGTTCACCAGGCAGGCAAACGACATGTACCACAGTATTGACGGAGGCCAGCTAGGAGGCCGGTAGGCCGTTGCAAGGCGCTGCGAAGAGTTGTACCGCATATGTCGGATGCATATGTCGGATGCATGGCCCCCAGCCTGCCACCTGGGACGGACGGCTGTGAGCAATGGTAAGTACAATGTACGGAGTACTGTTGATGTAGCTTTGGGGACAGCAAGGTTTGTTGGCGTGCGTTGTAATATAACACAGTACCTGCATGTAATCACTAATGCTACGGTCAGGACGTTGTGAGCGCAACAACGTTTTGCAGCTCTGGGCAGGCAAGGGCCGACAAGACAGCCCTCCCGGTACCGGCGGGATGAGAGGAGAGAGAGAGAGAGAGACAAAAGGGAAAAAGCAGAGAACTGTCTTGGAGACAACGGTTGCAAAAAGGGAGACAGCAGACATGGCCCGGACGGAAGATGCCATTCTGGCCGCCCCATGGGGAATGCAGGTATAAGAAATCAAAGATATCCATCGGCAAAAGGGTTTCAGAAGTCGGAACCCCTGGCACGCCAGGGTCCTGGAGCAGCAAATCTGGCATGTCTGGCCGGGGCATCTAGGTAATTCCTCAGATCAGACGGGCAGAACGGGCGGATAGGACGGCCAGGGCAGGCTCGGGTTGGACAGAAGGTGTGGGGGGCCTGTCCAGTCATCTGTACGGAGTAGACTAACTAACCATCGTGGAGACGGGATCGCAGTAGCCATTTTTTTTTCTTTCTCTTTCTTGTCGTGACGCTAGCACATTGGCCAACTCCACTCTTGACTTGTTCATGTTCTATGTTCCAAGACCTGTGTGTGCATCTTGTCTTGCCTGGCTGCCTGGATCCCCATCCGTCATCTCATCCCCAGGCAGAGGCCACACAGTCCCCCCTGAATGGCCGGAAAGAGATAACGGTGCATACTGTGTGTGTATGTGTGTGTATGTGTCGGCAGGTATGGTCTATACTAAGATACCGTACCGTAGATATGGGCCTGGCACTCGGTCGCTCGCTCCCTTGTCCCTGCCGAACATTGCCATCCCAAGGGTTGGAAATGGAACACCCAACTTGCTTGTTTTAAATGACGCTCTGTCGGATTGAGTAGATGCCCACCAGCAAGTGCAGGCGAGAGGAGCAGGTACTGTAGATACAAGGTTGATGGTCTGTCTACACTGTCCAAGTATCTATCGGGTCTGCTGTGAGGTTCATCTACATTCAGGGCAGCACAGCCAGAACACCTAGGTCATGTATACATAGTAGCTACCCGTGCCTGTTCGCAACGCGCGCTAGACGGGATCTGGCTTGGGGTGGGTGGTTAGCATTACAGCCACGCTCCTGCTGCACACGCTACAGCGCTGCAACCTGCGAGGGTCCACTGCCCACTGCCCAGGGCCCAGAGCCCACCTGGTCCAGATCTAAGGTCCCCTGTCCCCAGTTATTTACCGCCTCCCCGAGCATTCCCAACCTGCCAGACAGCACAGTCATCCACACAGCGCTGGTGCTGCGTCCCCAAGTCCCCACTAGCAGCCTGCCCTGGTGCCCTGCTTGCGTGCTGTTCGCGCTGGGGCACTTTGGCCCTCGTCGGTGCTGCTGCTGCTTGCTGCGTGTGCTGCGTGTGCTGCGTGGGCGTGTGCGGGCCTGCCCTCCAACCCAGGAAATCTCGTCCGCCTCGCTCTGCCCTGTCATCCATTCTTATTCCCAAAAACGCCACTCGACTCTTCCCACATCGCTATCCTATACCACCATACCCCGTCCCCTCCCCACGGCTGCCCTCCCACAGACCACGCCGACGCCAAACGGCAGCGACGGCAGCCACCGCACTCAATCCGACGCCCAATTGATTGAGCAACAATCAAGTCGCGCATATTGCGGCCAGCCCCAACACCTAGCAACGCAACGCAGAGCAACGCAACGCAACGCAACGCAACGCAACGCGCTGAGTCGGGATCCAGGTCGGGCACAGTCCGACCGACGACGCCCTGCACCGCATTTCTCGCTGGTCATGCCGCCCACCAGTCCCAACGACGGTGTCTCCATGTCCGAGCTCAGCTTCATCAATTACGACGCCTACTCTGAACTCGACCCTGACCTCAGCCTCGACGGGTCTGCCGATTTCCTCGACCTGATCCATTCCAACCCGGATCTCTCCCAGCCAAAGGCCCAACCCGGCCTGCAGTCCACTCCCGCTCACCTCACCTCCGCACCCTCGCCCACCGCCTCCGACCAAGACTCCGCATCCGACTCATCCACCACACACAGGACGGACAGCTCCACCCTGTCGGCCGCAGCCATGAACGGCGGCGATGTCGACATGGCCGGTATGTGGGATCAGCTCGACTCACAGCCGAGGCTGGACTGGGAGGACCACGGCGACTTCGTCGACATCGACAACATGCCCTCCATCTTTGACAATGCCAACGGCACCATCAACCCTGCCGCTCTTGACCAGTCCCCATACGGCGAGCACATCGACATCGGCGACACACAGTTTGCCCCCAGGCACGACTCCTCCAGCCCCTCAGACAGCAGCCAGAGCCCCATGGCTGCCAACGCCTCGGACGAGTCTCCTCCGGAGGATGCCGACAACCACAACGTCTTCTCTTTCAAAGGCTCGCCGCAATCCGCACAATCTCCATACTCGTACCGCAACAAGCGTCACTCTGTAAGTCCCGAGACCTGTCCCATTATTGTCTTGGCTCGCCTTCTCATGTTTTGGAGCAGAACTACTCTCTCAGCAAGTCCATGAACGGCCTGCGCACCGGCGGCTCCAGGGAAGTGTCGCCAGCCTCACATATGGTATTCAGCCAAGGCTCATCGCCGTCTGCCGTCGCGAACTTTGCTCCTGTTGAAAATGAAATGTCCGACTACAGCGGCCTTCAGCCGGGCAACACGTGGTTCGGTACGAACTCGCTATCACCAAACAACACGGCCACCGGGCAGATGGATTTCTCAGCGGCAGCACCAGGCGCCGGTAACATGGGCTTCCCGATGATGCAGCAGCCTTCCTATGCACCTTCAAGGCCTCAGTTGACAATCCACTCGATCCCTCCCAAATCTCGCGTGGAGACCCAGATCCCTATCAAGATGACTCTGTACCCTGTTCCAGCGGGCGTGAAGAAGATCCATCTTCCGCCGCATACCATATCGAAGCCGAAGCTGCTGGCGAAACCCAGGCCCGCACCTGCACCGGACACGCTCGAGCTCTTTACTCAGCTCGTCTGCACCAGTGCCATGGCCAAACCGGGGCTGAAGGACAGGGCCCTAGCTCGTGCTGCGGTTTCCGGCCATCCTGCGGAAGTGAGGGCAGAGCCGGATGGTGATGACAAGCCTGAAAATGGCGGCGAAGTGCACATTTGCGCTGGCTGCGTCACACGAGAGCACAAGCGTGCCAACCGCAAGAAAGTCAAGAAGCCAGAAGAGGAGGAGAACTGGAAGAAGGATGAGACCAAGAGAGTCATTGTCTTCAACACCCAGGAGGTCAAGGACTGGCAACAGCCACCGCCCGAGGAGATCAGGCCATCCGGGACCATGCAAATCGAGGCGCCGATGCGGATTGCTTGCTACTGTCGCCATCACCACGAGAAACTCGGGTTCCAGGTCATTTTTACCCTCAAGGATCACCTCGGCCAGGTCGTCACCCAGGGGTTGTCCCCATCGATAATGATCACAGACGATCATAAAACACAACCGCCCCCGAACCCTATCAACTCGATCGTCGCGACCGATGCCGATCCGTCATCTGCCGCAGCGGCTCCCACAGCATCAAGCGGCATCAACGACATGAATGCCATCCAGCCCGGGCACCCATTCCGCCAGTCGCAGTCAACTTCCGATATACAGGCCTTGAAGCGCAGTGCGAATGCTCTGCAACCCCCACCGATGCACTCTGGCACCTCTTCTCAGCGAACCTCTGCCGTGCCGACCCCGCGAGTCCTCTCCAGACCGCCTTCGCCCAGTTCAATGGGCCCATCCGCGAAGAAGAGAAAATCAAGCGGCGCAAAGCTGCCAACGACCTTGCACATGACCCGGCTCGAGACGGCGAATTTTGCACCGCAACCACCAAGCAGTCTGCAGAACGGGCAGCCAGGACCTTCGTCCTCAACCTCTCCTTTTACGCCACCAAGCACGATATCCTATTCCGACAATGGCGGCGACGGCAGCTTCATCCCGGGCGCGACGGCTGCGAACCCGCCATTCCCGGTGGGACCGCCCACACCGAACAGCAATGAACAGGTCATCTTTCCAGATGCCAATGGCTCCTCGGCTCCTGACAGCATGACAGCCACGCCAATGTTCTCTGCTCCTCCTTCGGCACATACCAGCAGACCGCCGAGCCCCAGCGGGCTGAGGAACGGTGCGCTGCAACAGCCTCAGCTCAGCCAGGTCGGTCAAATGCTGGCCCACGGCATTCCCGTTCCTACCCCGTTCCCGAACACCAATCAGCTGAGGCAGCCGATGCCTTTGTCAGTTATCCACAAGGTCATTCCCAACGAAGGTCCGATGACGGGCGGAATCGAGGTTACCATACTCGGCTCGGGTTTCTACCAAGGGCTTGACGTCATGTTCGGGGACACGAAGGCTACTACCACTACGTTCTGGGGCGAGCAGGCTCTTCACTGTCTCCTGCCGCCCTACCATGTGGCCGGAACAGTCCCTGTTAGCCTCAGGGGGCCCAATGGCCAACCTCAGCTCCTACCGTCCCTGCAAAACAGACCGCAGGCCACCTTCACCTACAAGGATGACAGTGAAAACCACCTGCTTCGCCTTGCTCTGAATGTGCTTTCAAACAAGCTGACAGGAAACACCAATGAACTACGTGGCTTTGTCAGTCGGATCATTGACAACTCAGCAAACTCGGGTGGATCTTTGAACGGCAACTCCTTCAGTGGTGGGCCGTCGGGCTACAACATGAACCTGGAGACAAAACTGCTGCACGTTCTCGATCTGTTGGACATGGATGACAGCACTAACAAGGCGCGCCTTAACCTCCGACGGAAGACGGGACACACGATGCTGCATCTGTCATGCGTCCTTGGGCTCCACCGTTTCACCGCAGGTCTACTGGTCAGAGGCGCCAACCCCAACATACAGGACGCTGGAGGCTACACCCCATTGCACTATGCCGCAATGCACAACCACCCCGAGCTGGTCAGGCGGCTCATTCAGCATAAGGCGGACCCCGCGCTCAAGACGCGACAGAATCTACTTGCTTCAGATGTCGCCACGACACGCGACGTCATCCGCGCCATCAAGCGTGCAGGAAGAAGAGGCAGCACGATACACAGCCGCGCCAACAGTGCCACATCACTTCGCTCGTTCTGGGAACCACCGCGGCAATATCCTCCGTCCGACGAATTCTCCAGCAGTGAGCTGTCTGAAACGGACGACGAGGCAGCCTTCAGCTCCGATGACGACTACGAGGAAGACACGTGGCTGCAGATGAAGCGCAGATCCTCGAGAAGCAACGCGGGGCCGAGCTCGAGGCCTTCGCTTATCGACATACCAACTGCTCCCGAGCAGGGGGGCTTGGCCTCCCCGGCGGTTGCCATGGCGGCCTTCAGGGACCAACTCCAACAGTTCCAGCAGTCCATGACGACTCATTTCCACAATCTCCCACACCTGCCACAAATGCCTAATATGATGGCGATGCCCGATTATCAAGCGTACAGGCAACGCATGGCAGCACTTCTTCCGAACATTGTAGGGCCGCGACCTGTTGCTCCAGGGGAGGAGAATCGATGGTGGGACTTGTCTTCCCTAATGCCGTCCTCGGTACTACCACCTGCATATGACGAGATCTTCCCTGGCGGCCAGCAAGACCGGAAGGTCTCGCCAGAGGCATTGGACAGAAAACAAGAATCTGCTGCGCGGGCTGCAGCCGACTACGACGCAGACAGGAAGTGCGCAGTGCTATACGACCTGCCAGAGGCATCGACAGTGCAACAGCAGGCGGGTGATATACACGTGGAGGACACGCGGGTAGCAAGACAGTTGCCGAAACTGTTACAAATTGGCCGCAAGAACAACATAACGAAGGAACAACAAGACAACCTCCGCCAGGCACATGCGCAAAACATGAAGAAGTTGAGCAGAGACCGGAACCTATTCTTCGTTTGGATTCCGCTACTGCTGGTCATTTCCTGTGCGATGCTTTACAGTCACTTCCCTGGCATCTTTACCACCGCCTGGAGCTTCTTCTCTTCGGCAGAGAAGCCCCAGTCCGTACCAAGGGCTCGTGGCGTCGTTCTTGGAGAAGTTTAGCTATTGCTCTGGGCTGAACCGAGCAGACGTGCTGGGTGAGCATTGCAAAGCAAGTGGTGTCTCTCCCTCTTGGTATTGAGTGAATTGATGTGCTTTCTTTTTCTCGGATAGTATGGACTGACATGGAGAACTTTTGGTTGGAATTGGGACCGGTAACTCAGTCGGTTTTGGTTTGGGATGGCGTGTTTCTGTAGGGCATGTGGTTTCCGCAATTGCACAGCTTGAAACTGCCTGGCGCCCACCTTGTTACTCACTCACATATTTGGGGCACACAAGCGTGTGTATGGTTTATATAGACATTCTAATGGACCGAAGTGCCTTATTGCGAGTGCTTTGCGCTCGAGAAACTATCTAATCGTTCCGCCGTGTTGGATGTATGGTAGATTGTTTCAAGATAGCATGTGTATATATTGATCCGTCTGGAATCTCAGGCCAGCAGACTTCCCATCCAGCCAATTGTCGTTTGTCCTCCATGGACGTGCTTGTTCGCCGGTGAGTGAAATCGACTCGTTCTTGCAGCACGTTTCAGACATTATCAAAAATATCTACTTTGATCGCACATGAACAAACAGCGACCTCTGCCAGCATCTGTCCTCATGAACAGACAATATTGAAGTTCAGGCAACAGGAAAGCACGATATAGTAACCAGGCCAAGTGCTGCCGACATGAGTAAGTTTTGGGCATGGTTTATGGGTATGGTTTGATATGTTTCTATTGGCAAAGTCATATATCTATACATCATCATAGTCGTCTACATTCGTCAAAGAGAAGAAGCAAGGAGGAAAAGAAAGAGAAGCCCGGGGCCATCCCAGGCCTCTTTCTGAAGACGACAGGCCCGAAATAGTCGGCCAGTCAGCCTTCTCTAGCCTCGTTCCTGGTCAACTCCTCTCATGCCGTCAAACACCTCGGATCCAAACCGAGTCGCACAAAGCCAGACATGCGTTCAGGGTATTTCTGTCTCCATACCGGCGGAGAAGGGAATGGGCCCCTCCTCTCCGCCACCGGGCCTGCGGAAAACACTGCAGAAGGACGCGGCATCAAAACCAGAAGATCTATCCAAGCACCGCAAATTCCAGCCCGGAGCTTCCCAACGACGGGTGCGCCAAACGAGAAGTTACGCATAGGGTTAGGCATTCAGGCCGCCGTTTCCAGGTTCCCGCCCGACGTCTTCACGATACCGCCTGCGGGCTGTGCCACGCACCCGCCTGGGTCCCACCACTAGGACCGCCGCCGCCGCCGCCAGCGTCAGCGTCAACGTCAATGTCATCATCCACATTCTCAACCCTCTCCCTGGCGACGATCTTAACGTCTCTGAACTCGCCGGGGATGTTGGGCACGCTGGGGATGCCCCGGTTGGCGTCTGGGATGACCGTGAGCGGGTTCCCCGGGCGGACGCGATTCGGGAAGTGGAAGGACGGGATGACGAACTCGACGGGCTCGACGTCCATCCTATCATCTGCGCCCGCCACCTCGGCGCTGCGGCGAGGCTCGAACGAGGCGGCCGCGCTGCTCGTAGTGAAGCTGAACGAGCTCTCGGTGCTGTGTGCGGTACCGGGGCGCGACTGCGATTGTTGTGGCTGAACTTGGTGCTGCGGTTGGGATTGCGACTGCATCATCATCACCGATAGCTCCGACCGCCTGGGTCTGCTCCGGCTCCGGCTCTTGCTCCTGTCCGAGTGCCGCGTGCTCTGCCAATCCATCGTCATGGCCACGTCGCCATCGCCTGGCGGCAAGAGGAAGGACGATAGGCCCTGATTGTGAGGCGGTGTGGGGAATGACCTGTTGCTGGCTTCCTGCCGACGCAGGCGGCGGCCGCGGATGTCCTTCTTCTTGAGCTTGTTCCGCTCTGGGCTCTCGGGGGCGTCCATGATCACCGACAGGGACGGTGGTATGAAGCGTTCGTTTTGGAAAGACGGCGCGGCGGGCGCTTCGACGGCGTTGTCCGTGTTGTCTCCATTTGCGGTGAAATCTCCGTGCCTGTCGTCATCCTTGTTGTCCGGGGCTGATCGTCCTAGACGCCAGCTGAAAGATCGGCGGATTGATGATGACATAGATTTGCGTGGAAGCGAGGACGATGAGTCTGTAATCTCAACGTCGCCGTCGACTGCGTCGAAATTCGACGAGGCTGGCCGCGAGATGGTCTTACCGAGGTCCATTGAAATCCGACTGGCAGACTTGCGCAACTTCTTGACCAGCTTGCGCGCGCCGCTCTCGTGACCGCCGTCGTCCGAGGCAGTGACCATGGACCCACTCCCGTCACCGTTGATGATGTCGTAAGACGGCCTGTCGAGTGACATTTCGGAGTCGTTTGTGGCCGTGAAAGGCCGCTTGATGCCACGACTGGAGTCGTTGCCCCGCCGGAAGTCAAAGCTCCTGCGTCCAGAGTCTAACGAGAACCTAGCAAGTGACACTGGCGGGGGCCGGAAGGGACGAGACACGGAAGGCTCGTTGGCGGCACGTATGGAGTCGTACGGCACTGACGAGAAAGATAGGGAGGGCTTATGGCCCGGCCTCCGCTGCTTCGGCGGCGATGGAGGTGGGGGCATATCCCGCGATGCTTGCTGCTGGTCCCTGGGGCCGGCCTGGAACATGACGGGCGGGCTCGACAGTACACTTGCAGACAAGGAAGGCGTTGTCGAGGAGTCCATTGACTCGACAGGAGGAGGTGGTGGCGCTGCCCGGTTTGGCGGCGGCGGCGGAGGTTGTCGTTCGGGCGGAGGGAGTGCGGATGCGGCCTGGTGGTGTTCTGGTTGGTCGCCCTCGGCGTCAGGCGGCGTGAAAGAGTCGCCAGTGGGCATGCCCGAGGGATTCTGCACCTGACCAGGCCGTGCGAACCTCGTGGACTGGATGGTACGGTTGCCGAAGAAGCCACTCGCTAAGAGACTCTGGTAGTTTGCAGCAATCTCGTCGGGAGTTGGTCGCTTGGTGGGATCGAAGGCGGGCGGGCTGGGCAGAGGCATGCTGACTCCAGGAATGGCGGCGGCGCTAGGAAACTTCTTCAGCCTTGTGCCGTCGCCGCTGGCAGTGGGCGAGTCTGGGTCGGCATGGCGCGGAGGCCTGGCAACATTGACGCTTTCGGACCTCTGATGCTTGAAGGTGGGTGGTATGAAGTGGCCGTGGCCAGTGCTGTCCCCATCACGGTCGTGAACGTTGTTGGATGACTTGGATCGATTCAGGCTCAGCCTCTCCTTGACCCCGCCCCATAACGGTGCGAAAAAGGAGGGGCCATTCTGCCTGCGGGTGGTGGTGGCCGAGGACAGGGCCGAGTTGACGCTCATGAAGCTGTTGCGGGTGCCCTGGTGGCGGAGGCCCAGGTCCGGAGGCTGCCAGTCCAGGGCAAACTGGCGCTCATACTCGGCGGTGGCATCGGCATCGAGGCCGAGGAAATCGGGTGGCGGGGCATTGCTGGCACGGTCGTTCATGGAGCCCTCCAGGAAGCGGCTCTGTGGGGTGGGCGCCATCCTGACGGCCGTGGTGAGATTGACGCGTATGGGGCTGGTTGTGTGGGCGGCATGGGCAGAAAGGTCTGGAGACTTGTCGGGCAGGACTCGTCGGGCAGGACTCGTCGGGCAGGACTTGTCGTGTCGTCGAGCAGGAAGGATGCTTTCCACTGCACAAGGTTGGTCAATGGACCGAACCAAGGTGGCTGGGCCGCGCTTGTGCTTGTGTTTGTTTACTTTTTCCCCCAGAGGCGACTAGAGGCGATGGGTTCCAAGTCGGCATTGAATGAGCTTCCAGTGTGTGCTTTGATCCGCCCCGCCAAATTGGCCAGCGCGTGATGGGCAAGGACAAGCACCGGCAGGCTGGTGTCAGGCTGTCTTGTCAGGTGTCGTGTCGTGTCGCGACTGCCGGCAGACATTCTCGGGGTGGTAGAGAGTCACGAAGGATCCGGGCCTGCTGGAATTCCAGAGGCCAATCATTCAACACACTACAGCACCCCACTAGGCTGCCATCCAGGTACAAGCGCAGGAAGCTGTGGAGGCTTGTTGGCGGGGCAGCAGGGTCGGTCAGCCAATGGAATGTGAGCTTTCTCCTCGCGACAGGGCCCCCATAAAACACAAGCACGCGCCCAGCTTAGTACTAGTACAGCAATGTGTGGAACACAAACAACCGCGACTAACACACTGACACACTGACACACTGGATTGAAACTTTTATTCAGCCCTGCAGCAACCAAAATCTAGGGCCACAGAGACCAGCGCTGGCCCACTGGATTCCCGTACTAGTAGGATGTCTTGCTGAACTATACAGTTGAGTCTCTCTGTTACAGGGACATGTGCTGCGGCGCGTGCTGCCACTGCCGTGCCGTGCCGTGCCAACTGACTGTCTCCTGTTTCCAAAACTAGCCAGAAAAAAAGGATACAAAGTAAAACGCCGAGGCCCAGCATGATTCTGATATCTTTCCCGGATCCCGAGACGCCTAGACAGACCACAACCCAACAGACAAAAGAGAGACACAGGGACAACCTGCTCAGGAGTTTGCACTCCTCCAAAACCACACACCACACCATTGAAAACAAAGATTAAGGGGCCAAGTCCTCAAAAACAAAAGCAAGTGGGAGAGGCCAGGCCCAGCGCTACGGTCAATTAATCCCTGACTGGGGCGAAAAGGGCGTCGACCGTTGTTCCGCTCGCACGGTCGTAGCTGGCCTCACTGAAGTTGTAATGGTGAGCCCCGTTCTCCCACCGGCTGTACTGGGGGCGCCCGTAGTCTGCAGTCGGGAAAGCATCCGCGTGCCGCCGCTTGTTGTGCGACAATGACGGTTCCGCCACCAGCGGTGGTCCACTGTACGGTCCTGCAGGTGCCGGGGGCGACGCGTACTCGACCTTGTGGTACGGAGAGTGGCGTGACTCCATCTTGTATGGCGCCAGTTGGTGCTCCGCCGTGGAGGGTGATGACAGATCCTTGTGTGCCTGGTACGGCTGAGTGCGAGGCGGCATCGGCGCGAGGGGCATTGCGCTGGAGGAGTACTTGCGCTGTGGCGCAACACCGTTTGCAAACTCCGAGATGGGCGGGAGGACAGTGTCCCTGCGCCGTTGTGTCTCCACGTCCGGCTCGAGCCTCGGGGCCAGTGTGGGTGGCGGCGGGTTCGCAGCCGGTTGTGGTCGCTGGTACGTCGCATCTCTTTGGACAGGGGCGGTCTGAGGCGTGTAAGCATGCGTGGGCGACAGCTCCGGCTTGTAAGAGTACGACGACCTGTGGCCGTAGTGCGGTCCGTTTGGCGGGTATGACGGCGAGCTTGGAACCGACTGCGGGTGAGCGTATGGCCCGGGTTGACCACCAAAGTTGAGATGCCTGTTTGCGGAGGGCTCAGATGCGGGGAATGGTGGCCTCGGAGGGGCGAAGTCCATCCCCGACTGGCGTCGGTGTAGGTCCTGGGGATATGGTGCGCGCTCCAGGCTCGCATTGCTGGAAGAGCGGCCGCGGGTAGTCGGGGTCCTCTCCGGGGGCGGCGGCACGGCGGTAGCAACCGCTGCCGCACGAGTGTACTCGTCGTCCCGAGCACTGGTATCCTTGCCCTTGCCCTTCTCCCTGCGTCTCATTCGAACATCGCGGCGGATGCGGACCCGGCAGCCTTGCTCGGCGACAGTGCGGCTCAGCTGTGTGCTCTCCTGAAGGCCTGGGAACTTCTTGGCGCTGTACACATCGAACTCGTCCGTATGAACCGTCGTTCGGAAGTTCCAGCAGCGTGCCTCCTGGCCGGGACCAGTATCGGGACCAACGATCTCGTCGGTGCCAGACATGTGCTCGTCGGCATCCTTGTCTCTGTCCTCCTTAACCTCCTCCATGAGGGAAAACGTCAGGTAGTACTTGCCCTCGTGGCGCACCGAAAGATCAGAAAAGATGAAATAGCCGGCCTCGGTTGGCCGGTCCAGCAGGATCATACTCGATACAGGCATGCCGGTGAGAACCGGGGGCGTGCCGGGTTGAGCGACTCGCCCGCTGCCCATGTCTGGGGCGTGGTGCAGATTGGCGTAGAGGAAGAAATCGGCATTGTAGGAGAAGGTGATGTCCTTGGCGTTCTCCCTGTGCGGGCCCTCGAATATCTTCATCTGCACCACAGGTGGTGGATCAACGGGTCGGCGATCGGCAGAAGCTGTGGTTGCCAGTCAGTCGGTGCTGCACGCGTGAAAGGGTGAAGGGTTTATTGGCTTGTCTCACACTTTGGGCCAGAGCCGCAGGCACGGGCCCGCTCCGGCTGCTGCAGGACCTGGAGGTCATAGTGAAGGCGACGACCATCGCGGGTGACTCTCGAGATGGTCATGATATCACCTTCCCTGGTGGGCGGCGCGGGTGGACCGAGGTTGACCACCATGTTTGCTGCTGCAGTCGTGCGTGTGCCGCACGCGAGTGGGAAATGGTGATACAGAACACCACACTGTGGCGGCGAATAGCACAATGTGAGAAAAACGTTGCACTGGTGCGAACAGCAGCGTCAAATGGTCCCGGCTGCTGGTGAGAGGGTTAGCAATGCTGTTCCTGACTGCTGTGCGCGGGCGATGTCATGGCTCAAGCGCCTGCCAGAGTTGTCACGATCGCAGGGCAGCCGAGCGGACAGGGTGAATGAGAGAGTGGGAACAGAAGGGGGAGAGACGACAAGGAGAGGTGAAGGTTGAGAGGCCGGGGACGGCCGGCGGGAGTAATAAGCTTACTCGCTTTGGGTGTGTTCTGGCTCTCCTGGGCCTGTATTCCTGTTGTGGTGACTGGCCGGCGGGCAATGCAAAGCAGGCCAAGTCAAGGCAAGACCCGGCGAAGAAGAAAACAAGGAGGGAAAGGCCAGTGCCGCTGTGATTGGGACGAGTGGAATTGAGTTCGGTCAAAGCGATGAAAGTGACAAGGCCGACCAGCTGGCTGCCGACAGAGCCACAACAGCGTTTCAAGACCAAAGCGACCCGCTCTCGGTACAGCACCGCAGCAAACCGACCGACTCCCTGGCGTGTGTGGTTGAAAAACCAGCTGGAGGATGCAACGAGACGGCGTGAACGGGGTCGAGGGCGACGGAGAGGGAAGGTTGGGAGAGGGAGAGGGAGGGAGAAGGATGATGGGTGAGTGCGGGCAACGGTAGGAGGATGCAAGATTGGTGGAGGACGAGGGTGGTGGTGGGTTCATCAAGAGGAGCGGCGCAGGAAATCGGGCTGGGATCAGCCCAAGGCGCCATGTACCTGGGTAGGTATCCCTGGTATCTAGGCTAGCGCCTCGCAGCAGCTGAACGCTGTTGGCTGCTGGAGGGGACAAGTGGGGACATGGCCATGGCCATGGCCGTGGGGAAAGAGGTGGGAGGAAACGCTGGACTGGGACCGGTGGGTCAGGTAGTCAAGTCAGCCTGTCAGCCTGCGTAGGCACGCCTGGCACGTCGTGTGGTGAGCCCATCTGGAGTCCTGGGCTCATGGGCGCCTGGGAGTGGGACAGACACCTGGGACGGACACCTGGGACAGACACACAGGCTGGGACATTGGGGACCTCTCAGCTGGGCCAGTCCCAAGGTTGCGGAACCAATGGGCATCTCGAGGCCCAGCAGTGAGAACCCTGGAAGCGTGTGCTTCCATTCCCCGGTGGAGCGTGGTCATAGCGCTGGGTGGGCTCACCCAGCTTGGCACCCTGAGGTTCCTTTCCGCAGGCGGCGGCGCCGGCAGGTACATGCCAGGGACTCGGGACATAAATTGGGCAGGGGGACCCGCCTGGGGGGACGCCTGGGGCCTGCCAGCTTTGGGTAAGCTTCTGCAGGCCGGACGGGATTTGAACCTTCCAACCTCGGGATAGCGACCCACACCCCAGGTAGCCAACCAAGTGTCTGCTCCGTGCACGCACTGTGCCTGCCCCCCCGTCGAGTCACATTTGTTTTTCTGCCTGACAGCAGCAATCTGTCTGACAGTCCGTCCCTGCAACAGTCTTGTCGCCACCATGGTTCGAAAAGGCAATGTCAAAAAGAAGAAGGAAGGCATGTGTGTCCATAGATTACGGGGTACCAGGACGCGTCTGATATGACGGCAAAGCTTAAAGGGCCGGCCTCTGCAGAACATCAGAGGCCGTGCCCATACCAGAGCGTCGCACGGCCGCGGTTCACCTCTGCCGCAGCAGTGCCCCAGTTTCAGGCGAGCCACCACTTCGCCCGACCCGCGCTGCTCACTTGTGACACTTGCTCAGTGCCTTTTGGAATGGGACGGGCATGAGGAATGGCCCGAATGGGGTCCTCAAACCAGCGGCTCGGTAACCAGCACCAAACACATCCTTCCTTCGTCTTTTGGGTCCTCGGCACCGCCCCAAGGTGTCGAATCAAAGCTTCCTTCCCCTCGGTCCAGCTGTCAGATGCACGCACACCTCCGCTTGCCGTCACCGAGTGCTGACACGCTGACACGTCTGTTGGTTTGAGTGGGACCAGAGGTGCACGTCTACTAGTACTGCGTACACTACGGAGTACGGAGTACCTCGCATCCTCAAGCCATGTGGAATCGCCATGTTGTAGCTACACAGTACCACGTCCGCACTCGCTGGGTGCTGGGTGCTAAGCAGGGGGGCGCGGGGCCTGGCCAGGCCGGCCCAGGGGGACGAGAGGGACGAGAGGGACTGAGGGACTGAGGGAGCAGGACGTGCAGAATCCTCGAGCCGCCGAAGTTTATTTGCGACCGCGTAACCTTGGAGGGCTGGCCAGGGCCCAGAGGCTGGGACTTGGCTGGGCGCTTCGCTTCGCTTCTCATAGCATCGCATCGCGTCGCACCGCACACCACTGCATTTTGCCACAGTGCGCCCTGCCGTGACAGCGCCGCCGCGGTCTGGGCACGTGCACTGTGTGAGTACATTACATGAGACCGATTCCCGACATGATGGGCGACGCACCCTGACGTGCTCTGGGCACGGCACCGTCGATCACAGCACGTCAGGCCTTGCCCTGTCAGCCTGTCCTGCCTGCCCTGCCTGTCCTGTCCTGCCTTTCTGCCTGCTTGACAGCACAGCATACACCTGTCCACAGCCCGCTGCCCGCTGCCCGCTGCCCGCTTTGGTGCCTGTTTGCCCTTCTCGTCGAACCAGCTCGGCATCCTGACATCCTGACAGGTGAGACGAGGGTGTGGAGAGCTGTCTTCCGGGATGATGGGGCACTCTGGGTCTGCAGAGGCCGGCCCAGCCCGCCCTGGGTTGTTGATCGCCCTCTCTCCCGTGTCCCTGGGCTGCCCATGACGACTCACGAGTCTCTCCAGGCATGTGCCGCACACTGTGCGCATGTGCATGCTGTCGCACCGAGGCTTGGTCATTTCGGGGAATCGTGGAAGCACTGCTCAAACAGCTCCGACCTGACGCTGGCCTGCCTGCCTGCCCTAGGTAGCTGGTATGGGCTGCTGGGCTGCGAGGTCGCAGGTGCAGGTGCAAGGGTAGGTAGGGGATGCGCTACCGGTGGCATACTGTGTAATAATTTGCGAGGAGCCCGCCCTGACTGACGGGACGACTGACAGCTGATCCATGCCACACTATACATGTTAGTAGTAGTGGCTTGTGCTCCCCCGTGCAGAGGTGGACCAGCCAACTGATGAGCGGCACTTGTCACATTCTCACGCTCTTTGTCCCTAGCCCGGATTCTGACAAGCCCTTGATCCCATCACCCAAATGCCAGATCTCAATGTCTGGAATTCGGAGCATCTTCGTTCAACTGTGACCCAGTATGGTGGGATTGACTACCGCTTGGGCCCCAGATCAGGACACCATCTCCGCCCGCGCACCGCCGAAGGCATCCTTGCTTGGCCCCCCTAATAATACTTTCGTGCACCTATATTCCATTGTCCTCCGCCAGCCGCTCACCATCCAAGGCCAATCTGTCGGCCGAACGAGTTTCCAAAGCCGGCCATTCCTGATTCATGGAAGCTTATTCCAAGCTCTCTGCTGACTCTTGCCGAGCCGTCTGGCTGTTCGATGTCAGAGTTTGAGCATCAACCATCTTCAGTCCTCGGGAGAGGTGCTCAGGCCGACCTACCTCTTCGCGGGCTGTCCGCGCATCGGTCCGTCTCGCACAGGCGCCCTGTCAAAGCTCGGGCGTCAACCAACAGACACACAAAGCTTGCCCTCACCAATCCTGCCCCGCCCCGAGACACCTGGCCGGCAACCCTTGTAAGGTCCCAAGGCCACGGCTCTGGATGCTAGACGGCCATGGTGGCTCCCGGTTGTTGAACCAAGGACTGGCGGGGCGAATGCAGCGACGAAGCCCTCCTCGTGTTCAACGCAATTGCATCAGCAGTGGTCAAGATTGTGGCACCCCCTCTTCTGCAATGTCGGGTGAGAAGGTTGGCCTCGCACTGTCCAAGCTTCAGAGCATGTGCGACACTGTGTCTCATTCTGGCACCATTCATCCGCCAGAAGAGGTAGATGGGCTGAGGGGGAGGGTAGAACGGTGGTGTCTGGCCGGACAAATTCCACGGCCTGCACGCCCTCATTCCCCCCGCCGAGGCCGCAGGGCCGTTGGCCGGTAGGGTTGGGTGGCACTGCATCATTGTGTGGTATCAAAGTACAACGTCGGGGGTCACGCCGGTTACCTGGATATGGGACACCTCCCTCGCCCGAATCGGGCCAGCGCCCATTCCTAAACCCCTCAGCAAAGAAGCCCAGCCAGTGGCCATTGGTCTGGACGACTCAGTCAGACTCGCCGGTCTGCAGCCCATTGGTCACTGCGTGGCCCCCAAGTACCGTGCCGATGGCTCGGGCTCTTCGCGTAGCGAACAGGCGACTAATGAAGAAGGCCGGTGCCCGGCTGACCTGCATGAACACAGTCAGCCATCTGCACGGGAGCTGCGAGAGCTGACAGGTCGGTTGGCCGGTGATGGGAGCAGCTAGTAGGAAGAAGAAAAGAAGGTGGGGAGATAGTACTCCTTTTTCTCAATTTTTAGTATCCCCATTCTGCCACTCTCCCCAACACCTCGCGTCGTCATACCCTGAGCTTGCCGTCCAGTGACGATCTGTGGCTGTCTTCGGCTGTCTTGGGCCCTGCTGTGCGACTCATCCGATGAGGGCCACCAAGTGCCTAGGAAAAATTCGCACCATGGAACATGTCGAGCCCGTTGAGCCCTCCGCGATGGAACTATCATCCGAACAATCTCACGTCTCGTCCATCCGCTGCCCTGAACGTAGACCGGCAGAGAGCCGTACCTGGCCATTTCCCGCAGCTCACCCACCATGCACCTACTGTGTACCCATGACGCCAACCCGGGCCGGGGGAAATTATCCAACCCTCACGCCTTAGTCCAAGACGACAGGAGCGAGCAAGTCGGGAAATCCGTGGGCTTCCTCACATACCACCACTGCGCCCGTCAGACGTGCTGACGGATCTGGTCTGCTCGTCTCCCACTAGCTCATGAACCCCTCCTCTGCCCCCAGAACGGCACCGGCCGGTTGGTGGCGTCTCGTACCGCCAACTAGACCAGGAGGGCGCCAGGCTGTCCTGATCGAGAAGCGGTAGGCGAGACAAGATTCTGTCTTCTCCCGTGTTCACTGCCGTGCCTCCCAGAGTTCCTGCAGTTCGAATACCTTCAATGTCGAGGCTGCTGGACGGCTTTGATAGAAGGGTGCTTGAGATGACTTCTTACCGGTGCCCTTTTTCCTTGGTATGAATCTCACGGGAAACGACTTGCGCTCGGCGCTCACTAGCGTAATTGATGGTTGCTCGCTGAGGTAATAGTGATCGTCGCTCAAAATTGATGTTGAACGTTCCACTACGCATGTGCGCGGCTCAAGCATGACTTCCGCCTGGGCCAACCAGGGCTTTTCCTACCGTCTTATTTTGGTGTGTGGGCATTTCAGGCGACGACATTTCCTCTTTGCATATGGTCACGTACGCGACGAGCGCGAGCCAGTCACTATTTCCCGCTTTCGCACAAAGAACCAAGTCGAGACGGGGGGCACTGCGGTCCATCCTTCATTCTTTCTGAACGGCGCCCAATGATACCAGAGAGCCCCCCCTCCCCCCACAATGCGGGAAACTGCTCCAGGTGCACAGCTTCTTCGTGCTTTCTGGGGAAGACACTGGCGTGAGGAGGTCTTTAGCAGTGAAACGAAAGACGAGTTTTGCTCGAGCGTCACATGCGCTCGCTGTCAGGCCACAGCATCTCAGTAGCGTGCGCAAGCTACCTGGGCGGTGCTCACTAGCCAACCCCGTATGTGATAATGAATCATTTCCTGGACTATAAAACTCATAAGCTCTTCTTCATGACTCCTGCCTTTCAATTCCGTGCCCCTTAACCCAGTTGCTCTCATTATCCTCTCCTATCCCAATTTCCTATCCCTTATGAAGTACTCCTTTTCTTTGGACTCCCACGTTGAGTCAATAAGTGGGCATAGGGCACAGCGTTTGTCAGGTGCCTTTTCGCGGCCTCCATAGATCTCAACTTGCCTCGCCTTCAAACCTCCTGATGAGAGACTTTTCTGTATGGGGGAAATCTTCCACGCCATCTGGTGCCTCTAGGTTCTATCTCTATTGTAATAGACTCAATAGTAGAATAGCTCTTTTGTGATGACCTCAAGAACACGCTTCCTGAAAGAAGGACGTGCAAGAAGACTGAAGTGTGGTACGTGAATTAGGTAGGTGGCTTGGAACCAAGCTAAACTTTGAATGCTTAAGCGGGGCCTCTGAACCAGGGTTTTCGGTCACTTCGAGACTGTATTATGTGGTTCCCTGCCCACCTATGAAGTGATATTCAAAAGATACGATTCTATTCGACTTCGTTGACACTAATAATCTCATGTTTCACGAGCCAGCTAGTCGAAATGCTCGAAATACTCTCTTATCTTGCAGTCCCCAGTACCACTCCCATTACTATAACGTTACCGGTTTCGCTTCTACCCTAGGTATTCTGCATACGTCCGAAGGCATACATTAATCAGATGGTATCTGTCCAAATCCTCATCCAACCTGGACCGGACTCATGAGCAGATCACTCCTTGACCTCCTTAACATGATCCCCAGTCTGTTTGCTACCTGGTGTCTTTGGCTCATAATCTTCCTGGTAGGTCATGAAGACATCATCGTTCACATCGCGGTGCCTCCACCAGAAAATGACAGTTTGCACGGCCAGTGCGATGGCCGGTGCAGCCCAGGCCCAGATCAGCGTGGGGTCAGTGATGGCCGGGACTAGGATCTGTCCCAATGCGCTGCTCAAAGCCGTCATGAAAAGGAACAGAGCTACAACGCAAGCCCTCATGTTCTCCGGGGCTCCTAATATATGTTAGTCAGTCCCGACCGAGCCCGAGGCGATGCATTTTGGACATCGCCAAACCACGACATATCGGAGAGGCGAAAACGAGAGAACTTGTACTCACGGGCGTAGGCAAGCTCATATGACGTGACGTTAACGAATATCTCGGACATTGCGCCGAGCGCGACGTTGGGGATCTGCAGCCAGATGGAAATGGGCGCCACTTCGTCGCAGCTGCTGGCAAAGTAGCCGCTGTTCCAGAACATGAGGGTCAGTGTGTGAATCAACTACGTATGTAACTGGGTAGGCAGGGAGCCCGTCAGCCGGGGCTGCCAGAGGGTCGCTCACCATGGGCTGGTAGCATATATGCGATACTGGACGATGGCACCAATTATTCCAGATATGGTTGCCAGTGTGAAGCCAAACGTCATCCGGCTGATACGTCCGAACCGAATCTTTCGGCGCTCAAGGAACGGATACACAACGTGTGCCATAAAGGGGGAGAACACTATGATAACCAGTGGGTTAAAATGACCCAACAGATCATTCGGTGCGCCGTCAGAGATCATGCTGGCGCCTTGGTTGCTCTGAACAGCACCAACGCCGCCGTCGTTCAGGTACCAGATAGGAATGTACAGGAAGATCTGAACTGCCTGCCAGGTGCGGCTAGTATCATCAACGTCCTTCTCCGAATACTCGACGTGGACGTCCCTCTCGGCCAATGTCGAGGGCCTCACATTGTTCCAAAGGCTCTTGGAGAAAACGTTGAATTTGCTCGCCTTCAACGCCGAGATGGTGATTCTGATGAACCGGTTCAGATCGGACCCCTCAGGCTTCTTCCTGACCGTCCGCTTGTACATGGCTGCCAAGAGGAGGGGCAGGAGGAAATACACGATGCCCGGCACCATGAAGGCGAGCCAGAAGCTGTGATATTTCTCAATGTACACAACAGCGATGGAGAAGAAGGCACCCACGTTGATGAAGGCATAAAACACGAGCATTATATGACTGATAGTCGTCTCCGGGTCGACGAGCACCTTCTCTCCGGACTTGAGCACCTTGGTGTACTCACGTTGGTACTGATACTGGTCGACAACCAATGGGGCAACATTCGGCTTGAAAAGACCGGCACCGAACGCGAGGAGAATAAAGCTGACAAGAAAGGGCGCAACACCCCTCCCGGCCTGCAATAAAGCCGGCGCGGCGCCTCCAATCATGATAACATGGGCAACGCCGCCGATAAAGACACCCCACACGATGGCTTGGTAGCGACCGATCTTGGTATCAGCGATCCAAGCGCCGAATATGGGGATAACGAAGGCCAGGAAGGTGAACAAGAGGCCGAGGGCTGAAGCAGCCTGTATGCCCATGCCGAGGGCGCCAGCATGGCTGTTCGGCTTGCTTGGATCGATGGCGCCGGTGCCGGGCCCGCCTTCAGGGAGCGGGAACTGCATATAGTTGTTGAAAGCGGCCTTTACTCCGTAGTAGGATGCGCGCTCGGCCATCTCGACCACGCAGAGGAACCAAGAGGTCATGGGGATGGTGTCCCACACCTTGCGCAGTGTCTTGCGCTCCTCCTCCGTGGGTGGCGGGTACCTCTCGTCGTCGATAAGGGCATGGCTGTGGTCTCCTTCCTCGATCGAGGACAGGCCCTGAGAATTCATGCTCTGGACATGGTGCGTCTTCTCTGGGTCATGAAAGCCCTGGTCCGCGTCCGGCTCGACGACCTTCTGGACATTGAGGCCGACGACGTTCTCGGCTGTGGGAATTTCCCCTGGTCAGTCCATCGAGACACGCTGTAGTGAACAGCAGAACACATACCCATATTGGCAGCCTTATCTCTCCCAGTGCTCAAGTGGGCAAATGATGGAAGAAAAGGTTTCCTTCTGGACTGTCAGCAGATTTGCAGATCTGGCGGATGCAGCTCAGACGCAGAAGTGCGAAGAGAGGGGAGCGTGCTCGCCCTTTAACCAGGGGTGCAAACATGCAGAGACTCGTATCTGCTGCCGTTATTGTCTGTAGCGAAGCGGTCTTTGCCTCCGAGCAAATGCCCTGACTCCTGACAGCTGCTGCCCAGAGGGGAACCTTGACCCACGCTAACTCCCAAGCCGGTAAACGAGCTTGGCCATGCTTGTTGCGCCATTGTGACGCTGGGGGTTACCTTTTGCACGCGGATCAGAGTGGTGTGCAATGCCTCGGCGGATGGTGGCGGCTGCATGGCTGTATATTGCGTGCTCGCAAGGGTGATAGCACCCACGACAACGTCTGAGTCGACGTAGGCGCGCCAAGAGCATTTGCTACAAGAAAAGCTTCCTAGCCGTGGCTTAAAAGGGAGATTATAACAGCGAGGTGGGGCATGTTCGTTGTGCGTATCCACTTTGACGAATTATTTCCCCCATGTTATTACAGAAGCTTAGAATATTTTTGGATTGGATTTCGGCATCTTGCACGGCCGATACATATACAAATATTTCGCCGCAAGGCCGCCAGCTGAAGCCCAGCTGCCGTGGACGTCGTCCACCCCCGGTCCCGGAATGTAATAAAGCAGAACAAGTACAAGAATGACGAGTCTTCTCATATCCATGTCAAAGCTATGTGGTCCATCATGCCTGTGGTCCTGAAAATTCCTGTGAGCAGGAGAGTAAGGGGGAGATCGTCGGATGGAGTCATCACTTTTCCATCTGCATTACTCGTCCAGAATGTTGTTGGGTTAGCCGCAATGGAAGAACTCCTTTCTTGGCTACTTGTTACTAAGTTTACATCTTGGCTGCCGATGTGAGGAGAGGGAAATTGCATACCAGGTTTCAAATTTCCAAGTGCTGGATCTATTGAACAGGGTCGGCGGCTTGTTCAGGCAAGGCAGCTGAGCCCAAATGAGAACGCGACACGTCTTGTAATACCTATCGACCTCCTCTATGAAAGAACATGTATCCAGGCAGAGTCTTCTTACATCATTGTTAGGTGGTTTCGCTTCTATTCCGTATACGTCCGAGGACATACATGGCGCCTTCATACGGTGGTAAGCGCTCAAGACCCAGCGCTTGAAAAAGACAGTGTTGTAGTGTTCCCTTAATTCCCCCAAAGTCAGGGACTATCCAGTCTTTCGGGCCAGAGACTGAAAACCCTTAGGAAGTCTATGACATTTTTAGTCTAGAAGCGTCACAGTGTCTTTCGCTCTCGAGTACTAGCAGCAGCTTTCTCTCACCCACACCGGTGGTTGGAAAGTTAACTTTGAACGAGCAGAGATGGATACAATACAGGCCTGATGAGGTGGTGATAGGCTCATGGAGTTGAATTCGATTCATGGAGAGAACATTGATAGGACTTCCATATCTTCTGGTAGAAAGAAGCTTCTTTACTGGTTACGAGCGGGAAGAAAGCCCTGCAATCACGCCTCATCTCAGAGTACTCCCAGCGCTTCATGTCATATGGTATGACTGCTTTTATTCATAGTGTTCTATAGACTCCTTCGAGTGTCAGAATGTAATTGTTAATTTGCATTCCGAATGCACTTTCAATGTATAGTTTTGTGTCCCCTAGGCAGTCGCAAAATTGCCGCGACATTATCGTGGTTCTAAGGCGAATATACAACCAAATGAAGGATACTGATTTTAGGATAGAAGTATTAAGCTATCAAGAGGATAATATCATGGTATCCAAATCAACTATAATGCGCGTCCCCAAATTACAATTTCAAAAATGTTCGGGAGCAAGTTGGTTCTGTAGTGTGATCTTCTAACCTCCTCGGTTCCAAGGTTGAGTCCACACCCAGGCCCAGTCAACACAGCACTGGTACTATCGGAAGCAGAAGCGATGGTCACGTAACATCGATCGTACCTCAATGTCAAGATATCCAGATTGCTGACAATGGGTGGTCTATGCTGCAGCTGGCGCTGGCTCCCCGGTCACAGGTCCGCCCGCAGGGCCATGGGCAGCAGTGCTCTTCTCAGGGTAAGTCCCTTCAGAAGCTCTCACACGTCCGTATTGGGTGAAGGCTATGTTCATGCGCCCGTAGTCCCATTGGCGAGCAAGGAACAAGAATGCAACGGCTAGGACGGGAACCATAAGCAGGTCGAGAATACCGAAGTAGATAAAGCTGGGCGTTACACCAATCTTGTTGCCTCCATCTGATATACCGAAAGCAATCGGGTCTATATTAGATTGAGAGTTAGTACTTGCCGTTGCTCAGGCCGCCGCAGACAAAAACAGGAGCGTTGAGCTTAAGAACACCAAGATGCCCAGCCTGCACCCCCAGCTTCACACTGCCACAGAGTTGCCGCTATTGGGTTGGATTGGGGGGGGGGGGGTGGTTGCAAATGGGGAATCGTGAATTTACTCACAATTAAGCCAGAGAAGGTTGGTCCAGGCGGAAAGTAGCGTGTGGTGACTGCGAGCTGGACCGAAGTCACGCGTGGCCAGAGACTGTCGACCCTCAAACAGGGTACTGTAGGCAAGTAGAAGATACGCGGCAGTGCCGAACGCATAGAAGCCCCATTTGTATGTAGATGCCGTGTAGGCACTGAACAAGTACGACAGAACCCAGACCCAAGAGAGGGTGACGTTGTAGAGAATACTTGCCCCTGTTGATCGTCAGATCCAAATGCCATTCGCGATGACTCGGTAGCATGTAGCTGCAACAGGCATCTGCCCCTTCGTACGGGAACGAAAGGGGTTCGTAGGGATATACTGACAAGAGACGCCACTAACAAGACCGAGGGCAATTGTCACAACAGGAAAAGACACAACCCAGTAGACGTATTTGGCGAAGAAGATCTGACGATCACCATTCTGGGTCTCATTCGCCTGGCTTATGACGTCCCAGGCCAGGTCTGAGGCCATGGCGAAGTAGGCAACGGAGCCGACGAGGAGGGTGACGGCGAACAAATAATGGAATATCTTCTCCCTCGATCGAGCCACAAAGGTCAACCCGAAGAAGCCAAGCTGTGTTGCATGTTAGCCTCGACCATGCCCAGAATGCCCAAGCAGTATACACTCACGAATTCCAACACAAAGATAGCCGTGACGGCCCACAGCCAGTTTGAGCCATTCACCGATAACGCCTGCTGGCCTGCAGGTGGGTTGATCTGCAACGCCTCGTTTGCTCTCGGTAGGATCATTGTATCAACGGTGTGCTGGGGCTGGGTATAGGAGGGCTGAAGGGACTCTGTCCGGTACAGATACAAATTGTGCCACAGGAGGCTCTTCCGGGAGGTGCACCTCTGAACGAAGGCAGTATGAGGAGGGCAGGACAGGCCGGGGCGAGGGAAGCTCCTCGATTCTTATACACCAGGCCGAGCACGCGTTCACTACGACGAGCGCATCCTAGGCAGCATCGCACAACATCTCAGACGTGCTCGTTGGCCAATGCCGAGAAGGCCGAGCGAAAAGCTAGCAGACCGAGCGGTACTGGTGGTGAGATGACGGGGCCCAGCCGAAGTTTCCAGACAACCTCGACTTCGGGGTCGACCAACGGAAACTCGCGGTCTTGACGCAGCTCGAGCGTGCCGACCCATCACGAGAGCTCTGGCCGAGCGTCGAGCCCGCCCTGCGGCCAACCATGCTTCTACATGCAAAGAGCAGCTAGGCCGTCCATCATCATGCATGCTGGACCGCTTCCCTTGCTTCAGCAGCGCACATCGCTCGCTACCTGGGCACCTCGCGCTGCCGAGGCACAACACTGGCCGGCCACTCCTCTCGACCTGCCCAGCTCATCGCCGATGCAGATCCGGACACGCAGACGGCACGCAAGCATGACGCGAATGACCAAAGGGAACAAACAACCCGATTGTGACTTGACAGGCCAGCTTGCTTGTACAGTCTCGAGGCAGTGATGGCTTGTTCTGGACGGCGACTGTCGAGGCCGGCGCCGGAGCGCGAACAGCCAATTCGGAGCGGAAGCCCCGGGATCCAAGACCACTGAGAAACCTGGAAGCCAGGGACAGATGAGAAGGCAAATACCACCATGATCTGGGCAGGTTGCTTGTTTTGTGCAGGTGACTCGAATGATCTGTCTGCACGGGTCACGTCATGTCATGGCTTGATCCGCGTGTGCCGTTGAAGTCGATGGGCGAGAACCCTTCCTCTTTGCTGTATAAATTATTGTTATTATTATTATTTTTTTTTTAAAAAAAACCTGTCCCGTTTCCTCCGAACCGCCCCTGCCGGTCCGTAAACAAGATGCCGGGTGAGCGTCTCTGCATCCCATTCGACCACGATGACTGCACCAACCCATGGCATCGAGATCCTGTTTTGAAAGGGCATCGGGGGAGCGGGTATTTCTCGCCTCTCAAGACAAGAGGAAGATCGAAACTGTAACAATGCTCCTGCCCCCGGCCCTCCCTCCCACACAGCGGCCGACCTCATTTGGCCTGTGTAATCTCCTCCTCCTCCATCCATTGATGTTGTGCGACGTCCGACTTGGGCTGCTGCATGTGAATGCCGTGCCCAGGAGGCGAGTTTCGCGCGGCCCGCAGCTTAAGATGAGCCATCACCTGCAGGCCGGCTTGTTACGTACAGGCCGTCTCATTCGTTGGTACTCTGCAACGTGCATACGGATCAGTAGGGCTCAACGGTCCTCACTGGAATTGGCTCATGTCATTCTTTGTCAAAGGTGACCGTGATTTGTATCATCTTACCTGGTCTGGATCTTGCCCCAAAACCCACCCACCACCTGCAACCCTATGGATCATGAGATTGAACGAGACCTGGAATTCCCATTGACCGAGGTCAATGGGCCATCATCAGAGGGACTGGAGGTGCCAAGGCAGCATCTGGATATATATGCTGTTGGGTAACCTTCTACAGGAAAGCCGCCCCTGAGACAACTTAGAAGGTGACGAATGCAAGCAAGACATAGGGACCCCGCGACAGGTCTGTGGGCTTTCTAACAAAGCCTTTATGCTATAGTAACGGTGATCACTATAAACATGCACATATAAGACACTAAGGATCGATGCCACAAACCCCACTGCTCACTGTTCGAGCCTTGCAGAAAAGCAGTCTGAGCGGTCGTCTTGAAGCTGAAGCCTCCCGGGTATATTCACTCTTCACGTCACAGTAGTATCTTATAGCAGCCTTTACAATTGTACAAACCCTCATGACTGAGAGCACCGCCCTCCGTGACCAGTCATGGATAAATCGAACTGCCTGAGGCTCCGCAGGCCCAGTTGCGAATATGACTCGCTCAATCCCACGCTTTGTGACCGATTTTTGAGAGACCGAAATGCATTGAATACCCTGGGGTGAAGCACTCACCTCGGGCTAAATGGCCGGATAAACTCTCCATGCATGGCTGGTACCGGTGTCGTGGCCGGACAGGACTTCTAAAACTCCCTCCTGGGCTGGCTGATCTGCCATATTGCCGCCTTCGCTCTTTCCCTCACGTCCAGTTCCTCGTCGTCGCTCTCGAGAGTCTCCAGCTTGGTGAGCAGACCAAGCTTCTTCAACTCCCCAGCCCGCTGACGGCTACTATCCTCGTCGTCCGGGTCGTCGCGCCATGTCAGGTTGGTCATGAGGTGGCAGAGCGCCACGCGGACATCCTTGTCCTTGCTGTGAAACTGCTTCGCAAGGTCTCGCAGCAAATCGGTCTGGGAGATCAGCACTTGACGGTGCCGGGGTACGCTGGCCGCCATGTGCACCAGAATGTAAACGACTGCTGAGACAATGCGAGCTTGTGGATAGAGCACGCGTGGTTCCCGGATGGTCGGGTACCGCCGGCCGAACGGATGAAGATGCTTGGGCTGTAGCTTTGAGTGCAAGAGCTCAAAGAACCGATCTTGGCCGAGGATTGTGAAGAGATAGTCGATCATGTCTGCGTGGTCTCTAGCTGAATCAGTTGCTGAGGATGCGGGCCCGATGAGATTCCGTACGAATTGGAGTCCCTGCTCCTGCACCGCTAAATCGTCATCACGGACTTTGCGCGTGAGGCTCAACTCTGTCTCGCGTAGTTCTGCAATTTTCCGCTCGCGCTGGCGCAGCCTTGGAGTCCGGCCCTGTTCATCCATTGGCAGTAATGTCGACGTGTCGGGTAGTGCGGAGCCGGAATTTGAGCTTTCTTCGCCAGCCTGGGCCATCTCAACGTCCTCATCCATGTCGTTCGCGGCTTGCTTTCTAGACTTTGTCGTTCGCTCGTATAGCGCGTCGTCCTCCGTGTCGTCGCGGATTAAGTGAACCAGCCAGCCTGCAGAAAGCTCTTCGACACATTCCTTCTTTGCATCCATGCCTACGCCATTGATCCAGTTCTTGAGAGCCCACAGCGCGTTCAGACGCAGAGCCGGGTTCTGAGACCGCGTCTGCTCACAGAGAATCTTCATGACATTAACTCCGTTGAGATACTTCGTCGTGTTAGTAGACCTCCAGCCTCAACCGTGACTTGGTGGAACTTGCCTCTCTCATTGGTGCGACGTCGATGACGAGATTACACATCAGGGCAGACGCCGCAATTTGGATGTCGATGTCCGGATGACGTAGAAGGCGGTATGCCGGACTCGCGATCGCGTTATCTTCAAGTGTGGTCCGGAGGATGCTCACGCTTCTTGCGAGCATGCGCAACGCGTGGCATGCTGCAACTATGACAGTGATAGGGTTGACTCCATATGCTGCATCATACCCACTGCCATCCACCGTAACTCTCTTGGGCGATTTTGGACGGTCCTTATTCTTGGGGTTGGAGGGGTTCGGCGAGAGGGACTCCACGATGAAGGGTACCAAGTCTTGTTCAACGAGAGCGTTGCGATATTCATCCTTGCTTGCTGCCAATCCAGCAATCGCTTTCAGAGCATTTTCCCTTACGCGCGTGCGATGAACCTGAAGGGGCAGCTGACCCCCAGGGCCTAAGCGGCTCGTCGGTAACCCGATTTCGCGCTCGCCCGTGTCCTCACGCCCAGCGCTCGGGCTCCATGCCTTGGACGACTTGCTAGCCAGAGGCTCGTAGGCACTCTTGAGATAAGCGCTGACGATTTTCACGCCGTCGCCCTCGAAAGCACACTTCTGGAGGAACTCGCTGTCAACAATCAATCTCGCCAAAATCGCCAAGCAGCGCTCTGTGGTGGACCATTTGGTGGCAGTCTTGGCATCAACAAAGGTTGCTTCAGAAGCGGTGCCACATGTGATACCGATGTCTTCGAGGGTTTGAAGCAGTAATGGCACGATCAAGTGACCCATATAGGCCTCCCTGGATTTATTGGCAAGGCCAGCCCTGTGAAGCGATGTGAGCACTGACGCAGCCATGACCCTCTCCATGCCCTCGGTCGACCGAACTGTGTGCAACAACCATGGTATTAAAGGATTCTCCATTTCTTCAATGACACCCTCCGCATTTGCTCCGCCCGTGTCAGCCTGCGCCGCATCCAAGCTGAAAGACGACGCGAAATATTTCCCAGACGGTGCTTTCGACAAGGCGAGATAGTCTCTCGGCGGAGGAGAGCCTATCAGTGGGTAAGATGGCATCGCCGTGCCCTTGGCCTGGTATTCGGGCACCACAGGAAGGAAGCAGTCCAAGGCACCGAGATCTTTAGACGCTATGCTGCTAAGCCCGGCTACCTCGAGCGAGTTGACGCATGCTTTCATGCCCTTTGACCGCCGCGGCGAGCCAGGATGCGGGAAGACAGCGACCAGGGCAGGCGCACAGACAAGAACGGAGGCTCTCCAACGAGAGTCAGCTATTATGGCGGATAATGCTTCGAAGAGGGCGGTCACATCGGTGTTCGGCGCAGCTGGGCTGGGGATCAGGTCCAGCACCCCTTCGCTTTGGGCAATCGCTTCCGCTCCGGGCACCACGAATCCCCTGGCCACGACGACGGCTGCCAGGTTCGTCGCCAATGCATCCAGGATTCCGTGGTTCGTCAGATCGACCCGGGATCGTTCTTCCCTGCATAGCAACCCGATGAGCTTCGCCGCCAGATTCTTCTGAGTTTGTATGGTGTGATTTGTGGGGGTACTCGTCAAAATGTCGCGAAAGGCATCTAGGAGTACCGGCACAAAGGCCACACCTGCCAGGTCAGCAATGTATGTGGCGGATGTTGGCGGAGCCAGAGTCGACGCCTCAGCAATATTGACAGTGGCCCTCAGGGCTGCAACGACGACTCGAGGAGGGTTGTCGGCTGGAGGTATGTTGGATAATATAGCAGACAGGGCGCCGGCTGCAAGTATTGGAGCCAGAAAAGCAAAGCCACCTGCGGATGGTTGTTAGCTGCGGCCACACGCAATGCCCTCGGTTTCAGATCCAAGGGTCGCCGTACCATTGGCAAGGCTGGCAAGAACTTGGAGTGCCTGCAGTCGCACCGATTCCTCGCTGGTCAAAGGCCTCGACGTCGGCATGCGACCTCGACTGCTGTCCTTGCCATTTATGCTGGGAGCAGATCTGCTGGATTCCAAAATTCTAACAACAGGCTCTATTATGCCATGTTCGACCCACTTCTCCTTCTTCTGATCGTGCCCGACGATTTCATTCTTCAAGGTGCGTAGAGCGGATAGTTGCTCGTCCTGGTCGGGTGACAAGAGAGCTGTTATGTGGAGGCGCGCCATAGCATGTGATATCGCGCAAACTGCCGGGGGAACAGACAGCGTTGTTTCTGACGATGGCGATGACGATAAATTCTATTGTACAGTGAAGGCGAAGGGAAAGGGGGAACGAGGTAGCCAGCTGATGGGTCGGACAGATGGTCGCTCTGCTCGAGGTCGGGCTTGGGCGGAAGATTGGATGAGGTAGAGCGCAACACTGGGCTGCGCAGTCCAGGAGGAAGGCTGATCTGTCGGGTCGGGGCGGCGCGTAGACAGAGTCAGACGAAGCTCTGCCAATGTTCAGTGAAGGGTCCAAAAACGGGGAGTCGAGGATGGAAGGGCCGAGGTTACCCGACCGGCTGTCAATGTCGCGGGAATCGAGGGGGACGGCGGAAGCAAAGATGGTCGGAGTTGCTCAACTCAAAATTGACCGTCAAGACCGGGGTTCTGAAGCTGGGCCACGGCGCATGGCGTCATGAAATGGGGATGGGAGATGGAGATCAAAGAGCATCTTCTCCCCGGGGGGCCAAGGACCCTGGTCTCTCTGACACTCCCGGGCTGCTAAGTCCAAAGCGGGCAGGAAGGCACTCGCCCCCAGGCTCTCTGGCTCCTCTGCCCGCCCGGCGCCCGCCTGTAGAGTAGTCGTTTCCTTGGAGCACGGCACGCACGGGCCAGGCTGTTCTTGGTGGATCAGCGGCCTGTGAAAACCAGCCCATCCGCTACTAGGCAAGCTAGGTAGGTACTGAAGCATGTATACTAGGTTGTATACTGACACTCAGCACAGTCGCACTTTTGTTGGTCATCTACAAATATGCACACTTGCAACCCACTGACTGTTACTAAAATTACAACTATGGTACACAGCGGTCTACATGACACTATTTGATTATCCCGCGATAATTTTGAAAATGATGGTGGAAAGCTATTACGGAGCAGTGGATTTGATGGGCTGTGTGGTGATGCAGATATCTGCACATGTGTGATGGGGATGCTACTGTACACAATACACAATTTGGCAAATACCCAACCCATATGTACGCTAGAACCCGTATATAGAACCGGTATGTATAGGCGTGCTGGACTTGCTGCCCAGGCACAGGACTGCTTGGCCAGCACCCCACATACCCACTCTCGTCGCTGTCGGGTCTGGACCAGGTCAAGGTAGTCAGTGTAATACTATGTACTCCGTAGTAGTAGCACTCAAGACTTTTCGAGTGCGAGAGGGAAAATTTCACCCGTGGCTCGCTGGGTAACCTTGTCCGGGAAGCGACTGGGTGACTGAATCAGTGACCCCTCGCTCGCCTGTCGGGCACACCAACACCAAACCACACCAAGGAATAGGTTCATCCTGCCTGCCTGCCTGCGATGCCGGAACCACTTCGCCGGGACGGCTTTGCATGCATTGTCGTCCAGATCCAGCCAGAGAGGGAGGCACGGATCACGGGCACGGGCACAGGGACGAGCACAGGCACATGTAGGGTGGCCAGAGTACCAGCGAGAGGCGGCTACCCGCCTGTGCGGTCCGTTGTGCCTCCCTACTCCGTACCAGCTGCCTACCCGCTGCCTACCCGCTGCCTACCCGCCAGCCAGCTTCGGTGCTGACCGCCGACAAGGCTTCCCAGGAGCCTCGGTGTGCAACACAGTCTAGCCCAATCTCCCAGACTGACACTCTCGTCATCGCCGTGTCACCGGCGTCTCTGTGCCCGCTACCCTCGCACCCCTCCGCAACTACATACCATACTACATAGTACCCAGATTGCCAGACAACCAGATACCACAGTACTAGTCCGACAACAAGACCGCCCCGGCGCAGACTACCCTCCTTGGCCTATTCGCCCTCCCACCTGCGCTAGGCTCAGCACAGCACCTCAGCCCTCTCGACAATCCGATCCAATCCAGGCCCTTCGCCTGAGCTCTAGTCGACCCCGACAGCCTGGGCGGTGTTTCTTCCTGCTGGGCTGGCCCATGATCACAGCGAGAGCGGCCAGCGCGAGCACAATTTCTGCTGGCCACGGTCGACACCAGGCCGGCTTCTTCCCCTCCCTCCACCGACGCCCCGGCCGTCCATGTTTGGATCTCTATGACATCTGGGCCTGGCTGATGACAGATACCCACCAGTTCAGCCCCGGCTCTGTGCAGACAAGTGGGGCTGTCATATCTTTGGTTTTCCAAGCTTGACGAGATCTCCAGTCTGGCCTGGCCGCCTGAGCCTCAACACGTGGGCTGTTCTGGCCATCCAACTCGGGGGTCAATCTCTACCTGCCGACCTCTCTTTGACTACTCACCCATACCACTCTTTTTTCCCACCCAAGCGCGGCACTCGACTAACCCCCCCAGACAGTCGACGCCCTGTCACAATCGATATCTTCCTATCGATCTGCCCGCTTGCCCGCCCGCGCCCACCGACTCGAGCCGCCTGCGAGCTGCCTGCTGAGACCCCATCTCGAAGCCCCGGATCTGCCCCTACTAGCGGCGGTTATCCGCCTGTCCAACATTCAGCAACCCTTGGTGCTTGTCTCTCGGTCGCGGCTCCGCAACACTCGACGGCACCTCCCACCCCCGTGCAACCTGGGTTGCATACCCATCCCGAGCCCTTCGCGTCTCTCGCGCACGAGTCCCAGATGATGCTGCGGAGACCATGTTGACTCGCTCTCCCGTGCCTGCAAGGTCCCCCAGTGCCTCACCCAGCTCCTTTCACAGTAGTTTCCACTATGCGCCCGCCTCCCCACAACGTTCGCCAAAGGTGCCGACTGCTATTTCGCGGCGGCCATCGACAACATCGCCATTGGGCGCCAATATGACCTCGCCGTCATTGTCGTCAAAGCCGCAGTCGAAGCCCCCGCCGAAGTCGCAAGTGCCGCCCGAGCGCATCGTCAAGTACGTCGGCGTCGATGCCGCCACACAGTACTCCCCCATGGAGTCACACGATTACTTCGCGCCGCGCAAAGCTCCTGTTCGATGCTCGCCGTTGAGGGACACTCCTTCTGTGCCCGGTGCCCACCCACCGCGAGTCCAGGCCGAGCAGGCGTCCCAAGGCGATACCGCCTCTACGGTGCCTACCGAACCGGCGTCGACTACCGTCGACTCCCAGTCTGAAGCTACTGCAGATACTCTCCTGGATGATGAGCCGCCAATGTTGAAGGCACCGCACCCCCTGTCGCCGGTCAAGCGACGCAACTCTCAAGGACCCGGCGCATCGATGGGGGAGTCATCGGTCGCTGGGCAGCGAGCCTTGCCCAAGCGCGTCAAGCCTGACACGGCACCTCCCAAGGTCCTACCCGTGCGGTACGAGCTGTGTGCGATTGAGGATATCGTGGTCCTCATAGCGAACATGCTGTCAGAGCTCATAGAGACTAATGACGCCCTGGCCATGAGGTCGGGGCACCTCACACGGTTCCACAGCCGGTATGCGCCCATCCTGAGGGACCCAACCCCGAGTGGGCTGTACGGGACAGTCTTGCTAACATACGAGACAGGACAGCGCCAGGGATATCTGTTCTTGACTATTTGCACCGTCTTGCTAAGCACGCGACGCTGCCTCCACCCTTACTTCTCTCCATGGTCTACTATATAGATCGATTGTGTGCACTATACCCGGACTTCACGATCAATACATTGACAGTTCACCGTTTCCTCATCACTGCGGCCACGGTAGCGGCGAAAGGGCTATCTGATTCATTCTGGAATAATTCGACGTACGCGAGGGTGGGAGGCGTGAGGGTAGCCGAGCTGAAACTGCTAGAGCTAGAATTCTTGCACAGGGTGGACTGGAAGATCGTGCCAGACCCGGAGGTCCTCGTTGCCTACTACAGGGGGTTGGTGCAGAGGTCGCCGGCTTATGTGCTCGAGGACGAGATGGACCAGGACGATGAGGACGGGTCAACAGAAATATCTGACGAGGCGGATGACGATGTAGGAGAGGCAGAGATCGCAAGCGAGAGCGAGGCACCCCCGCAAGCTGGGCCCGCAGACGCTCCAGCCCAAGCGCAGCCCTGAATGTCGCCTGCGCATTTGACCGAGATCAAAGGAGTTTGCTAGCAACCTGTAAGAGGGTTGGCGTGTACCATGGTTCAGAACACTGGTGAGCGTTACAAGGGAGTTCATATGATATCCTGCATCGATGCATTTCTGGGGAAAGGTCCGGGGCCTGGTTAGAAGCATAAGATGAATTGATGTGTTACGAAATATTGCAACTCATAATAAGATTTCAGGTGCTGCATCTCGCAGCCTCCTTATTGGAAAGGAGCCGTGGCCCGTGCGGGCGTCTCGACTATGCCCGATTCTTGGGCTCGACCCACTTACCCGGCGTTCACTTTACTGCTTGCGTTGGTAGCTTCTGGAGTACATATTCCTCTTGTAAGCAGCCCAATCCACCTGCTCGCCTCGAACTCCCACGTCTGCGCTGCTGCACAAACCCGGAGCTCGAGTTCGGATCACCAGCAAACATGCGCATCTTCTCTCTTGCAGCATTGCTAGGCGCGGCCTCCGTTGTCGTCGCCGAGGCCAGAACGGCAAACGTCTACATCCAGCCCCTTCGCTCGAGCTCGGCCCCGGTCCTTCTCGCTGGCCTCACCTACGATAGCAGTGCGCCGAATACTGCCAGCAGCGCGTCTGTGGCATCCTACGAAGCCCCTGATCTGCCAGAGTCCACCGAGCTCGTTCGGGTCGGCATATACGACACCAACCAGAAAAGATGGGCGGGCTCGACCAGCGTGGCGAGCGTCGAGAACTTCGCGAAGGGTTACTCTCCCCATTTCGTGCTCTCGGTTGACGGCACCTCGGGCGAGGAGGTTGTGCTGGGGGCAAGCGTGAGGGGCGTAAGGATAGATGCCGGGCAGACGCGGGACTTTGGGCCGCAGGCGAGCTTGCTTTTGACAAGCAGGGGAAAGCAGCCGGACCTGAACAAGCCGATCGTGCTGAGTCCTGAAGGGAAGAAGGTCGAGAAGGAGGAGAAGACCTTCCTGCAGAAGTTCGTGCCACCTTCCTGCTGCCCCTTTCTGAACGCCCCATGTGTGGCGATGGCGCTGCATTCGAGCCATCAAGCTAACTATATGGCCAAGATACTGGTGGATGATCGGCATTGCTATCATGCTGGCCATGGGCGGCGGCGGCGGCGAGGGCAAATAGATATGAGAATGGCTGAACACAATTTCGGCGACACGATGCACAGCTACTCTCCTGGTGTGGCGGACGAAGTGATCTGGCTTGTGCCGAGGACGCTCACGGAGGCCATCAGAGAAACGAGCTCCTCATCGGCTTGGGGGTCGATATCTACGAGGCTGCACCAAGGTACCTCGGTTCTGCGCGCAGCAAGTTGCTGCACATCCTCCATCTCATCGAACAAATCTTTCCTGGCCCTTGGTCAGTCATTCTGCATCTCCTCGTTTCCCTCCCTGCCGCCTACTCCTTGGCGTTACCTGCTTCGCTTCAGGTGCAAGCCTGAAAGGGAGAGGTCTAACCGCACCCCTGCTCCCTAGAGCTGAAGCTTCCTCCCCGCCAACCAGTGTTGATTGGACCCACAAAATTTCGCAAGGGAACATTGAAACCGCCTGCAGGCAGTCTAGCAGCCCTCGCCTTCCCTTCTCCCTCTTCCACCAACTTCCCTTTTCCTACCCTCGTGATCGCAAACTGAAGCGACCGCTCCCACCACTGCGTTGCCTCAACTGTCAATCGACCTCGATCCTCTCTCAACTTCACATCTTCAAGCAACAGTCGCAATGGCCACCGAGAACGATCACGTCACTGAGAACACCGCGGACGCGACCACCGCTGCGCAGGAGACTCCCGTCGCCGATGCTAAGGGCAAGGGTAAGGCCACTGCGACCGCTGAGGACGTCCCCGCCGACGTCGCCATGGATGAGGACGATGACGACGAGGACGAGGACGAGGATGAGGTGAGCTTGCGGTTCCCACCGTGCCCCGCTACTACGAGACCCCCCACTGACTGACTGTTTGCCAGGCTGCCGAGGATGGTGTGTTTGCCCGCGCATCGCGACCCCTCTGCGACCCCCCTTCGATTGCCACACGTTCGTTTCCAAACTAACATGATGCTAGCCGAGGAGGACGACGAGAGTGGCAACCCCGAGGAGGCTATCTCCCTAGACAACGTTGTCGGTCGTCGCACGCGCGGCAAGGTCATCGACTTCGCCAAGGCGGCCGAGGAGAACCCCGCCGATGATGACGAGGACGAGGATGATGACGAGGACTTCGAGGAGGAGGACGATAAGATGGACGAAGACTAGATGCTGCATCCTCACACCCAGCCTCAATGGTCTTGCGCCATGTCAACGAGCAACGTTGACCTAATGGAGGACTGCCTACAACGGATTTATGAAAGTTACGAAAACCAAAAAGACTACCACGATGGCGTACTCGTGGATATTGTCAACATCAGAATCCTGGATTGAACCAGAAACTTCAGGATGGATAGATGGCCCGGTGCTTGAGCATCAATTTCAGATGCGATGACCGGCTGAACTGTCATTTGATACTGCAGATTAGCATGTCAAGATGTGAGAGGTCAAATGGAATCAGGAATACCAGCCCTACAATTGCCAGCCATTGGCAGTCTGCACAAAGCAGTCTCTGCTGTCTACAGTCCACAGTAATGCGCCTTGTGCTTGTGACTATTGGATGAGAGGGGCCACACAGTATTGCTGACTTGGGCTGCTACTAATTCGCAGGGCATGCATTTTCGCAGAAAGCTCTGGCTGTTTGACAAAAAGGCTAGGTTCTATGGGCAGACGCTGATGGGGCACTTCAACCTGGGGATGTCGTAGGTGGTGGGGAACGCAGTGGCCCATCCAAGTCAGGTACGTACCCCGCCAGTAGTAGAATGCCGAGTGGTACCTTACATATAGGCAAAGCCAGGGCCCCTCTTGTAAATGGACACAATCATTCAATAGAAAAAAAAGGGCCTGGCTCTGCCTGAAAGCGAACCAGACAAAGTGACCTCCCAGATGGCCTGGCCACTAACATCCAGACAAATGTGAACAGCTCGGGTATCTCTTCATTTCCTAATCTTTAAGATCCCTGGCCCTGCAGGACCATGCAGGACCACCCCTATTTCGTTACCTAACACGCCCGATTCCTCTTGCGTCTACTTCTTCCCTCTCAACACCCCCAACCACTCGCATGTGAAAGAGGCTGTTGGCAACCATGGCATCCAGGTGAGTTCAGAAACCAAGTGCAGTGTCCTCCATCAGCTTTCCAGCACCTGTACGGCGAGGAGTTCGTGATCTCAAGTTGCATCCGGCCGGCTCAGGCAGAAGTCAAGATTTCCTATGATCGGCACATGACGAGGACAACGGAGAGAGGGCACACTCTGCATCCACCACATTGTCTTGTTCCACCCGAGCCTAGACTCGCTGCATGGTACGACACAGTTGAAGGGCTCCCCTGCTGACGCTACCCTCGCCTTGGATCAGGTTCAACTCCTCCCTCCACCAGCGCGACTCTCGCTCCGCGCTGTTCGAGGGCTACACGGGCTCCGGCGCCGGCAGCAGGCGGGGCATCACACCGAGCCCGAGCCGGGGTTATGGCTACGGATACCCAGGTGGCGGTGGCGGCGGCGGCGCGCCCAACGGGAACGGGACACATCTGGGCGTAGACGGCGGCAGCAGCAGCAGAGGGGGCTTCCGGCCCGCGACACCGAACAAGAGGGGACAATACAGCGACGCGGTGCTCAACGAGCTCGAGAGCCAGAACGATGCGCAGATCGATGGTATCATGGGCAAGGTGCGGGTCCTGAAAGATGTATGTTGGAACGAACCCCTTTTTCCTTTTTCTCAACACCGCGGGGCGGCCGCGCAGTCCACGTCACAAACGGAGCAACGCAGAGCTGACAAGGAGCACATCTTAGATGACGGTAGCGATCGGCGACGAGATCCGTGAATCCTCGGCCCTCGCGGAAAAGATGAATGACCAGTTCGACAACATGCGGCTGCGTGTGCGTGGCACAATGAACAGGATGCTGCTGATGGCTGAGCGGACGGGTGTCGGCTGGAGGGTCTGGCTGGGCTTCTTCGCCGCGGTGGTCCTTCTCTTCGTATACGTGTGGTTGTTCTGAGGGCGGGCGTATATACCAGCATCCGTACGATCGCGAGAGCGACGCTTGGGCGGCTCACTTCATCGCCCCCAGCGCCATAAGCCGGGGGTGGCATCTGTGCACACCGAGCGAGCTTGCTCTCCTCCTGCGCGGGACCACAAAGCCTCCGAGCTCGAGCCTGGCGGTCTTCGTCTTCCGGGGCCGGGTGTGGCCGAGCTGCTATGGCTGGCCATCATGGGAGCGAGTTTTGAGAAAAAAAATGCATCGCTTATGAACCGGCGTTGGGGCGCCTCCTTTTCACGACGAATGGGGCGGGATGGGCATATGAGTCTTGAAGAAAGACACAGGGCCACTATACACATACGTCCCTACCTCTTGAACCGTGACACATCACGGGCGAGAACCAAGCTCAACAATAATGTATGCGAAACGCACTTCTTTGTACACATGTTTACATTTATCTAAAACTTCGAGAGGCCATAACGGAATACTGTTCGCTAAAATGTGATGGCTCCTGTTGCGTGCGTGCCAGAATACTACTTCTGGGCTGGGTATCATAAGTATCGTCGCCCCCATTGAATCGCCATCTAGCCCCGCCGCCTCATCTGCGGGCTGCTTGCCAGGTAGCTGCTCTCGTCCCTCGACAGGAGGCCACTAAAATCTATGTCGCTCTGCGCCAGACTACCCCTTTGGCTACCCCTGACACTGCCCCTGGGCAGGCTCCTCCTGAACCGCGAAGCCTGCGGCGCGCGACCGGCACTGGGATAGGAGACATCTCTCGTGCTTTCGTCCTCGTCGCTAATCTCAGCATCAGAGTCGGTGTGCTCGTACCGTCCGTCGGCAGAGGGGATGTCATCGTCGAGGTCGGCGTCCATGTCCATGTCCACACCATCCTCACCGGCCCCGCCCTCGCCCGGACTGTAGTCGTGGATGAGATCATCCTCCTCGAGCATCTGTTCCCTGTCGTCCGACCCGACAGGGTCATCGTCGATGGTGAGGCCGCCGCCATCCTGGCCCTGGGCCATCACCTCGCGCACCCGGTCTTCCGTCGCCTGCATATCCCGCTCGGCTGGGCTGACCTGCACCTGGCCAGCATTGTTCTCAGTCTCGTCCACCTCGTCGTCCGTCTCGTCATCATCCTCCTCGTCCTCGACTCCGCTGTCCTCCTCCCCGCTGCCGTCTCCATCAAAGCCGAAGCCTTCGGCCTCGGGAATCTCGTCGTCGAGGTCAGGCTCCTCGGCTCCGTCGGCCATCTGCTCGTCGTCCAAATCGTCCACGGCGTCCGCCTCGGCCTCGGCCAGCTGCGCGGCTAGCTCCTGTTCGCGCCGCATGGCTTCGGCGTGCTCCTCTGCCTCGCGCCGCTCTTCGCGCATCTGGAACAGTGTTTTGGGCACACCTGGCGGCTTCAGCCACGCGCTGCCGAAATTGGTCACGTTCTGACGGCGCCGCTCCATGACCTGCTCCTCCATGCGGAGGCGTGCGAGTGGTGTGCGCTCCACCAGAGCGCGCCGGTGGTCGCGTCCGTGGCCGGACGGGTGCTGGCCATGGCGGTCCACTTGATTGCTGCTGATATTCCCATTGTCGTCGTTTGGCGAAGACGCATCATGACCGTTGAGTTGGTGCAACAGGGAGCTGTGCGTGTGGCGGGACGTATACCAAAGGCTATGGGGCTGGAGGATGGTTATCAGTATATGGTGCCCTGCATCACGGAACACCCGAAGCAACTCACATCTCGAGGGGTCAAGTCCGGCAGCATCGGCGCGTAGTCCATAATCTCCAGCTGCCACCCCCTTCAAGGGGCGAATTGGCGAGCGAGACGCAGCGGCCCGATCACACAAATATTGTGGAAATGTCGACCCAGCTGAGAGCAAAAGTCATCCCACGAATGAATAGACCTTGCAGGCGGGGTCCAGTTTCAGTTTGTCGTCCAGTCACAAGGTTGGCTTGTTTACATGCTGCGGGCTGATTTCAGGTCGCCTGCCTCGTCTCTAAGGCGTGTGTTGTCTACGTACCACCTGCCCCAGGGCAGTGGAAATCCTACCCCGCTGTCCGTGAGCTTGTACTCAAGTACCTGCGGCTAAGCACGAGAGCCGCGCGGCTGAGAGGCCCGGGCTGGGCGGCCAATCTGGGTATGTGGGGTTGATCCTTGGCCAAGATCTGGCATTGTTGTTTCACCAGGGCAAGAAAAACCCGGGTAAACACGCCTAATTGCAGAATCGGATTGCAGGCCGTCTCACCTTTAGAGCGGCGTAAATTTGTGTGATCAAAGGAAGCGGTACTCACACCGCTTGGAATGGACAAAAAGAAATGTCTGGTCACATGGCCGTTGATCCCCCAGCCAGCCAGTTAGTCAGGCAGGCAGGCAAGCAGGCAGTTCAGAACCTCAGACCGCCAGGACCGCCAGGCAAAACAAGTAGCTTCCTTGTTTTCCTCACGCGGATTTGCTCGCTGGAAGAGGTGGGCTGTTCTGCCGGAAGACGGGCTTCGGTCCGGATCAGCAGGAACAAGGTAAAGAACGGCACAGGGCTCTGATTTTTATCAAGTAATTGCAATTACTCTGTATGGTGGCTGTCGCTGCGCAGGGCAGAATAGTGGAGCTGCCTCGTTTACGCAGAGCAGGCGGGCCATTCCCAAGAGGGACCGGAAGCTTGTTTCGCAAACCGCGGAAGATGGTATTCTACTGAAATAAGTGCAATGGCTCGGCGACTCGTCACTCACTGCTGGGCCTCGATTTTTACAGTGCGGTCGGTGCAAAAAGATGATCCGCGGAAATTACTAGCCAAACGTGATGGGTCTTCCTCGGGAAAACTCGGAGCGACTCCCATGACGACTCTCCCCGATGGTGTCGGGTAGGACCAGGGCATTCGGCGCATCAAGACATCTCCGAGCCATGCCAGCAGCCGACCTCGGCCTCTTGGGGGCGCAATGGCCAAGCAGGAGCCAAATTGCCGCTCCCGGGCTGGCTGGTCGGCTGGTGCAGGCTGGACTGGGCCCCGCAAACAGCAGGCAGGCAGGCAGGCAGGCTACGTATCTGCCGTGTATTGGCAGGCCTTGGGATTTGCGCCGTCGCACAAGGAGTCCTGGCCCACGACTGCCCAGCGATCGCCCCGGGACTGGAAGAGGAGACGCTGATCGGGCAGCGGGATGGACATACGGACGGAAGCCTGAAATCGCCGGTGGGACTCGCCCACGGTCGCGGTGTCGCAGAGCGATCCCCAGGCACACTGATCTGATGGTTGCGCGGGGTAAGGTGCTCCGTTAGGTGCTCCGTTGGCCCTCGCCCTCTCCTTGTTTGCCCGTGTGGTGGTCGAGAGCGAGACGAGGCTAGAGCCTCGGACGCCTGTCGTTGGCTCGAGATAAGACATCCCTCGGCGGCGTTCGATCTGATTGGCCCCATGACCAGCAAGGCAAATCTTGATGACGATTTTTTGACAGCAAGCTATTGAGAAAGCTGGCTAGAGCCGTAGGGAATACCAAGATTCGCCCGAGACGCCCCGTCTAAGCCCTAATAACAGATGCGTCCCGTCTGCCCGTTCGGTTCGATGCTATGGTTTGCGACGACTCAATTGACGCCGGCCATTGGTCGCTCGAGGCCAAGCCTGCCGCTATGGTAAAAGTCAACATCAACACACAGGTAATAAGTGAGGCGGCAGGGCGGGCGATAGACTCGGCATGCCACGCCATCAGCTCTGGCACTCCCCACCACTCAATGCATAAGTAATCACCATTCTCTCTCTCACTTGCCCACAGGAATTGATCGAGTGGTATTCGTCCCTCATTAAGGCGAGATGCGAGATGCGAGACTTGAAATGCAATGCAATGCAAGCCTGGCTGTCGCGGGGCGAGGGCCATTGGTCCCGCGGGCCCCAGGCTCGGCGGAACATATTTGAATTTGTGATGAGCAATACAATTGCAAATACACAGCTCTCGTGGAAGGCTGCGAGATCGGCGGGCGCCTGGTGTTGCTAACGCCGACATCCTGATAGGTGACGAGCCACAGCGTCCATTTTTTTTCTTTGCAGGGGTTGCTGAAGCTTGCATGCGGGACCCTGAGCTAGCTGGGGACCCCCTTGCTAGCCCTGCAGACCTGTGTGGGGGAACTTGGGGTGACAAAGGAATCCTCAACCGCCGTGCCGCCCTACCGTGATTGCTGGATTCCAAGGCTGTACGGAGCACAAGCCTTTGGAGTGAGTGCCTGAGTGCCGGCCACTCTGCCAGTCTGCTTCGTTCGCATCATTTCACATGCCACGCTGGCAGATCGGCCGAGACATGCTGTCATTTACATGTGCACGTACAGTACAGTACGTAACTGACCAGGCAATCTGGCAACTCAATATTTGCTACCCGTCAGGCCTTGAGATCAAGACTTGTCCGCGATCGAGGAAGAGGGTGAGCAACGGTTCATGCCTTGCTACTCCGTGCCTAGGTACTCGCTCATCTGCTCGGGACGCTTGGGCACTCATTGTGTTGCACTGGGAAAGTCAATAAATACCCAGGCCCTTGTCCTAGTCGTCACCACCACACACAACCCCAGAGCAAATGCATGAAACGTGCAGCTCTCATGTGGAATGCGGCGGCTGTGATTGGCCCTCCTGCTAGGGACAAGCCCCAGGAGGCTACATCACTTACCACAGCTTTGGTTCTGGCCGGAAACGACAGAATCTTCTGCCCCCACCAGCCTCACTCCTCATCAGCGAGATCAGCGGGCAGAGCTCAGGAGGACACACGAGCAGGAGCCGCCACGCCAAAGCAGAAAGCAGCCAACGGCCAGGGCTAAGGTGATGACAACCGCAACCGCAACCGCAACCGCAACCGATTCCCCGACCGTCCTACTAAACAGCTTTGCACATGGAGTCTTATTTGCTAGTCTCTCCCGCCACCCCCCTTCTACTCGTCTAGGAAGGTCGCTTAGACCTCTGCAGCATGAAAGTGCCCCCAAGGCAATGCAATGCAAATGCCAAAACGAAAGCTGGTTCTACCCAAAGTAAAAAGTAGGGTGTTTTGCAGCTATGACGACGGCGGCGGCAGCAGCAGCAGCAGCAGTAGTGACGGCATGTGTATTGACTGTTGATACGCGGAGATTCGGGCGGTGCTCATTCATGGATGAAACTGGGGAAAGACCCTTGGTGGGCAAGACGTCGGATGTGGGAATTAGAAATGTAGTGCCCACAGGGTCACATAGCCTGACTGCTCACATTGCCAGTCCATTCAGAGTACATACACTAGTATGGCCACCAAGCGAGGTCGGCCCGTGACAGTAGTGTAAATAAGTCCATCTGCTGGGGGCAATCTGGTGTTTGCTGCTTTGCGGTCCCACCTCTGTCACTCACCTGCACAGCCCACGTTTCTGCTCTGCGGGCCCCACCTGTTTATTGTAAACCCCTGCAATCTCTATGGCTGGCGTGGATAGTGCACAATACTTTGCCTACGCTCATCACAGACGACGCCTTGCCCCTCTCTGTCCCAGCTCAAGTTAGGCGCACTGGGGAGTCTGGCACTGTTTGCCTGAGGTTGTCCTAGAACGGAGTCTTGGCTTCCCCCCAAGCCTGCCAGCCAGCCCATCCTGGCTCTCCCACGGCTCCCACGCTTTCCCATCCATAAAGTCTAGTCCCCCTTCTGTGCCAAACTTTTCCCTGCCTTTCTCTCTTCACCACCACCACACACACACAACTCTACACACACACACGTAGTGCCTGCCTGCTCTCTCACAGACTCCGGCACTTATACCCAGCACTCGCTCACCCCGCAAGCCTCCGCGTTTTCGCTGGACACCCACCCACACAACCTTTCCAAGTAAGTAGTAGACGAAGTCCCAGTCACATGTTAGCCTACGCCGTGGAGATATGGGAGCCAGCCCACACGCCTTCCGCCCGCCTTGCTCTTCCCACCGAGGAGTTCGATATTTCGTGTTACGCATCGCAACCTCAACATAATGCCGTGTCTACCCACCTTCGTTCGGTCGGATCGACAGTACCCAGCGCCAGTTCGGTCCCCGAATGCTTGTTCCCCCAATTCTCTCAGCGAGACATCGATTTTGGTGCGTGAGCAGACGCCGTGTCCTCATGTCGGCGTAGATCCTCGTGGCGCCTCTGCGACAGTCAATGCGGAGAAGTCGGGCAAAAAGAAGAACAAAATATGCCATTCTTATCAGAGGTTGCGCTGTAGCTGCACGAGGAGCTCTACGCCGGTTTGCTCTCATTGGACGGTGCCACATCTCGCATCGCACACGCCAAACTTCCCAACCCGGCTCGGGGGGCACACTGGACGGGTTTCTCCGCATGCGCAGACCAGCCGAAGAGTAGCGATTCACACAAAGATCCCCGTCCTCAACTTAGAGTACGGCTGCGGCAACAGCGTTCTTGCGCGGCATAGCTTTGTCCCACGGCCCTGTGAAAGCGCGCCTTGCACAACACAGCTGCGAGAAACGGATATACCAAAAAGTGGGAGAGGGAGGTACTCGGGATCTGTGCTGTGAGATCGTGTATCACAAGCTATCCCAAGGCTGGCAGTGGGGCTTACACTGTGAGGCTCTTGGAGCTGAGCATGACCGACCCCGCTGGGGAGCTCGGGCCTGCTTTCTCGATTGCGCACTTCCCGTGCATCCATTCCTGCCCAGCTTTTGTCCTGGATATCCGTCGAGACCCAAATCCAATGGCCCAGGCTTACTCGAATATCTACCGCTTCGGGGCTGCGATTCGATGGCTATCCTCCAAGCTCTGGCGAACATCTCTACCGGCTTTCCAGTGATGACTTCTGACATGAGTTGAAACTATCTGGTTGCTAACGATGTTTTCCTTACCAGACTTGCCCACAAGAGCAGCGCTGCTGCTCTCAAAACTAAACAGCAGGCTCATCTCGGCTACTGTCAGAGACGAGCCTCGAGTCCTCCAGTGACTTTTTAACCCACCTAGGAACTTAGGAGTGGTGGCCTAGCATGGGCGCGGTTACTGAGTTCGACGACAGAGACCAACATCTACTGGCTGAAACCGAAGCGTACCATCCTTATGAATATCAGGAAGAGGGCAACGGCTCTTGGGCCGGTGCCCTGCCGGTGAAGCAGTAAGTATCTCCCCTGGCTTATAATGGAATCCCTTGCTAACTGGTATAACAAGGGGGCTTTACGATCCTGAACTCGAGAAAGATGCGTGCGGTGTCGGTTTTGCATGGTGCGTAGCCTGGTGTACAGCTATTCGTAGCTCTAGCTAACGGCATATAGCCACATTAAGGGCAAGGCAAGCCACAAGATTGTCAGCGATGGTGAGTAAAGGACATGATCCTGAACCGAGTCTGGGCTTGGACTGACAAGTTCTAGCCCGCAACCTTCTCTGCAACATGACCCATCGAGGTGCGGTGGGATCTGATGCTCGAGACGGTGATGGCGCTGGTGTCATGACTTCGATCCCCTTCAAGTTCTTCATCAAGAACTTCGAGCGTGATGTCGGCATCAAACTGCCCCCTCCCGGACAGTACGCTGTTGGCAACCTGTTCTTCAACCCCGAGCCCGAGAAGCTGCAGGAGCAGCAACGGCAATTGGAAGACATTGCCGAGTCTCTGGGCCTTCGGATCCTGGGATGGCGAGAGCCTCCCACTGACCCCAGCCTGCTCGGGCCTGCTGCTCTCAGTCGCCAGCCTGTCATTCTGCAGCCTTTCGTCGTGCTCGCGTCTTACTATGGCTCTGGGAATGCGCCAGAAATGACCGACCCTGAGAAGTTCGACTTCAGGCACTTTGAAATCCAGCTGTTCGTGCTGCGAAAGCGTGCCACGCACACCATTGGCCTCCACAACTGGTTCTACATTTGCTCGCTGTCCAACAAGAACATTGTCTACAAGGGCCAGCTTGCACCTGTTCAGGTCTACCAGTACTACCATGATCTGGTGAACGCCGACTATGAGGCGCACTTTGCCCTCGTACACTCTCGGTTCTCGACCAACACATTCCCTTCGTGGGACCGTGCGCAACCTCTACGCTGGGCTGCTCATAACGGTAGGCAAAACACTCCTTGGCTTAGCTGAATTAAAGGTATTAATTTTGTGCAGGCGAAATCAACACCTTGCGTGGCAACAAGAACTGGATGAGGGCTCGTGAGGGTGTGATGCAGTCGGACGTGTTTGCGGAAGAGTTGGAGATGCTGTATCCTATCGTCGAAGATGGTGGCTCTGATTCTGCTGCTTTTGACAATGTGGTCGAGCTGCTCACCATCAATGGTGTGCTTTCCTTGCCGGAGGCTGTTATGCTGATGGTCCCCGAGGCGTGGCAGGATAATGCCCACATGGATCCTAAGAAGGCCGCTTTCTACGAGTGGGCCGCGTGCCAAATGGAGCCGTGGGATGGCCCTGCCCTTTTCACCTTTGCAGATGGTCGCTTCTGCGGTGCTAACCTCGACCGAAACGGGCTTCGACCTTGCCGGTTTTATGTCATGGACGACGACCGTATCATCTGCGCTTCCGAGGTTGGTACCATCAGCGTAGAGCCTGAGCGTGTGGTGCAAAAAGGTCGTCTGCAGCCCGGCCGTATGCTGTTGGTTGACACCCAGGAAGGCCGCATCATTGATGATCGCGAGTTGAAGGAGCGAGTCTCCCAGCGACAAGACTTCCGATCTTGGCTGGACAGTGAACTCCTGAAGCTGGACAACGTTCTCAAGCAGTCCGAGGCTGATAAGTCTCTCGACTTGGCCGCCAAGCCTGATTCCCATCCTGTGCAGGAAGACCCGCTCCTGCATGCATTCGGATACACTTTTGAGCAAGTCTCACTCATCCTTGCGCCTATGGCCGCCGATGAGAAGGAGGCCCTTGGCTCTATGGGCAATGACGCTCCTCTCGCCTGTCTCTCCAAGGAGCCGCAACTGCTCGCCAACTACTTCAGACAGCTCTTCGCGCAGGTCACCAATCCTCCCATTGACCCTATCCGGGAGTCGATTGTCATGTCTCTGGAGTGCTATGTCGGACCTCAGGGTAACCTTTTGGAGATAGCCCCTGAGCAATGCGGCCGATTGCTGCTCAAGAGCCCTATCCTATCTATCCCGGAGCTCAACACACTGAAGACCATGTCCAAGTTTTACCCTGACTGGACAGTCAAGGTCATCGACATCACTTTCCCCAAGAAGGACGGGATCCAAGGCTACATCAAGCACCTCGATTACATCCGTAACGAGGCCACTGATGCCATCGAGAAACGCAACCGTATCATCATCCTGTCTGACCGCAACACATCGGCGGACCGCATTTCAGTCTCAACTCTCTTGGCGTCCGGCATGGTCCACCATCATCTGGTCAACAACAAGTGGCGGTCAATGGCTGCCATCGTTGTCGAGACGGCCGAAGCACGCGAGGTCCAGCACATGTGTGTCCTGCTTGCCTACGGCGCTGATGGCATCAACCCTTACCTTGCCATGGAGTGCATCCTGAAGCTGAACCGGGAGAAGCTCATTCGGAAGAACATGACGGACGAGGACCTCATCAAGAACTACAAGCACTCTTGCGATGGTGGAATTCTCAAGGTCATGAGCAAGATGGGAATTTCTACTCTAGCCAGTTACAAGGGCGCTCAGATCTTCGAGGCTCTGGGTGTTCACAACTCCGTAGTGGAATTGGCCTTCAGGGGAACCGCCTCCCGTATTGGAGGTGTCACTCTGGAGCACATCGCGGAGGACGCCTTCAGGTTCCACGAGCGGGGCTTCCCGTCCCGATACACGGTCGGTGTCCCTGGCCTCACAGAGTCGGGCGAGTACCACTGGCGCGACGGCGGCGAGCCTCACATCAACGACCCCGTCTCCATCGCCAACATCCAAGACGCGGTCCGCAACAAGAACGACAAGTCTTACGAGGCCTACTCGAAGTCCGAGTACGAACAGGTCAAAGCCTGCACGCTGCGAGGCATGCTGGACTTTGAGTTCGATGAGTCCAAGTCGATCCCAATCGACCAGGTTGAGCCCTGGACTGAGATTGTCCGCCGCTTCTGCACTGGCGCCATGTCATACGGATCCATCTCTATGGAGTCTCATGCCACACTTGCGGTAGCTAGTAAGCATCATTTTTCTCTTACCACGGACCCCCGTCTCTCCTGTTTTGGAATGTTTTCGATTGCAACACTTGAAGATTCACAACAGGACTAACTTCGCATTCAGTGAATCGTCTCGGCGGCAAGTCCAACACTGGCGAGGGTGGAGAGGACCCTGAGCGTTCCCAAATCGACGAGTATGGAGACACCAGGCGGTCGGCCATCAAGCAGGTTGCATCTGGGCGTTTCGGCGTCACTTCTGCATACCTGGCCGACTCGGACGAGCTCCAGATCAAGATGGCACAAGGCGCGAAGCCGGGAGAGGGTGGTGAATTGCCCGGCCACAAGGTCAGCAAGAGCATCGCAAGGACGCGTCACTCGACTCCCGGCGTCGGCCTGATCTCGCCGCCTCCTCACCATGATATCTACTCCATCGAGGATCTGAAGCAGCTCATCTACGACCTCAAGTGCTCTAGCCCTCGCTCGCGAGTCTCCGTCAAGCTTGTCTCAGAGACTGGTGTCGGTATTGTTGCCGCTGGTGTTGCCAAGGCCAAGGCCGACCACATCCTGATCTCTGGTCACGATGGTGGCACCGGCGCCTCCCGATGGACCGGTATCAAGCATGCTGGTCTCCCCTGGGAGCTTGGTCTGGCCGAGACTCACCAGACGCTTGTTCTGAACGACCTCCGTGGCCGTGTTGTTGTCCAAACCGACGGTCAGCTGCGAACGGGACGCGATGTCGCCATCGCTTGCCTGCTCGGTGCCGAGGAATGGGGTTTCGCTACCACTCCTCTCATCGCAATGGGCTGTATCATGATGAGGTAAGCAGCTCCTGGATTGATAATTGCCTTGGAACCGAATCCCCCCTCCTCACCAAGTCGGCATTGGTCGACTCCTTGTTACCACGATAGCTGACTCTAAAATTTCTGTAGAAAATGCCACCTGAACACTTGTGAGTAAACTCGTGATGTTTATTGTTCAAGTTCCTTTAATAGCTAATTGTGTATGTGCAGGTCCCGTTGGAATCGCTACGCAGGACCCGAAGTTACGTGAGAAGTTCAAGGGAACTCCCGAGCACGTCATCAACTTCTTCTACTACGTCGCCAACGAGTTGCGGGCCATTATGGCCAAGCTTGGCTTCAGGACCATCAATGAGATGGTCGGCCACGTTGAGTGCTTGAAGGTCCGAGACGATCTGCGCACGCACAAGACTGAGAACCTGGATCTTGATCTTCTGCTCACCCCAGCGCACTCGCTGCGGAGCGGTGTTGCCACGTTCAATGTCAGGAAGCAGGATCACCGTCTCTACGTCCGCCTGGACAACAAGCTTATCTCTGAGGCCGAACTCACATTGGACAAGGGACTGCCAAGCCGCATCGAGTGTGACATAGTCAACACAGATCGTGCCATGGGCACTTCGCTCTCTTACCAGATCTCCAAGCGTTATGGAGAGGCTGGTTTGCCGGTCGATACGGTCCACGTTTCCATCAAGGGATCCGCCGGGCAGTCCTTCGGCGCTTTCCTGGCACCTGGTGTGACCCTCGAGCTGGAGGGTGACTCCAACGACTATGTCGGTAAGGGTCTCTCGGGTGGTCGCCTTGTCATTTACCCACCTCGCTCTGCCGTGTTCAAGGCTGAGGAGAACGTTCTGATTGGTAACACCTGCCTGTATGGCGCCACTGCTGGCCACTGCTACTTCCGCGGTGTTGCTGCCGAGCGGTTCGCAGTACGGAACTCAGGTGCCCACGCCGTCGTTGAGGGCGTCGGCGATCACGGTTGCGAGTACATGACTGGTGGCCGCGTTGTCGTCCTTGGTAGCACGGGCCGCAACTTCGCAGCTGGTATGTCGGGTGGTATTGCCTATGTTCTGGACAAGGACCATGACTTCCTTTCCAAGCTCAACACGGAGATGGTGGAGGCTTCTGGGGTCGATGATCCCACCGAAATTGCCTTCCTCCGCGGCATGATTGAGGACCACCACCACTACACCGGTTCCGAGCTAGCTGCTCGCATCTTGGTTGACTTCAACCGTGTTCTGCCCCGCTTCATCAAGGTCCTTCCAGTCGACTACAAGCGAGTCCTCATGGAAGATGCCGCTAAGGCTGCCGAGGCCAAGAAGGCTGAGCTCAACCTGCCCGTCATCCCGGGCAAGAAGGAAGACAAAGCGAAAGCTGCTCCTCTACAGGATATGGAGGAGGCCATCGGAGACAGCAAGGCCGACTCCAAGCGCGCACTTGTCCTCGACAAGACCAAGGGTTTCATGAAGTACCACCGTCGTGCAGAGAAGTATCGCGATGTCAAGACCCGAACCAAGGACTGGGCGGAGCTTTCCTCGCGACTGGACGAGGACGAGCTCAAGTACCAATCTGCTCGTTGCATGGACTGTGGTGTTCCCTTCTGCCAGTCTGACACCGGTTGTCCCATCTCGAACATCATTCCTAAGTGGAACGAATTGGTCTTCCAGAATCAGTGGCAAGACGCCCTCAACCGTCTTCTCATGACCAACAACTTCCCAGAGTTTACCGGTCGTGTCTGCCCGGCTCCTTGCGAAGGCGCATGTGTGCTCGGCATCAATGAGGACCCCGTTGGCATCAAGTCCATTGAGTGTGCTATCATTGACCGCGGCTTCGAGATGGGCTGGATGGTGCCCCGCCCACCTCAGGTCCGCACCGGCAAGAAGATCGCCATCATCGGCTCTGGCCCTGCCGGTCTTGCTGCTGCCGATCAACTCAACAGAGCTGGTCACCTCGTCACTGTCTACGAGCGTGCCGACAGACTGGGCGGCCTGCTTATGTACGGTATCCCCAACATGAAGCTTGATAAGCGCATCGTCAAGCGAAGGACCGACTTCATGGCCGCTGAGGGCGTCCAGTTCAAGACGGGCGTCAGCATCGGCGAGGAGCTGACCCTGAAGGACCTTCGCGCTGAGAACAACGCCGTTGTGATCGCCACTGGTGCAACAGTAGGACGTGACCTGCCTATCGAAGGACGTAACCTCAACGGTATCCACTTCGCTATGGAGTTCTTGCACAAGAACACCAAGTCCCTGCTCGACTCCCAGCTGGCTGACGGAAGCTACATCTCGGCCAAGGGCAAGCACGTTGTTGTCATTGGCGGTGGTGACACAGGCAATGACTGCATCGGCACCTCTGTTCGTCACGGCGCCAAATCTGTCGTCAACTTTGAGCTCCTGCCTCAACCACCCGAGGCCCGTGCTTCTGACAACCCTTGGCCACAGTGGCCTCGCATTTACCGTGTTGACTATGGTCACAGCGAGGTGCGGCAGCACACCGGCAAGGACCCTCGTGAGTACTGCATCAAGTCTTCCAAGTTTGTCAGCGACGGCAACGGAAACGTCAAGGGCATCGAGACGGTTCGTGTTGAGTGGAGCAAGGACGACGCCGGAAAGTGGGTCCTGAAGGATGTCGAAGGCAGCGAGGAGTTCTTCCCTGCCGACCTCGTCCTCCTGGCTATGGGCTTCCTGGGACCTGAGCAACGTGCGATTGGAGACGAGGTGCAGAAGGACGCTCGGACCAACGTCAAGACGCCATCTGGCAAGTACTCGACAAACATTGAGGGTGTCTTCGCTGCTGGTGATTGCCGACGTGGGCAGTCCCTCATTGTCTGGTAAGTCCACACAAACTGTGTGAAATTTCATCTCCACTTTTATACTAACATGCAATCAGGGGCATCAACGAGGGTCGCCAGGCAGCGCGCGAGGTTGATTTGTACCTGGAGCATGCTACCAACCTCCCAGTCACTGGTGGTATCGTGAAGCACTCGGCACACGAGATTCTCAGCTCGGTTAAGGCCGCCCCTACCGTCGCCGCTTAGACGACTCCTGACAACCACACACTCCGTCACGATTGTACGAAAGATCCCTCATGTACTAGTAATCACGACCACGCACGCACACGAATGAGGTTACGGCTGGGCAGGGAAAAGCAGGCAGCAAGCACAGCGGGGAAAAGCGTACCGGACCGGACAATCGCAAGCTTTTATTATAGGGAGGGGTATGAGCGAATGTTTCCTCTTCATCTTGCTATTTGATACCACCTGGTGCGCATGAATCATTTTGGGCGGCCATTTGCTGTTGATGTTGGACTGGATACATATGTGACTCTTCGTGCTCGTGTTTTTTTGTTTTTGTTTTTTCTTCACCTTCTCTGTTGATATCTGCTCTTTGACGTGTATTTGCATGTAACACTGAGTTTACCTCCGTTTTAAATAAAACCGAAGATGTTTGAGGCAATACAACGTAGAGAAAGAGATTCCCGACCGACTGCCGAGTGGGCCACGGCACCCACCCACAGCCGGAGGATAAGCTTCTGCACTGTAGGATAACAGCCTCAACGACAACATTGCACTAGCTTGGCATGCGGTGCAACGTCCTACTAGTACGAGACAACCTCTCACAGCACGGGTCAGGCTGGTTTCGTTTCTAACCCACATGCATAAGAAGTAGGTATGTACAGTGCCTTAATATAGTGAGAAACGTTCAAATATCAAACGTCTCAAAGAAAACAAAAAAACACAATGCCGATAACAGTGTGACTGGGTGGGTGTGTGTGTGTGTGTGTGTGTGTGTGTGACCGGAGCCTCAATAGAATTCCACCAAGCTCTCATTCTGATGGAAGCCTACATCTAAGCTCAGCCCACGATTTTTCAAACTCATCTGCCAACTACACCGATGACAAACCACAAACCACTTTTAAACATGAAGAGAGTGGCCAAGGCCTCCAGAGAGATACGTTGCAAGTCAGAGATAACATTAGTATCCGCTACTCCCTACTGTTCCTTGGCCACCATAGCTTTAAATCAATAAATCTTTATAGATGATTCGAGCCTCTTTTACCATAGGTTGTGATGACTGTCTCGGTAGAATAGATACAATAATAAGGACGATTGTTAGGATGAAAACCAGAGGGAGTATGTTTATTGAGCGGCACAGATGCAGGTGCCGAGGTACCTAGGTACCAAATCCGTAGTACTACCCTGGCAACTGATGCAGCATGTGGGAGCGTCTGGGCTCTTGATAGGCCAATTGCCCGCCGGCTAGCGCCGCAGAAGCGCAGGAAAGAGGCAAGTATCATGGCGTGGGGGCCTTCGGCTACGCAGCGGAGGCGGGTTCCTTGGTCAACGTCCCCGGTTGCAATGCGACCGTATCACCTCGGCTTCGCAAGAATTCTTGTGCCTCGATTTCGTTTTGTCCTACGTTTGGCCAGCACGATTGCCGTCACACATTGCGTGTATCCTTGACCAAGGGCCGTCGGTACTCGAATGGCAGCGACAAGGCACTGCGCCGCTTGAACTATAATTCCCATCGACCGACTCCAGTCCCAGTGCCTCTGACTCTCTTTCTCTCCGCACACAGCGCTTCCACAGCTGTCAGACCACCTCGCTTCGGGACAGAATCGATCTGCCGGAGGGCCTCTTGTCAAAATGCGCTTCGGCAAGACGCTCCAGACATCCTTCTACGAGCCATGGCAGGACAAGTACCTCGACTACCCGAAGCTGAAGAGCATGCTTCGTGAAGACGAATACGAGGAGGACGAGTCTTGGACGGAAAACGACGAGAACAGGTTCAGCGACGAGATCTTCAACGTGCAGCTCGACAAGGTGACCAGCTTTCATGAGGCAAAGTTCAAAGAGCTCAAGGACCGCGTCGACTCCGCCTTCGAGAAGCTCAAGGACCTGCCCTCCTCCGAGGATGGCCAGCCGCGGAGCGAGCTCGCCACCCAGCGGCTCAAGGAGCTTGAGTCGGAGCTAGACACCATCACGAACGAGGTCAACCAGCTCAAGAGGTACAGCAACTTGAACTACACCGGCTTTCTGAAGATTGTCAAGAAGCACGACCGCAAGAGGGGGCTGCGCTACAAGATCCGGCCGTTGATGATGCAGCAGCTGTCAGACCGGCCGTTCAACTCGGAGCAGGCATACGGCCCATTGATTCACAGACTGTCGCTGGCATACTTCACGGTTAAGCAGCAGCTGGAGGAGGGCGTCAGCGAGGGTGTCATGGCAGAGTTGCAGGATGGCGTTCAGGAGACACGCAACGGCGAGACATATTCCGCGCACAAATGTGAGTCGGCCCGGTGGCATCAAGATACAACGTCACTACTTGTCCGCTGACTGTCTTTTGAATAGTCTGGGTACATCCGGATAACCTGCTTGAGGTCAAGACCTTCATCATGCGTCGATTGCCCAACCTGGTATACAGCGAGGTGTCGGCAAAGGAGGTCGACGGCAACGAAGACCCCAGCTTGACTTCCCTCTACTTTGACAACTCTAAGTTTGACCTTTACAAGCGCAAGGTCGAGCGTGAGACCGAGGCGTCTTCCCTGAGGCTACGATGGTATGGCCAGCTCAGCGCCTCACCCGAGATCTTCTTGGAACAGAAGATCGTGCACGAGGGCGGCACCAGTGAGGAACGCAAGTTCACAATAAAGGCAAAGTACGTCAAGTCTTTCATCGATGGCGAGTACAAAATGGAAAGAACCATAGCCAAGATGGAGCGGCAGGGCCAGAGCGAAGACGAGGTTGCGAGGTTCAAGTCGACGGTCAACGGTATCCAGGACTTCATCAAGGAGCGCAAGCTACAGCCGGTAGTGCGGGCAAACTACAAGCGCACGGCGTTCCAGAAGCCGACTGATGATCGCATCCGCATCTCCATCGATACTGATTTGGCATTCGTCCGCGAGGACACCTTGGACTCCAGGAGGCCCTGTCGCGATCCCAACGAGTGGCATCGACTGGATATCGACAACAGGAATATCGGTTATCCTTTCAAGGACATCAATCAGAGCGAGGTATCAAGGTTTCCCCACGCCCTGTTGGAGATCAAGCTGAAGGAAGATGGCCGCAAGCGGCCGGAGTGGATTGAGGACCTGATCTCATCCCACATGGTCCACCCAGCAGCCCGCTTCTCAAAATTTGCGCACGGTGTTGCCGTCCTTTTCGACGATTACGTCAACACTTTGCCCTTCTGGCTGAGCGACCTAGACAAGGAGATCCGGAAGGATCCCCAGGCGGCGTTTGAGGAGGAGGAGCAGAAGAAGGCCAGGCGTGCCGCTGACGAGCAGGTCGTAGGCAGCCTGCTCGGAAACAAGATAGGCTCGTTCCAGCCTTCCAAGAGCTCGCCCGTCAGCAGGTCGTACCTTGCAGAGCGGATTGCCAGTGAGACTGGAGCTGGACCGGCCGCGTCCACCTCGTCCACCGCGGTGGCCAGTGGCGGCCCACGCGAGAATGGGGGCTCGGCGCAGGGTGGGCAGCGGGAGGGGCAGAACGGGCAGCCACAGCAGCGAAGCTATGGCACCATCATGCCCTCCTTCTCGATCATCACGCGCTACGCCAAGTCGCGACAACGCAAGCGCGACAACGTCCAGCTGCCCGAGGGCGTCACCGAGCCCGAGACGTGGATCAAGAACGAAGGCCCGCTCAAGGTCGAGCCCAAGGTGTGGCTGGCCAACGAGCGGACCTTTATGAAGTGGCAGCACATCTGCGTCCTGCTGGGCGGCCTGGCTGTCGCGCTGTACACGGCCGCGGGCAAGAACATGCTGGCCCTGGCCTTTGGCATAGTCTACCTCGCCATCGCCGCCTTCGCCGGCGGCTGGGGCTGGCTCATGCACCGCCAGCGCAGGCAGATGATCGTGGACCGTAGCGGGAGGGACTTTGACAACCTCGTCGGTCCCATGGTGGTCAGCTTCGCGCTGGCGGCTGCCCTGGTTCTGAACTTTGTGTTCCAGGTGAGAGCGTTCCTCCGCTTGGCTGGTTGTATCTACCGTGGTGGTTGTATCGCAGTCGCTAACTCATGACGTCCTCCTAGTACCGCGCTGCTGCCCAGCGATTCGATTCAGACGCATCCCATGTAGGTACCAACACGACCGTGACCTCATTGCCGGTTGTGGATGAGCTGCTGCGATGAGCAGGCCGGGGTCATGTGACATCCAGGCGCAACTGCAGGACTTGGCTTGATTATACGATACCGTTGCTTGTCCCTATTGCTGTTTCGAGGCGCATGCGAGCACAAGTGCGGAGTCCAAAAAAATAACAATCGGAAATGGCGTATTAATAGCAGGGTGGGAAGTAGTGATAACTTGCATCAAATTTTAGTGGACTGAGTATTACTACATCGCCATAAACCACCGTCTTCTTCTCGGTAACAATTCGCGCTCACTGCGAGTCCTAGGGTGGGTGCCCTTGAAGGTTTCAGTTCAGAGCAGACTGGGCCTTACCGCACTGCTCCCACATCACGTACGTCTGCTGATACTCTGTCGTGTCTGAGCTGCCAAGAGTATGCGTCTCTTAGCTTGTGAGGATAAGTCGGCGCAGCGCCGATGAGCGTGTGCTGTTTGTGACCGGTATAGGTCATGAATAGGCCAGTCCCGAGGGAGAGAGGGAGAGAGAGACAGGTGCCTGGGTTGGGACTCGGTTTTCTGAACCGGGCCCGGGACGCCCGGCGAGACTGCTGCTGCTGTTGTACGGTGCAGAAGCGGCTGCCGGGTTGGTCAAATAGGATCCCAGGGTCTTGCATCGCTCAGCCCCGCGTCATTGGTCCCAGCAGCCTCGTCAAGCGGCTGTGCTAGTTAGGATGAACGCCAGCCGTCCTTCATCAGACTGACCAATAATGGTCTCGATACAGCTGATTGGGCAGCGCATCCCAGGGAAGCTGTGCTCGGAGAGCATGGGAAATGCGACAAGCGGACATGCACATGTTAATGCGTAGCGAGTCTATCAGCGTCTTCTACGTCTTCATTCGCGAGGCTTGATATTGGTATTCTTCCGGGATTGTGGACTCGGCAAAGAATTTTTATTCATCTATGTTGTCTTTGGACTACGGGCTCCCTGAGTTAGTATTCTATGCCGCTCTGTGGTCTGCTTCTCAAAGCACATCTGCGGTTCGCGCTCATTCTGCACGAATGTAGTGTCATGGTCAACATCCAGACACGCTTCCAATGTGAGCACCGCAACGAGACGCAGGCGCGCTCAGGAAGCAGTTCTACCTGCTCCCCAACATTTTTCAGCCCCAGGCTTTTTTTGTGGCGATATCGCGCAAAACTTCCTTTTCGGCCTTTTTTCACCCTTTTTACGCGCCGTGACCTGAACTCCAATTCGCGATGACCGCATGCACAAAAAAATAGGCTGTTGTTTCCCGTGGCTGTAACCAGGTGTCAAAATAAGGCACCGCAACCTCGAGCTTCCAGGTGCACTGTCCTCGGAGACAGCACTGGATCATCCAACTGTGGAGGTATAGCAGCCTGCAATTAGACAAGAAGATAGTGACCATGAACGATCTAGTGAAACTGTGAAAGGAAATTAGAAGAGTTGAGAGTGGCCGTAGGCACGGCCGGTGACTTGACGGCCCAGGACGGAACGCAGGCGAGGCGAGCCAATCGCATAGCCCCCCCCAAGAGGCCGTCAACATCGCAGGAATTGGTTGTGGGGTGCAAAAGCTTCTTTTGCAGGCTGTACAGTGCTGGTAAAGTATCAAAACCAAATGGTCGGGTACGGATGGGAAATGTTTGGGTTCCTGATGGCGAGTCTCGTGGATCCAGAAGAGGCGTGACTACCGCTTCATTGTCGAGCGGTCAAGGGCCTCCCGCAATTCCGGCCGGTCCTTGAGGGCCTCCTTGGCCTCGAGGTATGTCATCCACTTTCGCTCACGCTTCTCCACCTCGGGCCAGTCGCGCTCCTCCTTGACGACCGTGACCTCGTAGAAGCGGTAGAGAGACTTGTGCTTGGAACTCTTCAGGGATCTCGTCTCAACTATGTCGCCCAAGTCATAGTCGATGCGCACCAATATGCCAGCCTCTTCCCAGGCCTCCCGCTCCGCGGCTTGAGTGCACTCCTCGTCGGTCTCCCAGCCGCCTTTTGGCAAGACCCACCCTTTGCGCTTGGTCGACTGTATCATCATGACATATCTCTTGTCTGCAGTCAGCGGGACAACGCCGGCGACGAGACGTTCACCCTTTGAGTTGTAGCCTAGAGCAGATGAGTTGGTCAGTCCGCCGGGAGGGAAGCTGAGAGGCTTCGGCATATCAGGGGCGGATCGAAAGCAAGACTCACGTTGCTTGGCGCGACCGGTCCGGGACTCCATGGACCGACTACTTGAACCGCCTCCGGACATCTTGGCGTGATCCGCTGTCGTGAGTGTGTAGGTTGGTTGAGGCGAGTGAATCCAGGTGCAAATCAAAACTTTTGTTCTTTTTGGGGCCGGTGGTGGGGGTGAAGGGCCCAGAGAGACGAGGAGGAAGGCGGTTCTCAGGACTCGGAGAACCCAGGCTTGTACGGGGTCGCGATCCAAGTAAGATCTCAAAAAGACCTGGCGTCTTTCAATTGTTTCTAAGCGACATGGTGGAGGACGTTACAGTGGGACGCTGGTTAATCAGACAGTTCTCAAGTCGCGTCACGAGCTTGCACCAGAGCTGAGTCTCAGTTCCTCGAGAGGAGGAGCTGAGCCTTCCAGTGCGGCCTGCGGTGAAGAAACAGGCGCGCCCGGGTGGTGTGATGAGTCGACGGCAGGCGACACGACGTGAGAGTCAATTGGGGGGCTGCCTGAGGATGCTGTCGGCCGGCGCACTGAGCAGTAGTGTTGGCGATCGATCTGGTGCGTGAATCGCAGGGGCAAATAATGTGCAGTGAGGTGCAGAAAGGATGCAGCAGTCGTGCTACATTGCCCAGGGGGGGGGTGGTGGTGGTCCGGCAGGAGCCTTGGTCTGGCCAAGCGCGTGAGAGTGTCTAGAGGACCCGTCCAGAGGACCCGACCAGCCTAGGAAGTAGGCAGCAGCGGCAGCGGGAGTGGCAGCAGCGGCAGAGCAAGACTGATGCGGACGGGGAGATTAGGGCAGCGCCGCGGCGGCGTAGTGGCGCAAGGTTGGGTGAGTGAGGTAAGGCTGGACGGCGGATGGGGGCGGGAGAGGGTCAGGGAGGAAGTGGTGGGCGAGGTTTGCTGCGGTGCTGGTACAAAATGTGACGAGGAAGGGCCGTGGGAGAGGACGGGGAGCACGCCGGGGAGGCTGGTGACAGAGAATTTGACGAGGAGTAGAGCTCTACTGGCGTGGGCCGCCGGGAGAGCACCAACTTGTCGTGTGCCATAGCAGGAGGGATGGAGGGGCGGACGAGAAAAAAATAAGTCGGCTTCGCTTTATATACGGAGTAGTCCATCTGGCCTTGTACCCAAACTTGAGGTACCGGGGCCCCTGGCATGTCACTCAAGTCCACTCATGTCACTCGCGCAGATCGGACCACCTTTCCAGACCTGCCCGTGGGAGCAGGAGCAGGACAAGAGCAGAGAGAAGACCACAGGATGCCACGAGGCAAGGGGCAAGGGGGGGGAAGACCCAAGAACCCAGCCAGCTCGCCCGGGCGGGAGGATGGGAGGAGAAGAGAAGAGAATGGGCGCTGCCAAGGCTCCGTACAAAAGAAAGAGCCCTTCCTCCCCAAGGCCCGAGACTGAGGTTTGACATGATGCTGCGCGAGGCACAGGGCAAGGGGACACACACAGGGCTAGCGGTACCTGGAGGGTACATGAGCATGACCGTCCGTCTTTGTAGCGTTTGTTACTGCGACTTGAGTACGGATACGGTACTGTGTTGGCCCCAAGGCGCGACGCCGGCAGGGTCGGTCATTTGCACCTTCCCTTCCCTAGTGCCTGCCTCTCTGTCCGGCTTGGGCCCTGGACGGTTTGGGAAGGGGCTCGCTCGCTCTCAGGAGAGAAATTTGCTGCGTGTCTGTCTGTCTTTCTGGTTTGTCTGTCTGAGCGTGGAGCCGCCTCAAAGTCGCCAATGCAATGCAAGGAGCCCTTGGATGGAATGGTGCAGCCCCGAGAACTGAGCTCCCACGTACCCGCTACTTTCCAGGGCTGCAGAAGATCTGCTGACTCGTTGTACCTTCACCCCGCGGTCCTAACAGCTCCCGGCGCCGTCCCACCACCTGCGAACTCGCTCCGTCTCATGGCAGGAACTGCCTGCTGCCCCGTTTGGCAACTTCAGCCTACCACACACAGTTCTTTCTATCTCTTGTCGTTGGACGTATTGTTCCTTCTCTCTTCCCTCCTGCTCCCGCCCCATCCCCACATTGTCAAGTGGCCCGATCTAGCCAAGATGGCACCGGCACTTGGGCATACACCAGCTCGTGCCGTCCTAGGTGGTCTAGATGCCATCGAGGGATCGGCAGCTGCTGGCTGGGCACGTTATGCCATGGCATGGGCCGGAAGCGAGGTAGTTTCCGCGACCCCTTCCGCGGCAGGTTTTGTAACCCGATAATGCACCCAATGGGCCCCCGCTCCGACTCATGCCTACGCGAGATGCTGCGGTTGGATGTGTGCTCCCTCTCAAGGGCGGGAGCCATTGCACTGCTGCTCAACACCTGCTGTGGGATGAAGCACATGGCCCGTACAGTACCACCAGCAGGAACACATACTGCCGTACCAGCGTGTTGATCAAGAGGCATGAGGCCAAGCGAGAAGAGGGGATATGTAGGTACCTAGGTATATAAGATATATATGCCCACCTACGTAGGTATACATATATATATATATATATATACATATATACATATATATAGATCCTTGTAGGAAGGACTGCGAGCTGGGAACGGTGGATGAACCACCACCGTCTTTGTCTCTGGCCATGGCCGGGACTAGAGCAAAGCATGTGTGTGAAACCGGCCCCCCAGGCCCTGGTCTGGTGCTTCCTGTTATCCGAAAGCTGAAAGGGTCATGCCCGTCGTCGACCTCACGGCTGCGTGTTGGATGTGCAGACTGGCAGACTGGATGTACAGTCCTGTCTTTCTGCCCACCGTCGGGCTGACTGAGGTGCGGCCATGGACCAAAACGCCAGAGCTGCCTGGGTATTCTGTGCAGCCTATCAGAGCCTGTCCCGAAGACCCCTGGCCCTGGGGTCCTCGTCAGCTCAACCTCAGCACGCGGGCAGCATTGGCCGCCGGTCACCATCACTGCAGGTCCAGCGACTGACACGGCGTCGACCTTGTCCTGTGTCCTGATCCAACACTCGGCCCAAGCGAGCGTCTATCGCCCGCACCTGCCAACGACAACACCCATCGCAGCACAAGTGTCCTCCCTCCAAGCCGCCTAGCACAACCTCCTAGCTCTTTTGAACGACCCCAATAGCCTCGCAAAGGCTCGCGCACGCCGCCAGCCCCATCTGGTCTCGCCTTCAGTCAGACAAACAGGCCCGTTGCTGCTTCCATATCGCGGTCGAGGCCAGCCGAGCCTCGCTCAGCTCCCCGCCTCCGAAGGCCCAGGTTTGGGCATTCGCTCCCAGCTGCGACGAGCGAGGCATTTGGAAGATCCTGTGTCGTATCGTCGCCTGTCTCCAAGCCTTGAGAATTCGACGAAAGAAACGACGCCCCCCCAGGTTCCCCAGGACCAGGCCGAGACCAGCAGTCCCGTCACCCCTCACCCTCGCCCTCGCCCTACCCCTCCCACCAACCCCCCGCCCGAAAACGCTGGCTGCTGTCAACGAGTAGCTCCCCCCACCCTCCTGTCCAGACCGTACCGTACCGTTCCGTACGGTTGGAGCCGCCCAGACAGCCAGACAGCGTCGCGTGTTGCAGGCGCCCCCGTTCAAAAGTTAAGGACGGCCATGGAAGGCACAAACCTGCAGACCCCTGAAGATGCATTGTCCTACATCGCCCCAATCGGTGAGTTAGTACCCTATACGCGCCATGTCACCGCATCTCACCCAACCATTCGGACCCGTGTCACATCTCTGCAACATCGTTGGCTGCTGCTTTGCTTGTCAGGAATAGGCCAAACCTTACTGCTGTTTCCGTGCTGCCCTCGTGTCGTCTCACCTCACCTCACCTCACCCTCATACCAAAGCTGGTACAGAGTGCGGCCCGCCGCATTCTGAATCTGGCCCATATGGCTTGGGACATCCCACGTTGACTCCTGGCGTCGAGTCACACCGCCGACCTGATGCCCAGATGTGCCTGCACGCACTCTTGCCCATGCCCTTGGCTTCCCGTGCAGCGGCACAGGGAATGCCATCCCAAGTCGATGCTGCTTTCGAGTGAGAGTCTCCTACCTGCTGTGTGCCAGTTGCTCCCAGGAGCAAAAGCAAGAGAAAAAGCAAAGGCAAATATCAACACCAGCCTCCGTCCGCAGCTCCCTGATGTAACACATTCTGGGACGGTCTGCCCCGAGGTGGACTTCCGAGAAACATCTTCACCCACAGCACACACGTACTTTCTTCTATCTCAGGCTTTCGTTGTTACAGCCCTGGATGGACTGTATGTAGGACAGATGGTAGCGCTTCTGTTCGTCAATGTACTCTGCAAATATCATGGGCCACCTGTCCGCCCATCGAATTGCGATGGCGGCTACTTGTGCTGCATTCCACTAACGAGCTGTTGTGGTACAGGATACAGTAATTCCTCAGACTGCGGATACTGCCGAAAGACTCGCAGCGGTCAGTCAGACGTCAAACGTGAATCTCTCCTTGAGCCCCATCCGCATGAGCGAAAGAGCCTCAAAGGCTCTGTGCGACTTGCATAATGTGATAAAGCAACATGCACTCCCTTGGGCCACCGCTCTCACCGAGACCGTGTGGCTGCCCCGTCTCAAGATGCCCATCCACACCTATGCTACAATGTGTCAAAGGCGCACTCTGTTCTGACGGCTATCTGACGAGCAGGATATTCGTATTATGCATCCGGATACTCTTTGACCCCTGAATTTTACGAGGCCCTCATAAAACGATGTTGGAGGCGCTCGGGAACCCTGCTGTACCGGCCAAACCAGAAGAGTGCTTGTTGTCCGCACTACACCCTCCGCCTGGACTCGGCCCAGTTTAAACCATCCCGAGACCAGCGTCAAGCAGTGAACCGCTTCAACCGCTTCATCATCGGGGAGGCTTATGCCAGGGAAGCCGCCCGGCGCTACCCACTCACGCGAGACCAGGCCCGCAAACGCGACACCTGTTTCGACCTCGTTGAGAGGATCCATGAGGCAGAGGCAGAGCACCTGAAAACTCCACTCCAGCCAGCACATGAACTCAAGGTGACGCTGGAGCCAGATACGTTCACCGATGAGAAGTTCGCCGTATTTGATAACTACCAGAGGCGTGTGCATGGAGAGGCCCCTTCAAGCATCAGTCAGAGAGGATTCAAAAAGTTTCTCTGCAACTCACCGGTAAGGAGGGGTATGCACACGGATGCCGACGGGAAGAGTCGACAAGTCGGCTCATTCCATCAGTGCTATCGCCTAGACGGCAAGTTGGTGGCGGTGGGGGTGCTCGACCTGCTTCCCGAGGCCGTGAGCGCTGTCTACTTCATGTATCACGAGTCCATACACAAGCACCAGCCCGGCAAGCTTGGTGCTCTGAGAGAGATCGCCCTGGCGATGGAGGGCGGCTACCGTTACTGGTGGGCGGGCTACTATATTCACAGCTGCCCCAAGATGCGCTACAAGATCGACTATCATCCGCAGTATGTACTGGATCCGGAGACGTTGACTTGGGACCTCTTGGACCAGGAAGCCCTGGAAATATTCGACAAGAAGCACTACGTTAGCCTGTCCAGAGACCGCAAAGTTGCTGCTGCCAAGGGCCAAGAGAACGATGTCGACAACAGCACGAGCGAAGGCTCTGCCGAAAACACCAACGTGGACGGCGACAGCGATTCAAACTTCAGCGACGACGACGACGACGACGACGACGACGACGACGACGACGACGACGGCGAAGACATCTCGCTCTTCCATAGCGACATGCCTGGCATTGTGACCATGTCCGATCTCGAGAACAAGTTCGATTTGGACCACATACGCGTCATGTCGGACAATACAGATGGTTTCTTCTTCACCTGCGAAGCCAACATCTGGGACCGCAGCAGCATACGTGAAGTCGGGTCCCTCAAGTCTCGGATAGCGGAATTGGCGGCCGCCATAGGCCCTGATCTCCTCCAACAGATATGTCTCGATTTCCGGCGAAAACGGCAGTGAAACATGTTGAACAAGATGTACTTCACAGCGCCTCAAACTCATGGAATCGCTAGGGACATCTTACTCGCAGCAGGAGGCACTGGTCGCTCCAATGAAACGATATTGCTGAGACATTTACCAAAGCTGTGGTTCCCGGGTGGGGCGAGCCCGTGATTGGCAATCCGCTGACAAGCCGTACATCACCGAGTCCTTCACAGACTTGGCCAAGAGGCACTGCCTACGGTTTATGCGATGATTGATACTCAACGATCAAGCTACTGTAGCACTCCAATATAAGCACGCCTTTTCTGATGAGGCACTTGAAGTGTGTTGGTTCATCCATAAGAAACTAACGTCACTGCGAGATTAACGCGCCTCGAGCCTCTGGACAATAGCAAGTGAGGACCATATGCCTATAACGTAACGGGCAGTCATGAAACAGTTAGCGGTCGTACCCGACTCGCCTCGGGCCGGTCTTTGATCGTTCGCCAAGTAACTGAATAGGACAACTCATCACGCGAACAGTTGCGATTTACAGGCTAGCTGCTGGAGGACATCGAAGGGCTGCAAAGGCACGGACGGACCACCAGCAACTCACTTAGTCACAAAGAATCGTTCCGACTGCCCCTGTGCAATGGTGCAAGTATCACATTACACATTAGGTGGGTCTCGACATCGTAAGTAATGGTCTAGCTCCGGTCATGAGGAGCTCAATCCTCCCCTTCTTCACAGACGTCGGCCTCGTTCATTCTTTATCCGCATCACACAAGCGGCCTCAGAGAGCCTCTCCAGCGGCTGCCACCTTGGTTGAAAGTGCCTGACGGATCTCTTTCCAGACTTGGACCTGCATGAGCCTGGCCTCCTTGCTCGCCAGCACAGGGGCAGACCGGCTGGCGTACTGGGCGTCCGTGAGGTAATCACGGAGGAACTTGCCCTGCGTCCAGGTGACAATATCAGCATGTTGCTTCGCGGCGGCGGTCGAGTTTCAGAGGCCAGCCAGTGGACCCGAAGATGACAACGCCTCAGACTGATGGGCGACTTACATGATCTGCGGGCCCGGCGAGGGCGCCGGCGAGGTAGATGCGGGCGCCGTAATCAGGCGATTTCCCGACCAGGCTCATGAATATCGGCGCAGCTATCCTCGCGACGATGGAGTTCTCCTGCATCGACCGTGAGAGCTCGGTTTTGACCGGGCCGGGGCAGACACTTGTCACGATGACCTGCGGCCTGGGTGATGGTTGTCAGCGAGGGCGATTGTCTGAGGCCAAGGGGTATTCGCAGGCTACACATACTCGTTCTTGTCATTCAAGGCCATCTTGGAAACCTCCTCAAGCGCGTACATCAGCAGAAGCTTGGAATGGTTATACATTGGGCTTGCCAGTCCGGCCTCGAAATTCTCCTCGTTTGAATAGTGTGCAAGCACACCACCCTCGCTTTCCGCGTAAGTGGACCAAGGCCTGATGTCGACTGACATGTGCAGGCCGGAACTGACAAAGACGAGACGCGCAGGCGTGTTTCTCTGGCCGCGGTGCTGCCTCATCCAAGGGACTAGCAGAATGGCGACCAGACTTGTGCTTAGTGTGTTGACCTGGATAATCTCCTCCCTACACAAGATGAATCAGCCACAAGGGCCAGGAGGGAGGGAGGGGGGCTGGGGAAGAGGGTCATCAAATACAACCTACATGCCCTCAGGACTCCTTCTGAACTGCGAATTCGTGACGCCCGCGTTGAAAACGATCACATCAGGCCCACCGGTGGCACCGAACCGGCCCTTGACGGCGTCGACAAAGGCGACACACGATGCATAGCTGTTCATATCAAGCTCCATAACACTGACCCTACCTGACTCGCCCCGCCCAGCGGCGAGAATCTTTTGCCTCGCACCTTCGGCTCTCGCAGACGAGGCACTCCTGGCCGTGATTATGACCTCTTCAGCGCCTAACCTGAGGAAGTGAATGGCGGCCGCGAGGCCCAGGCCGGCAGTGCCACCCGTGACGAGGACCTTCTGCCCGGCGAAGGCATTGGGTGCCGGCAGAGGGGATGGGAAGAACTTCCCGGTGAAGGATTTCAGCGACATTGTCCTTAGGAAGAGCAGGGAGGCGCGGGCTTCTGTTTTCAAGGTGGTGTGCTTGGTCTTGGGCCTGTTCTTGGTGACTTGCTTTTCGGCACTGGCTCGGGAATGGGATGAGATGTGAGACGCCGGCGTAGATTCATTCAAGGAAGACATGATGACGGTTTATATGTAGGTGTCATTCGGTCTGGCCGTTGTGTATACAACATGAGCCATTGCATTGTGAGGAAGAGACTGAAGGATTGTCTGGGCGTTGAAACCAAACACATGGTGATCCGAAACGCCAGGACTACCACCCGAGTATCCATCATCTCAGCGTCACATGTGAACCGGGACCGGAGCCGGTAATATCGCCATCGGCGTCTTTTTTCTTCTTCTTTGGCATTTTCTCAGCCAAAACAACCTCGAGATGTGTGATGCCGTTGGACAGACCCCTTGGCCAATCCCGTCGGTAAGTCGGAGGTCGGCGAGAGGGAGCGGGTTCCGGACACTTGTAATCCTCAATAGATGGGAAATGGGTGCAGTCATTCATCCGCGCTTGGTCAGCCGCATTTGGCAGCAGCTAAGCTTTTACGGAGCACACTGCGCATCACCCAATTGGGTGTGCCGCAGGTGGCGAGGTACCTGCCTAGGTACCGAATAGGTGACGTTTTAAGGTTTTGGGGAGCAGCCCGGCAGCTTGGGTCCTCTCTTGCGTGCATACGCTCCCTGTCACCATGGCAGGCGGGCAGGCGGGCAGGCGGGCCTATCTAGACCAGATGTTAGGAAGGAACGGTACCAGAACGGTATACAGGCCCCTATAGAATATTCTTAAGGAATTCTCAGTCTCTAACTTATTAAATAGAAACTTAAATAAAATAAGAAACTAATATACCCTTTTTACTTACTTTACACCCCTTAATAACTTAACTTAAATATAATAGTTAAACACTAAATATTATTATATTAATAGCCTTATTTTAAACCTTAAATTTTAAGTTATTATCCTTCTTTAATAAGGTTTTATCTTTTAAACTATTATTAATAGTATTAATATATTTATACTTACTATTAAATAACTTTAAAATTAATTAATATAAAAGTTTATTAGCTTTAAATTTAATAGTTACTTTACTTTTATTTATTATTAAAATTTATTTATATTATAAAATCTATAATATTAATTTTAAATATATTTATTTACTTTAACCTTTCTTTAATAAATAAAATTTAATTTTAAAAAAAATTTAATAGTTATTAAATTAATTAATAAAATAAAAAGCCTTTTAATTTTTAATAACTTAATAAAAGCTCCTATTAGCTAGATCTTAAACTATATTTAAATAAAATATAACTTCCTTTATTACTAATTTATTACTTCCTTTTAATACTTTATTATTATTAACTACTTATAAATTATTAATATATTAATAAATATTAAATTTATTATATCTTAAAGTTTTATTAATAATACTTTTTAAATTTACTTTTAATTATTTATTATTAAAATATTATTTAAAAAAATAACTTTATTTTATAAATAATAAATCTAACTTTAATATACTTTATTATTAATAAAAATTCTAATATAACTCCTTTTATTATTAAAATATTATAATTTTATTTATATAAGCTATAATAAATAATTAATAAATTTAAAACTAAAATTTTATAATAATAATAGTTTAAACTATAATAAATTTCCCTATTTTATAAATTTATTTTTAACTTTTATTATAAATTAATAAAAATAATAGTTATTTATTTTTATTTAATTAATATTAAATATTTCTATTTATAAAAGGTTTTAATTTTAATATTTAATTTAATAAAAGGTTATAAAATACTTTAATATATTCTACTTTATTAAATATTTTAAGTACTTAAAATAAATTTATTTTATAAATAATATCTATTAAATATAGTTATAATACTTTTTAAAAATACTTTAAAATAATATTTTTATATTTTAATAAAAATAATTATATTATATTTAAAGTAGTAAATATTAAAAATATTTATAATAAATTTAAAGTTTATTTTATAAAGTTTTATTTAAATATAATAACTTTTTAAAATAAAATATTTTTATTATAAAATATTATTAATAAAAGAATATTATTTCTTTTTAAATAGTTATTTTAAATATAAAATACTATAATATAAAACTCCTACCTAATTTATTACTACTTTTAAATTATTTATTTTAAAAATTAAATTTAAAATTTCTAAATTTAATAAAAATATAAAACTTATAAACTTTTTAATTTTATTTATAATTATAAAAGTATAATTATTAATTTAACTAAATAGTACTTTTATTCCCTAATTTACTATTTATATTTAATAACTTATTTTTATTTATAAAATAGATTATTTATTTTTATATTTTATAATATTTACTTATATAACCTAATATTAATAATTATAATAATACTTTTAAGTATAATTATTTTAATTTTTATAATTTAATTATTTATATATTATTAATTTAATTTAATATTTAAATTAATTTTAATATTTATTTTAATTTTAATTTTAAATTAATTTTAACCTTTAAATTATTTAATTAAATAAAGTTAAATATAAAATATTAAATATAATTAATTATAAATATTATTAAATTAATATATAATTTAATATTAATAGTAAAATAAATAATAATAATAAATATTTTAATAATAATTAAATATTTTATAATTATTTTTATATTAAAAATTAATATTTTCCTATTTTATAAACTTAATATAATAAAAAATCTATAAAATTAATAAAATTAATACTAATAAATATATTATAGTAAGTTTATTAATTATATAAAGCTATTTAATATATTTATTTATTAATAACTTTTTTAAAGATTTCTTTAATAAGGAATTTTTATAAAAACTACTTTTATAACTTTTAACTACCCTTTAAAAACTTTTCTAAATAATAAATAATATAAATACTAAAATATTAAATTTTTAAAACTATAACTTTATTATTATTAATATATTATTATTATTAATAATATTTTAATAATTATAATATATTAATAAATTATATTTATACCTTTTACTTTTAATAATTTTAACTAAAAATAAAGAAAATAAATTATTTATAATATAAAAAATAATAAAGTTACTATTATTTTTATAAAATTTATAAAATAACTTATACTCTAATAGTATATCTTTAAATATATTAAATAAATTAGTAGGAAGCTATAAATAAAAACTAATTAATTTTAGTATTATTATAAATACTATTAAGGTATAAAAGTTATTAAATTTTAGTAAGAGTGGATTTAAAACTAAGTATAGGATTTAATTTTTTTAAACTTATTTTTATTTTTTATTTACTTTTAAGTAATAATATATTAGATATTTATAAAAATATTAAGTATAATTATATTATAATTAATAGAAAATAATTATTATAAAATTACTTAAAATTAAATTTTATAAATAAATATTTCTATTATATTTATATAAAATTAAAATAAATATTTATAAAATTTTTAACTATATAATTATACCCTTATAATTTTTAAATATATATATTAATTATAAAACTATAATAGTTACTTTTTTATTTATAAAGTTTTATTATTAATAACCTTTATATAAATATATTCCTTAAAATAAATACTATAAAACCTAAAGGCTTTAATATTTTTATTTTAAAACTATATATTAATATTAATTTATATTATATTTATATTTTAATAGAATTAAAAAGTAAACTCATTTTATAAAGGTTAAAATTTTACCTTTATAAAAGTTATTATTTTACCTTACTTTATAATTTAACTATTTATTTAATATAAACTATATTTAAATAAAGTATAGAATTTAATTTTATATTTACTTTTAATATATTAGTATTTTTATACTTTTATAAATATTTATTTTACTTTTATTATTATTTAAAATAAATAAAATAATTTAATTATAATTTCTAATAATATATTTATAAAATACCTTTACTTTATAAACTTATAATATTATATTTACTTTATAATATTAAAGAATATAAAAATAATAAATAATACTTTTATAAAACTTTAAATTATTAAAAGATTAAAAGAATAAAATAATTTATTTCCTTTTATTTTTATTTTATTATTTAATAGTTAATATTAAATAGTACTTAAAAAAATAAATAGTTATTAATATTTAAAACCTTAATAAAATAACTTTTATAAATATTTATTTTACTTTTATTATTATTTAAAATAAATAAAATAATTTAATTATAATTTCTAATAATATATTTATAAAATACCTTTACTTTATAAACTTATAATATTATATTTACTTTATATAAAATAATATTAATATTATTTTACTATTTTTATAGCTATTTAAAATTAACTTAAAAATATTTATTTATATAAGTAATTTTTAGTTTATTTAACTATTAATATAAATATTTTTAATTTTAACTTAAAAATAAATATAAACTTTTAATTTCTTAATAAAAATATAAATATATTTATTAATAATAGTTTTATAAATATTTTTAAAAAAATAGCTTAAAGTTTATTTATAAAATAATTAATAAAACTTAATTTTAAAAAATATTATATTTACTTTATAATATTAAAGAATATAAAAATAATAAATAATACTTTTATAAAACTTTAAATTATTAAAAGATTAAAAGAATAAAATAATTTATTTCCTTTTATTTTTATTTTATTATTTAATAGTTAATATTAAATAGTACTTAAAAAAATAAATAGTTATTAATATTTAAAACCTTAATAAAATAACTTTTATAAATATTTATTTTATAAAAATTAAAATAATATTTTTATTAAAATTATAAATATAAAATATATTATAATATTTAATATTATAGCTTTTTTATTAATAGTAATTATATTTAAAATTAAAATAAATATTTATTATAATAATTACTTAAAGGTAGTTTACTTTTAAATATATAATTATAGAATATTATAGTAATTTAACCTATATTTAATAATAAATAAATTATCTTCTTAATAATATAAAAGAAAATATATTTAAATAATATTATTATTTTAATTAATAATATACTTAAAATTATTTATATAATATTAATTAAGTTTATAAAAGTTAAAAATAAAATATTACTATAAATTTAAAAGTCTTTTTTATTATATTTATAAATATTATATTTAATAAATATATAGATTTTTAGTTTATTAACTATTAAAGAGTAATTATATATTATTATAGTTTTAAGTTTTTAAAATCTTTAAAGAACTTTAAATACTTTATTAATTTTATTAAATATATATATTATAATATTTTACTTTTAATATAAAATTAAATTATTAAAAGTTTAAAAATAAATTTCTTTTATTTAAATTTTATTAAAAACTATAAAAAAGATAGCTTAATAATAATAAATAAATTAAATTCTTTTATACTACTTAATAAATTAAAGAAAACTTTCTTTAAAATAGTTAAATTAAACCTTTTAAAGTTTATATTTATTATATATTTTAATATAAAATAATAGCTATTTATTAATTTTAATATATTTATATTAAAAATTAAAATTTAAATTTATTATATTAAAAATAATAATATTTTAAAATTAATAAAAGATAATTATATTATTATATACTTTTATAAAACTTTAATTAAAATAATTATATACTTTAATTAAACTTTTAAATATAAAGTATTAATATTAAATAATTAAAATAGAAATCCTTAATTATATTTAAATTTTAAAAATATAAATATTAAATTAAACTTTTAAATATTATTTAATACTATATATAAACTATTTTATAATCCTTAACCTTTTAAATAATTAAATATTATAAATTTAATAACTATTTTTATTAATAATAAAAACTAATTTATACTTTAAAATATATAAATAGTTTTAAAATAAACTTTTATATAAACTTAAATAAAAATATTATTTTAAATATATTATTATACTTACTATTTTTAAATAAAATTATTTTTAATATTTTAAATAAATTAAAAGTTTTATTTAATAATAAAAAATATTAAACTTTTATTATTAATATAACTATATAGTTATTCCTATTTAATTAAAATTTATAAAATAAATAAATATATATTAAAGTATTTTTAAAATTTTAAAAGTACTTATAAAATAAATATTATAAAGATTTATAATAATTTAAAATTTTAATATAATTAATTAAAATAATACTTTAAATAAAAATAAAGCTATTTTACCTTTTAAAGTTTATTTTAATTTTATTTAAAACTTTTATAAAAAATAAAATACTATATTTTTATATTCCCTACTTTTATATTATTAATATTTTAAAATTTATATATTTAAAAACTATTATAATTATACTTAATTTAATAAATTTTTTATTTATATTATATTAAATAATTATAATTAAAATTATAAAATTTACTTAATATTATTTATAATATTTTATTTTTAATATTTATTATTATAAAGTATATAATAATTTATAACCTATACTTAACTTATTTTATTTATATTATTAAATTATAATAAATTTTATTTTTAAATTATTTATTATAAAATTAAATAAATTTAATATAATTTTATTAATTATTTATAAATTTTTAAAAATTATTATTTATTTTAAAAATAATATAAAAATAATAAAATAAATAACTAAACTTTTATAATATTTACTTTATAATAATTAAAATTATTTAAAAGTTATTTTAATAAATTAAAATCTAAAATTTTATTAAAAGTTTAATTTATAATATAAAACTTTTAAAATAAAATTTCTATATATAATAATATATTATTTATAAATAAATAAATAATTTAAATAAATAATATAAATAATTAAATTAATATTATAATACTTTATTTATAGTTTAAATAATTTTAATAAATAATTAAAACCCTATTATAAATATAATTTAAATTTTATAATAATAAATTTTAAACTATTAACTACTCTTTAAATAAAGTTATTAAAGGCTTTATATTAAATAATATATTTAATATTATTATAAATTAAATTTTATATTAACTTTTAAACTTTTAAAACTATATTTAAATATATAATATTTTAATATTAATAAATATAACTATTAAATAATACTATAATTAATAATATTTTATATAATTTTAATATTAGAAATAAAATATTTTTATTTATATAAAGGTTATAATATTTTATAAAATATTAAATAAAAATATAGTTTTAATATATAAACCTTTTAAAATTATTAAATAAATTAACTATTTAATATACTAATTAAACTTTTATAAATATAAAAGCTTTAATATAATATAATTTTAATTAATTATTTAAAACTATATTTTATAAACCTATTTAAATAAAATATTTTTAATATTAATTTAATTTATATAAAAACTATAAAAATAAATATTTAATAAATAAAGTCTATTAATAAGTAAAATAAAATATTTTATTAAATATATTAATTTTAAACTTAAGTTTTAAGAATAAAAACCTTAATATAATTAGGTAATAAAGTTTAAAAACTATTTAATATATTTTATATAACTATATAAAAATTAATAACCTTTATAATAATAATTACCTAAACTTTAAAAATAAAATAAAAAAGTAGACCCTTATTTATTATTTTTATAATTCTTTATACTATTTAAGATTTTAAAATTTCTTTTTTAAATAATTTTTTTCTTTTAAATACTATTAATAGAAAAATAGTATTAAAATTATTTAATATAAGGTTAATTAAAGTATTAAAAATATTAAAAAAGAAAATCTTTTATTATTAAATAATAACTTTATAATATTAAAAATACTAATATTAAAAAATAAAAGCTAACTAAAAATTATTTAACTATTTAAAAATAAGCCTTTTAATAAATATAAATAGTTTTATTAATTTAATAATTATTTTAAAAATATTAAAACTATTATTTAATAAAATAATTAAATTAATTTTATAACTATTATAAAAACCTTTATAAAATTATTAATAATATTATTAAAAATAAAAAATTATTAAAAATAACTTAATTTAATTATAAACACCTTTATTTTTATTTAATTTATATAAAAAATTTAAATAACTATTTTTAAAGTTAATTATTTATTATTAAAAAATAAATTAATTAATATTTATATATTTATAATAAACTTATTAATATAATTTTTAAAAAAATATATTTTCTTATATTTTATAATTTTAAAATAAATAACCCTACTTTAAAAGTAAAAGCTTTATTTATTTTAATTTATAACTTTTAATATATTATTTTATAATATAATTATTTAAGATTTAAATATAAATTTAAATAATTTAAAAATTTAAAAAAGTATAAAATTAAATTTAAAAAAATAAAATTAAAAAAATAAAGTTTCTTTTAAAAATTTATAAAGTAAAAATACTTATTAATATTAATTTTAATTTTAATAATAAAGCCCTAAAACCTTAAAAATAATATTATTTAATAATAAAAATAATTTAATTATAAAAGCTTTTTAAAGTAGTTATTTATATTTTATATTTTAACTTTTATTAATTCTTTTTATTATTTAATTAAAATATATTTTATTAAATATAAATAATAAAATAAAATAACTTATATTAATTATAAATTTTATTAATAAAAAAGCTTTATTATTAATATAAACTATATTAATATTTTATTAAAAAAATATATAAAAGAAATATAAAATTTATAAAAAATAAATAAAAACTTTTAAATAAAATTAAATAATTAATATATAAAGTTAAAAAGTAAAAAAATATTTTAACTTTTAACCTATTTCTTTATAATATTAAATTTAAACTTTTATTATAAAATAAACTTTTAATAAATAAAAAAATATTAAAAATTTTAAGAAAATTATTATATTAAAAAGTTATTTTAACTATAAAGTAATAAAATTAATTAAAACTTTTAATAATATAATATATTTTATAAATTATATTTTAATATTTATAATATAAATATAAATTAAAATTTAAAATTTATATAAATTTATTATAAAATTTTAATAATAAATTAAAATTATTATATAAAATAAAAATAAAAGTAAAACTATTAATTATAATAAAGTAAATATTATTAATAATAATTAAATAAAAAATTAAAAATTAAATTAAATAATTCTAATTTTAAAAATATTTATTATAAAATATTTTAAACTTTAAATAGTAAATATTTATAATATAAAATATTTAAATATTTTATATTACTATATTTATAATTTTAAAGTTTTAATATTTAATTAATAGAATTTTATTATATTTATAACCTTAAAGCTTTTAATATTTATAACTTTAAGGTTTTAATATTTATAACCTTAAAGCTTTTAATATTTATAACTTTAAGGTTTTAATATTTATACTTTAAAATTTTTAATATTTATAATTTTAAAACTTTTAATATTTATAACCTTAAAGTTTTTAATATTTTAATTAATAAAATTTTAATAATATTATATTTCTATTATAAATATTTTTAATTTTTAATATATAAATATTTTATTTTATATTATAATTAATAAAGAAAAATAAAAATAAAATTTAAATAAATATTTTTAATTAATAAGGGTATTAATACTTTTTAAAGGGGGGTAGGTTATTAGAAAGAAACGATACTAAAATAATATATAGACCTTTATAAAGTATTTTTAAAGAATCCTTAACTTTTAGCTTATTAGATAGGAACTTAAACAGAATAAGAAACCAATACACCCCCTTCACTTACTTCACACCCCCTGACACCAGACCTACCGCATCATTGCCTGCCGCCAAAATTTCAATCCGAAAGATCAACCAACATTTTGGCTTGTGAAGCAGCACACCAGCACACCAGCACACCAGCCCACCCCAAGCTTGCCTGTTCCTGCACGCCGCCACAGGCCGAGCAGATTGTTGTCCGCTCTCGCGCTCACTTGCATCATGGCCTCGACGCAGCACGTCAACCTCTCGCCCGCCGAGCTGGCCTACCTCCACGCCTCGCTCTCGCTGACCCCGCCCCTGCGACCAGACGGGCGCTCCGCAACCCAGTTCCGCCCCCTCAGCGCCGAGACGGGCATCCTCCCCGGCACCAATGGCAGCGCCCGCATCTGTTTCGCAGACGGCACCGAGGCCATCGTCGGCGTCAAGGCCGAGATTGGCAAGACAGAAACCCGCTACGGCGCCGGCAACACGCTGCAGGAGACGGACCTGATCCACGCCGGCGGTGACGACGATGACGAGACAGACGGCAACGGCGGTGGGGCAAGGGCCGGTGTCGAGGGCCAGAGCAGCTGGATTGAGATTTCCGTGGAGATACCTGGCGCCAGGGACGACGACGCGAGCACAATCTACTTGGCTGAGATGCTGAGCGAGGCACTGCTGGCGGATGGACAGTTCGCAAGGAGGCTGTATCTTAACAGACGCTTCCACTGGAAGCTCTACCTTGATGTCAGTCGCCCGACTACTTGTGCAGGACCCTATCCCGCGACACAGACAATCTTGCTAACAAAAAATGCGCGCCGCAGATCCTCCTGATATCGCCGCCCCTGTCTTATCCTCTGCCCCTCCTCTCCCTAACAACCCACCTCGCGCTGCTGGCGACACGACTACCGCGCCTGATCTCAGAAGGCGACGAGGACCCACTCTTCGACGATGACTGGGATGCGTCCAAGTACCTGTACCCCCACGACAAGGGAGCGCCTGGTGCACGGCCACCGGTGACTCTTCTCGTCATGGCGGTAGGCGACAATATCATCTTCGACCCAGCAAAGGAGGAGCTCGCCGTCGCCGACAGCGCGCTGGCGATCTCGGTAGCAGATGCAGCCACCCCCAGCGGCGCGGACGAGATGGACGTTGACGGTCCCAGCAAGCGCAGTCTGCGGCTGTTGTCGATACGCACAATAGACCCCCCTTCACGACTGACGCCGCCCGGCGTCCCCAGGGCAAACGATGCTGCCACGGAAGGCACAGACCGCACGGCGAAGCAGCGGCCCGAGCAGCAGGTCCAGGAGACGGAGCCGGTGGACGGGGTATGGAAGGCGCCGAGGGGAGGGGCGAAATGGGCAGTCCTGAGTGCCATGGTCGCAAAGTCATTAGAGCAGGGTGGCGCTGCGACCGAGGTTCTCGATGGCCTCAAGGCCGTGGAGTTGGGATGAGCTGCCTTGTCGGAGGGGAGAGACCAGGATTTTAGACTAGTCTGATCTACAGGGCACATGTTGGTCCATTCTCCACCAGACGAGATGGACGCCCGCGGCTAGAGTCCCGCCGTGCGACTGGACTCTGAGACGGCTCAGGAGGTGATCCGAGCATGGGCTGTTCCGCGCCGGCCGGCGGGCACAGGTAGCGCCCAGACATGGGCATTTAGACGAACCATGAATGCAGTACACCTGTCCATACACAATCCCTTAGAAGATCCCAAGCCACTTGTCCCTCTTCCCCGGCTCGGCCTGTGGCGCCTGCGGGTCGTCCCTGGCCGTCCAGTTCCCGAAGCCGCCCTCCTTGTCCAGCCCGTGGGCCTTGCGGTACTCGGCGCGCTTGACGACGTCGTCGACGTTCTTCTTGCGCTTCTCGGCGACGATGGCCGAGTTGTGGAGCTGAGTGAGCCGCCAGACATCGTACAGGGTGTACAGCGACACGATGGGGTGCTCCCAGTAGTCGGAGCTCTCGGGGAGCATGTCGGCGAAGGGGGTGTTGCTCTTGAAGTTCTCGGTGGCTACGAAGATGGCCAGGCTGGCCAAGGTGCCCTGGGAGCCGGGAGTCTTGTCAGTGACCACAGCCCACAGCCCACAGCCTATAGTCCATAGTCCACAAGGCGGTGGATACTCACCAGAGTGATTGACAGATGGAGGCCCTGGCTGTTCCAGAACCAGTGCGCCCAGGTACCCTGGGGGGCCATCAGGCCGGGGTATTCTCTCCTCCTCTGCGAGGCAACCTCGTCGGTGGACAGAGAGCCCCCATAGTGTTGTTGCTGGGGGCGGTCCTTCCTAGGCAGGCGAGCGCCGTGGGAGGGCGGGTTGAACCTGGTGGGCTGTTCCAGGACGATGGGCTTGCCCGGCGCCTGCTTTGCGCCCTTGGTGGACGCGGACGCGGACGCGCATCGGACCAAGCGCAGGTCAGGGTCTGGAAATTGGCGGCGGTTGTGGATGCCGAGGTTTGCCCGCCGCCAGATGCGCCCGGACTGGGGCAGCAGGAACCTGGGTATGGCGGATGATGAGGCCGCCATTTCAGAAGCCGGATGATGGGGGGGGGGGGGCGACAGGTTAAGCCGTGTGACGGTGGGAGAGGTCGGGACGGGGCAAAGAACAAGGCTGGCTGACGTAGCCGTTGTCCTCAATTCTCTCTCAATCAAGCCTGCGGCGGTGGGATGCCTCGCGACTGTTCTGCCGGGAGAAAAAAAAAACAGACCCGGTCGAGAGTGAATCATGGGCTGCAGCCAGCTCTGCCGTATGAATGAATCGCAGCCAAGTGCTGTGCTGCTGTGCCGAGGCGCATCAAACAGTCGATGCATTGATCAAGCTCTCACCCTATCAACCTATGACCCGCTGCTCCGGATTTTCCCTTCCGCCAAATTCTCGCGGGCTGGAAAACTCGACTGGACCTGACCATCCGGTGGCGCATGATTCGCTGCCTTGGCCCCTGGCCGACCCACACCCGGGCCCACCGTGTGGCCCTGCTACGTAGAGTCGTGGCTGTTGCTAGCCTCCCGGGTACTAGCTCACAGTGACGGGCCTCTCGTAAGGATCGCTGAGCTCATGACATTTTTAAGACCAAGAATTTGGCCAGCACCTTGTTTCGCGCTCCCTGCTGAATTTTCCTCCTTCTCCCCCGTCACTTCTCAAAGCCACCCTCTTCCAGATCCTACACAGCAGAACCACCCAGGAGTCTTTCACTAGATCTCTTCCAACCTACCACTTCCACCACCACTCGACTTTTATCAGTCTTTCACACCTCACACACTCGACAAGATGCCTTTCAAGGACGGTACGTTTGCACTCCTGATCGCTCACCCTGCCTTCCGCCATTGAGCCTCGAGATCACCTCCCCCGGCCGCTCCTTCCCCCCTATCCCGGGGCCAGAGCACCGGAACATGGAACATGATACGAGGACCGACTCCCATTGCTGGCGATTGCGACCGTGGTCATCCCCGGACAGCGCCACGCCTGAGGCATTTTCCCGGGTCGCATTCCCTGCGCAGCTGCGACCGCGCCTCGCACGAGGCCGCGGGTTGCCCCTGGGAGATGGTCTGGGTCTCGTGCGCAGACTCCGAGGCCACAGGCACGCGTTGGCCAAGGGATGGCGGCTCGGGACATCTCGTCGTCGGGCTGTCATACTCGACAACCAGTCTCAGAAAGCTCGTACTGACAGTCACACAGGTGATGCTAAGAAGGGTGCTGGTCTGTTCAAGACCCGTTGTGCCCAGTGCCACACCGTCGAGGCTGGCGGCGGCAACAAGATCGGACCCGCTCTGCACGGCCTGTTCGGCCGCCACACCGGCTCCGTCGAGGGTTACTCCTACACGGATGCCAACAAGCAGAAGGGTATCGAGTGGAAGGAGGACACTCTGGTATGTTGACCTTGACCCGCTCACGCGAGGCCTCCTAGGGCTCTTGTTCTCGAAATGAGCGCACGACTGACGTGACTGCCCTGCAGTTCGAGTACCTCGAGAACCCCAAGAAGTACATCCCCGGCACCAAGATGGCCTTCGGTGGTCTGAAGAAGGAGAAGGACAGGAACGACCTGATCACGTACGTCAGACGGCGATCGCTTGCCCCTCCCCCTCCCCCAATGAGATCATGCTAACTGGAGATGGGCAGTTACCTGAAGCAATCCACGAAATAGACGGCGAGAATCGGGGCGGTGTTAAGATATGACAGCTTGTTTTTGCATTACGGCATTAGACAGACGAAAAGACAGGCGGGAGAAACCTGTATTACTATAGACCTTAGAGGCCTTGCACCCTGGTTGCGCGGCGTCTGTGTGTCTTTCGACTTTCTATAATGACTCTCCTCTTCAAATTTAGACGATGAAATCCAAGAGAACAAGTTATGAAATCTGCACTTGACATAAAGTGCCTCCTGCGACCACCTAGTGTTTAGGGTATTGCTCCTCGGCTCCAAATTACGGCTATTGTATCTATAGGTCTACCACCCGTGGGTGGGAAAGGGCAGGCAATGTAAAGGGACGTTGTTGTGCCCATCACATGTCGCCATGTAGCATCATGCGGTATCCTGATTTCCACTTGACATCGTCGTTTACAACACCTTGTCGAACTGCCTAGGGTCATACCTCCCGTCGTTTTTGACGCTGGGCTTGACCTCGTTGAGCGCCTTCTCCCAGTCATCCGGTGTGATCTCCGAGTCCGCTCCCGTGTCCTCGCTGATGTCGCCGCCGCCGTGGTAGTACGTCCTCTCCAGGCTGGCCTGGGCAGCCGCCTGCATCAGGTTGCCCAGGTCGGCGCCCGAGAAGCCCTTGCAGCGCCCGTCCAGGGCGATGGCGGCCAGGCGCCCGTCGGCGGCCTGCCTGTCCTCCTTGGTCGAGACGATGGTGTTCCAGTAGATGGTGCGCAGGATGTCCACCCTCTCGTCGGCGGTCGGCAGGCCCACGAAGACGCTGGTGCCGAGACGTCCGGGCCGCCGGATGGCCGGGTCGATGCAGTCCGGGCGGTTGGTCGCACCCACGACGTAGATGCCGCTGCGGTCGCCGACCCCGTCCAGCTCCGTCAGCAGCGCGTTGACGACGCGCGAGCTCGCGTCGGAGAGCGAGTCGTCGCGCTTCGGGACCAGGGCGTCCATCTCGTCGAAGAACAGGATGCACGGGGCGCTGCTCTTGGCCCTCGCGAACAGCTGCCGCACCGCCCGCTCCGACTCGCCCACGTACTTGTTGAGCAGCTCCGGGCCCTTGATCGAGATGAAGTTGGCCTTGGACTCGTTCGCCACCGCCTTGGCCACCAGGGTCTTGCCGCAACCGGGCGGACCCCACAGGAGGATCCCCGCCCCGGACTTGATCCCCACGCGGGCAAAGCGCTCCGGGTACTTGATGGGCCCGATGATGGTCATCTCGAGCCTCTTGCGCACCTCGCCCAGCGCCCCGACGTGCTGCCAGGTCGTGTCGGGGATGGCGCTGAAGCCCTCTCGCTTGGCAGCCGGCTGCACGGTCGACACCGCCGCCTTGAAGTCTGCCTGTGTGATGCCCAGCGGCCCGCTGTACACCATGTTTGAGGCCTTCATTATGCGTATCTCCGACTTGGCCGATGGGCGTCCTTGCTCAGACTGGGCCTTGTAGGACTTTAGGAACTCGGTCGTTTCGCTGTCCGTCGTAGGGACCTGCTCGACAAACAGTTCAGTCTGCAGGTCCGTCCGCGCCTGGATGCTCTTGAACACCGCGGCGGACACAACATGCTTCAGATCCGCACCGACATAGCCGGGCGTCAGCCGGGCGAGCGCTGCAAAGTCCACGTCGCCGCCCAGCGCCAGGTCTCGCGTCATCGTCCGCAGGATCTGCTCTCTCGCCGGCTCGTTGGGCATCCCGATGTCGACCTCGACGCCGAATCGCCGACGCACTACGGGGTCGATGCTCTCGGGCCGGTTGGTGGCGGCAAGGACGACCACGTTGCCGGTCCTGTCACCGCCGTCGTCCGACCTGCCGGGGCGCCCAATCTTGTCCATGCCATTGCAGATCTCGGCCACGATCCTGCCCTCCATCGCCTTCTGGGCGTTGTCTCTCTTGCCAGCGATCGAGTCAAGCTCGTCAAAAAAGACAAGACACGGTGCGAGCCGCATCGCCTCGTCGAAGATGTCGCGGATGTTCTTCTCGCTCTCGCCGCTGGTACCGCCGACAAGACTGGGCGCGGACACGGGGATGAAGGCGACCTCGAGGTCAGCAGCCAGCGCATGCGCCAGCGTCGTCTTGCCACAGCCCGACGGGCCGTGGAGCAGCACGCCGTCGCTGGGCCGATACCCCAGCTCCGCGAGGTCGTCCCCGCGGAGGAGCGGGATCCACACGGGGCCCTTGAGCCTGTTGATGACGCTCTCGACGCCCGCCAGGTCGTCGAGGCTGATGTCCTGCGGCGGCGAGCGGTCGACCTCCTTGGGGTCCTTCCGCCTCCGCTTCGGCCTGGCCTCGCCGTTTGCCTGGCGGTCGACGGTGGGCGTGTCCACGTCCATGACGTCCGCTCCACCCGGCGTGCGCCTCCCCGCGGATGACGCAGCCGAGCCCCCCGCCGCCTTGGGCTCCTGGTTCTTGAAGTTCCAGTGCTTGGTGAGCTGCCTGTTCAGCAGGCCTGCATCCTTCTCCTCCCTCGACCGTTTGGCGCGGCTCTCCTGGGCCTGGATCTCCCGCTCGAGCTCTTCGTCCGAGTCCTTGTCGGCCTTGGATTCCTCACGCCGCACATCGATGACCCTCTCAATCGAATCCTCCAGGATACGTTTCTTTTGCCTCTTTAGGCTTGAGTTGGACCGCTGGATAAACTCGTAAACGCTGCTGATGGTCAATTTGGAGCTGTTGGAATCGTCCTCGTACTTCCGTACGATTTGGTAGACATCACGGTCTAGGCCCTGCCGTAAGCTTATCGGCATGTTGGGGTTGTTTCTTGTCACCAGTGCATTCTTGCGTGGCGGATGTTCAGAATTGGGACTGAGGTTCAAATGTTGAGTGAGAGTTTATAGTGGGGCCCGAAAATTTTAGACCGACATGGCAACTGCAAGTCGGAGTAATAAGCCAGCCGCCCAAGCAAGTCACGACGGCATTAGTGAGTTACCACTTGGATGAAAATCGCTTACAGCTCAGTCACAAAATTTCTGAGACCAAAGCGAGAGCAAGAGGCCGTTCAATTTCAGTTTCGGAAAGGAACGTGGCCTTTGCACTGAAGGAATGGACGGCACCTCAGTGGGTGCTTGAAGACTCATATTTACTGTGCTGTTGCAAACCCTTCTATGTCAGTCTAGACGTCTATCCTGGAGACATCCCTCGCCGGGGGGTATTCGCCGTTGACCATGTCGACCATTGAAGAGACCAGAGGATCATAGGCCCCAAAATAAAATACACAAAAAAACGCCTCGCTCCCTCAATCCAAAACATTGTTCCTGCCTGAGCTGTCCTTCGTGAATTGTAATATAACTTGCACAACTTGCACGGTGCCTTTACCACCCCTGTTCCGCCTGAACACTGGGCTCGTCAATATTCCGAGGCCTCGTCCCAATTTTGTCTTCTTCCTCGCCCACCAAACAACTGCGCGGCTTCCATGCAGTACCCGCCACCTCCACTGGCCATCTTCGTCTCGCTGCCATAGCATATCACCACCGCATCCACGATGGAGCTCAGGATGCCCTCCATGGCACCGAGTATGCCCCAGCCGATGAAGCTTGCCACCAGCCCAACGACGTAGGCATACGCACTGCCCTTGAGTCCCGGACTACCGTCGGGCCCAGAGACAGGAAGCTGCCTCGCGGTCATCACCCATCCCGCGAAGCCCAAAGCTGTAGCCATGATGAACTTGGTAGCCTGCAGCAGCAGCTTCGCCAGACGGTAAGGGAGCAGCGGCGCGCTACCTCTTTGCCTGAATGCGCGTGGGGTCAGGGTCGTCGTCGGAGCTTGTGGGCCGAGGAAGTCCATCTGGCTGAGACCACGGGCCGAGTCCACGAGAGGCTGGGAGTGGATGGCTGCATATGTGAGCGTCAGGGGATTCGTCATTGCGACGATCGAGGTCGGGATGAAGGTATAGAAGAAAGCGGTGATAATGCTTGCGACACGCCGGTGAAGGACGAGTAGGGGCATCCGGACCACCAGGGCCAAAAGTGTGGACAGCGATATGGTCCCGAAGATGGTGGTCATGGAATGGTTCAGTGCAGCAGCCACAATCTCACGAGAAGCAACGGCTGGTACTGCGTTACGATGGAAGTACCACTGTGAGACCGTCGCTGCAGTCGTCCCCCGCTGAACACCCGAGATCATGGACAGTGTCCATAGGTACATCAGTAGGAAATAGATGCCCAGCCACCAACTCGACGCTTGGAGGATAAACCTGGACACGGCACCTGAGTAGGAGCCACCGAGGAAAACCCTCGTGAACATGGCCAACCAGACCCACGTCCAGCACACAATCAAGGCGAGGGTGCCCATGCCCACGAGTACCAGAGCGCTGTTCGCGGCCAAAATCCGGCTGGAGAATTCGAGGATCGCGATGGCCGAGCCGAGCGCATGACGTCCTTTCCATACCATGTAGACCCATACAATCGCAAAGAGACCGGGCACAGTTGAAGCCCACCGCATGACAACATCCTGTACAGTCGAACCGTGCTTTTCGCCCTGGAAGCTGGATACGAATGGATATATAGAGAAAGACAGCATGACGGCCGGGACGGCAACCAAAATCAAGCCAACCAGGGGCCGAACGAAGTATCGCAAGGCGGCGAGCCACACGAACGAGACAATCATTGCCACCAAGGTGTCCACGGCCAGTAGGTGGAAAGACGATCGCAGAACGGTATATATCGTGTCGCCTAGGGGCTTCTTCCTGCTGGGCACGGAAGTATGGAGCCACAACAGAATGAAGGTGGCTAGCATCGAGGCGAGGGCGATGAGATAGACCCAGGCAAAGAAGGCGTCGTGCTTAAAGAGCTCGCCCTCTGGTGCTGGCGGTGCAAGGTCCGGTCGGTCATCGTAAGGAGAGGTGCCGAAATCAGACTCCATTGTGGAGTCTCGTCGTATTGGCACACGAGCCGCGGCACTGTAGCCCTTCAGCCTTTGGAAGGCAGGGGCGTCGTCAGTGGACTGCTCCATGGTCAGGTCAGCTGGTGGCTCGCTGTCGGCTATTGTCGACTCCAGACCGACATCCTCCATCCTTCCCTTGGCAGACGAGTTGCTACTGTTGTTGGAAACCACCCTCTCGAGATTGGCCTCGAGACCACTGCGGCTCTTGGCGGCGCGGGCGAAACTGCTTCTCGGCCCATTCCAGCTGCTCTTTATGCCCCTGTTCTGCCCACGTTCGAAAAATGCCCGGCTGTCTTGCTGCTCCTCGCTGTGCTCGAGTGATGCGGGGCCACCCTCATCCTCGGGCTCTGTGCTTTCTTCCAGCCGGCTTGCCTGGAAGACCCTACGCGACCTCTGAAGGGCATATAGATCCGCGGCCTCTCTGTCTCTCTCATCCTCGTCTTCTTCCTCCCTTAGCTCGTCCCTGGTACTGTGGAAAAGGGGTGCATCCTGAGGGGTCGCGAGCCGGGACGCGAAGCTAAGGTGCCCGAATCGCGAGGAAGCGGGCTGATAAGGGTTTGTGCCACGGCCCAGAAAAGACCGATGCCCATGCCCATGCCCATTCCTCGATGCCCTATGTTGCCATTCGCCTGGCTGACTACTTGGTGGTGTATCGTTGTCGGGCTGGCCTTGGAAGTTGGAAAGGCGGGACTGCGACTGAGCCAGGAACCTCGAAGCGTCTGGGTCGAGTCAGCCAGCGGGCACCAAGAATAAGACGCATGAGCACGGAACAAAGACCACAGAGCGTGCACACACGCACGCACGTACGCGTGAAGGACATGTGAAAACTAAAACTCACACTCTGAGAACATGGCTGAGGTTCCTCAGCTTTCCGGCTGCTGGGCGAGCCTCACTCGGATCAAAGAGGGGCGGTCAGTCGAGCGAAACGGGCGGTGCCTGGGAGGCGGTTGGCGGGATATGACGTGTGCGAGTACAGCTGCAATGGATAAGAACGGCCGAAACGCCTTTAGGGAGGAACTGGGCGGGAGGGGAGATGATATGCAGAAGAAGCGATGCGGAATGGCTTCGACAGGGCAGATGAGGAGATAAAAGGTCAAGGCATTGTAGTACCTGGCCGGGTGGGATAGACGCCTGGAGCCGAGGCGGGATCGCTCAGTGAGTGTGAGCGAGCACGTTCTCTTGAGGGTCTACACTAATGCCTAATGCAGGGATTCATGGCCGTCCCGCTTCTCTGCTTTGACGTGGTCGGCCGGGCAGGCAGTCACCGGGCTGCGAAGTCACAGGCAGTCACTCCTCACTGCCTCATCAGTCCCCCATCCCCCCACAGGCTGTCTGCAGATAAGCGGTAGATGGCGATAGCGTCCGCCCCTCAGCCCCTGTATCCCTCCTTGCCCTCCCGAGACTTCCACCCTGTCGTCTTGCTGCTTGCCTGTACCGGTACCTAGGTACCCCCGTTTTCCCTGCTGCAGTCATCAGCTGTCCGCTCCACTCCAGCGTGACATCGATCCCAGTGCCCATACGGAGTAGACTACATGGACTAAGTATCCCCGGGTGGATCAGCCGTCCAACGTCACTCGTGATGCTCAGATTCCGGCCATATGTTCCATTCTCCTGCGCCGTCCTTCCTCCTCAACCCGCCAAACTCGTGATACAACACTCTGTCCCACGCTGTGCTCTCGTGCGATCTATGCCCTTTTTTCCTGTCTAGTTCAATCTTGCCCAACCAGAACCACCCGTCTAGCCCTCTTTGCTTCCCCCAGGATCGCCACCTCGCCCTGTCAGAACGAACGGCCCGCTCGCTCGGAACCTTCGAGTGCTCCGGTCTCGAGACAACAAAACCCTCGACCCCCACCCTCTTGACCGTCGTCCCGTGCATACACCCACAGGTACCATACGCAGACGACGTCCACATGTCCTCACCACCCTGGGATTATATCGCCAAGCTGGTCTGCATAGGAGACAGCGGCTGCGGCAAGTCGTCACTGACCATCCGCCTCTGCGAGGGCCGCTTCGTGCAACACCACGATGTCACCATCGGCGTAGAATTCGGCTCCAGGATAGTACCGGTTGGCGCTCCCGCCAACAAGGCAATAGCCGCTTCACAAGCAGACGCCTCCCAGTCGTCACCATCCGGCCCGGACGCCTCCTCAAAACCAGACCTGCCAAATGGCCTTCCAGACCCGCCCCGCGCCGCCCCAAAGGACCAGCAGCTACCCCAGAAGCACATGAAACTCTCACTCTGGGACACCGCCGGGCAGGAGACGTACAAGTCCGTGACGCGGTCCTACTTCCGCGGCGCGAGCGGCGCCCTCCTCGTCTTCGACATCTCGCGCAAGTCGACCTTCGCACACGTCACCGACTGGCTCAACGACCTGCGCCAGATTGCCGAGCCCGACATTGTCGTCATTCTTGTCGGAAACAAGGCCGACCTCGCCGGCGAGAGGCGTGAGGTCAGCGCCGAGGAGGCCGCCGCCTGGGCCCGCCAGAACGGCGTGCTGCGCTACGTCGAGACGAGCGCCAAGACCGGCGAGTACGTCGAGGAGGCCTTCCTCGGCGTCGCCGAGAGGATATACCAGAACATCCAGGCCGGCAAGTACGACCTGAACGACAGGCGGTCCGGAGTCAAGGGGCAAGGCGCCGGGTGGGGTGGGGGTTCCGGCGTAAAGGTAGACGCGAGGAAGTCTTCGAATGGTGGCATGTGTTGCTGAAGGATGCAATCAAGGGCTTTGGGTCAAGGGAAAAGTGGGCGCATGAGCAGTTGGTTTTGCGGGCACATCTCACAGAACAAGGCAAAAAGTTCACGAGGCTTGTCAGGTCGATATCCCCCGGCTACAACCCATATCATGAAGGAAGTACTACGACTTCAGTGTATAGCACATAATGCATAATCAGCAGGCTGGGCTGACCGCGGCATCAGGCATAGACAAATTGAGCATCGCATAACATGGCAAGCAGCAACGAGATGTGGTATTAATTCTGGAGTGGGGGGATGCCCTCTCTTCCGTATTCTCTAACAATCGGGCACCCTTGCCAAATGACTAGACATGAAACCCCCTTCCCGGCATAGAGGCGTCTATAGCAACATGACCCAGCCATCCTGTCGACACACCTCGAGATAGTCTAAAATAAGTCGTAGCTTCAAGGTAGAGTGTCTACCGCTTCGGTATAGCCAAGACAGCCGCCCAACCAACTCTCCGGCTGAGGGGGTGGTTTAGTCCGTCACCCTCCAGCTGTCGAACCACTTCATGTACGAGTAGTTCTTGTTTGGTCCGGTCATGCCCCAGCAAATTGGCATGAAGTAGACGTAGAGACCGATGGTGACAGCATATAGGCCGCCATATACGACAGCCTGGAGGATCTGGTTACGGTTGCGCGTGAACCAGTCAACCAAAAAGCCCGTCGTCAGAATGGCGAAGTACAGGGCAGGGTAATAATGGTGGACATAAGTGACACGAGCCATGATGACGAACGGCAGGTAGTGCAGGAACCAACCCGCAAGTGGGTAGAGACCGGCGTAGTGGATCTGATCAATGTCGGGCTGAGACAGCTCCTTGATACCGCGCTGCCATCGCACGAGGTACCAGAGGACGACCACGCCAATGAGACCCATAGAAAGTGTCGAGCCCCAATAGACCAGGGGGTTACCCAGAAGGAAGTACTTGACAATATGGTCGTCCCAGCCACACATGCGCAGCCCAACATTCTAAGCCTCATATTAGCACATGAAGGTCTCGGGGAAAATGGAGGATACGCGAGGTGAGACAAAATGTACTTACGAGAATAGGCCACTGCCACCATTGGGAAGCCAGATCGTCCTGCTTGTCTGGATCCGGAACCAGGGCATTGTTGGAAGTCATCATCGCAACGTTCAGGTGAATGAAATCGTGGATGAAGGGCGACTTGTACTGGCCAGGTTCCGCAGGAGGCAACTTGTCGTTCCAGTGGGCCTCCACGTTCCAGTGAGTATATGTGTCTCTGGGGTTGTTCTCCTTGGTGCAAGTAACTTCTATCTGCCGGAAACCCCACTGTGGCAAGTTGACGTTACCAGCTCGTAAATAGCAGCCAAGGACCTCATGTTTCAATCGGAATGCGGTGGTAAGTGTCCGGACCCTGCTGCGATCCCTAGATGCAACATCTCGGACAACCTCGACCTTCCAGTGATCCTTGTCGTCACCGATCGTCAAGTTACCGTAACAGGACACCTCCTTGTCGGCCTTGGTAACAGGCGCATGAATATCGTGCGAGTGCAGGTTGCGGCCGGTCTGAGCGTGGATCAAACGGATGGTTTCGCCGTCTCCGATGAAGCGGGGATCCTCCTTCTCGTCGTAGTCCTGGTCACGACGGTTGGGGTAGAAGAACCAGTCGTTGTTGGCATCCTTGTGGTGGTAGCAGGTGATCTGCTGTTGGCCAGAGCCGTCTGGATAGGTTTGTACGTGGGAGTGCAAGAGTCCGCCACCGTAGCCCATGTTCTTGATCGTTGCTCGAGAGCCGTAGGCCACCTCGAGAGGGCTGTTCTGGCCAACTTCGGTGCCGCGTAGGTTGGCCTGGAAGAGGGAGCTCATCTGGGCGTCGCCTGGTCCACTGTCGGTGAGGACGGCAAAGTGTACGGCGAAGCTGAGCATGTAGATCAGGAAAGGCAGAATGATGAGGCCAACCACTCTAGCGGCGAAATGAGCCCCAAGCTCTGCGTATGGCATCCGTATGTTGCCGAACTTGTTCCAGAGGTCCTCAGCTGTGTACAGGCCAACCAGCGCAGTGACAAAGAGGCCGACCAGTTTAACACTAGTCACACAGCCGATACTGAACCCCGTCATGAACAGCCAAAAGAACCATTCGGGTTCAAAACTCTTGTCCTGCAATCGGTGGAATTTCGCCCAGCAGAGGGTCGTGGCGACCGTGCCGCATAGGAGCATCGAATCGAGGAGGATAAATCTGCTAATCGTAGTGTATGAGTTTTCGCAAAGGACCATGAGCGTAACAAGCCAGACTGCCGGTCGCTTGAAGTTGAGTTCCTTGGCGGTCCAGTAGGCCATCGGGACGCAAACGGCACCAAAGAAGGCGTTGAACTGGCGCATGAAGGTGTAGTTGACATCCTCTGGGTATGTCTCCCCAGACTTGAACTCGAAGGACCCGTTGTACCCAGCAAGGTATCCAGACAGGCCGACAAGGAGCTTACCCAGAGGCGGCTATACTCGAGGGTTAGAATATCGTCTAGTGGGTGGTTTTAGCGTGAGGAAATCGTCGGAAAACGTACGTGGACGTCAAAGTAGTATTCATGTTTGAGGTAGTGGGACCCGAACTTTCCAAAGCTGCCACAAAGTCTAGATTAGTGGATGCTGTCGAGGTGTAATGCTATTTCGAGGGGCTTCTCAACGTACTGGGCTTCGTCCCATGTCACGATGTTGGACAGTCCAATGTTATATAGTCGGGTGAAGAAGGCAAGGGCGGTAAAGATGAGGGGTGCGATGATAAACTCCCACTCGTCGAGGACCTGCAGAACAGATGGTTGCTAGAATTGACCGTGTCAGCGCGTGCTGTAGACCGTGTACGACACATGAGCTATGAGCTGACCTTCTTGGGCTTGTCCTTGTCGTTGGCCTGAGGCTGGCCTTGAAGGGTATCGGCTTGAGAAGAAGGGACGTTGCGCCTCCGCAAGGCATCGCCGACGTCTGCGCCAGAGGCGACGGCCCGTTCGGTCGCGGCCATGTTGGGAGCGGTCTGAAGTGAGCTGAGTCAAAGAAAACGCCCGTAGAAGAATGTGGTCCCAGGAAGGTTGAAGGGAAGTGGAGATAATAATTGTGGTGAAAGAGAGTGTCGAAAATAGGGGCAGGGGATCAGAATAGGATCCCAAAGTCCGGGGATCCTGCGGATGCGGATGCGGATGCAAAAGGCTGTGTCGCAAACATGAACTGCCCGGTGGAAAGGACAATTTGTCGACAGAGGATGCACAACCTCTTGTGGGTGTGGAAGAATTGTGCCGAAGACAGAGCTTGGCTGTAAGGAAAGGGAGGAGGGGGGAGGTGCTGGAAATAATCGTGGCCTTTACGCAGCTCGGTGCGACAAGACGGCGTCAGCTCTGGATCAGGGACGAGATTGTGTAGTGCTTGGGTACTGTGCAGCGTGGGCACCGCGGGCAGGCTCCCCGGGTACGTACCTGGGTCCACGCGTGTAGCTTGCTAACAAGGACCCTTGGCCGAGCTGCCCGCGGCGGCGGTACGGTCAGGTATGGAAGCACCGATGAGAGCTCCAACTGATCGCCAAGCCGAGTGGATCCGCACATCCTCCCTCGCTCCCTTGCAGTATGTAATGAGTGACAGTAAAGGATGGGCGGCGGCCTAGGCCTGAATTGCCCCACACTCCTGTGGTATGTTGCTGGCCAACACGGCTACGTGTACATTTGATCTGATTTATATCTGTCTACTCGTTTCCTCATCCCAAGTTAGCATTTCTGACTCAAGGTATCTGCAGACCAACGGACACGGACCGGTAGATCCCTAGGCTCTGTCTATATCAGTCAAGAGTCAAGACTGACACAGGGCTGGCAGCGGAAGACTGGCCAGATTTGGCAAACAGTAGGGGTTGTACAAAATCTCCCTATTGTCGGGGAGGCGTACCACAGTAGCACAAGAAACTTGTCATGTACTATGCCTTTTTATACGGCTGACTCCTGCCCAATGGTACAGCTCGCTCGTCGTGCATATCTCGGTACTTCTGGGGGTTGCAGTGAGCCCTCAACGGGGAGGCGGGGGTTTGGGAATACAAAGATTTCTCTCTGTGCACGCGCTGAGAGGACATCTTCCCCAAAGAAACCCTTCCAGAGGTTCCAAGGGAACAAGTGGGAGGTTGTGTACAATCTGTCCACCAAACAGCTCGGGAGCTCACCCCTCGAGCCACTATTGACCGAGCAGCGGTCCACAGTACCTAAGTGGTCTGCCCATGATCGGATGCCCCCTACCGGAGGTACCTAGGTACCTAGGTAGAGAGGAGGACACGGTAAAGTGTCTGTGCGCCTCACATGGTAGAATGGGCTATGGATGTAGTACTACAGTAGTCCGCTGGACTTGCTGCTCACACCAAGCAGGGACGTCCTCTCCAAACGTTTGTGCAGGAGTAGGCAAGATGGGGAGCCAAGGGAGCTGCATGCGGAACGGATGCTCTGACAATGGGCACGGAGTTCCCGGGAGAGGTATGAATGTCACTCTCGCAGCATGTGACGAACGGAGGGTCTGTCGGTTCCCACCTCCCACCTTCTTGGTGCTAGGCACACATACCCCAGCAATACCACCGCAGCGGCGCTGGGCCGAGACCACCTTTGACAGGCTGGACCACCTGGCTCTCGCCGATGCGTGCTGGGTTCCAGGAGCTGGGACCTGCGAGCCGGGATGGGCTGCGACATTAAAGATCTGAACATACCCTGCCAGCCTGCCAGCCTACCCGCCTGCACACCCACGCAACTCACTTACATACCACCATTTCCCAGACAGCAGATTGATTGACTCTCGGGTGCCGTTTGCCATCACAGTAATCCCCGTCCGAACTGCCGAACCTAGCCTATCGCTGTGGCCCCGCTGCATATCCTCCCACGGTCACTGTGAGGCATATGGGCCGTTACCCAGTTCCCCATCACCCTGCCCGACCAGGTTCCAAATGTCATCCTTAGTATCCGACTACATCATCAACCCCGTCACTCGGACCGTTGTCCGTCGCTTCTCGAGCCCTTTCTCCACGGGTCCTTCCCTCGAGCCCCGTCACCCCTTCTCACGGGGCGACTATCCAGAGGAAAATGGCAATGCCATCGCCGAATGCGACGCACCCTCCCCTTTCCCCAGCCTCGGAAGGTTCACAAGAACCCCCGACATAGCCCTTGGTGCCAGATCCCCTCCTCGTCTCATCCCCCAGATGCGAAGGGGAGTAACTGCTCCCGCTGCAGACGAGCTGTCCCGACCCCTGACCGTTCCCTCAATTGCCCCCCTGCGACTCGAGATGGAACGTCACGAGCTGCCCGACACGGGGAGCGCCGCTGAGCCCGAGGGTGCCATCGACGCCAGCGCCAGCGCACAGGCAGAGAGGGAGTCGCGCAGGCTACCTGCAGACGACGGCATGCGGGAAATGCGGCAACGGATCCACAGCATCCAGCACAGTAATATCACCCTCGACCAGAAGAGGTTTCTTACGCAGCAGCTTCATACCGAAAATTACAACAGCGCCAGGAAAGCCAAGAGGGTTGCTGAGGGGAAACCCGCAACGCCCGTGGTCCCCACTCAGGATGGCTCGGCATCGACGTCTCGAGATACCAGCTTTGGCGTCGCAGCACTGGAGACGCTCAAATCCTGGACTGGGCTCGAGGAGAGGGCCAGGCTATACGTCTCGGAGCAAGACCGCCAACCGACATATGTGCCCGCCATGGCCATTCTCAATGACGAGGATGACTTGGACGATGATGCTGGGAGGTCGGACGGTGTCGAGGGTGCTGAGACTCGATTACTGGGCTGCTTGCACTACAGGCGCAATGTCAAGCTCCAATGTGCGTCCTGCGAGAAATGGTACACTTGCAGGCTGTGCCACGATGAGGCCGAGGAGCACATCTTGCCAAGGAAGGAGACCAAACACATGTTGTGCATGTTGTGTGGTCATGCGCAAAAGGCCTCCGATACCTGTGTGAACTGTGGCGAGACTGCGGCTCAATACTATTGCAACGTCTGCAAACTGTGGAGTGACGATGTGAACAAGCCCATATACCACTGTGACGAATGTGGTATTTGCCGGGTTGGGCATGGGCTGGATAAGGACTTCTTCCACTGCAAGGTGTTTCAACCCCAACAATGCGCTGACCATTGCTAGAGCGGTGCTAACCTTTGGACAGACTTGTCGCGCATGCATATCTATCACACAGACTAATAATCACAAGTGCATAGAACGTGCAACGGACGCCGACTGTCCTATCTGCGGCGAGAACATGTTCGCCTCGCACAAGACCGTCATATTCATGGATTGTGGTCACTCGATACACCGGACCTGCTTCAATGAATACATGGCCTCATCCTACAAGTGCCCGATTTGCAGCAAAAGTATCGTGAACATGGAGGCACTCTTCACAAACCTAGCGAACATCATCCGCGAGCAGCCGATGCCGCAGGAGTTTGAGAATGTAACATCGACGATCCTCTGCAACGACTGTTCAGCAAAATGCACTACAAAGTATCATTTCTTGGGGTTGCGTTGTCAGATTTGCCGTTCATACAATACGGCTGAACTGGAGCGGTCCGGGATGCCTGGGGAGAGGGTTGGGGATGAGCAAGCCTCCGTCCCTGGACGTTCGATTTCAGCAACACCAGAAACGCTCGCGTTCCCTCAGCGCTCAATACAGGACCGCACCAATGGGCCAAGTTCTGCATCAGGTCTGCAAGCGAATCCTCATTTACAATACAGCTTGAGCCAAGGTGCCGCCAGCCCGACTGGCCCATATGCGCAAGCAGTTCCGGACCCATATGCCGCTATGGACGAGGACGACGACGAGGAACTTGACTTCTGGGGAGGCGAGGCCCGGTCTGGTCCTGAAAGCGAGGACGATGATGATTACGAAGACGATACAGACGCCGAGGACTCAGAGAACGAAGAGGATGATGACAACGAGGACGAAGACATCATGTTGTTCGGTCACAGGTGAGAGCTGTGGCGCTCGTCTACTGGAGAGTTGGGGAGATTGCATTGCCCTTGGTGATTTGGATGGCGACGGCGTTCGGGACACGTGAAATCGGCGGCTATCACCGGGCTCGGCTGGGGCGGGCATTCAGTTGGGTTAACATACAGGCATTCGATGGGTTTGGAAAAGCTTCGGGCTAGGCATACGGCTTCCGGCGTCTTTAATGGACTGGCAATTGTCTCAATGGATTGGCGAGGACTGCCTGCGGGACATATTGACTGAATTGCACAAATGTATAAACATAGCAAGTAATTGATTCGCAAACCTCTGGTGCTTCCAGAAAATCCAGTGCCTGCCCGTGCATCCCCACACAAAGTAAAGAACAAAAGCAACGTTTTGACCTGGTGATGGTGACTACGCCAAACTCCACAAGCCCTCCCTCTCTCTCTCTCTCTGTCTGTCTGTGAACGACGGTTGAATTATTGTTGTTGTTGTTGTTGTTGTTGCTGCTGCTGCTGCTGCTTGCGCGACTCGAGCTCAATTTTGGTCTCCTGGGCGCCCTTGCGCAGCTCCTTGATAGTGGTCTGCATGGGGTCACAGTGAGCGATGGGAAACCCCCAGCCAGGTTGCAGTAAAGGAGAGCAAAGCTGCACACAAGACAGACTCACCGCAAGCGCTTCCGGGTTGACGCCTCGCTCGATCAGGGAGGTGCATATTGAGATCTCCCTCCGGTCAAGATGGCAGTTCTACGTCGGCAGGCACGCGATTAGCCCACGGTCGTTAGTGCTGGTCGCGCATGACGGAAAAGGGCCGGCGGCTTGCTTACGAGGATCTGCGAGATCTCCCAGAGGAGATCGACGGCTACTTGCGCCGAAGCCTGTTTGTTCTCTTCTGGCGGAGGCGGCATATTGTGTGCTGTCTCTGGTACTGTGGAGGGAGGGTGTTGATGGATGTGGAAGGGGTGAGGTTCTGAATGAGCGCGGATGAGTTACCCCAGTACTTACAAGCCAATCTAATCGGCGGTACTCCTGGCGGGGCGCTGGTTAACAGTCCCTGCATGCTATGCGGGAACAACAAACGCCTTTCACGTTTTGAAAACATTCAAATATGGGGTATTACATTTCTTTGCATTCATCCAGCCATATGTACTGTATCAAATGATTCCGTATCATATTACATTCACATCATCATTCGTCAGCTACAGTAAGCCGCTGCAGTCCTGTGGTTGGTACCACGATGAATCCCTCTTCTTCATGCTCTGAAAGTGCACGCCACATATGCAAATAGGCAGCAGCCAGGTGAAAACGGAGCTGGAATCATATACAGTTGCCCAAGTCGCAGTTGGGCTCCTGGTTCGAACCATCTCACTGTTTCAACACGAGCAAATCAGCTCTTGAGAGCCTCGACGAACAGCTCCCTCATGCCCTTCAACAACACCGCAAGCTCCCTCGTCTCGTTCGTTCTCTCCAGCACCCTCTCCACACTTTCCCTATCCAGCCTCGGCCTGCAGTGCTTCACTTCGTAGTCCCTCGACGTGGTGCTCAGTTCGAACCACGCCTCGCGCTCCCAGTCCTTCTCGTCGATGTGCGAGAACACAAACTTGAGCCTGTCGTCCTGCCCCGCCCCCTCGATCTTCATGCACAGGTTCGTGATCCAGAAGTCCAGCTCCGGCACGTTGAAGCGCGCCTGCGCCTCCTGCTGGGCCTGGTGCGCGCGCTGCGCCGCCAGCCGCGCGTCGATCTCCTTCTGCGTCTCCTCGATCTGTTTCTGGAGCGAGTCCCGCAGTGCCAGCTGCCTGTCGCGCTCCGCGCTGAGCGAGGCGATGGCGGCTTGCATCTCACGGGTCTCAGCTGCTTCCTTGGCAATGCTATTTTGATGTGTGTTCGTCTTCATCTGGAGTATGTCGATGTCTTTTCTCTTCATCCTTTGGTCCTCTAGATAGCCGTCTCTGTTAGTCCCTGCACTGCGGCATATCGGCGCGCCGCGGAAGGGATGCACACACCTTGTAATTCCGTGACCTGCATGACGAACTGGTTCTTCTCCTCCAGCACTCTCTTCCGCCCCTGTTCGATAAACGCATCGAATTTCGCCGTGAACCTGGCCATGCGATCGCGCAGCTCGTCGAATCCGAAGTTGATGCTGGGCAGGCTGTCCGCCACGGATGGCGCGGCCATTGTTTGTCGGCTCTGTGAGCTCCTGGGCTCAAATACAGTGGACATTGTGTCGTGGTATGTTTTGATCGGTGTCTGGTGAGGAATTCTGTGGCGTCGTTTCGATGTGATAGGTAACGTTGATGGTTCGGGTGGAAATGTCGCAATGCCACGCGAAGAATGGGTGAAGGACCAAATCGAATGCACAAGTCGATTGCCGCCTCTGTAGATGTCGGTTGCCCGAGCAATAATCGGTCGCGCTAAGGTACGTACCCGCAGCCAAGCTGACTAGGGCGTCGGCCCACCAGCCGCTGACCTTGACTCGCAGTGGGTCTGGCCCATCCCTGACTACGGAGTACTTTTGTCTCGCTATGGGAGTTTGCATGCTCTCAATACAACCCAGGACATTTTTCGACCACGAATTTGCTTACAACGCTTTTCTTGGAAGTTTGTATTGCCTTGGACTTCGCTATGCATACTTCAACCTCAAATTTAATGTCCAGTTCGAATACCAACAAAGCTTATGGCTGACCCCAGCCCCGAGTCAGATCGTGGTGGGCGTTACCGCGTGGCTCAAAACAAAATATCCGACAAGATTGAAATTCACCGTGTGAACGAGGTCTTACTCGGCCATGTGGGCCAAGTCTCATACCATTCTGTGCGTGACGAGGATGCAGACATAGGGGAACTGGGCTTCAATCGGGTAGTCGAAAACCGTGAGTGGCCAGTCTGCAGCACATGGCTCCCTTGCTTTTTTGGATGTGCAGAATTCTGACCAGACACTTAGCACCATCATTTCAGCAATTGCTGCCCTCTGAGCAATGCTTTGCCCCAACGAGGGCGCGGCCTGATCTCTCACACGGAAGCACCTTCCAGGATACCAAGTCTCAAAAGTACTGGCTGCTCAAGACCCATCCAGAGGCTTACCTCGGAAACGTCAATCTCAAAGAGACCATATCGGAGCAGCTCCGTGCGTCACGATCGGGTGATGATGGCGTGGGAGGCCAACTGGGTTCAGTCCTCGCCGTTGGCGAGATCTCAGACTTAAGAAGCACGTCCCATCCGAAGCCATGCCCGGCCGTGGCGATGGCGGCCGGCGAAGGTGGCCATGTTCTTCGGGTCTCCATGATCGCCTTGGAAAGATGGTCGTGGTCCGGGTCATCTCTACCGATAGGGGCAACTCAGTCACAGTTTCATGGAACGTGGAGCAGCGACGGATCCTCCATTTCTAAAATTCAGTTCGCTACTAAGCCGAGACAACATGACCCAATCCGATGGCTCGTCGCTCAAAAATCAACGTCAACAACGATTTTTCAACCAGAGATTCGTGCGAAGCCTACAACTAGCGTGGCGCATAGAGCGATATTGGACGACGCAGAACTGCAGCACATCAGACTGGACCCTATTGTTACACTGACCAAAGATGTCACTGGAGGAAATGCTCACTCTGACTTCTCGATCAACGTTGGCTCAGAAACCGAGGCACCACAAATTGCGATTGTAGACATGTCTGGGAACTGGTCGGTCTGGTTCCTCGATAGCCAGGGCCATCAATACGGGGGAGGCGGCGTCTACACAGCCGTCCCCAAGAGCAGAGGAAGCTTCGAGCTTCCACTATTGTCTCGGCCCTCCGATCAATTGCGCCACGCAGGAAATCATTTCAGGGTCTCCTGGGTCTGCAAGTCGGCAAAAGATGATGACTGGGAGCGAGAGAGCACCCCATCGGAGGCCGCTGGCTCAAGATCCCGGCCACTGCAGACTGACTACCTCACCGGCCATGTTGACTCCAGCCAAAAGTACGATGGGCTACTCATCTGCGACAGCAGTGGCATCCTCATTTTGGACACTGAGGTATTCAAAACTTATTCACATCTTGACTTCTCGAGGCGTCCCACCGCCGGCACGCTACTTGAAGCGCAATCTATCGAAGGATGTCCGAACAATGTTCTGGTTCTCACCACAGAACAGCTCTACGTGCTAAACATAAGCAGTATTGAAGACGAGGAACCAAGAAAACCGAACGTGCTTGTCTCATCCCCACACTTCAGAGGCAAGGACAAACAAGCTTTGAAAATGTCTGTGGCGAGATTGCGGTCTTCTGCTGAAAGCACAGTTTCCCTCGTGCTGGTCTATTCCAATCAAAATTCTCGTGTGCAGCTATTTTGCCTGACAATATCCTCTCGAGATGGGAGTGCAAGCTTTCATCACCAGGTGGTGCACTTCCCAGGCTTGCGCACCAGCCTGGGTGAGCTTGCAGGATTCGCATCTATATATGCAGTGCCTCTACGACGCTCTCTATCAATGGGCCGTCGTCGTGCAGGAAGCCAGGCCATTGGTGCATACATGGATAGCCACGATACGCAAACATTCCAGCTTTTTGGGCTGGGGATCGACATGAGTCTAAGCTCATCAGTTGTCGCCATTACAACCAGAGCTTCCCAGTGGCTCAGAAGGCCCGAAACATCGGCAAAAGCCAAGCGAGATGACACGAAGTGGAGGACATCATTGAGGAAGAGAGTGCTTCGAGAGGCCGCGGATGCCCTCATTGTTCCCGACGCAGTTGAAGAGGTCAAGCAGCTCGGTCGTCAGCGTGTGGCCCAAAACCTCTCGGCCCAAGAATCGATCCAGTTGAGAAAGTGGATGATCGAGCTCATGAACGAGATCAACGCCGGCTTCTTTGGGGCATGCAGCCTCGGGTCTGATGACGACAATAGCGCCGGACCCTTTGGCTCCATCGAAGACTTGTCAGAGAAACGAGAGTTGTACGAGTCTGTTGCATTGCAGCCTCTGCTGAGATTCAAGGACCCATGGCACGCCCTAGATATCGCCAATTTGGAAGCTCTGTGGAATCGAGATCTTGAGCGGCTAAAGAAATCGAGCGACATCCAGCTCACCCATTGTAGTGCATTTGGACCGACACTTGATGTCACTGACTTCTTCGAGCGCTTTTCCATCAATTGGTCCAGCCGACTAGCAGCTGAATCTCTAACAGCTACACAATGGAGATACATGCAGCTTGCGCTAGAGAGAATGGCTGCCGACGTGTACTTGTCAGGGAAGGGCGTCTACATGGTGCCCCAAACGACCCTGGACCTCGTCTCGAGGACGAAGCCTAGGCTGGAAAGCAGCCAATCCACAGTTGACGAGCTGTACGAAGAGACGCCATTTTCCCGCGCTGGGTCAGAGATGACATTACCGACGCCTTCAGCAACACCGTCATCATCTCGAGCTACCTCGCAAGTTGCGGACTCGGTCGGGACACAGGATACAGATGATGAATCTGGGAGTGAAGACCCAGCAGTGACCCGCATGCGCATGTATCTACCGTCGGTCAAGTTCATCCCCCGACCAAAACAAGGCCAAAGCCGAATTGTGTCTCTGTGGCCTGAACAGAGAGGCAGCGACCCCGCAAATTACAAGTACTCGCGGCACGGCAAGGGCGCGGATGGTCTCTCGGAAAGGGCGAGGCGCAGGAGGGAGAAAGAAGAGGAACGGCGGCGCCGGAAGGCCGAGAGAAAAGCACAGCTGGGAATCAAGCTGGAGGACTTTGGCGACTCATTCAGTCAGGCGTCTATACCCGATGAGATTCGATCGAGTCCGCCGCCTCAGCTGTTCGCGAAGAGCCAAGGACATTCTCATGGATTTGGATTTGGAAGTCAGAGTCAGGCCCAGAGCCAGAGCCAGAGCTTCGGTCCCTTTCAAACAATGTCGCAGCCGCTTCGGGGTGAGTTCGGGACAAGGACCTCATTACTGAAGAAAAACAGCAAGGGGAAGCCCAGGGCAATATCGGGATTTAAGTAGGATTCTCGATACTGCCTTGGGAGGAGATTTGAGCATGCTGGATATAACCATGCAGCAAAAATGTCTTGGGCACAGTCCAGTTAGTTTTGATTACACACAATCACAATCAGGAAATCCATACCCGCTTAGGTTAAAATGCGAATTATTTAACTCTTCTCAGGGACTATTACTCATGTGAGCGCCATAGATAATATTTTAAAACTACATTTTTATACACAATTTAGACTTGTGTGTTTATTTGCTGCTAAATGGTCTGATTAAGTGGCACTGTTGATGTCGGGGTTATTTAGCTGGGTGTGGACCGATCTGCAGCCAGTGACTTACAGAAAAGCCATCAGCTACTACTGTACTCCGTACGTGCAATGAACCTCTCTCTCACCCTACATCACAGCCAAACAAACCACTTGTTTCCCATACTTTCCGAATCAGAAGTCGACCATGTCTCACTGTCATGACGAGCATGGCCATCATGGCCACCAGTAAGTCCCAATTTCCTCATTTTCCCGAATATGCCAGCGCTCTGTCGCCGGTGACTAAAACGCAGAGAGGCTGCTAGCCATGATGAGCATGACCATTCGGACGATATCACGCCCGCGCTGCAGTTTTCACTCTACCAGCACATCGACTTTGACAACATCACAACTCTCAACGAGAGCGTGCACGGATCTGGCAAGGCCATAACCAAGAAGGAGTGGACCGACCGGCTGAGCGACCAGCCCGAGGTTGCCAGCGATGCCGATGAGCAGTTGATCATCAATGTTCCGTGAGCATCAACACACCTACCCTCTGCTTTGGCAAACGACTTCAGATTCACTAATACCGAAGCGCCGCTCTCCAGCTTCGCCGGGCAGGTCAAGCTCCACTCGATCCTCATCCGCACCTCGCAGTCGGCCAGCGCGCCCAAGACGCTCAAGGTCTTCCAGAACAGGGAGGATGTCGACTTCGAGGCGGCCGAGGACACGCCCGCCGAGCAGGAGTTCGAGCTCTCCCAGACCTCAGAGGTGCAGGACATCCCCGTGAAGCGTGCCAAGTTCGGCAAGGTCCAGCGCCTGGCCCTGTTCTTCCCGGATAACTTTGGCGACGGCGAGGAGGACGTCACGAGGATCACGTACCTCGGTTTCAAGGGCGAATGGACCCAGATCGGGCGCGCTCCTGCAAATATCCTTGTGAGTGTGCCCCCTGTTGGCCATGCATGACAATTGCGTATCTGGCAATCCTTTCCATGATGCTGTCTGCAGCGTCCGTCTTGCTTCGGCTCCACAGAGTGACTTTCTGGGAAGCTATACTACTACGGAAATAGACACGACTAACTCGATCCATAGTACGAGGCCGCTGCCAATCCAAATGATCACAAGCTCAAGGGAACCGACATCAATCAGATGGGCAGTGGGGTTGGTCAATAGACAACCCAGTGGGACGGCCTCCTGTGTAACACCCTCTATGGGATCGACTCCTGTCAGACAAGCCTTGTGGAATAACGTCCTTTTTTACGCAGGCTACCGCCCTGGGAGATCTCCTATCATGGCGTAATCCCCAGTCTTCTTGGATTCATATGTGGCTCGTCGCAGCCACACCGTCTTAACTACATGAAGTCGTCCTCCCAGTTCTCATCTCGGTCCTGGTTACTTGACGCCGCCATGTTCTCCTCGCTGAAGATGTCATCGTAGGCGTGATCCTTCTGGTACTTCAGCTGCTCTCTCTCCTTCTTTATCCGGGCTTCTTCCTTCTTCTGCAGAGGAGTGTTAGTTCCAACTGGCGATTGTTGGGATGAGCAGCACAAAACACGTACCCGTGCCAACTGGGCGGACTGGTCCCTCTTGCGCAGCTCGCGTTGCCGGTCATCTTTTTCTTGCTTCAGGTCGGGGTGTTTCTCAACCTTGGTCTTGTTGAGTCTGTTGATGATCGCGTTCTCCCTCTCGCGCACAAGGACCCTCTTGACCTGGCAGAGGAGTCAGGAAAGGAGCCTCCACGTCTCCCGGCGTGGGGAATGGCTCACCTTTTTGTCATTGTGGAAGGAGACCTGACCGACTGCCATGCTGCCGTCTTTCTTGAGGTTTGACCATGGTGTGTAGATGATGGTAATGTTGTCCTTCTTGTTACCTGGCAGATCTCTGAGCACACGGGCCCTCGTATAATCGACGGCGGTATGGCATACCTTCGATGGAGTTGGCCTTGGTAAGCTGTGCCAGATCCGTGACCAGAGGCTCGGGGATGTTCTCCCAAGTCTCGCCTTCTCTCAGCCGCAGGTAAATGTGTGCACTGGAGAGCTTGTCGACATGGAACTAGAACACCAGGAATACAAGTCAGGCCGGTGGTGAAGGCTTTCACAAGCTCGGGTCTCACTCATACCCTGCAGCCGTGTGAGCACACTATTGCAGCAAACAGAGAGCATGAGTGCCCAGATGAACTAACCAAACATCCTCTTCCCACCCGTGCTTGATGAGGTCCTCGTCTGTTTGGATCTGTAAGTGTTCGCTCGACCCTTGATCATGGTCACGGGCACCAGGCTTCGCTGTCACGCACTCTCAAACTTATCCTTGCCCACGTAGACGTAGGCCGGCGGGTCCACCACGTTGGAAGTAAAGTAATACACCATTTTGGATTCAGAAGGCCGTGAGGCTGGGGGATGGACAAAAGAAATCAAGAGCTGGGTGTGTTTGGGCAATTATCAGGCTCGTCGTGACGGCCACCAAGGGTTGGTGGGTGGGCGGTCTTTGGGGGGCGCTATAAGACCGTAAGTTACGCTGTGGCCCGTATTTTATCCCCACGACTTTTCCTCTACGACCGGGGCAGGCAACCCTGCAGGTGGTCCGCCTGCTGCGGCTGCCGGGTACAGCGACGCCAGAACCTCAAATTTCGGGTGGATTGGTATCTCGGCCTCGCACCACAACCTCACATCGCCGTTCGTTCGCTTCACACGCAGCGCAGCGACAATGGCGCCCAACATACCAGCGAGGTGCTGGGCATCAATACCCCGACCGTCACGGGCACCGTCGGCCCTCATCGCCGGCATACAACACCCCCAGGCGACGTCGCTAGCCTTCCGACCCGCCCTCTCCGTCGCCGTCGCCGCGCAGACCACCCAGACGCGCGGCGTCAAGTATGGGTGGAGCACCCTCCCCAAGCGCTCGAGCTTCCAGCTCAAGTACAACTCGGGCAACGGCCTGCCGGAGCCCACGACGACCCCCGCGGCCGCCCAGAAGCGCAAGGAGCGCAACACGCCCCTCCGGACCGGAATCCTTGCCACCAAGAAGGGCATGACCGCCTACTACACGCACAACGGCAAGCGCATGGCCTGCACGGTGCTCCAGGTCGAGGAGTGCCAGGTTGTGGCCCACAAGACGCGCGAGGAGCACGGCTACTGCGCCGTGCAGGTGGGCTGCGGGTCCAAGCGGCCCGGCAACGTCACCGCGCCGCTGCTGGGGTACTACGAGGCAAAGGGAATCCCGCCCAAGGAGCACCTCGTGGAGTTTCAGGTGCGCGACGAGAGGGGGCTGGCGCCACCGGTGGGCGTGCAGCTGCTGCCGGACTGGTTCCACAAGGGACAGTGGGTGGACGTCAGGGCGAACTCGAAGGGCCAGGGTTTCGCTGGTGGCATGAAGAGGCACGGATTCAGCGGGCAGGAGGCCAGTCACGGTAACTCCAAGAATCACAGGACAATGGGTAGTGTCGGCCCGTCACAAGGAAGTGGTTCGAGAATCCTGCCCGGCAAGAAGATGCCCGGGCGCATGGGCAACGAGAGGGTGACCATGCAGAACCTTGCCGTGCTGCGGGTAGACATCGAACTGGGTATCATCGTGGTGAAGGGCTGTGTGCCAGGACCAAAGGGTGCGCTGGTCAGAATCTCGGACGCCGTCAAGCAGGACCCACCGCCGCAGGAGTTCATTGACAAGATGAACCAGGCGCTGAACGAGAGGTTCCCCACTGCCGAAGAAGACCTCAACGAGGCACGGAGGGTTCACATGGAACTCAAGCGGTTGAGAAAAGAGGGCAGGATAGAAGAGGCTGTGCAGATGGGCCTTCAGGAGACCGCCGAGGAGGCCGTGACCCCGACCACTGTGTAGGATAAGTACTCTGGCAAACAAAATAAATGTGCATGGGAACACTTCGAAGCATGCAATGAACTTGACCAAATATTCTGCAAGTTACGACAAGTCTCATACCCCGGCCGTGGCAGGAAAGACCGCGAAACACAAAGCTTAACGTGGGTGTAAGCTGGAGTTTTATTAAAGATTGGCAGGTCCCAGAAGACCACGCTGGCCTGTTTGCGCATCCATGTCTTGCCTTTGCGCGGCCTGGTACCAGTGAAATAGCTGATGAGATACGTAGTATGAATCTGGCCCCCAAATACACCTTGCATCCACTGCTACTGTTATGTACAAATTATGTACAACACGCTGTGAAGGATCTGAACATTTGTAAGGGACTCGGGCGCGAGTACCTAGATAAACAGGGCAGTGGCTCTGAACCACTGGGGGTAGATTCTGGGACTATTTTAACAGCGTATCTACCAAATCATACATGAGTATTTTCTTTTTTGGTGCAGTCGAGCTACCTCTACGGTCCTGGCTCGTAGGCCGAGGAGGGCCTGTGGGTTGCTCCTCAGTCACTCTTCTGTGATGCTGATTCAAGAGCTTGGGGGATTGTCCTGAAGAGCGCGAAAAGTGCTACCCCTCGCACAATTCGGCTGCCACAGGCTCGCAGTCCCTGCTTGTATAGCACGGGCGTGTCGTTGTTGCTTCGAGACTAGCAACCCCGGTGTTGTTCTGCTAGGACCATTGACAGATCTCCCATGACTATGGCAAAGTCCACCTCGCGTGCCCCAAAGCTTCATCTAGTGCCTGAAGCCCCTCGTGGTGCCCTCGTCCTCGTCATCGTCCAAACCGCCGGGGACCCTCATCGCGCGGAATGGGTCCCCGTCGTCCAGTAGGTCGATCCTCTTGCCGTCACTCGTCTCAAGGCTCCACTCTGTGGTCTCGAAGACGCCCTTGGGGGTGGGCCTGAAGCTCGCGAAGTGCATGACGCCCGAGTTCTTGGTGCCCTTGACCGAGAAGGAGATGTCGATGCGGCCGTGCAGCTGGTTCATCTCGCCGCTGATCCAGGGGATCTGCTGCTGGAAGTAGATCTCGTCGCCCAGGTACTCGCGGGCCCTGGCGTTGTGGCGCAGCGCGTACAGCGTGGACGAGACGACGGGCGACGAGCTCTTTTGGTAGTTGAAGATGGCGACGCTGGCGGCGGCGACAATGGTGAAGAATATGGGCAGCGTGCGCGACCAGCGGAACCGACTTGCTTCGACATCTGCCAGTGACCATGTCAGTCCTTCAGCAAACCAAACAAGCAGTCAAAGACGGTGAGGCTCACCCGGCAGCTCCCTGTCGGCCCGCCTTTCCATCAGAGGTCCATCTCCAGGCTTCGGGGCGGCGATGAGCGACCGTCTTTGCGCAAGGGCTCTCCTAGAGGCCGGGGATCTCAGTGCTCGGAGGACCGTCGTCCTGCATATCGGCCTTGGTAACATGTCTGCGACCGTGTGTGTGCAAATTGGTCGTCGGGAAGCAAAAGACGTGGAAATAATTCGAGGCTGAAGTCGATCATCCCACCTCGGGTGCGGGCCTGAGACCCCTGTTTCTCCCGCGGCCGGCAGCGGCTCTTGGGTAGATCGACGTCACCTAAAGCTGCAAGACCTCAGCTCCCAAACCTTATTTGCCGTCCGCCTCGTGCTCTATTACTGCACCCCATGTAACCTTGCCAGCACATACGAGTGACCACCTTTAAAGTTCACGTCGTCAGCCCACCAACGGGCCTGTTCTTAGGCAGCCTGGTGCAACAAGCGAAGAAATATGGATATGAGCAGCGCAAGGACGCGGCTTCGTCGCACATTCCACTACCCCACCGACGAGAGCTCCACTGGGAGCACGCCCGAGGTCCTCGATGAGGAAGGTATGCTTCCTGGTGTCACGTTGGAGCGCATCGTGGAACAAGGCCCCTCCCGTACGCAAGCACGGCTGACCCGCCCACGAACAGAACAGGAGAAGCTCATCCAGGACCTCGCCGAGCAGAACGCAACCAACAACCAGCAGTACCAGATCATCCTCCTCGCCCTGCCCATCCTCTCGTGCATACCCTACCTCCTCGCGCTCTTCCGCCCCTCGACAACCCTCATAGCCGTGCTGGGGCTGACATCCCTGGCGAGCACGATATTCCTCCTCTTCAGCCTCCCCCCAACCGAGACCGGCATCCATGCCCTCGACAGCCGCGCCAGCTCCGGGCCCGGGGCGTCGGCGCACGCCCAGGGCGAGGGCGAGGGCGAGGGCGAGGGCTATGGCGGCGGCCCCAGCAGCAGCAGCGGGATCAGCACGCTTAGCCAGCGCCGCCGGCGCCGGAGGCGCGCGAGCAGCTTCAGCGTCGCACCGCAGAAGAGCCCCCTGGAGAAGCACCTGCCGCTGCTGAACGTCGGGCTCTGCGCCGTGCTGGTCCTGTATGGCCTGCTGGTGCGCCGGCGCGGCGATGGGGCCAGCGAGCATTTTGGCTGGCTCGGACTGGGGAACCTGCCCGCCATCGTGTACACCGTCGTCATCGTCGCAAAGCTGCTGATGGCCAACGTCGACCCGGAGAGGGAGCTGACGGCGCTGAGGTACGACTACAAGGGCGCTTGAGAATCTCCAGGCCATGTTCTCTACCGTTTGTCTACGAGGCGGCCATCCATGCAGGCGTTGCTGTGTCAGTATTGCATGTGTCGGAGAATGAGACACGCGTGAGTTACGAGTCGTATGATATTAGATACCCCTAAACAGAACATTATCAAAAATCACTTGGCCTGTTCAAGGTCCCAGCTCAGGCTCTTGCAGAGATGGCATATGTCCGATAGTGTGTAATGAACAGGCCACGGAGTGGCCAAGAGAACCGCGGCCTTCCAGGTCCAGTTCGGCCATCGCAGTTGAGAGTGCATCTGTTCCCCACGAGAGAAAAACACAGATATTGACTAGAACCAAAGTATCCCCCACTGTGGCCATTGCCACACATGTCTGCCTGTCAATTCCACTCGTGTGTATGATAAGCTTGCATTTCGGATCTGGATTCGTAAGTCTACCTCATCGTGTTGGACCGAAACGCGTGTTGAGCTTTGCCTGGTCAGGGCCACAATTCGGCTTGTTATTCCATCATCTCGGCAGTATTTGCTACCACAGTGTATAACAGCATCATGATCAGAACTCTTCCCATTTTCCTGCGGTGCCACTGTGTTGGCAGTGATCTGGTGCTTTCTTGTGTGTCAGAACAGAAACACAAAAGTTTGTCCCCAGTGATTACATGTCTATCGAGTCTGTGAATCTCAGCACGCCAGTGTATTTGAAAACGCCATCCACCCCTGGTGGCAGCTTTTCAGGCGGGGGGTCGGAGAGCGGTCCAGCCTCGGAAGACTTGTCGACTACAAGGGCGAGTCCTTGAGCCTTGATAGCGTCCACAAGCGAAGGAACCATTTTCTACATTCGAGTCAGTACGGGTGCACGTCAGGAATAGCAGGTGTGAGGGGGCATCGGTATCACATACCAGGAGCCTTGAGGCAACCACCAGGCCCATGAAGTTGTTACTCTGCGCCGTCCTGACGACCTCCTTGATAGAGCTGGACCGGCGGCCGTGGTTCACAGCGGCCGCGATCATCTGCGGGGGTGCCATTGAGACCTCCTCGCGGCCGAGGTCGTTGCACATGAACACGGGGAAGTTTGGCTGCTTCCAGTTCAGTGCGGTACAGACGCTAGGGCTGTACGAGCTGAATACGACGGACCGGACTGCCGTGCTGCCTCCGCTCTGCTGAGATTGTGCACGCTGCACGCGGGCGTGGTCGAAAACAATCCCCAGCACCGAGTCAACAAAGCTATTGAGACCGCGGCTGTTCGACTCCTGTGGTTGTGGATGGGCGTGATCTTCGGCTATTTGGTAGATGAAGTGCAAATTGACGTTGATGTTAGAGGGTAATACGTCGAGGGCCTCCGCAAGGGTGAGCCCCGCTGACGCGAAATGGCGATGAATTTCCTGAAGCTCGGTCGGCTGGTCGAGGGCCCCCGCTACAAGAGCCTTCCTCGAAGCTGACGAGCGGGCCATCTGATCGAATTGCGCATGAGTAACCCATGACAGAGGAACCGCCATGCCTTCTGTGCCCATGTCCACCGTTCTAGTAGGCCATAGGACCGCAACACCATCTCTTGTCTGCTGCACATAGAGTCTTACGAAATTGCCAACAAGACTGGAACCCGTGACAAAACTGCTGATATGGCGATCAAACTGCCGAGTCGCCTTCCAATACGTCTCAAAATCGGTGATCTCCAGAGGCTTTCCTTGGAAAGGCTTGATGACCTGCGTGGTAAAGCTGATTTGACCGATCGCACGAAGCCGGGGGTCAAACAAAGGGAGGCAGCAGCTGGCAGAACTGCTCAGTGAGGCCCGGAAGGTGTTGGGCAAAGCCACAGTCTTCGCAATGACCTTCGCTCCATAGGTAGGGAACACATCGAAATCCAGCGTAAAAGTGTCCAGGTTGTCGACTTGGAAAGAAACAAGGCGGGTATCTTCGGTAAATGGGAGGATGATATTCTTAGGAATGAAGTCTGCGGCCTTGGATGAGATGGTCAACCGCGCGGCCGGGTATTTGCCGTCGTGGAAGAACACGAGAGGCTGTTCAGCATCCGCACCAAAACTGATCTGTACGACCGTCTTCGTGTCCAGAAAGTTGTGTCCGTATCTGCGTAGCGGGATGATGGGCGGAGGCAATTCTAAGTCGGGAATTCCGTCTGGATCCAGTGACATTATTTCAGAGTCCTGCGTCTGGGCCATTGGGCCCAATGATGGCGGCAACACTTGGGTTGCCCTTGGGCTCGGTTCCTTGGCCGGCGTGCTTTGGAGGGATATCAGCAGATTCATGCACTCTAGATGACCCTCCCACGCTGCATAGTAAAGCGCGGAGAGCTCTTTCTCGTCGAGAATATTCGCGTCAACGCCTTCGTCCAGGAGTGCTCGCAAGCAAGGAACGTTGCCCTCGCTAGCAGCATGCACAAGCGGTGTCCACCCGTATAGCTTGTCGATTTGATCTAGGTCGGCACCAAAATGCTTGAGTAGACTCAGCAGCTCTGGGTTCCTGGCAGATCTGGCCACAAGGTGCTGGGGGTACAGACCCTCGGCGTCTGGTAGTATCTGGGCGCCTTTGGTGAGGAGCAGCTCGACGATTGCATGCGAACCGTGTTTGCATGCCAGGTTCAGTGGGGCATGGTCGGTGTCTGAGATTGAATTCAGCTGGGCTCCTTTCTCCACAAGAATTTGTACACAGTCCAGATTGTTGTGTATGATGGCATGTACCAACGGCCGGAAATTATCGTGATCGATGAGATTGATGGTATCGGCGTCGACTAATTCCGGGTCAGTAAATCAGAATACGGCGAAAGGGTGGGTGTTCTGACCAGCCAGCAACGCATTAATCATGTCCAATCGGCCATGTAAACTGGCATAATGCAATGGTACGCGGCCGTAGACGTCCGTCCGGTTGACTGCAACGCCTTTCTCCAATGCGAGGTTCAGAACAAAGTAGTTGCCGTAGATGGTCGCCTGGTGCAAGCAGTTGCGCTCATTGATGTCATCTTCGGACTGGATATCCACCAAGCCTGTGTCAAGCAGGAGCTGGAGAGATTCCTGCGGGGCCTCATTGATAGATGCAAGAAAGGTTCTGGTGATCCTCTCCATCAAAGACAGGTCTATTGTAGAGTTGGGCTCCACTGCTTCTCGCATACGCCCCAGGAGGTCTCTCAGAGAGTCGAGGTTCCCCGAAAGGACAGTCTCAAGGAGGACGGTATCTGCATCTCCTTCTTCGGTGCCCAGGAGATGATGACTGCTCACAATATGGTCCGGTCGTCCTTGTCCCTCGAAGCTGACGTGGTCGCCATCTGCCCAAGCACCGAGCTCCTGCAGGCTCGTTGTGACCTGGTCAGAGAGCTCGCTGATAACTGTCGGGTTGAAGAAGGGCTGAACCTCGACGGCCCTGGAAAGGTAGAGCTCCTTCGTCTTGGACTTGGAAGTCTTGTCCCATTTTTTGAGGATCTTGGAGAATGCCGTCCCATTTATGTCGACAAATTGCTGCAACTTGTTGAGATCGTTGGCGAATTGTTGAAAGCCCTCTTGCAGGGTTGTGAACTTGGCTGAGCGTCTTGATATACCATGTCGTGACTGGAGGACCTTTTTCTTGTCCAGAAGGGTTTTAAGACGAATTTTGAGCTACGGATCAGGCGTCAGAAAGTGTATGCGCGAGTCAATGAGGGACTTGATCGGTAACACACCTCTGCTTCTTTCTGGAGATAAAAGGCGTTTACCTTCTCAAGTTCCCTTTCCTGGTCTACAGTTAGCACCAGTATGTTCAGAGTCGTTGTAACGGACTCCAGGAAGCCAACATACCAACTGGAAGAAGAACGTTGCCTTGTTCGCTTGCAAAGCGGCTTGTGAATCTATGCTAACGGTGTGTTGAAGGTGGTCATTCTGAGCTTGGAGCGTGGGAGTTGCGGAAAGCTTTTTAATGAGCTATGAGGAATTGTGGTTAGTGACAATTCTGCCACCCAGCCGTCCTAGTCGCACAATAAAGTGGACCGTGGGAAACATATATCATCCAGTCCCAATGTGCTCCTTGTTTGATTGCTGTAGATGATTCTTGTGGTGCTCTTTCTACCTCAGAGCTGATACTATCCCAGAGTGGGAAGGGGGAGGCCGCTGGGGAGGCCCTGGAGGCAAGACACACCTTTTTCAGTGCTTTGTAGTTGACAAAATTGGCAGCATACTCAGGAACCTCAAGCTGGCGCTTCTGGATTTGCTTGCCAAACTTCCTACTTGGAGGATCAGCCAAAGCTGAGACAGACGCACAGCAGCAGCACAAGCCACAGGCTGAGTAGAGCGCAAAGAATGTGGCCAGCGCCGTGGAGTCAGGGTTTGACTTACATAGTGCAAATTTGGAGCCGCTGACCTGAGGAGGCCACGGGCTGTGACGCAAAGATTCACCCAAGGATGGAAGCTGGCCGTGAATTTTATTGACTCGAGCAGTCTCAGACAATACTGGGCTGAAAAGAATCGAAGTATCAGCCACGGGCTCCTCTTGTATGGCCCACGCAGGTGTGACGTCCGAACCCGAGCAGCAGCTTTCTCTGTAAATGGACAAGGCGTCTCCGACAGTGCGACTTGGACTTGTCCCCGTGTGGATAGAGACCCGATACACCCCAACAAGCAGGTGGATATCAGTCGTCCGGCCCTGGGTTTCCTCCTTACCAATCGGAATTGCAGTACAGATATGGGCCAATACGAGGTATTGCTTCGACTGTTGCGCACAGTCTCCTCTGCGTGGCGATAAATACCGTAGTCTCTGTGCAACCTGACAAGAAGAAAATCAGAGACGAGTTCCCAGAGTAGCTGAGTTGTAAATGAGGCCAGACTCGCAGGCTTCTCTTTCTCCGTCCGACTGCGTCGTAGAGCGCAAGCATTCGCCTCTCAGTTAAAGGGAGATATAAGACGGTGCAGCGGCTGCCAATCACGACCAGAATGAGGATCCGCAGCGGAAACGTGAGGCGGTGATCCGGCAGGAGCGTATCCCCAATGAGGAACATGCCATGTGTCACCGCTGCACCGCTCTGCTGGTTGAAAATATACCCAGGAGATGGAGAAAGTGGGCTCGTACAAGACAGGCAATTAAATAAAGCACTGCTGTCCAAGCACTGCTGTCTAACTCAGATATAAAAGTCCAAATGCCGCAGCCCTGTGGGCTCAAACCTACTGGAAGCAAGATACCGGAAAGCCGCATGGGACGAGGATGCCCGGCAAGCACTGGACGGCAGAAGTTGCCCCAGGCTTGCACGCAGACAAGGTAGTAGTAGGAAATGAAGAAGACTTACTCAGCTGGGGCAGAAACAAGAGAGCAAGTGGGTGATATGGTGTGCTGGGGCCGGCTGGATGTAAATGGGCTGGCTCGTGGGAAAATGGACCCCTGTAGGTGAAGCTGGGGGCTGCAGAAGGCGGGAGTGCCGAGCTTCACTGGCCGGTGAGATGGTGTTGACAAGCCAGGCGACCAAGATGGCAGGATGGGTAGTTGTATGTGGGCAGATAAGCTACAACTTGAAGTCCGCCAGGAGGTAGGGTACCCAGGTAGCTTAGACGAGGCGCCGTGCAGGCGATTGGGCGTTATATGCAGATGGTCCTGGTAGGTGGGTTTGACAGCGTTTTCGTTCCGAAGACAATTCTTCAAGTGAGAACCCGGACTCGATCAGTCCTGGCAGGGTTGACAATCCAGTGTAAGCAAAATAAATCATACATCAAGAACTTGAAGATGGCGGTGGGTTAATTTTGATATAGCGCAGAGGACGCAACCCCGGTTGAGCACAAGATGAAAACCCAACGTAATCCCGCCGGGCTTGTTCTCTCGTACGAACAGGTGAGAGGGGCGGCTTGTGAAGGGTGCGCCCGCCGTGGCTTGCCGATGCCAGAGGCGTTGTGTGGTGTGTTCTTGGAGGTATCGGGTATTGGGTATTGCAGTCTACCTGCTGTGTCTGGTAGGGAGCACTTGAGGGAAGCCCGAGTCAGAGGGACGGAAGAGAGCACGGGACAGCCTGATGCGTTGTGCCCAAGAGCGAGTGGGCGCGTCCCAACCTTGAAAGGCACGAGGCGCCAGGCACGTTTGGCAGGTACCCGTGATGCTACAGGACCCAATGCAGGGCAGCGTCAACCCGGCATCTGCTCGGTTTGGTCCCGCCCAACGCACCCATTCCCAGTATCCTGCCATCCTTGAGGCTCTTTCCTCGTCACGGGCCGTCCAATCACGCTCGGCCCCCCAGGAACGTGCACTCTAAGCTGTATCCGGCCTGACCCTGGTAGCAAAACTGGGCGGCCAAGGTGGGGAGTCCACTGGACGTCACTTGGCCTAGTTGAATTGGGGACTTTTATCTCGGTCCGCCTAGACGTGTGCTTAGTGCTCACAGCAAGACAACACTGCCACGATAGCTGCACCGCTACAGGCCCGTATGCAGTAAGTATGTAGACTGGACTGGACTGTGTCATGTCTTTTTTTTTTTTTTGGTGAATTTTTTTACAAGACTTCATCCCATCGGAACTCATCATTATACACAGCCAGCATATATCCACCCCCCTAAGAGACCAGTCATCCTAGAGGGGACAAAGAGGTGGTCTGGTCTTCTGAGTTAGAGTTCCTGCCTAGGTACTAGGTTCGCCCTTCCTGTCCCGGACGATTGCTTCGACCCACATAGCCGTACCAGAACGTGATGTGCTTGACGCGCTCGTCAAACCGGGACCCCGTTGGCTATAAGGGCCCCTTCACATTTCATTTTGATGGTCGTGGAAGCGGCAGTTTTGAGCGCGTCTCGGGTTTTCTCCGCAAGTTCCCTTGCCGAAGAGTCTGAAGACCATTGGGAAAATCCACGGATGAAAAGAACCACCTAAGAGGAGACCAGACGGTAACAACATGCGTGCTGCATATGGATTCACCCAAGAGATGCCCACTACGGCAAAAACATCTATCGCATTCACGCTGGGGGTTGGTGAACGTCAAAACATTTGAGTGTCTGCCACAGCAGCGTCAACTGCCACCAGCAGAGCTCTTGTTGGGGGGGAATCAAGGCTTACGTTTGTTTCTAGGGATATCGAATAACAAGGCATGAGGTCTTGGTGCTCCAGATCCACCGCTACTCGCACCTTCACGACAGCGCTCCAAACCAGGGGGAACCACGCGTAGGCTGTGTTTTGTGTGCCGCGAGTCTTATCCTGACCACGCTTTCAATCCATGTTTCAATTTCAGCGACAGGCCGCTCGAGGGTCTCATTGGCCCTGGAGCTTAATTATTTCTTCGCGGCTTCCTTTTTGGCCTTGTCATCCACCAGACTGTCCGCCATCGCCTCCGCCGCAGCTTTCCTAAGCCTTTCCTCAGAGTCCTCCGTATCCTCCAGTTTGATGCCCGCCTTTTCTGGCTTATCCTTGGCGTCTTTATCGTCGTCACTGTCACCAAGGCTGAAGGGGTCGTTCTCCGCGATGGGGCTTGGCTCGACTGAGGACAGTGGCTGCCATTTGCTGGATTTTCCGCCAGCAGTTGCCGAGCTCGAATCCTTGGCCGCGTTCTTGGGCGACGTGTTGTAGATGTCAATGTCCTCGACGCCATCCTTGAACGACACCTTCCGTCCATCGTGCGGCTTTGGCGACAATGAGGGTGGCGGCGGCTTGAACAGATTAGGGTTCTGTGCCTGCTGGCGACCAGCAGGTGCTGAGTTACGTCTTAGCATCTGGCATTGGCATTGGCATTGGGTTTCAACTTCCGGCGTGTACTTACTGCCGTCGCTGTGGAACTTCATCCCTGCAAAATCATCGCTAAGCAGCTCTGGATCAGCATCATAGCGCTCATAGTCCCGGCTTCTCCTCGATGAATCCCCACTACCCCGCCCCGCAAAATGTCCACGGCCGCCATGTTGCTGGGACGAGCCTTCGGTTTCGTCAAACTGCTCGTCAAACTTCTTCTTGATATCCTTGAACCACGAGTTCACCTTGACCTGTGTCTCCTGGAAGCCCTTCTTGAGCTGCTCCTGTATGACTGGGAGGTCGTCGTCAATGAAACTGTGCTCCCTGTCATCGTGCAGCTCGTTTGGATTCAGGCCGGTCTGCTGCCGTCGGCGAGGTTGGTTTCCTGGGCCTCTGTTGGAGGTCCGAGCTTCGTATGCCGCACTCTGGCTCTCGTAATGTTGCGCCAGCTGGCGAGCATAGGCCTCGTCCGCCTCGAGCTGGGACTGGGCATTCTGGGGTCGCGGAGGCTGCGGCGGAGGCTGCTCTTCTGCGTCGTGCTGGATAGCATCCGGGTCGCTCATGCCCAGCAGCGCATTAAACGCTGGGTCGACTTGCCCCCCGCTTGCAATCAGCACTGCCTTGATGACGGCGGCGTCGATGCTGGGGAATGCCTCCTTCAAGATGGCCTCGTTCTTCTGCTGCTCGGTGACTGGTCGAGGGGGTTTCGGGGGGGGAACCTCCTGAGAAGTAGTTGTTGTCGTGTTTGGGGGAGCCGCGGTGGTGGTTGAGGCCTCCGTGGGTGCGCCAGTGGCAGCCCCTGATGCTGGGGTCGGCTTGGTGGTGCCGTCGTCCATATTGATGACGCCTGATTCTTGAACGTCTTCGTCGTCGGAATAGTCCAGTGGCTTCACTGTCGTGGGGGACTCTGGTACCTTGTCCTGTAAATGGAGAAGATGTCAGTTGGGGTGGCTTTGATTGAGAGTGGGTAGGCATGAACCGAGCTTCATCTGGTGTTTGAGTCCTGGCTTCTGCTCATGCTCTCGGAGATGAGCCAGGGGACGATGCTTACCGACATCTTGAACCGAGATGGCGTAATGAAATGGAACCGGTGCTATGACGGAAAGTTTGTCCGTCAAGTTGCTAAGAAATGGCGACTTGAAGAGGTAGTTTGCGAGATATCTAGGAATCCGACGGGTTGAGGTGGCGTAACCTTTTGGAGATGCCTGGCTGCGTCAGACCTCCAACCGCTTAGGGGTAGATGGCTCGTCGGTACCAAGGTACCTTGCAGCATGGCAGGACAGACTAGCGATTCCATGCATATCGAAGTGGGGCACATGCTTCTATGCGCACGGCCACTATGAGGCAACCAAACGAGTGATTAATGTGTGACATCAAGCTGGGTGCAAGAATCAGGATAGTAGATATGATAAGTTCAAGTGATTCGGAATACAATTTAGAAAACGGCACTGCATCATACATTTGAATGCCTTGTCCCACGGTCCAACCACAGCCAAGTGCTCCTCGAGGGAATAAAGCGTCAGAAGGGATATAGCTGGACCACTGCAATTTGGGTGGCTTCTAGCTGGTCTGGTTTCGCTTCTATTCTGCATACATCCGAAGACATGCATGGCGCCTTCGCACAGTGGTAAACGCTCAAGACCCAGCGTTTAGAAAACATACAGTGTCGATAACAGTGATAAAAATACGTTAGGTTGTGATGATGCATCAACATGCAGGAATTCATTGGCAAATACTAACACTTTGTGCATGATGAAATTGAACTCAATTGAGAATGATTCACTCAGACATTTATGTGGTGGTGTTATGATCACTATTATTGACAGCCAACGAAGAGACTCCGTTTCATGAATATACAAAGAAAGTGATGCTTCCGAATAATCGAAGCATATGCTCATAAATACCCGTCTCCATGAATTGTGGCCAAATTTTCCATCGCTCTCAAGACCAAGGTCCGCTTGAAGATTGATGGTAGCTCGGGAGATGAGTGATAGTGCTGCACATTCTCGAAAACCCGGTGCCCCTCAATATTGATAAAGGGGTATTTAGTTGATAATGCACTGGTAGGGAGCAATTGTTAACCTTATCTTTCGCGCAATTGGAGGATATCGATATTTTACTTACAGACCAGTAAGGAGGAGCCTCCTTCCACTCGTAGCTGGTGCAGTCGCCCCAAATGTCGGAGCCCTTGCAGGCCCAGCCACCGGTAGAACCGTCAGAGCCATCGTTGTAATCTGTTACTGACGTCAGTCCTGCCACGGATCCTATTTTTTACATTCCAGAACATCCGAAGTATGAAAGACGGGGACCCATAAAACGTGAAAAGTGATGCTTACAGGCATCGGTGCAACCAGGAGGAGTGGAAGTGCGCTTCTCGGGCACGGCAGCGGCGGAGGCCAGGCCGGCGAGGGCGAGGGAGACGATAGCGAAGAACTGCATATTGAAAAAGTATTGGTTGGTGATTGTATGAAATGATTGTGTCAAGTATTGGTTGGAGTTGTTGGAGTGTGATGATGATGATGGTGATGAACAGAAATCCAAACTTGAACAGCATTCGTCGGGCTACTTATATACTTTTCTTTCGCGAGCACCGTTACTCTGGATTGCTGAGCTTGGGGGCGGCTCTGGATGTCGTCGATCATTCGGGAGACGATGAGCCCGAAACTCGCTGTTGTTGATGCTGATGATGACTCTGGGCAATGGGCTTGACTCGACTATCACACTCAGACCTGGCGTTCTGAGGTCTTCGGTCTGGTGTTCCGTAGTTGGTGCCCAGCTTCCGAGTCAAGTTGTATTATTGCGATCAACGTTATCTTCGTCAGCAGAACTGCAGCGTGAAACTCAAATCCAGCCCTACCTTCAACAACCTTTGAAACAATGGGGTTACTTTTAAATAAGGAAAACGGACCTTACCGATCGTCAAGGCGAGTTGTAGCACAATAATTTCATGGCCAGCTAGTCTTACAGTAGGTCTTCAAATGTTGCTATGCTAGCACTCCCGAGGTCATGATTTCATTCCCGTCATCTCAGTCAAGTCACATTCAAGCCAAACCTCGGTCACAAAGAAACCATACCTAGGTACAGCCAATATCGAGATACACACTTATGTGCTTGTCAATCAGCAACGACTCCATTGTGTGCTAGAGGGCCACACCGCCGCGCCAAGCTTCTTGGTCACGGCTTCGACGATTCCCAAATATAGGACGCCCTATCCGGGTCCGCCCCCGCAACCCCGGCGGTGGAGCAGGCTACGAGTCGGCCTTCGGCCTACCGGTGGTCGGAATGCTCGGCAGATATCGTGCCCACATCACATCGGTGGGAGGCTTCCTTTCCAACTTGAATCAGGGGAATCTCAGGGCATGTTATGTAGATCGTCAAATGGTGGATTCAGTTCATCTCCTTTGGCACATGTGCAGTGAACCACGACTCTCGCGGGATCAAGATCGCCCGAGATCTCGCATATCTCTGCCATTTCAAAAGCTAGATCCCAGAGTATCCACGCTTCTCGCTTTCGCGGAGGCTGTCATAGTCATGCTAGATCATGCATGACTCAAATTATCCACAAGATGCCATGGAACGACGTGTTCTCCAGGCGCAAGGACGCGCACGGGGCTGTTGCTGAACGATGGTGTTCTCAAGTGCTCTGCTCTCTTGCATCTGCGTTCCAAGGCTGCGATACGTGGTACGAACTCTGGTCGCGTGAGATGATTCCGGGGGACTCCTGAGCAGATGAAGGCGTTGCCGCTGTCTCTAATTCTGGTTGTGTGGTTCACTGGACAAGGTTCATTTTGCCTCTGTCTCAAGTGCTTCCGTGCTGTTTTCGCCCTTGAAGTGTGGTTCCCCAGACATTAAGGTTCCTCTGTAGTTCTATCACACCTAAATAAGACATTAGTGTTTTGTAAGGGCTCCCTGAAAGTTCAGTAGCATGGCGCCATCGGAGACTCCTGTAATCTCCGTGTGTCTTGCGCGAAATCTCAAAAAGGAGGCTTGGATGATATGAAGGGAGGCTGCGTTGCGGGTGAAGTACTTCGGGCATCGTTTTCAAAGCTCACATAAATTTGGGGAATCATCGCAAATTTGATCATGCGTGTTGATTGCCTTCACTTGTGCCTGACCAGAGAATAATCTAGAAATCTGAAAGTCAGGGGGGCGGTACCAGCTGCGAATATTGAATTATCTTAATCTCTAGTCTATAGGAAAAGTCAGGGGAGGAGAGCCATGTCTGACATAAAATTCTTCGCACTCACTCCAGCAACCTCTGTGTTGAGACTTGTTCGTCTAGTGGAAACATCAGATGGGAGCTATCTCCAGTCCGGATGTACAGAATGTAGTGAACTCGTCTCTACTTTCATGAAACCGGTATTGTGCTTGTTCCGTTGGCATATGTGGTCACAGTAAGTTTCACGAATCCATTCTCATTACAGTTCAAATACTGGAATTGTGTCTTCTTTGAAGGCTATATCTTGAGAGTTTGCCACTGTATGAAGGAGCCAAGTACGCTTTATATGTAAGGGAATTAGAAACAAAACCGCTAAGGTCTCTATTCAACTAAAACTCAAGGTGGACAGACTAATAGACCAACGAACTCAATGATCATTCAGGCAAGAAAAGTATGCTGCTAAAAAGTGACGAGAAAGATACCGTCGTCACCAGTGAGTTTCCGTGAAAAAGTATTTTACCATGCGTTGCCTTAACCGAATGTGGTGACGCAGCTTCTATCTGTCACATGATATCGAGAATCAAGTATCACGTTACTCAGAATAACTCCAGTTGATCCGTTGTTTGTGCCTCGGGGCATGTTGTAGGCTGGAATACGAGTCAACTAGCAAGTGCGGGCAGGCTTTAGAGCGGATGTCAATTTGGTGGACAGAGTAGCTGTAACGGCCAAGGACAACGATACAGTCTTGAGAGATGCATTCGTGATATCTTGGACATGAGCGTGAAGATAGAAGTATGTAGAGACAAAGTGCCTCTGAGATAACTAGTTAAGTGATGAATTCGGTACCTAGTTTCCCGTGCCGATAGGCGGAGGATAGACCTGTTGAATGAGCTGATATCCATATCAGTAGATACATCTGTACCCTAGAAAGTATGTGTGGTCAGGTTCCGGTTCTACTTCAGTCCTCATTTCGAGACGCTGGAGATTACAAATACATTCTCACATATGCTATTACCATAACACTACCACGCACTCAAAACAGTTACACAACGTCTTTAAAGACCCTTGTAGATGACCTACCTCTGCTACGTTGTCCACAGGAGGGTGTCCCGAAGGGAATTATAGAGATATTGTGGTTGCGTAGTGTGAAACCTAGTAAAGCTCGTATTATGCACTCGACGACACCGGAGTTGCGATAGGTATGCCACCACTGCTTCCAAGGTTCCTGCGGGACATTTGTTTCTGTCACAGTATGGCCAAGGAATGGCTAAAGCGGACACCCCTTTTGTGAGGAAACCTTGGTCTCCGCTCAGTCTTAATGGAAGCCGCGCGGACCGGGGTGGGTTCTACGAGACAGGTGCCACTGGAAACTATAACATGACTCAACGTGTGGATATGAAAGTAGATACGACGCAGTCGTGGAAGCGGGAGGCGGGAGGGCGATATGAACCAAAAGTACAAATAGTTGTGGCGCCGCAGCCTTTGACGCTGGGAGCCCAGCGAGGATGAAGCAGTTGCCAGCTATGTGGCCACCTGCCGACCATGGCAAATAGGAGTATACTGGTGGCAAGTGCCTCTTGGCGAGCGGCTGTAGGAATTCAATTATCAGGGTTTCCAGGGACTCCCCGCAGGACTACAGAGGTTGAAGCCCCGGATAAGAGACGTTTGTGTATCCCCGATGATTCTTGCGGAACAGTTCTCAACAACCTTGGAAGATTTGAGCCTTGGAATTGATATGGAAGAATAGTCCTGGACCCCCTTTCCCCATTCGACGTCGCCTGGTCGGATTGGTCATGAGGTGGCTTGTCTTGCATGTGACGTTTTTAGAGGCACCCAGGTACCCAGGTACCTTCCTCAATGCGGTTGGCTAGCGCAGTTCCAGGTCCTATCCCGGGCTGGGTTGTTGCTTAACGGGCCGGCGAATCGCTTGGCTGCAGCCCTTGGGCACGCCTGTGACCTGCCATATGATATCAGTCAGAACGTCTCGTCTGGAACGTTATCGGCGTTGAAACCCTCACGACCTTCTGGTCCGTTCCGGAGCCCCTTCACCATGACTTGACAGGGCAGTTGCACAAGGAAGAAGAGGCAAGCTATCCACACTGCTGGCTCGCACCTGTACATGCTGCAAGCAAGAGATCATGGGCAACAGCTCCAGTCGGGTCACGGCCCAGGACAAGTGAGGCAGCCCCAGCGCCCCGAGATAATCCATGCACCCCACGAGGCTCTCCATCCCCAGATCGCATGCGCTCCCGGTCGCACAAGTACATGGCTAATCGGAATGCTTCCCTCCCGCAAAGGGCCATCCTTGACCTCAAAACCCAGCGCGACAAGCTGCACCAGTACCAGCGGCGCATCACCGTCCTCACCGACCGCGAGACCGAGATCGCGAAGCAGATGCTGGCCAAGGGCGACAAGAAGCGCGCCTTGCTCGCCCTGCGCCGCAAGAAGTACCAGGAGTCGCTGCTCGCCCAGACAGACGGCCAGCTGGAGCAGCTCGAGAAGCTGACCGCCAACGTCGAGTTCGCACAGATACAGAAGGACGTCGTCTTCGGCCTGCAGCAAGGCACCAAGGTCCTCAAGGAGATACACGCCGAGATGGGCGGGATAGAGCATGTCGAGAAGCTGATGGGCGAGACGGCCGATGCCATCGCGTATCAGAATGTGAGTTTTGATGCACATGTCCGGCCGACTTCCTCCGGGCCGACGAGACGATTTCAGGTGCTGACCAGTGCATTCAACACCGCAGGAGGTCAGCGAGATGCTCGGGGGTAAAATATCAAACCAGGATGAGGATGAGGTCGAGGAAGAGCTAGCGGCCATGGAAGCCGAGCTGGGACTGACGGCGCCGCTGCCCAACGCTCCAGACACCGCACTCCGCGCCCACGAGGATGTAGCTGATCCACAGCCTGCGAGGGTGAAACAGAAGCAACCTGAACGGCAAGCCATGCTTGCATCATGAGGACTCATGGTCCGTAGTATGAGTGAGGCGTTGACTGCGCTGTCCGAGGTGCACTTGCGCGGATCACATAGTGGTCATTAATCGCACCACTGTGAGTGCTGGCGTTGAGTGGATGGGACATGATTGAACCCATAAAGAAGTTTCAGTGCCAGCTAGGCGCATCTACCTCCCCCCCCCCCCTTTTGGGGTATCCGTGTCTGTCTGTGTTCACCTGCACTGCAGACCACATCCGGTCTGCAATAGTAAGATTCAAAACGAAGTCTACGCCCGGTTGATGCAGTCAGATGGATCTCGTGACTGTTTTGTCTCTATGAGTTGCCTCGACTCTAATCCATTCCTCCTATGCTGATTGATGCGAGGCAACTGGATGAATTGCCTTTCGAAAAAGGTCCAGTACGCCTTTCGCATGGTTGGCGCCAAACGCTAGACCAAAACGCCACGCTATGCACGTAAAGACAGTGAGCTGACTGATCGTCCACTCGGCCACACAACTTCACCATTGACCTCTTGCCCACTTGGCCCCCTTTCCAGAGAAAGCTGCAACCGATAGCCGCAAGAAATCCATGCGCATACATGCAGACTCTCACGGGAATTCATGCCGTTGATGTCATTGGCGAATGATGACAACATCTCGATTCGGAACTGGCTGCTCATAGAGGTACTGAACGTCAGAGGAACCAGTCCGTGCATGTTGATTCCGTGGTGGTGTCTCGCGATAAGGATGGCTGTACAATTTTGTTAGTGACGACTACACCCTGCATACAAGATTTTGACTCGCCCTCTGTGATGATAATCCGCAATGTGTTGTGGAACATAACTTGCTTCGTGTAAACGAGCTGGAGGACCCTGATACATCGTCGTCGTTGCTGGCCGAATAGGGCCATATGATTCTGGCCGGGCGAACGCAGTAGCTTGCCGGAAACCTGGAGATGGTGCACGGGCGGATTCGCGGTGATGAGGCTGCGCCGAGCTCGACACGAAGGCTTGGTCGTGTCTCCTGTAATGGGACGCGCTGGCTTCCCCAAAGGCAATGCGACGAGGTTCATTGTTTTCATATCTCACCGAAGGCAAGGTGGGCCCCGCATACTGATCCATACGGGGTGGGCTCAAATCCCGTATCCGTGCCGGATCTGCTTCCCATGACACTGAAGGGGGAGCTTCTCTGTGTACCCGGAAGACCCGTTTCGAGCTTACAGCGGGAGCTTCGAGTGAGCGACGATTGTCCTCTATAGGTTCTCGTACGCGGTAGACCCTTCTTGCATGCCCAGGCGCTGTGCCCGCTATGTTTGCTGGTGGTCTGTGATAATGGTCGTGTTGCATCGCAACCTGCTCAACATTTCGCAAAGGCATTGTTGGATTCAGTCGCTCACTGACGCCAGTATCCGACTGGTCATATTGGAAGCCCGCTCTGTTTTTTGGCAGAGGTGGCGGGTATGAGAAAGGGACGGCGCGTCCAGGGGGCACTTGCTCCGGAGCTCTTGGTTCTCCACGAATTACCTGACGCACAAACAGAGGCACGTCTGGTCCCGAGTGAGGAGATACAGGCTCGATGGATGGGACAAGATAATCCTTCAGCTCTTCGTGGTAAGGTCTTTGTGGAGCAGTACCAGATTGCAGGTGTGAACCGACTGGTACACGGGTGATACGCCTGCCCACAATCATTGCTTCCGGAGGGACAGAACGAGAACCTGTGTGCGGTGCAGTCTGAGGGCCAGTATAGCTGGGCATGGGTATGGATCGCTGGGGTTCAAGGTTGGCAACCGGCATGCGGTCCTCGGGACGGGGTGGTTGGCCCAAATTGTGTCCATGAGGGGAATTTGACGTGGTAGTCATGAATGGGTTTCGAGGGGAGGCAGCTCTGGGCCCAGACGAGATAATCTCAAGCGAGGGAAGCCGCCGGGACCCCTGGCTGGGCATTCTGTCCATAGGTGCAGCATGCCCGGCTGGACCAGTATTTTGGGAATGGCGGTTGCGATTTACGGCCTCTTCCCAGCGCTTGGCCACAGCCTCGTAACGCTTGAAGCCACGGTTAGTCTTCTTAGGTCTTTGCGGCTTGGCACGTTGGCCAGCACTCTTCGCAGCAACTGCTAAGACTGGAGGCTTATAAGAGAGCGTCCTGCTCGAGCCCGACCCTGTCGAGTATCCGGGCCCGGTGGGAGATTTACCAGCTCCCGAAGGCACTGAAAACCCGCGCTGGGAGTCCACAGCCGTATTGATGCGGACAAAGTCCTCATCGCTGGACTCATCGTCCTCCGAGTCTTCGTCTGAATCGTCTGACAAGACTACTACCTCGCGCAGAATCTCGTCGAACTGATCCCGTCCGGTCTCTTCGTCCCCTCGCCACTTGACGAGGAAATCTAAACAATGCTGCTCAACGACTCTCCTGGCGGTCGCGTAGCTAGCCTCCCTCAGAAGCTGATCATATCGGGTATGATTGTGTCGAATGTGGGCTAGAACGGCAAGTTGCACGCGTCGAGATAGAGGCAATGTCTTCATATTGCCCACAACCGGCTGTCCCTGGAAGGTTCCCCCCTAGGTGCCACGGCGCGTTAGAGTCAATTCTGGCTTGACGGAGCATCACATACTGACCAGCTTGAACGCATGCTCAATGATCATCTGCCTGTCGGTATTCGGTATTCGTGGGAAGAGATCCCTTAGAGCAGCATCGGCTTGCGCGTTATATTCCTCTTGGGTGTCAGGAATCGGCTCTGGCTCCCCCGAGTTCGATGCAGTCGAGGCATCCTCCTCGCCGATCTGAGCACGCGCCTCTTCGACAATGGTACGCCTGATGTGGTGGCCAGTGCGGCTCATCTGAAGTGCCAATTTGTTTGCGTTGGCATCCTTTGCCGTCTGAGAAAGCGCTCGGCCGTTAAAAGACAGGTCCTGCAAGTAGTGAGTACAATAGCTGGGCTTAACATACACAAACAATGAAAATCATTGCATCTCGCTCCCGTGAGAGCTCCTTGCATGCTTGAGTGAGCTCGGGGTTCCCAATAGGCACGAATTCGAATCCGGGAGGAGGGTTCTTGTCAGTTGTAATCTGCGTCGGATGAGTTGGGCATTCCAAAAGGAGGGCAGTTCGGCGGTGTCGTATACCTTGAACTCGAGCTTTTTCTCCTTCTTGTCATGGTTCTCGAAGACCTGGAAGTAAGACTTGTGTTTGGATGAAATGTTCTTCTCTGGCAGGGCAACCAGGTCTGCTCGGACGGGTGCCGTCCAGGCGCTGTTGTCCCTTCCCGTTCTCTGGTGCCTTTCTTTCGCAGTCTTGCCGGCGGTTGCGGCCGCCAGCGTTGTTTTCTTCTCCCTCCCCATGGCGAACGAGTTCTCATGAGCTTACCATGGCGGTATACAATGTGGCAAGCAGGGTAATGGAAACAGAAACAGAGGGGTGAAGATCGACTCTGAGCGGCCAAGAGGGTCACGAGTGTGCGAACAGTGTTCGAGGATGCTCCAGGCGAGAGTCCAGAGCGTCAAACAGTCGCTTCGTCGCTCTCCCTACGCGCATAGGTTCAACAAGCGCGGCTTGCTGAGCCAGGGAAGCCCGAGAGCAGGACGAGAGTCAAGAGAAAAGAAACCTTGGAAGGTAGGAAAGGTGGGCTGCCCACTGTCTGCGGGCGGGAGCGCCTCGTAGACCACAACTCCAAGGAGGTTGCGACAAATGGCAGACGAAGCAAGCAGAGAAGTACGCGCAGGAGCACGGGGGCGCACAGTCACTAAGGTCCGGGCAACAATCACGACTGTCGTGGGCGAGGCCTGGTGAAGAAAGGGAACCGTTTTCCCCAAGGTGGTAGAAGGTAACCTGGATGAAGGTGACGGACGAGTGATGCACCCGCCGTTCAAGGAGTCGAAGTGGGATGGCAACGCTACAATAAGCGGGTCGGGCGGGTCGGGCTTCAACGCTACTGCTGCTTTGCTTGCGCCCGGCTTCTCAGTGATTTCTACCTCATAGGGCGGCAAGACCGCTTCTGGCCGCCACCCTTGGCAGCCCAATTTTGTGACCAAGGGTTTAACCCTAGGATCCTGGCGTGCATATCTCCAACTACAATGATGCCCTCGTCGGGTCACTACACTTCAAGCAGCCGTTCTGGTGACTGTGGCCCCCACAGCCCGCAGCTCCAGGCGAAGTCATCATGGCAGAGTCCGAGCTTGCCACTTCCTTTATCCCAGCGCTTCATAAGCCGTCAGCTCTCCTGCCCATAGCGAAGCACCAACAGAGCCTTCTCTACCTTGTCGAATCTCACCAGGTCACTATTGTTGTTGGGCAAACAGGCAGTGGGAAAACCACCCAGATACCTCAATTCCTTGAAAAGGCTGGCTGGTGCGCCAATGGAAAAGTCATTGCCGTCACACAAGTGAGATCAACCACACCTCCGTCCTTGCCTCGCATTAGCTTGCTAACCCAAAAACTCTAGCCTCGACGCGTAGCTGCAACGACTGTGGCTGTCAGGGTAGCTGAGGAGACGAGCAGTGAGTTGGGAAAAGAAGTGGGATATACCATCAGATTTGAGGACGTATCATCGGCCGCGACACGCATCAAATTCCTGACTGATGGCATGCTCATCCGGGAGGCTCTCGTCGATCCGCTCTTGTCTCGCTACTCTGTCATCATGGTCGATGAGGCTCATGAGCGGTCAATTTCTACTGATTTCCTTCTTGGCTTGCTCAGCAAAATCCTCAAACAACGACCCGAGTTAAGGATCATAATTAGCAGTGCCACTCTTCAAGCTGAAGAGTTCCTCGATTTTTTTACTAGGCGCAGTGAGACGCACGCTTCAGATCACTCCCAGATTACAGGCTCGATCATCAGCATTGAGGGTCGGACGTATCCCATTGATATACTCTACCTGGAATCCCCTGCTGAGAATTACGTTGAAAAGGCCATCAGCACCGTGCTCGAAATCCACGCCAAAGAGCCAAAAGGTGACATCCTTGTCTTCCTGACGGGAAGAGACGAGATCGAGTCTGCAGTCAACGCAGTCGCAGAGCGCTCTGCTCAGTCAGACCCGACATCGCAAGCTTTGCTACCACTTCCGCTGTACGCCGGGCTCTCCACAGAACAGCAAATGTATGTCTTTGAGCAGGCACCGGACAATTCGAGAAAGGTCATTTTCTCGACGAACATTGCCGAAGCGTCGGTCACCATTGACGGCATCACCTATGTTGTAGACTGTGGATTCGTCAAGGAAAGGGCGTACAACCCAAAATCTGGCATTGATACTTTGACAGCGGTCCCCACGTCCAAGGCAGCAGCTGCTCAGAGAGCAGGCCGGGCAGGGCGTACGAGGCCGGGAAAGTGTTTCCGACTGTACAAGGAAGGGACGTACAGGAATCTGCCCGATGCCAACGTACCAGAAATTCAGAGGTCCAACCTTGCGCCGTTTATACTGCAGCTCGCCGCTCTCGGCATCACCAATTTCGTGCGTTTTGCGTACTTGACACCACCTCCGGCCGAGTTGATGTCCCGGGCACTCGAGCTACTTTACTCGCTTGGTGCCTTGGACGAGTACTGCAAGCTGACGAGGCCGCTGGGCATGCGCATGGCAGAACTGGCAGTAGAGCCAATGATGGCCAAAACCTTGCTTTCTGCTGACACATTCGGGTGCGTTAGCGAAATACTGACTATCGCAGCGATGACGAGCGTTGGAGGCAGCGTCTGGGTTCAAAATGATGCTGGCCGACAGAAGGAGCTAGAAAGCTCGAGGCGGAAATTCGCAGCCGAGGAAGGCGACCACCTCACTCTTCTTAATGTGTACCAAGCCTTTGTGAGCACGGGGCGAAAGGAGGGCGGTTTCTGCCATGACAACAACCTCAACTTCAAGACAATGACCCGCGTAGTCAGCATAAGGGCGCAGCTGAAGCGATATCTGGAGCGATTCGGCATCGATACGGAAGAGTCACTCGGTGTCAAGCACGCCTCAAAGGACGACCTAGAGAGGAAGGAAGAGAAAATTAGACGCTGCCTGACGACGGGATATTTTTCTCAGGCGGCAAGGATGGAACCGGATGGCACGTTTCGTACTGTCCATGGTGGCATAGTCCTCCATGCCCATCCAAGCAGCATCATGTTTAATCGAAAGGCTGACTGGGTTGTTTTTCACGAAGTAATGGAGACGGCCAACAAAACGTACATCCGGGATATTTGCAAGATCGAGAAGGGCTGGCTGCTTGAGTACGCACCCAATTTCTACCAGCTCAAGAAGTAATCAAGTGTACCACCGACAAATTGACCGGCCCGGTCTCCCTACTGCCACAAGCTCTGCTTAAGTGTTCAGTAACCGACCAGGTAATATACGTCGTGAACCAACCAGTCCTTGCTCGCTCTTCGGCGTCCTATGGGACAGTCACGTATCTATTACCGTACCACAGCCGAACTTTGAAAAAAAAAAAGTGTCAAAGCATAACACCTGTAGACAAGCTGCTTCCGAGGCATCTAGTGTATGTATATGCCCACCTTCAATAGGACAATCTCTTCTCGAAAAGTCTACTACGGAATAGCCTCTTGTTGGAGACATGCAAGCTCGGGGTGGAATGATCCTCCTACGAGAAACCTCGCACTGGGTCGCGTGGCCCCTGTTGTGAAACCCTCAGCAGGTGACACGCCAATCGGACCATATCAAGGCAGCTTCTTGCCGCTTCTTTTACCAGACATGGGTTTCTTCCAGAGATTGCACGAGAAGCACTGTCAACAGTCGGGCCATACGCGATCATTTATTAGGAACTATGAGTCTGGCCAGAACCATCAGCAAATGAGCTCGGCGGATTTTCAATCTCTGAAGCGACAACGGCCCGTGCCCTTGCACCGCGAGAACATCTGAATGCAACCATGCAGGCCGGGCCCTCTGACATCGAGATTGTGCCGCGTCTGCAAGAGCATACCTAGGTGCCTGTGCAAAGGAAGCATAGATATGATAATATTGCCGACCCAATGACGCGCGGGCTTGGATTGGGAGCACATGTGAGGCTAATAAATCGTGTACTACTATCCGGGACGGTACCTGGCACGGTACCTGGCAGCGAGGGCCGCCTGGGTCTTCCCTCCGTTGGGTTACACGAGCAACTGGAAATACGGGTCTGAGTCCGACGTTGCTTTTTGGCTCGACTAGCCTGTTCTCCACCGGCTCCCCCATTGCGCAGAAATCACCGCAGGCAAGCCTGGTAAGCCTGGTTCTCGAACACCGCCCCTGACGGTAGCCCTGCTTACAATGCCGGACGTGCAGTTGCACTGGGGTCATGGCCAGGCTTGGTTCCAAGGCAAACATGGGCTCCTCACCACCAGCCTGCCAGCCCGCCCGCCCGCCCGCCCGCCGCAATAACAATAAGCACGAGTGCGCCGAGGTGTAACCAGCTGCAGTGCTGGGCAAAACAGGCCGCCCAGAAAGCTTCTGACTCGGCCGAAAAAGCTTTGCGGTGCAGATCGGCGCGGCTGGCCCCTTAATCGAGAAGAAGCAGATGGTTCGCCAAGCAGCAGGCCTCATAGTCTCCCAATGGTCGGGCTCGACAAAGACAACAGGCGAAAGAGGCAACAAAGACCACCCTCTGGTCTCTCACGGGCGGCCCAGTCCAGCCTGCTGGGATGGCCGAGCTGCAAGCCTCTCTGCAGCAGGTGTTGGTGCTGCTTCTTCAGCTGCTGCGACAATTAATAGAGAGCGTCAGCAGCAGTGGCAGAGTGGCAGTCACCTCCCGGGTTGCTGCCCCCTGAGAGGTGCCGATCCACATAATCTCGGCAGCCCACCTGGATTTTATTTGGAAGTGGATGGGTTCGGTGATATCCCCTGGGGCAAGAGAAGCACCGACGCTAATCTACAGGCGAGATTAGGCGCTCGCAATTGTGCGTTTCATTGACTTGTGCAGCACTTGTGCAGGTGTTTGGCTCAGCTCCGCACGCCCCTGTCCCTGACATGCAAGGCACATCAGCCCTCTGATTTGCCCGTCCCGCAAACGCTCAGGGGCCCCCGGCACAGATTGGATGAACATTTGACGATGCCTCAGAGCCCCCGTCCCCCGGTCTCCTTCTCATTTCCCCGACCCGCTCTATCTTGGGTGTCGCCGGTGCGTGCTGTGTGTTGGTCCTGGGCCTGGGCCGCTCTTCTTTGAGCCGCCTCCTCTTCTGCCGCCGGGTCGATCACTGTTTTGTCTCTCTTTCCTGCTCCTCATCAGGATCCCACTCCTCTTCTCACCTTCGACCTTGCCTTGGCGTGAAGCTTTCACCGAGAGGACTTCGATGCTTGCACCAGCCTCATAGTCGTCGTCCTCCGCCTCGCAAGCCTGCCAGCAGGTCGCACATTCGTTACGAGCGGTCCTCAGTCCCTAAGTCACTCATTTTTATATAGTCGTTCCATCTTTTTGTTGAACAGCCGCTCCTTTTCCATCCCAAGGCACCTGGAGTTTGTCCATTGCCTCATTCCTCACCCTGCAAGCCAGCCAGCCCTTCTGCCGAAGTTATTACACCCCGGTCGCCCTCCACCGTCTCGACGACAAAGCCTTAATATCTGCAGGATCGATTGTCTTCTGCTACGACTCGGCCGTAAACAAACAGCAAAAAGCCCACCTCACCTCACCGAAACTACCTGACCCCCCTGGCAGAGCTGGTGTTTAATAGCGCAAACATGGACGGAATCAACTACGTCCATCATCTGGGCCCCAGAATACCCATGCGGAGGAGTGTCGCCATGCAGCCTGGGCACGAGACCGTGGCAAGGGCTTGGAACGTCGTCCCTAGCCGTGTGGTTGGACGATCGTCAAGCTCTGAGGACTGCATCGAGAGCCCCTCCTCTAACACATGCGAGAAGCCCACCAACCTGAACGTGTCAACGCAGATCACCGTCGGTGTCTTGTGAGTCTTGAAAACGCGGTGACTTGGCCGTATGGCATGCTGATGGTATACAGGGTTCCGGTGGTGGTGGTTTTTGCATGTGTCATCTTTTACTTCCACCGCAGGAACATCAAGCGCCAGGCCATGGAGGATGCTAATGAGGCTCACAAGTCGTTGGACTTTGGTGCGGGAGATGGTGGAAGTTCAAAGTCAAAGCGCAAGAGCGCTCTGGGTCTTGGTGGTGAGAAGTCAAAGAAGACCCGTGGTCTGTCACTGGACATGAACCTTTCGAGCCCCTACCTGCTGCCCGAGAACGTCCAAGGCTCGCGGGAGTCGATGAACTCGCTCGCCAAGACACTGCACCAACCCGACGACCCATACCGACCGATCGCTACCTACATGAGCGAGACAGGCTCCATCCGCTCCCTCGAAAAGTCCGGCCGATACGCTCCCTCGGTCACGACATCCTCGACAAAGCGCGTCTCCGGCGGGCGCCAGTCGTACGCCTATCCGAAGTCTCCCGGCTACCCACAGCCCACTCCTCTCCGACAGAACTCGTACCCCAAGTCGCCCTCTCCTCTGACCCCCAGTGCTTCGTCGTCAGTCACTGCCGTTGAATCTCCGTCCTCCGACCTTGCACCGTCGGTTCCCGGAAAGGAACACACGGTCCCGGAGCATCAGCCTATGCCGCGTCACGACACTTCTTCTCCCACCCCTGTCATCCCCGAGATCCGACAACCGGCTCCAGTGGCACAGAGGGATGCCCCTGAGCCACCCAAGACGCTGAACATGCCCGAATTCTCAAACCACGGCAGCAAGGAATCGGTTGATGAGCTCGCAATCCGGTCAACCACGGACAGCAGCATCGGTCTTGGTGTGCTGGGCGGTCCTCAAGCCCCCAAGCAAAACTCGCCAATGGCTGAGGTTGCCGTCAATGCGGGCCCTGGTCACCAAAGCGTTAGTGCCGCAATCGAGTATAGCGAGGACTACGCCGACTACGGCTTCCCACCGGCGATCGAGGAGCCACAAGAGGAGGAGCGTGGACGTGGGCGTGTTCGTGAGAGTGCTCTCGGTGTTCCCGCACAGAACAGCAACCGCTTGTCGATTGGATTCCGCCCTCTGCCGCCAGATGAGGTGATCGAGTCTGAGGACCCAGAGACGCGGGCCAACCGCATTCGATCCTTCTACAAGGAATACTTCGAGGACAAGGACCCCAGCAAACAAACACAGTACGCCGCGGGTGCTGCAAACCAGATGGGGGATGGCGCCTACTTTGACCCTGATTCCAACCAGTTCATCATGCCTTATGCGCAGCCCGTTGGCCGTCGTGCGATGACGCCTCCTCCATCTGGATCCCGCTTCCCCGGTCCGCGAGGCCCTGGACCCCGCGGACCTGGGCCCAGGGGTCCGGGATCGCCCGGCCCCAGAGGCCCATTCCGCGGCCGGCCCCACGCCGGCTCCGTCAGCGGCATGAGCATGCCACGTGCCGGCTCTGCCATGTCCTTCGGCCCTCGACCTGACTCCTCTGCATCCGGCCGTGCTCCTCGCTCCGGCTCCGCCATGTCGGCAAAGCCCCGCAAGCCCATGCCGCCCCCTGCTGCCCTGAACACCCTGCCCACACCGTCTAAACTCACGGACGACCACTTCTCCCTCATCAACGCCGCCGACTTCGCTCCTCCAGAGTCAATGAGCGAACGCGTGGCCGGAAGGTCTCAGAGCCCTCTCGGCGAGCGTCGCCAGTATGCACCCAAGGTTCCCGCTGCTTCACCTCTAGTGAGCACCTTCGACGAGATGGCTGCGCTCCCTAGCCCGTAAGTACCAAGTCTTCCCTGGCTCCCACTCATGTGCATTTCGCTGACGGCCCGAAATTAGTCACGTCCTGCGGAAGTCGAGCACGTTCACTGGTCTTGACTTTGCCCCGCCACGCAAGTTCAAGGACCCCGACGCGATGAGTGACGCGGGCTCTATCCGATCCAACCGCAGCGGTGTGTCCCAAGCAGCCAGCTACGCCATGCGCAGCGGTGCCGGCCGTGTCAGCCGTCTGCCGGGAGATGTCATCTTTACCCAGGACGCAGCAATGGAGTCACTGAAGCCGTCGTGGAACATGGGTGGCGTAGACACGAAGAAGGGGCCCTGAACAGGCAACCCCAAGCGGACGGTTGATTGTACATATGGCACAACCCAGACTCTTGAGGAGCTCATAGAAACTGCTTGACAACGGAACTAGGTGTTTTTATGGCGCGGCGAATTGGCAGCACTGGCGAATCAAAGCATAGGGCCAGGTCATATAGACTGGCCCGGTTGCAACGGAGTTGATGATTTGGATTGACGTTTTGTTCGTTTTCTTCTTGCGAGGGCTTACCGCCACCACAAAGCGACAAATACCCTACAACAACATAGTGGTTAATGTCTGCTCCTGCCCGCGGGTAGAGATGGTCGCAGCCTGTCATGACCTGGTCGGTCTTACCTGGCACGAACTGCATCTATAGAGGAGTGTATCTCGGGAGATTTCTGTGTTTTATTTAATTATTAACAATGGTAAAAAGACTTCTAAAGAGACCCGCGTGTCTCTTGCTCTATTCCTTTGGCCTCCGGGTCCCCTGATATTTTGCATCCCTTGGCACTTCCGAGACCAGCCGTGGACATGGAGGTCGCTGACAGAGAGTTTCTGCCGACCGTCACAAGCTCTTTTGGCGTTCCGAGTCCACGATTGCAGCTCTCGGCCGCGAATCATCATGAGTGGACGGCGAACACGCCATGGCGAAAGCATATTCACCATCTTCAACGTTGAATCACACGTTACCATAGGCTTACTGCCACACCAGCCATCGAAACTCTGTTTTGCTTAGTGAGGCAGCCTGGCGAATGCCAACGAGCCATTCAAAGTTCCGGATCTGGCCACTAGCACATTAGCCACATGCGGGCTTGAACGATCGTCGGGGGTTCACTGTCAACAGTTGCGTACCCCTTTTCACTACTACTTTCTGTACTGGCGTGGAACCCGTCTACCGTCACAATATGATGTCGGCTGAGAAATGCCCTCTCCTCTCTGGAATTTGACCGGTTTGCAGGGTGGCAGACACCCCTGGGCCGGTGTTTGCCTATCGACGGTCGACTCGACCCCTTACCCTTGGGGTTATGACGTGAAGGGGCCTGGGGGGCCTATAGGTACTCGGCGTTATTGGTTCTGAGATACTTGGAACAGAAGAGCCCGACCCAGATTCTGGCCTTGCACAATATGATTAATGAGATAATGCGAAACGTCATCTCTTCTCCGTGGTGGTTTTCTCACATATCTAGATGGCTTTGGGGATGTGAACGCCTCCGGCCAGTCGAAGACAAGGGAACGCGGAGAAGGGGCGAGGGCTCGAGTAAGGCAGTGAGTGAAGCAAGCCCCTCAGGTGCGACTCCAGCATGTCTCCGTTGACAGTTTGACCTACTACGTAGGGCAGGAGGCCAACTGCATCATGGTCAACTCTGTACAATCACCTCTGAGGTCTGGGGATAGCAGTACATGTTTCTGAGATGACCGGCCGACCTTGAACTCAACGGCCCTCGGATACAAGTTACGTGTCAGACAATCGGATGCTGCGAGTAAGATGGTCGGCCCGAAGGGTTGAGTGCTAACCTTTGTAGATGTCTGCAGTCGGGTAAGTTGCGGTGATACTGTGAGCAGTGGGTGAGGGCAACACGTGTTCGTTCTGGGACAAGGAGGTAGCCTTTTCATCCCACCCTCGCCCCCTAAACTGTGTGCCTGCTGTGAAGATGATGGTGTCCAGCAATGCCACATTAGAGGCTGACCGTCGGATGTGAGAGGAGGCGGCTTGCGTGCCCGGACAGGTGCACTGGGAGCACCGGGGGGTCTTGAGACGTGCGTGGCATATGCTCGACAAACGCCATGCCGTGCTAAACGACCATCTGGCGACGATTGAGCCACCCCCTCACCCCCTCTACTCGTTGCCCATCGAGGTGATGGAGATGCCGAAACACCATGTAGTCGTCGAGTGCCATCACCTATGGTCAAGTGCCTTGTGACTTCTAGTGCGGATTGGACTGAGCCTGGCCCTGCTTGCTGTAGCACCGCATGAGGGCGATTGATCAATGCATTGGAAACGGTCTTGGCCGAAGCTTAGCTGCTGTCGCTATAGGTGAACAAGGCATTGATATTGTATCGACGGCCCTCGATGGTGGTCACGGCAAGTCTCAAACATCGTATGAAATTCATATGCCAGGGCCACACTTGTCATCTTGCTGGCCAGAAACGTATTATCTCCCTCCCTACCTATCTATGGGGAAGGCCATTGATACAGCCTCGACCACTTGGGCCGAGTTTTCCGATCACGACAGCAACGGCAATCCACAACAGATTGCCTACTCCCCCACGGACGGTATCAATCCGGCATTTTGGGAGGGCACCGGCCTTGTTACACGGTAGACGAGCCAGCATACCGGCTCCTCTGACGTCTTCCAAGAGGTGGGGACGGATAAACAAAAAGAGGGCCTCTTGGTTGATCACCCAGTTCACCCAGTTCACCCAAGCGACTGCACAAGGAACCTGCGACGACGATATTGGTCCCCGAACACAAATAGTAACAGAGGAAGAACCCAATTGATTGGCGAGCTTAAAGAAGGACGCACTGAGCTTCGCCTCCAGCTTCGGTGTTTTTTTGCATCCGGCGCCTCTTAGTGTCAGCTCGACGGTCGAGCCGGCAGCCTCACTTACTGTGTCTTGTTTAGCAGGACATCAGCACGGGCGGACTACGGCCATACCAGAACACGAAAACGACCGCCCCCAAGAGAAGAAAAAAACGAGGTTCAGCACGACACCTGATGCGGTCGGTACTCGAGCAGCCAAAGAACGCAACAGAACTGTGAGGAGGAGCAGGATCGTCAAGAGCGCAACGCCCAGGCCGCATCGAGGAGATGTTCAGCTCCACCTTGCGAAATTGAGGAACACACATGAATCAGCAATCCGACCCTCAGCAATCTGGCTGTCTGGGCGTCTTTTCCCCCTCCCGGCCCTGGCCTCCATCACAGGGCTAGTGTTGTATTTTCCCTCTCGACCCTGAGCTTCGTCATTGCGAGGCACGCGGGAAGGAAGTCAATCGCCGTCGACAACAACGACACCGAGGCGATCGACACTGCGTCGCAGACACGAGGAGGGGCAAGTGTGCCGTCCGTGTGTTTTTTGGCCGCCGTCACAGCCGATCCGAAGAAAGACGGCACAAGGAGATCGAGACAGCCTTGACAGCCTCGGGCCAGCTGACTGTACTCTGGCAACCTGGCAGCTGCCAGCCAGCCTGGCTCTGTGACCTCACAGTGAGACGGAGCTACTCCGTACGGCAAGTACTTCATAGTACTCTGGTACTGTAAGAAGGGGGGCCCTGTGGGGATCCCGCCACTGCCGCCACTCAGAGCTGCTCGCTAGCACTCCCGCTGTCCCGATACGACACACGCTAAAGCACTCTTGCTCTCCTGGCCTCCTCGAGTCCCCCGGAGCCAAAGCGGGACCGGCTGCGCCCACCAGCCTGACCAGCTGCTACCAGCTAGCTGCATCGCCATCCCCTGCCCTGTCCTGCCCTGCCACGCTCGTCTGGGCCTGACCTCATCTTGGCTCCGCCGGTCCAACTTCCCAGACGTTCCAAAACGTTGCAGAGGTTGCCAGAGAAGAGTACCCAAGCCACTTTCCACTCTCGTCAAAACCGACCTGGCTGACCGTCAACTCTCTCCCGTCTATCACCTCGGACAAACTTGGGAGATTTGGACGATTTGTCACCCGAGATCCCGCATTCTGGTAGTCGACGGGCTGCCCAGAAAAGAAAGGGAAAGAAAAGAGACACACACACAGAGAGAGAGAGAGAGAGGGGGGGGAAGACGGAGAGGAGACACGGGTGTGAACAAGCAACACCCTTCTCCCGACCCCAACAGCCCGATCAGGAGGATCCTGCCCTGCAGTCCAGTCCAGACCAGACCAAAAAGGACTCGCCTGCAAATTGGAGAAGCTGAGAAGTTGCAGCATTGGATTGATTGCCACTGCAGAAAGGAAGGAACGGGACACCACTCAGCACCACTCAGCACACCACACCACCAAGCCACCAAAAAGCACCCCAAGCCAGTCAAGGCCGCCGACCTGCTTTAGCCGGACAACGGGACGCTTCTAAATAAGCCCATCAATTCCTCGTGTTCCCCCGGTTCTGGAAGTCCTTTCCATTCCTCTCCCCTCGCCTGCGACCCCGGCTACACATTTCTACTGCTTTCGGTTGAGAGTGTCGCGTCAACTCTGGGCCCTCTTTCGATCAGGAGCATTCCAGCCCGAGACGCCGCGTCCCGCGACCCCCGAGTCAACAGGACAGGCACAAGCTCGGGACCGCCAATCTCCGCCCTGCAGGCCATCTCCTTGGGGTTCTGGGGTTGGGGCGTCTATCTCGTCTCCTCAGCCGCCCAGCCCAAATCGACTGGCTCTCCGACCATCCTGCCTGGCCGGCCATTGTTTGACGCCCATCTCTCTCGTCCCGCCACATCCAGCAGTTTCTTTTCCTGCGGCGTCAATCCGCCCCCCTTCTGCTGCACATCCACCACGGCGAGACGCACTGCAAACTATCGCACGTCCACCACGAGTCCCCAGCTTCCTCCGGCTCCACGTCTCACCTGGGACCTGCATCAGTCCCATCGACTCGCTGCAGTCGACCCTTTGACAAACCCAGTCACTCAGGTACGCTCACTCACCAACCCTGCCAATGCGCTGTCACTCGCCGCTCTGCTTCACCTGCTGCACCCTCCGCGCGTCCAAACAACCTGTATCATCGACCACGCCTGTTCTCTGTTTGGCACCATTTCGTCTGTCGATCTGCAATACCTCGTTGCCTTATCTTTGCTTGCCTCACCTTGCCTCCTCGTCACCCTGCCCTCGCGTGATGAATCTCACCATGTCTCGTGCAATCTTTCGTCTCGGACCATTGCTAACATGGCTCCCACTTCTAGGCCTGCGTCAACCTGGTTGACGCACAAGCCCTTGTTAATCATGTCGGCGAGCAATACCAATGCCACCTCCCTAAGTACGGGTGATACTGCTGCGACAGTTTCCTCGGCTCCTACTGCGTCGGCGGCGTCGGAGACGTCCGCGACGCCGACCAGCGCGCCGCCGGAAGATACACTGACAAGTACTTCTGCTGACACTCCACCCACCTCCATAGCTCCGGAGACCACCGCCAGCACTGTGGAGAGCGCACCACCAACAACAGCTTCGCAGCCGCCACCTACTACTCTCACTTCAGAAACAACAACCCCAGAGCCGACAACAACACCCCCGACGACAACCCCAGAGCCTACGACTTTGACATCTGTTGAGACCACTCCGACCACGTCTTCGTCGCTTGAGACTACTTCATCGACTTCGCCATCGGTCACCCCGACCCCGACGACAGAAACCTCGATCTCCTCCTCGGTCATAGTCTCAGACGGGACCACAAGCACTCAGATTGTCACGAGGACTATCATCAATACACCATCCCCTACCGACGCAAGCTCCTCGTCCGAGACTAGTGCCGGATCGATACAGAGCAGCGAGTCTGACTCTAGCAATGGAATAGGCACCCGCGGGACCATCGCCGTTGCGGTTGTTGTTCCTATCGCCGCCGTGGCAATTCTCGTCGCTCTGGGGCTTTGGCTATGGAGGAAGCGCAAGGCGCGCAAGGAAGCAGCAGAGGAGCGACGGAAGGAGGTCGAGGACTACACTTACAACCCGAACGCCGATCCTACGATCCCTGGTTCCGGCGGTGGCGCTGGCTACGAAATGAAGGAGGACTCTTCCTCTGGTTACCGTGGGTGGGGTTCGACGACCCTAGGCGGCTCGACGGGCCGCAAGGCCTCCACGACCATGTCCGGCGGCATGGTCTCCGATACCCCGTACTCGGACCACCCTTACTCTGATGGTACTTCACCGACCCGGGCCACGCACCCCGGCGAGCCGCTGATGCAAGATGGTCACCACTCTCCCGAAGGCGAAATTCTCGGTGCTATGGGCCCGTCCACGGCTAATAATCGCGGAGGCAATGTGCGGCGTGGCCCCTCGAACGCGTCCTCGTCTTATAGCGCCGGCGCGCCTTCGGACGGGTCCGGAGAAATCGGCCAGGCCTACGGCGGGGACCAGTACTACGCGCAATACGACCCTTACACCGATAACGGTGCCTACAACAGCCCGCCTGGTGGTCAGCCTGTTATTAGGGATAATCCGGCACGACGAAACACGCGCATTGAGAACCCTTCGCACTTCCCGCAGAATCAGAGCGCCGGCATCTCACAAAACTTTTAATGCTCTTTTTTTGCTGGGGGCCTTTCCGAACCGGTCACCTTGCGCTCAGCCGTGTATCGGAGGTGGCTGTAGAACCGCCGGGCATGAGTTCGCAACAATAGATACCCTTCTTAACGCCATCTGCGGACACGTCTACCCACAATACTGGCTTTAATACCATCCTTCGGCGTTTGGACAAAATATCACCACCATCCTTTCTTCCTTTTTTTATTTTTGACGGCGTTAGATGGTGCCCTATTGCAAAGGCTTCCCGTTGTTCTACTTTTGCTCTGGTTGTGTGCAATCATAATGTTTGAGCTCGATTCGACCTCGCGAATTACAGTACACGCATCTGGACAATGTACGCACATATGTCTCTTTACACGCTTGGAGGATAACCCGGACGATCACGAGGACGGACCTTCGAAAACAAGACCGAAGCAGCCCAAAACATGGAGAGAATGGCTGGAGCACGAGAAGATCACTGCCAGTCGGATTGTGGAAATCAAGTTGAATTTTGAGGTCCTCGGAGGTCTGGACGATTTGCTCGGACAGTGTGGCTGTATGTCTAGAAGGAGGTGGGTAACCAGCAAAGATGCTGTACAATATGGGACCATGAGTCTTGTTTGAAGGAACTGTTTGTACATATCTACGCGCGCACCTGTTGATGATGTACTAGAACACGAGGAGGGTGCAGAGAGCGCCCGGGCGCCTCTGAACCCCGACACACGGAATGTATGGCCAGGGCTTAGCTAGCAAAGAGCCTAGTCGCTTATAAATAGTTCACTCAAGTTCCCCCCACGTCGGTTTGAGCATGAAGCTTCTCCAGCTGGGCTTAGGTTACAGAGCGAGTTAGGCAGGTCCAAGTCCCTGTGCGAAGGTAGGTATTCGGTGCGAGTTATGCCTGGCCGAAGCTATGGCATCCCAAAACTGGTGAATATGGACTTGCACACGGGACGGTACATCAATGAGGGTTTCACGAATCTGAGACAGGGGAACAGTACTAGTTCAATATATTCTCAAGCCTAGGCAATCGCTATTGCCAATGGTGGCTCGAATGTTCAGGGGTCTATAACAACGATATACACATCCAACGAGGTACCGACTGGCCAAGAAAGTCCCCGAGGATAGCAAATTGCCTGCCCTCTGAGAGGTGGCAACTACTAATCAGGAAAAGAGAGAGAGGGGGGGGGGGCACATCCAAACACTACAGCCTCGACCTCTCAGCAGCCCTCCCCAGCCTGCGGCCCATGCCCTCGCTCAGCTCGACCCGCTCCCACCAGAACCGACACTTCTCGACCTCGCCCTCGGTCATCCTGACCACAGTCGCGGGCACACCGGGCGTGCCCCTGCCGGCATCGCCCATCCGCTCGTCGTTGCCCAGGCCAAACATCATGATGCGCCCAGAGTCCTCCCCGCCTTCGTGACGCCGCTTGCGCCGCAGCCGGGCGGGGGCCCGGGCGGTATCACCTATAAAGGGGCTGCTGAAGCGCGGCCAGAACGGGGTCGAGGACGAGGTCGAGGACGAGTGGTGGGATGGGGGTGAAGGGGTGGTGCCCTCTGCGTCGATGTGCGCGGGGTTCGGGTCCCCCGTGGCGATGAAGCGGGTCCACGCGCCGTGCATGGCGTCCGCGGTCCGGACCAGGCCGGGGAAGTTGCCGATGGCGGCCATGTCGTGCGCGACCAGGGCGGCCTCGTCGACGTGGTTGGCCTTGCCGCCAAAGTCTGGGCGGGACAGGGCCGCGAAGTGGTACTGTTTTCATCGGGTCAGTCAGTCTCTCTTGCCTCGATCCTCGCTCGCCCTGTGCTCCAGATCCAGGCGGCGATGCGAGGTGATGATAGAACCGGGTGAGGGTGAGTGGAAGGGCTGCTGCTACTCACAATCCACACGGGATAGTCGTCACTGCACCCGCTGCTGCTGTCATGATGCTCACTGTGGAAGTGGCCAGTCTGCAGGACGGGGCATATATACGCATAGTGAGAGTAGGCGGCCTCGTAGCGCGCCCACTGGCGGCCGAAGCCGGGCGGCACAATGGCATACGGGCTCGAGGGGTCCGTGACGGGGTCCGGGTAGAGGCTGGCGAGGGCGGCAAAGTCGGCGGCGCTGAGGCCGGGGATCATGGCGGCGAACTTGGCGAGGAGGTCGTCGCCCTCATCGACGGCGGGCGAGGCAAAGACGGTGCCCTCGTTGGTGTTGAAGCCGGCCAGCACGGGGATCCTGAGGTGCCTCCCGCGGCGGAAGCGGTTGATGGGCAGGTCCACGATCACGTCGCCATTGTCGCCATCGCCGCCATCGCCGCCGCCCCTGCCGTCGTGCGACGGGAGGGACTCGATGACGGGCTGGAAGGGCCACCGGATGGGGTCTTGGTAGCGCGAGAAGACGGTGCTCGACGCGTAGAGGATCGTCTCGAGCGGCAGCGAGCGCAGGATGGGGAAGACGTGGTCGGCACGCGTCTGGCTGGGCTCGATGCCCGCTGCGAGGAGGAACTCGCCGAACTGCTGCTCGGTCCGTGGGTGAGACGAGGCGAGTGTGGCGCGCGCGGTGGCACCGCCCGACTCCATGATGGCGCCGTGGAAGGGGGCGTCGTCGGCGTCGGTATACGACTGCAGATGGTAGCCGATCTGACGCATAATCAGCACATCGATGGATGGGCTACTACCAGAGAGAGCACAACAGGACAGGACTCACCGAGTGCGCCCCGGCACTCATCCCCATGAGGGTGACACGCGACTCATCACCGCCAAACTGGCCGATGTTCTGCCTGACCCACTCAAACAGCAGCCTCTGGTCCCTCAGCCCCAGGTTCAGGGCGCCCTCGCGCTCCGCAACCGTCGAGCTCGGGAAGCCCAGGGCGCCGACGCGGTAGTTGAAGTTGACGCCGACGATGGGCGTCCGGGACCAGCCCACGAAGCTGCTCATGTCGCGCTCGGTGCCCAGGCCGCCGTTGAAGGCGCCGCCGTGGACGTAGACGACGACAGGCATCCTGGGCCCGCCATGCTCGTGCGCCGACGCGGGCCGGTAGACGTTGAGGTTGAGGCAGTCCTCGCCGGCGACCATGCCCGGGATGCGGGCGGCCGGGCCGGGGCACACGGGGCCAAAGGTGCTGGCGTCGAAGGGCGTGGCGGCGGACGAGGCGGACAGGTCCAGCGGGACGGGGGGCCGGAAGCGGTTCTCACCGGCGGTGGTCTGCGCGAAGGGGATGCCGCGCCACGCCTCGACGGCACGCGGCACGCCGGAGCTGGGCGGCAGGACCACGCCCGTGTAATGGCCCTGGGCGAGGTGGACGGTGGCCGACGGGCCCGTGTGCGGCGTCGGCGTGCGGGGCCGGGGCCGGAGCGGGTTCCGGCCCTCCTCTTCCTTCTTGTCCTTTTCCCTGTCCTGCCTGGCCATTTCTAGATCTGACTCTAATTTGGCTGCTGGGACTGTGACGGTGGTTGTGCCGAGGCAGTCCGGGCCGGCCGGGTTTCCTTTGCCACTACTACTTTGGGGGCTGTTCTTCGACAGCGTCCAGGTACCGGTGGATGAGGGCGAGGTGCGTTGTCGCCGGATGCATGCTACGAGGCCGAGCGCACAGAGGCCAGAGACGACGAGGGCGAGGGCGAGGGCGAGGGCCAGGGCTGGTATATGCATGTGCATGTGCATGTGCTGCATCGCTAGAAATAGCTGCCGAAGCTTGGCATGGATTACTGCCTCCCCGCCGTCGCCCTGCGCTTTCTCCCCATACCCATGACCAAACCCAAACCCAAATTTCCCATGCCACGAGGGCTCGACGACGGGGCTCGGCGCCATGGTGATCCGGGCCCTGCTGATGCTGGTGGTGGTGCTGGAGTGCTGCACGATATGAGGCCAGGACAAAACAAAAACAAAAGGACGGCCGGGCACGCGACTCGGTCCTTTATTGCCTTCCCCCCCTCCCCGGTCGGGTTGCAAGTACATGCATGTGTATGTAATACGGGCACATGGTTCCTCCTTTCTTACTACTACCATCTCACCACATACCACATCTCACGCATGCGCTGCCCTGCTACTTCTCATGATAGGCTCCAAAGTTGATCTATCTATCCTACAGCACGCCATCATCTGCGCCTATACACACAGCCATGCTCGCCGTTATCCTTATGCTCGTGTCGTCTTCTCCGCGTCCTGCCAAAAAGGACACATACGTATGTATATACAATGCTCGCAGCACCTGGCAGCTCACCCATGACAGCCAGATGATTGCCCTGGCCCGGGTCTCACAGCCTCGTCGGGCTGGTTGCGAGCACCAGTTGCTCCGCTCTGCCAGAGTGTGGCTCAGCACCCATTCAACGCCTGGTACGAAATGTGCAGAACAACAAAAACCCAAATACTCCGCGCCCCAGGTGATATACCACCGGACGGTGTAGCAAAGACAGACTGTCAGTCAGCCAACCAAACAAACAAACAAACAGACAAACGCCACCTCATCAGATCATCAGCTCGTCAGGCCACTCATGCCACGCAGCTCCCCACCGCAACGCCATGCAGCTCCCTGTGCACTGGCACCTGAGGGGGCTCGTCATCTGCCGCCGTCACAGGCGCCGCTTCAGGCTCGCCTTCCTAGGCAGTTGACGTCTGCTGCTGCTTCAGCCGCCTGCTCGTGGCGAGCATGCGACTCTGCTCCGCATATTTCTGCCGCGCCAGCTGGATCGCCTGCTGACGCTCTCGCTTCTCCCGCTCCTTGTCTTGGCCGTACGAGTTGTCACGCGTGTAGATCTCCCTGCCGCGCGCCTTCTGCTCCTGGATCTCCTCGCTGGACACCTGGCTGCGCTTGCTCGCCGACACGATACTAGCGTTGGACGACGACGTTGCGCGAGCGCTGAAGTGCGATGACCCGACGCTGGAGGTGCGCCCGCGGTTGGTCTGCACGGTGGACGCAGATGCATTGCTAACGGTCCGGCCCGCCGTAGGTGTCATTGCGACAGAATGGCGTTTGGTCGTCCCATACTTGGGCGATGCGCCCGACGGAGACACCGTGCTCTGCTGGTCCGCCGCTCCGCCCTGCGACTCACGCTGACGGCTGGTAAAAGTCGAGCGTACGGTCGCAGAGCCACCGACACTGCTAGGTGGTGGTCGGGCCTTGAATTGGCGTCGTCTTTGCACCTCTTCCTCTTCGGCCTTGAGCTTCGCCGCAAGCCGCTCTTTTTTCATCCGCGAGACCGATTCACCCGGCAGTTCGAAATTAGGGACCGTCGGCGGCTTGCTAGATCTCACGGAGCGGACTCGCTGCGGCGGGGGGCTGGACTCTGCAAGCTTTTGCGGGCCGAGCTGCATCGACAGCCGCGCTGCCTTCTTCTCCTTGAGCTCCCTGGCGACTCTTTCACCGGGAAGCTCAAACTCGGGGACCGTGGGCGGCTTGCTGGACCGGAAAGAAGGTAGCCGCTGAGACGTGGTCTTGACGTCTGGAACTTTGGGCGAGTCAAGCTGCATGGAAAGCCTGGCTGCCTTCTTCTCCTTGAGCTCCCTTGCGACCCTTTCGCCGGGCAGCTCAAACGTGGGGACAGTCGGCGCCTTGCTGGCCCGTTGCAAGGGCTTTGGCGGGGCAAGACTGGCTGGCCGAGCAACTCGTTTGGTGGCAGTCCCAAGGCTTGTCTTTCTCTCAGCCTCCGGTTCAGTCTTTGGGGGCGAAGACTTGCGCGCCGGGCTACAGGGCGACGACGCGTTTGGCTCGCCTCGTACAGCGCTGGCCGTCTTCGAAGCAGCCTTGCCATTTGGTGTAGTAACCTTGGATGCAGGGTTAGAGTAAGGTGAGTGTTTCGCAGCCCGGTCCCTGGGCCTGTCCTCTCCAGCGTTCGAGATCTGGGCCACGCGTGTGGCTGCCGTCACGGCTTCGAACTCGTCCTCAAGCTGGTCAATCTCCTCCAAGGAGTCCTCTATAGTGCTCATAGGAGCCGTCATGAGGCGCCGGGGTGGCTCAATCGTGAGAGTGTTGTCGCTGTCCTCCGATGCGTCTACGACGGTGGACCACTTCGCACTCTGCGTTGCGCTGTTTGCGGCACTGGCAGGGCTGTTGATCATCTGAGTAGCCATGACAAAGTCGGCGTCTTCCTGTCCAAGAACACGGAATCGGTGTGAGGTAGTTTCAAGATCGGTAGTATGAGTGTGTTCCGGGGCCAGCTCAATTGGTGTGGCCAGGAGCAGGTATTCGTCGTCAGGATCGCCAGGGAAATGTCCCTTACGTCCAGCTGCCTTGGTCCAAGTAAGCAGGTTACAACCAAAATACCGCCTGTCGCTCTGATCGGTAATGCAAGAGGCAGCGATATTCAGTTGGTCATCCAATGGCTGGAGAGGTTGGTCAGGATTTGAACAGACTGAAGCCGGCAGGGACAGAACCCATTGAAAGTGCTTCTTCTTGTGCTTCTCGAAGATGTTCTCCTGGGGATCCTGGCCTCTGGCTGCCTTGACTAAGTCGTGTTCACCAAAGGATTCTAAGTTTCATCGTGGGTCAGCGAATCATTCGGGGCTTTTTGAAACGACCAGGGCGGTATAACCAACCGTTGTGAGCCGAGAGGCTGTCAATAGACTCAGCGGGTACGTCGGGGGCAGTAAACGTCTCTGCTGCGAGTTGAGGACGTTGCCGATGGCCGCGAGACTTTTTGTCACTAGGCTTAGTACGAGGATCCTGGGAGCCGAGGGTCCACTCCAAGTCTTGGGTGGAGGTGCTGGGCGATGCTTTATTTTCTTGCGCTTCTGGGTCGGTGTCCGACTTGACGGAGGGGTCAAAGACGCCGCGGTCCCAATGAACAGTAGCACTGCGCGCTGCCTTGTTGAGTGTGCTTGACTTTGATGTGGTGAGAGCGGCGTGGGCGGGGCTCGGAGCACAGTTGCGGGTGGCAGCGATTGAGGATGGAGAGAGGTTGAGGTCTGTGCCACCGGCGGGCGAGACAGCCATGAGGGCCATTCTAATAAATCGCCGTCGGCGGAGGGTCGGATGGATCTCTGGGCGAGACAGGCGAGACAAACGAGACAGGGGTCGGCCCTATTTGGAAAGCCCCAGAAACGAGACAGAGTCGTGCCGCAAGCACAGACAAGGGTCGAGCTAGAGCAGCGTAATCTCGGTGCATGAACAAAACACCACAAGGCGGGAGGGTTGGGATGGAAACGTGGCCGTGCCGACGACAAGGGCCAGTTTGCGAATTATGATTGGGTTAGTCGGGGCAACGCACAAGGCTGGTTCAAAAGTGCATTCTTGATGATGGATGCTGTTCCCAAAAAGGCTGAGATGCAAAGTTTACATGGTAATCGTGGATGAAGCCTCGGCCAGAGGGGCTTGGCAACAGGTCGACGCACGCGCGGTCCAAGTAAACAGAGCCACTACAAGTGTGCAGTAGCGATGGCGACGCGTGAGGCCAGCCGCTCTTGCATTGGTTGCCGTTGGCGTGTGTGTGTGTGACCTTCCATGGCCAGGTCTGACAAGCCTACGAGCTGTCTGCATGTGTCGGCACACTTACAACTTATTAGACAGTATTACAAGTGCATATCCATCCTTGTTGGAATGACAGGAACTTGGCGGCAAATCCTTCATAACGGCAGAAATGCCTGATCCGTCCTATGGGGTATCGTATCTATGGGGCGGGCGGATTTGGATACATAAACAACCTCTCTCCGCTTTAATTTAGGTCTCAGGCCAGGCAATGGTGCATCCCCGCGATTGGACTTCAGAACCGAGTGATATGTAGCCTGCAGGTACGGGTCCAGGTTCAGATAATGACTGCCTGGCGTCCTGGGGAACCCACCACTTATTAGTTATGCATACTAATCATTAGTACATCGGAGGGCAGGGCAAGCACATCGAACACGGTATGCCCCCCGCAGCTGCACCGCCGACTACAACAGTAAAGTGCTCTTCCCATCTCCCATCCCCCGTCACCCATCACCCACACGTCGGACGCGCCCAGGCACGGCAAGTGCTAGCTTCGATTTGAATGGCATTGTCTGTTGCCACCAGCAGGGAAGAGATCGAGGCACTTGCGTGGAGGGGCGTTTCCTCCAGGATTGTCTAGCAACGAACCTGACTTGCTGTTTAGTGCGTTCGCGAGGGCTGAAACAGATCGAGTTTGGGGACTCGGAAACCATCCAGCCAGCCCGACGAACTATTACACACTAACCAGACTTCAGAGGTTCTGCACGGGTCAAAACGAGACCCTTAAAACCCTCAATCCGAGCGTCTGACTTCACTCGTTTGGTTCCTCAGCAGCCTCGGCCTGGGCCTGCAGTGCTGGTGCATGCTCCGTCGGGATGCGAACCAAGGTTTGCGGCAGAGCTGCTGCTGCTTCTGCATCATTCTGCGGCTTCGGCAGTCTGGCTGTAAGACCGTGATGGTTAGCTGAGTCTTGCCGCATGTGCTGCAGTTTTTAGGTTTGCAGGAGGACGACTTACAGGAGGCCATATTGATGGCGCGCAGGACGTTGTGCCAGTTGCCCATTACAAGAGCGATCGCTGTTGATGTCAGTCAGACCTTTGACTGTCTTTTTGATTTCGTCGTCACAATCATGGGCCAGCCATACCCTCAGTGCCATCAGACAGCGTGGCCAGCTTCTGCTCCAGAGCCTCCATCTGTGACGCGACTGCAGCACTCAGGTCGCGCAGTTCCCGGAGATTCTCGAGCTCGGCTTTCTTCTCATTGACCCGTGCCACCAGCGCAGGAGACTGTCCAGCCGACGACGCTGGGCCTGCCATCGACGGCTGCCGGATGTGCGGCTGGATTGACCTGCCTGGAAAAGACATGACGGCGTTTTGAAAGCAGTGGATGTTTCTGTATGGTGTTGGCAGTTGACAAGACGGCCGTCAGGTAGGTATCAATAGATGCGATTGTCCCCGGGAAAGGCACGCGTGAACACTGTGACCCTGACCCTGGTTTTCGACGCGATGATGGCATGTCTGGTAGCAGTGGTCGGGTAGTGGGGGTGGGAGGGTCCATCCAAATCCAGTTGCTCGGCCAACCAACAGGCCCATTTTGGTGCAGAAAAGCCAGCCCCCCAATAGTAACAAGCGACAAGCACTTTACTTCCTGGACCCAGTCCAACCACCCTCTTACACCTCCCTCCAAAAGTAGAACAGAACATTCCTATCCACTCGCTTTAATCTTGTCGTTTCCACCTATTTGCCACATTTATCCCGCCATCCAGCACTCCGCCCTGGGTGCAGCTATGCGAGATGGCAAGACTGAACGAAGTACCAATGTCAACAGATAGCATAGAAACGCGTAAGTGCCCGCTGGCTTCCAAGCTCACCCGCGCATGCCCACATACTGACCGGGGATCGCTTTGCGGCAGTGAGGAAGAAGTTCCTGCGGCAGAATCGAGATATCGCGCGAGTCAATTCGGCGCAATCATTGCGCATCCGGTCGCTCGAGAGCGAATGCGGCCGTCTCCTCTCGGACAACCTTACCCTGAATGGACGCATACTGGAGCTCGAACGCGACCTCGAGGAGTGCCGGGAAGCACAGCGAATCGCAGACCATGCCCTTGAGATCAAAGCTAGGATGGAGGCTCAGCTCGAGGAGTGGAGCGCAATGCTCGGGGGGCTGGGGGTGGAGCGCGCAGCCAAGAGACACGCGCGCTCTTCTCCCGGGGGCACAACGGTAGCAAGAAAGCGGACAAGCATGGACCGCAGCCCTGCAGCGAAGCAGCGGCCACGAGATTCGAGGAGCAGCGCCGACATGGCTGCTCTGCATGAGGGGAGGCTGCCGCCCATCCAGGAAAACACTACGTATCCACGCCGGACAATGAAGTATGATGGATCAGGATTTGAAATTATTAGAGCGCAAACATGCTGACATCCTCTTAGCCACAATGAAATACTGGCAATCTGCACCGAGGCCGAGAATTCGAAAGATTCGCCAGACCTCGGGCCACCTCCTACTTCGCGCTTCGTCGAGGAACCAGTCAAAGTCGACAGCCCTAGCAGGTCGACTGGCACCTCACAGCCTAGTCCCAAACTCAAGATTCAAGCACTCCTCCCGTCCAGCTCCCCTTCGAGACCAGACATGGAACCGACGAAGCAGCCCAGCGTGACCTTGGAAGCAAGCCCACCGCGAGATGACCCGAGGCCAATCAAGGCAGCCCACCCATCAATTCATCCTTCCGTTAAAGCAGGCTCCAAGAGAAAATTCGGCGATGAGAACGACGAAAGTCAAGTATCTAGGGCCTTCCCAACCGCGGAAAAGTCCGGCAGCAAGCACGTCATCGAAAAGCCACTGATCGTGAGGGATTTGAAGGATCGCAGCGGTGCAAAGGACTTGTCAAGCAGGCCTGACGAGAAGAAGCCCGAGACTACAGATCCTACCAAGAAACGACCCAGGCAGCCTCTTGCAGACAAGAGCAGGAACGACGGCATGACTTCACCGAAGAAGCTTCCCAAATCTGCGACAACGGGAGATCTGATGAAGGCCATGTCGGACCAAACTAGGGAGGTCGCACTGAAGGCTGCGCCGTTGAAGAAGAAGAGGGTTGTTCCAATCAAGCTGCCATCACTGCCACCACCGGGGCCATCGGCGGCGAAACAGCCAGTAGAGCCAGAGACCCCGTCAGCAGACCCTGGTCTCGTATTCCCAGACACCCCGGAAACCAAATCCACAAGCGAGAAGCCCAGAGATACGCCTCCGCCAGCAGACATTAGCTCTCACGGAGAGACTTCACGGCCCAGCAGGAGGGTGAGAGCGTCTGTTAGCTATGCAGAACCAAATCTCAGGGATAAGATGCGCCGACCGACAAAAGAGATGTTGGACGCAGTGTCCGGAGAGGGCAAATACAAGCGCACCAGCTCAGTTAACCACGTCACTTCGGTGTCGGCTTTGAAACCCGCGGCCGATATCCAAACCACGCATTCAGCGTCGACGACCCAGCTCCCGGCAGCCGAAGCAGCCATGGAGAATGAGGCAGCCCGCCGGCCTCCAGTCATGAGCCCGTTGTCGCAGAAGGACTCGATGAAAGAAGCACCGCCAGCGGCACAGGGAGGTCAGGTCACGACCGAGCGAAGAAGACGGCCATCGTCTAGGCAGAGCCAACTGTTCGAAAGTCTTGTCAAGGCAGAAGACGACCAAGACGAAGAATGCGGCGCCGACCACGTAATCGATCCATACGAATTTCGAGACGAATCCACCATGATCGAACAGCCCAAAGAGACCTTTCAGAAGGGCAGAGGCAGCAAGGGGACAAGGCGGTCAACAGTGGCCAAGAACATAGGCGCCGACGATCAATCGGCGTCAGGGGCAGACAACAGGAAGCCTTCTCGAAAACGGGCGTCGATGGCTGCTCCTAAAAAGCCATCAATGCTTGATGATGAACAGGACGAGGACTCTTCGTACGACGCTTGCCTGGAACCAGCGAGGGACATTTCGACGTCGCTACTCCAGGACAAGGCGTCGAGGCGTAGAAGCATGATGCTGTAATGTAATGAATTCTCGGACGATATTGACGGCAAAATTGCAAGCATGGCGTACGTGGTTGGTTCCAAGTGGCGTTGAGCGGTCTTCTGGGGCGGGTTGATAGAATCAGGACGAGCGTGAATTCTTCTTACACGCTGAAAGGAAGCACACCCCATGCCGAGTTTTGGAATGAGGCATTATGAGTATCTAATGTGGCACTCGAAGAAACTACGCTCCCGCTTGTCTGTCTGCTCCCACGTCTTCCCATGCAGATTTGTCAAGACTACACAACCAATGGACCGTGTCCTAATGGTTTTCGATGGCGCTTCATCTTCTCCACTGGGGCGGCCTGTCCATCATAACGGCTTGTAGCTGCCGCACAGGCCGTGAATGCCCCTATGATGCTCCCGTCGGTTCCACTGGCTTTGTATACGTGACCTTCTCCACCGCAACATTCTCTGCACCATTCTCATCCTTTCTCAGTTGGTACACATACAGTGTCAGTGATATTCCTTGGACCTAGATCGCATCAAGTCAGCTCGGCAAAACCACAGATCTGAGCTTGCTGCCCGTGATGAGACCACGTGCTGCCGGCGACTGGCAGTAGGTCTCAAACAATAGAGTAGTGAGATGCGTAACCTACGTCCATCAGGCAGAAACTCGGCACAACCTCCTCCTCCTCGCCCTCGCCCGTGCCCCAGCCGGTGGAGAAGGCGCCGGTGGCGGAGCCAGGGTTCACGAAGAACTTGTCCATATACTCGAAACACTCAAACTTGTGGGTGCCGCCCCAGCAGAGTACGTCGACGTCGAGCTTGTTGGCCTCGGCCAGGAGCAGGTCGGGCTCGCTGGAGACGAGGGTGAAGCCCTCAAGGAAGCCGATGCGAAGGCCACCGTGGGCAACGACCTGAGTCAGGGGCAGAGAGGTGGCCTCGACGTCGAAGCGGCCCTTGACGATCTTGAGGTCCGGCGAGATGGAGCGGAGGTACTCGTACGTCGGCTTGTCGGTCAGGTTTCCGAGGCAGATGGACTGGGAGATCTTGCCCGGGGCAAGGAGCTTTTTGAACTATACGGCATTTGTTAGCGCCCTGTTCCGCTCGCTTCCGAAGGACAAGAGCAGAGTGTCTGTGTGCGCGCGCACGCCGTTGGCAAGGTACCTTTGGAGGGATGTCGAGGGCTCGATCGGGGATGTGGAGGTCCCCTATCACTAAGATGAGGAAGGCCATTGTGCCACTCCGTACTGTTGTAGAAGTAAGAAGGTATCGAGACGAGAGGTCGTGTCTCAATGGCCCGTACTGCGTCCAGAGCGACTCGACCAAGAGCGTCGAGCTTCAGCAGTGGGCAGGCCAAGCGCCGTTGCGCCGAGGATCGTGGGCACGCGAGTTTACAATGTAATACCCAGGCTTGAAGACCGTGTCCGCGGTAGGGGCTTGGCTTTCAGGACACGCTGTGCATGCTTGGTTGCCGTTTGTTAGTCTCCAGTTGCTGGGTCTGGGTCCGGGGCCGCGGCGTGGCGCGATTAGTGACGTCGGTTGTGTGGTTGTCTGGCAGCTCTCAAACTGTCGTAGGGTGCATCATCATGTACAGCAGATGCGCTGACTGCCTGCCTGGCGTTACTCCAGGCACTCCAGGCACTCCAGGCGTAGGACCCCTGTCCCTCCCGCCCCACTGCTGGGGTAGCTGGGTAGCTTCCCAACTTCCAAGGTGGTTCCCACCGGGACTGCCTGCCCGCATTTGCAGCAGCAGGATGCGCAGGTACACTGGTACCTCGGAAGGCTGCCCGACCTGACGGAGGAAACCCGGACTTGGCAGCCGAACAATCAGACCAAGGTCATTTGTCGGAGTGTGCTGCGGCTCGGGCACAGAGGGTGCAGGGCAACTCCGTAAACAAACCGAGTGCCCTAGTTAAAATTATTATTATTATTAGTCAAAAGCTGTTGAAATCGCTTCGTGTCCCCGCCTGCATAACACGATCCGCCTGCTCGAAAACACGGACGTGCAGGGCAGGCCAGGACAACATAGGACAGACAGCACAGGACAAGACGAGAACAAGACGAGAACAAGACACGGCTGGAGCTCCACCAAAGAGTAGTTTCCGCTCGTTCACTCACCTGCTGTTTGTCCCGTTGCGCAAGGCGGACCGACCACCGATTGGGGTACCGGCAGCAGACTCTCCAAACCACCCAGATGTACCGGTCTCGGCCCCTATCGCTCATAGCCATGATACCCCGCGGCAGCTCCGCCAGCCGACGCCTCTCCCTCACGGCGAACCACCTGCTTTCTTCAAAAGCACCGTCTTCGCCCCCCTCGTCACCACCGTCACCTGCTCAAGCAAGAGTGCAAGGACCACGCAGCCTCTCGAATTCTACTGCAGCACCAGCACCAGCACCAGCACACAACTCCGCCGCCATGTCTTCCCAGCCAGAGCACTCGACCCTGCTCATCCCGGGGCCCATCGAGTTTGACGATGCTGTGTTGCAGTCTATGAGTCACTACAGGTGAGACGATATGTACCCAATCGTGCTTTGTCACGGCGCGGCATCAGGAGATGCTACACCAAAGTCCTGCAGCGCCACCCGCGCCCTGCCACGGGAGGGGCCCTCTGACGCCTGGCATGGCAGCGGGGTCTGCATTGCCGGACCTGTTGGCCTACGTGCATGTGCCCATTCTCGCTGTTCGGGACTTTGGTGTGCCCCGTCTCCCGCTGCTGCACACCGGCCGTGCAAGTTATACACGAGAGGCAGAGTGTTGACCAATTCCGTCCCGCAGCGAGAGCCACGTCGGTCCCGGCTTTGTCTCTACGTTTGGTGATACCTTGTCGATGCTGCGGAAGCTCTTCCAGACAACGGACCCTTCCTCCCAGCCCTTTGTCATCTCGGGCTCCGGAACGCTGGGCTGGGACCTGGTCGCCGCCAACCTGGTCGAGCCCGGCGAGAACGTGCTGGTCCTGACCACAGGCTACTTTGGCGACAGCTTTGCCGACTGCTTCAAGGTGTACGGTGCCAATGTCGACCAACTGAAGCCTGCCGTCGGTTCAAGGCCCCAGTTGCCTGAGATAGAGGCAGCGCTCAAGGCCAAGAAGTACAAGGTCATCTCCGTCACCCATGTCGACACCTCCACCGGCGTGCTGAGCACGCTGCCCGAGCTTTCGGAGCTGGTGCACAGGGTTTCCCCCGAGACCTTGCTGATCGTCGACGGTGTCTGCTCCGTCGCCGGCGAGGAGATTGACTTTGACAAGTGGAAACTCGACGGAGTTGTCACTGCCAGCCAAAAGGCAATCGGCTGTCCTGCCGGATTGTCCATTTCCATGTTCAGCGGGCGGGCTATCAAGGTGTTTGAGGAGCGCAAGGCGCCGATTGGCGCCTATTTTGCGTCCATGAAGAACTGGACCCCCAGTACGTTTACCCTTACTTCGGAGTCGCGAGATGGTGGAGCAGGGGCTGACTCTCTTACAGTTATGAGGAATTATGAGGCTAAGAAGCCCTCTTATTTCGCCACTCCCTCCCCACAGTTGATCCACGCCCTCAACACGGCACTCAAGCAGATCCTGTCTGCCGGACCTCTGTCGGCGCGCTTTGAAAAGCACGCCGAGGTCTCCGACAGGATCAAGAAGGCCGTCGAGGCGCTTGGTCTGAAGCAGGTCGCGGCCAAGCCTGAGGACCGATCCCACTGTATGACGGCCATTTACCTGCCAGACAGCGTCAAGGCTGCAGAGATACTACCTGCGCTGGCCAAGAGAAATGTCGTGTTTGCTGGAGGCATCCACAAGGAGATTGCACCAAAGTACATCCGTTTCGGGCACATGGGTGTTTCTGTGACGGACGAAAAGCGAGGCGATATCGACCGTGCGCTCAAGGCGTTGGAGGATGGTCTGAGCGAGTGTGGATATCAAAAGGCATGAGAGAGAGGCAGGGCGGAGATGAGCAACTGGTAGACAAAAACTCGGAGGCTTGCGAAACAAAGTAAAAACAGGGTCCTCGTTTGAATAGAAACAGTAGATGTCTTGATGTCAAAAAGGTCCGGTGCGCAACGGCTGGCGCTTCTGGGAGAGTCCCGGGAGAGTCTTCGGTGTTCTTCCATTCATTAGTAAACATCTCCCGCGGTACTCACTACCGCCCCTGCAAGTGTTGAAGACCACCAGATCCGTTTGGCCTGAGAGGCACCCCGCATGATAACCGACAGGCTGCCACAAAACCAACTACTGCTCAGCGTTTGGCCAGCCTCCCAACCAGTTATGTTCGAGAATCTCCAGCAGAGCTTGAGGATGTGAAGCGACGCGCTTGTAGAGTGCTGATGCGAGAGAGACGCGAGCTGTCAGGCTGCCAGTGACGTGCGGTTACATAGTAGCTGTACCAGGCCCCTGCAAAATTCCGGGCGGGGTAGCGCGAGCGGGCGCGAGTGGGCTGGCTGGCTGGCTGGGTGTGGCCTGGCTGCAGCCTCTTGTCTCCCGTCCAAAAGCTCAAGGCTTACCACCTCTCTCGACTTGACCTGCCTCTCCTCAGCCGACATTCTTTTGCGGTCTCGCAACCTCCTTCCCACCACACCAGACAACAGCCATACCCCAGGGCAAAGACGTCCTTCCCCTTCTCTGCGAGCATCTCTTGTGCTTGTACCGCTTCTCCTCCTGCCCCCCCCCCTCCCCGACAAATTCCGCCGCCTCGACCCGACTGTGCACACCCTCAACCTCTCACTGCCTAGCCGCCCAGCCGTCGCCATGGCGATATCTATCGAGGAGCTCGACGTGCTCGTCCGTAGCTTTTACGAGGGACGAGGTGAACAGGTACGCCCTTCTGCCGCCTTTACACCCCCGCCAACGGCGGATTCGCTGACCAAGCCCCCCCTCCACAGCAAAAAGCCGCCCAGGCCGCTCTGAACCAGGTAAGCCACCCCGCCGCGCCGCATCCCGAAATCGACACTCACTGACCACACACGACGCGGATATAGTTCAAGGAGGATCCTGACGCATGGCTCATGGTGGACGACATCCTGTCCAAGGCCACATATCCACAGACGAAGTGTACGTACATCGAGAGCAAAAACCAAACATGCTGCATGTGGACTGACAGGTCGCAAAGACCTGGCGTTGCAGGTTCTCGACAATGTCATCTCGACGAGGTGGAGGGTCCTCCCGAGGGAGCAGTGCCAAGGTATGCCACACCGAGCAGACAGACCTTGGTTCTCTGGCCCGCTGACCGTGGTGCAGGCATCCGCAACTTCATCGTCTCCTTCATCCTGCAGTGCTCCAGCACCGAGGAGTCCTTGCGATCCCAACGAACCCTGCTCAACAAGCTCAATCTCGTCCTCATCTCTGTACTGAAGCAGGAGTGGCCTCACAACTGGCCGACCTTCATCAACGAGATCATCCAAGCCTGTCATTCGAGCCTATCGGTCTGCGAGAACAACATGATCATCCTTCGACTTCTTTCCGAGGAGGTCTTTGACTACTCCGCCGAGCAGATGACTTCCACCAAGACCCGAAGTCTGAAGACGACCATGTGCAACGAATTCTCCCAAATCTTCCAGCTTTGTCAGGAAATCCTTAACACGGCAACCCAGTCAAGCCTGGTCCTGGCGACTCTGGAGACACTGCTTCGTTTCTGCAACTGGATCCCTCTCGGCTACATCTTTGAGACGCCATTGATCTCTCTGCTCCGGACACGTTTCCTGGAGGTGCCAGAGTTCCGCAACATCACGCTCCAGTGCTTGACGGAGATCGGTGGCCTGCAGACCGGCGGCCCGGCGGGCAACAACTATGACGAGCAGCTCGTGAAGATGTTTACCGAGGTCCTAACCACTATATCGACCATTATACCCATCCAGATGGACCTCAAGACCACATACCCACAAAGCAACTCCCGAGATCAACAATTCGTGCAGAACTTGGCTCTTTTCCTGACCAATTTCTTCTCCATGCACTTGAACCTGATTGAGAATCTGCCAAATCGCGATTATCTCTCTCACGCTCACTACTATCTCATCCGTATCTCCCAGATCGATGACCGGGAGATCTTCAAGATTTGCCTGGACTACTGGCTCAAATTGGTCCAAGAGCTATACGAGGAAATGCAGTCCCTCCCCATTGGCGATAACCCACTGGTTGCCATGGGGGCTATGTCAGGCGGTGCCCCTAACCCGGCGCTTCTGAACAACTACCCCTTGCGGAAGCACAAATACCAAGAGGTTTTGTCCAACCTTCGAGTCGTCATGATCGAGAAGATGGTGCGCCCTGAGGAGGTCTTGATTGTCGAGAACGATGAGGGCGAAATAGTGCGAGAATTCGTGAAGGAGAGCGACACAGTGCAGCTGTACAAGACCATCCGCGAGTGTCTTGTCTACCTGACCCACCTGGACGTCGTTGATACGGAGCAGATCATGACAGACAAGCTCGCAAAGCAGGTGGACGGCTCGGAATGGTCCTGGCACAACTGCAACGTCCTGTGCTGGGCCATCGGATCGATCTCCTTGGCCATGAACGAAGAGACAGAAAAGCGCTTCCTGGTCACCGTGATCAAAGACCTGCTTGGGCTCACCGAAATGAAGCGCGGCAAGGACAACAAGGCCGTGGTCGCATCCAACATCATGTACATCGTCGGCCAATATCCCCGCTTTTTGAAGGCTCATTGGAAATTCCTTAAGACGGTCGTGAACAAGTTGTTCGAGTTCATGCACGAGTCCCATGAAGGTGTGTTACCTCCCCACACTGGAGCGATTCATAGCTGACAATCATTATAGGTGTTCAGGATATGGCGTGCGATACGTTCATCAAGATTGCAAAGTCTTGCAAGCGTCACTTCGTCGCCCTACAGCCTAGTGAGCATGAACCCTTTATTGAGGAGATCGTGAGAAATCTACCAAAGATCACGGGCGACCTCACCCCTCAGCAAGTCCACACCTTCTACGAGGCCTGCGGCTACATGGTGGCGGCCCAGGGCAACCGTAACCAGCAGGAGCGACTCCTGGCGGAGCTTATGCAGCACCCTAACGCCGCTTGGGACGAGATCATCAAGCAGGCGACGGTTAACCCGGCGATCCTCCAAGACGCCGAAACAATCAAGATCATTGGGAACATCATGAAGACGAATGTTTCAGCTTGTTCCTCGGTCGGGTCGTACTTCTTCCCCCAGATTGGGCGCATCTACCACGACATGCTGCAGATGTACCGGGCAACCAGTCAGCTGATCTCTGAAGCCGTCGCAAAGGAAGGAGAGATTGCCACCAAGATGCCCAAGGTCAGGGGCTTGCGGACGATCAAGAAGGAGATCCTGAAGTTGATCGAGACGTACGTGGACAAGGCCGAAGACCACGCCGCCGTGCGAACCCAGATGGTTCCACCTCTGCTCGACTGCGTCCTAGTCGATTACAACCGCAATGTGCCTGGTGCCCGCGACGCGGAGGTTCTGAGGGCCATGACTGCCGTCATCTCGAAGTTGTCCTCTCTTATGGAGGATCAGGTACCGACAATCATGGAGAACGTGTTTGAATGCACTCTGGACATGATCAACAAGGATTTCTCCGAGTTCCCAGAGCATCGTGTTGAGTTCTTCAACCTTCTGAGGGCAATCAACCTGAACTGCTTCCCGGCGCTGCTCAAGTTGGATAACCGACAGTTCAAGTTTGTTATCGACTCGTGCATGTGGGCTAGCAAGCATGACAACCGCGATGTCGAGGCGGCAGGCCTTAACATGTGCCTCGAGCTGATCAACAACATCGCTGAGAAGACAGACGTGCAGACGTCCAACGCTTTCTTCAACCAGTTCTTCACACCGATCCTGCAGGACGTCTTCTTCGTAGTCACGGACCAGGATCACAAGGCCGGGTTCAAAACACAGTCCATGCTCCTCATGCGCATGTTCTATTTTGTGCAACCAGCTGATGGAACTGCTTCAAAGATCCAAGGCCCCATCTATCAGCCCGATATGGCCCAGGCGGGTACCTCGAACCGCGAGTTCCTTGGGAACTTCGTGGCAACCTTGTTGGCGAACGCGTTCAGCAACCTACAGCCGTAAGTGCCTCCTACCACAAGTCTGCCATGACATGCGCTAACATTGTTCAGGCCACAAATCACTGCCTTTGTGGAGGGGCTGTTCGCGCTCAACACACAGTACGACAAGTTCCGTCTTCACCTGCGTGACTTCCTGATTTCTATGAAGGAGTACGCCGGGGACAATGCCGAGTTGTACCAGGTGGAGAAGGAGAAAGAGGATGCTGCCAAGCAGCAGGCAGACCTCGACCGGAGGTCGAAGGTTGGCGGTCTCATGAAGCCGTCGGAGCTGGAAAATGACGACGACGAGCTGTGACTCCGTCAGGAGTTCCGCAACGAATTCGCACCGCTGAACGTCGGAGGCTCCGAAGAGCACAATGGTCCAGAGCATCCATCAGGTGTTTTTGATGGCTGGGATGTATACGGCCTGTGACTGCGGGAAGACACTGAGATGGCGCGGCAAGCTGGGGTGAGGGATGAGGGCGGAGAAAATGGGATGAGAGTGATCCGCGACAGCGGACACATCCGAGAACACACATTCCCTATCTCATTTTGTATGATACCACATAGAGGAAGAACCGGCAGGAGGCTGGTAAGGATCGGGGGCAGCAAAGAGATCATTGAGAAGACACAGCCTTCTCGGCTGACTTGCCTAGAAACAACAGATGGGGGAGAACAACAACCTTGAGCAAGAGAACAAGCAGGTGGAGCCTCCTCCTGGGCAGGAAATTGTGGATGAAATGTGGTTGGCCGGGAGGAGTCGGTTCAGCTTGTCCGTTGACGGCCGCCGTGTCAGACACTGAGGGCTCCTGGTCGATGGATCATGGGTTTATTCGGCTCAGCTAGCTAATTCAGAGTAGACAGTTACCAGACGCCCGCCCATCAGGAGTGTGTATCGCCAGAGGCGACCAACCCGTGTTTTCTGCCACTGCTAGCCACTATGGTGTGGATTGCATCGCCCATCCCGGGCTGTCGGGTCATCGAAGGTAAAGAACACTTCTAGCCTTTGCCCATCTGACCGCGACAGTAGCCACACTGCCTGCCGTTCTCTTCACATGGCTTCTTGCTTGTCGGGTGGCCACTTACCAGCATCACCACAACTCATCGCACCGTTCTGGCTGCCGCGACCAGCCCCCATCCCCCCGGGCCTAGGCCGCAGCGGACCAAGCCAGACAAGCCCCCACAGGATAGTTCCCAAAAGAACAAGAAACAACGACGATGGGTTGGCAGGCTTTAGCATCATCACCAGCTGTGAGACAGGTGAATCTCGGGGCAGCCGTTAGAAGCGAGGGCGCGAGAAGGACACTCTATTTGTTCGAACGGATTCGGAGCATCACCTGACTTGCTTGTAACAGCCAACTTGGAACAGAGCCCATTGAGCAAGAGGAGTGTCGGCGTGGAGTTCCGAGGGATGGCCCGGTGATCTGGCCTGACTGGGGCTGGTGGGCGGCTTACTTCTCCGTGTTGGATATGTATCGCTCGCTGGGAGCCTCAATACACTAAAGTAGGGATTTCGGGGCCGAGAGCAGGTTGGGCAGTGCTGGTGATAGCTGCGCTGCTTTCAAAGATGCGAAAGTGGTGCTCAGCTGTCTCCAGTCTTGGGTATCACGGCCAACGGGCCACGATGATATTGCCAGCATTAATGAGGCATCATCATAGTTCTGCCGCCATGGTCAGGGCTGCGGGCGGTGCTGTGCCGAAAGCTCCACAAAAGTTGTATAACAGCATTCACAATGAATTCATGGAAGCACAGTGAAACAGTTATGCCAAAACTTGATACTTACATACTCCTTTCACACGACACTGACTGACACATTTACAACCGCGTCCAGAAGTGTCATATCACGCTGCTTTCTCGGCCCAATACTACGACCGACAACTTCAAATCAGTCAGCGCCGAGTCCGACGTTGTCGACGGCGCGGTAGATGCTGACCTGGATGCGATATGATCAACTGATCCGGATTACGCCCAGTGTCCACAACTCACCACGGAAGAACTACGCAGGGCGTGGCTTCGGCCATGGAGTTTACATCAGAACCATCGCTCACCGCACATATGTATGTAAATAGCGGAGGACCGTTTGGCCATTGACGCCTATAGTGATTTCTAGGTGACTGATGAGAACGGTCGACATGCCTAGTTTCCCGACACGAACGGACGACCATCTACGTAAGATGATATCCCCAAGAGCCATCATACCAACAAGTAACGGCCCTCAATGATACTCTGCTGCTTTAATCCATGCAAATGAAGGTGATGGCCCCAGGTACGACGCAAGTCCCTGGTCCCGTACAGACACATGGAGATCCCCAACGTCCCTAACGCCACGGTATCAAGGACTGCGACGACTGGGCGATGGCAAGGCGCCATGGGCGTTTTGAATGTGACGATCGGCTCAGCTGCGGACTGACCCTACTTCAACTTCTTAAAGAAAATAGTGTGTCGGTCAAATCTGGCGCTCAAGGCAGTGTGAGTACGTGTTCTGTCATTCACGGCGCGCCTTCACCCCCATCTGGTGTACCTGGGTTTGCAGTCCGAGGCGACTTCGCCCATGACTTAATTTCTCCGATGTCCCAGCGATCCCTGGTCCAACTGCCATGAATTACAGAATTGTCATCATGATGAAAAAAGAAATTTGACACCAATGTGGCAGGAGACCTTCCCTCGAGTACCTACCTAGCTACGTTGGCTCTGAGTGAATTAAGAGGAACGTAGCGCAACAAGCCTGGGCTCTTTTAGCCTCGAGCCCCTTTCCATTGATGCACTGCATCAGAATAATACCTCATCATCATACGTCCCACAAGCGGCACCAGCCACTTCATGCGTACGACACATCCCCATGCGCTTGTTGATTTTCGCCACCTGAAAATCGGCCGTTACATGCGGAGGATCATTCTATAGCGGCGAATTCCAGGGGCGTGAATGTTGGACGTGAGTATTGCCCTTAGGATAGGAAGCAGGAGTCGATGACACCAGCATCTGTCAATCTTGGGAGCCCTGACGAGGAGCAGTTTTTGATCAGGCTCAATAGTAACCATGTCAACAGCAACAATTACCGTTGCAACCCCCGGGGCGGCCGTCTGAAGTTCGGGCTGCAGTCGAATATTGACGGCATCTCTTTCATTTTGGACACCAGGCACTTGCTTTTAGAGTGCCCCAATCATCCTAGAAAGAACATCGGGTCGGCTTTTTCACGCACAGGAGGCGTGAGTTGGCGAGGACCAATGTTACCACGAGGAGGTGCGTCGATAATATGATGGTGGTCCGGCCGAAGCCAGGTGTGCGGCTCTCCCCTTGCGGGTTCTTTTCGTTGCCCGGAGACTGCCGGGGGGTTAGGCTTGGTCTCCTGGTGCTGGTGCTATTGTCGTGGTCTTTGCTGCGAGAGGCAAGTCTTGTGTGCTTGTGCAAGGTGGAGGGGAAGGGGAGGCTAATGTGGTGGAACGACGAGAGAAGCCCTGTGCGTGCCTGTATCTCGCCTGGGGATTTAGGTTGCAGCGATTTTGTTTCGCAGGACTGCTGCCGGAGATTCGAACACAGTTCGCGGCCACATGACCGGCGCCCGCTACGGCAGGGAAGACCAATTGTTGAATCAGAAAAGTGACACTCCCGAGACTCTCGTGGTCATCTGACCGGGAGGCGGCTGCGTGCACCCCTCGACGCAACGCGAGCACGCCGGCGCAGGGTCCGCCACCCAGCCTGCCAGCCAGCTTTTCGTGACAGTTGATCTGATCTGTCACCTTCTGGCGAGAGGGGAAATCGCATCCTCACAGCCTCACCGAGATATGTTACACGGGGGATAGCGTACCCAGTGGTTCCAAGATGCAGGTCTCGCTGAAAAGGGAAAGCCGTCGGGTGGCCCATGGTCCGCCTGGCCAAGGCAGCTAGAGTGCAGGCGGACAGCGTCACTCCTCGCCATCTCGCCTGACATCAACTTGATTGCACCAGCCCAGGGAGGAGGAACACTCCAGCTGGCTGACCAGCTGGCCTGTCGGTATATGGGACCACCACCAACATTGCCCCCGTCCCAAGGGGACTACTGTAGTGTGCGTTTCGCAACCCCCGCCACACCCGGCGGAGATGGGTCACACAGCATGATGTTTGAAGATGCCACCGTCAGACGGCAGCAGCTGTCAACATCTCAGTTGTCTCGTCTGCCTCCCCACTTCCCCGTGGGCGAGCCGCCTGGGGTGAGACCTGTCCTGGCTGCTTGGCTGACCATGCATGATAATAAGGCGTCGAGCATCGACCTGTCATGTAGTAACCAACAGGAGACGCTCAAGACCACATTTACGAACAGTAAGAGCCACATCATCGTGCAGCCTGGTCTAAGTAATAAAGGGCCTGCGGGTTGGCAACGGCTCGCAAGGGGGAGCGATCGGGCGGCGGAGTAAATCGCGCCCACGCACATACGCACCCAAGCACCGCAAGGCCAACAGGGTAAATTTCGCCCTCGTCCCTGGCCTCAGCATGCCGGCAACTAGCTCGAGTGTGTCCGACGGCAGCCGAAGACCGTAGGCACAGAAAGAATAGCCGAATCTGCGGCTCGTTGGAGGGCTGCAGGTCCGCAGAAGCAGAGGGCCTAGACTCAGGCTGAGGATGTAGTCTGACGGGATTTTGATTCTCGAGCTCACCCAGCCTGGCAGCCCTGGCTGGCCACCCACCACCTCTGCGGACTGAGCTCCCGGGCAGGCAGAGGCTCGTGGCAAACACGGCGAGGCGCCATCGTGAGCACACCCTCGGGCGGCCATGGTCGGGGAGCTAGCCCCCACTGGGCTGCGGCGGGCTTCCTTTGTGTCGGCGAGCCAAGGACGAGACCACGTTGCGAGATAACATAACACGACTAGCTCGCGCCTCCAGGCAGGCAATTCGATGCACGGCGCCGGTGGTCGCGGCCTGCTCCAGACTGCTGGGACGGATACCAAGCCTTGCAGGCCTCCCCCCCCAGGCAGGGCGAGGCTCGAGTGGCGTGCGCAGACCATGGAGGGTTGGTGACGAGAACGCCATGGCCCGCATGGTGCGGCGCTGCAGTCGCACGTTGGAGGCAGTCAGGCATACTGGAGGGTGTGCACGATGTGCCTGTTGTGCCAATGAGCCTGCGTCCTCGGCGCCAAGCCCATCAGGATGGGTGGAGTTTGCCGGCCATAGTCTGCTACTAGCGGAAGGCTCTTGTTGTGCGATATTGGCCGATGGAGTCGGCTCGGATTCGCACCTTGGCCCCTGCTGGATGCGAGAGGCCCAAAAGAGACGATTGGGACGAGGCCACTCACGCTGTTGGCCAAGCCGCCCGTGGTCCCTGACAGCAGCACCGTTGTCAGCCTTGGACATTACTACTATCTCCTCAACTCAGCTCCGGGACATGATGGATAGCGTTGCAAGGGACCATCCATCCAACAGCAGGTGCCAGGCAGGCAAGGCAGGCAAGGCAGGCAAGGCAACCCGGCAGCGAGTTCCTGGCCCAAATAGGAAAGTGATATACCGTCCGATGCTTTTTGCTAGGGCCTTCTCATCACCCATTGCCGGAGGTCGTCCGGCAGAGGTGTAATAAGTAAAGACATATCTTGAAGTGACGAGCAAGGCATCACAATCACAAGACTTGTGTGACTTGCCGGATGCCCAACAGTACCGAGTAGATAGACATGGCATACGGGTAAACGCCCTCTGGCCGCTGACATATCACACTGCCGTCCCCCACGCCCCGGCCCCGGCATTGTTAGACTGTTTCTGATGCCTTGTCGTTGCTATTTCCACACGCCCGGCCAATTCGTGTATGCGGTGGATACTGGTGGGGCATACGGCTGGAACATATGCAGTCGTTGGTCCCACAGCACGAATCCTGTGTGCTATTTAGTCGCCAGAGACTACTCCCTGACGGCTAGCCTGCCTCAGGTGCTGGGGCTCAGCCCGCGCAGATAAGCGTAGGTCATGTCCTTTTGCCCCCTGCCGGTCCCAGGAGCGTGGTACTGGGAATGTGGTCTCGTGACAAGGGCCGTCCCATTGCCGGGCAGCCATCAATGTTGATGACCAGCGGGCTGCCGCCACCAGAACAGGCGACCCAGCATTCCAGCAGCTTGCTGACGAATGTGTGTGATGTGCCAGACAGCCGGAGAGGGCCACTGCTACATCGCGCACGCCATGAGCAAGCAGTAAGCAACACAAGGGTGCGGATCTCCATTGCGAATGCTTTTCCTCCCCCATCAATGGTGGAAGTGCGGGGGGAAAACGACGTGTCGATATTGGTTGCCATGACGAGCCATTGGGAATATTTTGGTGATGGCGGTTGCACTTGCAGCCCCTCTTGGAATTGGAGGGGCAAGGGGTCCCATCCTCCTGGCGTGCGCAGAAAAACAACAAGGTCTCGGTGCTATCGACACGGGATCCCAGAAAGGGGAGGGGGGTGTGGGAGTTCGGC